AGAATCAGCATGCAACTATCCCATCTGTTCTGACTAATAGGTATGTGGAGTGGCCAGTCCGTGAAACCGAAGAAGCCACTTGAAGCCCATTATCGTGGCGGCGATGTCAGTTATGGTGCTGTTTGGAGTTGAGAAGTAAGCCGTGACTCTCGGGAAGAGACCGGTGTGAGTGATCGGCGCACAAGATCAGGACTGAGACCCCGAGCAAAGAGTGACTGGGCGGTGGCCTTTCGTGTGCCATCGATGCTGGCTGGGCTTTGAGAGCCGCTTGATGTCTTTTCATTGGTAATGAGGCCCTTTTCTTGAACGAAGGCACTGGAACGGACGTGATACGGATCTCCTTCGTAGTATTTGTCCAGAATGGGATGAACCATGACAGTTTGTTGGTGGATGGTCAATATTGAGTTGGTTGGTACATTGACCCAATTTTCTAATACCCAAAGTCAGTACTTAGGTATTCCGAGTTGAATACTTTGGCGTTGAAATTGATGATATTCTTACCTCTTTCAAATGTCAAGGGCTCGCTTGCGACCAGGACAATGTCACCCCCTTTGTCTTTTCTGTCCATCTGGTATTGTCTATCATCTGGCGAAGAGGTTCTTGTAACCCATTGTGTTCCGGAGGAATAGTATAGACTGGCGGCCTCATCCTTGGAGCTGCTGATATAACGAGTGCAGATGACGCTATGGCCGTCTGTCACAGCAAAGTTCAATAAGCTTCTGGTGTCGACGTCTTCGTTTTGCAAGATGCTTTGCGGAATGGAGTCTGTCAATTCGTTGATCTGAGCAATCGTCTTCTTCATGACCTCTCGCAATACTGTTGGCCCAAATCCGCCGGGCGGGCAAGCGCTCGGGTCGTGGCCTGACTGCTCGAGCGTATTGAGAAACAGAGCAAATGCCCACTCGCTGTCGGTGCCTCCCTTTACGCCCAGATACCATTTGTCTGCCAAGAGACTTCCAAGCCTCCTCTTGATGTGCTTCCAGCCACCGAGGCCGCCGTTGTGCATCCACATCAAGCTGCCATGTGTAAAGGGATGGCAGTTGTCCTCGCTAAGGGAGCCCTCGGTCGTTGCGCGAACATGGCCGAATATTAGTCGCGACGCTGTCTTGGATGCAATGCGCTGAAGATTTGTGCAGTTCCACGCGGGGATCGTCGATGTGAACAGGCAGGGAGCCGAGCCAAGCTTGAGATCAGTATAGAAGCCTATGCCGAAGCCATCGGCATTGTTCTGGCCTCGTCGCGTGTCCTAAGAGGATGGCAAAGAGGGGGATGTCAGCTGAGTCTGAGGGGTGAGATTGTGGCGAGAGGAACAGGGAGAGGGAGAGGGAGAGGAAGAGAGAGGGCTTCATCATACCAGCCGCAACCGTGAATCAAACGACTGCTTAAGGATCGAATGGGTCGGATCGAGGATCAGCTTCGACAGCAGGATCTCGTCGCTGCCTTTGTAGACCTAGAGGCGAGTGCTTGCGTTAGTCGTGGCCCGATCTCGGAATGGATTTTTGGTGTTTACGGTTCCCCGGACGATGACGTACCAGAAAACGACACATGGCGGGCAGCTGGAACGGGAGCTGAGCAAACAGGCGTTGAGTGGCTCAAGAGCAGCGTACGATGTATATCTGATATCTGCCCGTGTCGTACCAATTCAGCAACTGGCGAAGCTGTCAACTGCAGGTTTAAGGAGAAGCAGCTGCACAAGTACGAGGATGCACGTGTATGGAGTTTGAGGAATGAATCACAGCAAATGACACCATAGCGCAGCGAATTATGCCAGCGCCCAAGCCTGTTTGGGGCTAGCTGGGCGGTGCTGCACCGAGTACCTGTACCCGTACCTGGACATGGACATGGACGTGGACCACTTACCGCTTTCGTAGGGCCAAGGGTTCAACACCTAGGTAGGTAGGAAGAATGATGTTGAGGAATTTGGTATATCAACAAAACGTAGGATTGAGTATATGTACAGGTATCTTGTAGGTAATGAGCCGGTAGGTAGGAGATATGCCATGTTGTATGTTTGAGGAACTGCCAATGTGTCCTGGAAATACCCTGATGGATCTACAAGTTCTTGTACTTGGGCACGTGCTCAAAAACATTCCAACAAACATATCATCCTGCTCCACATACACAAGAAGGAAGAAAAAAAATTCTTTCATATCAATGCGAATAGACCCATTGACCCAAGGCAAATGTTCATTTTTTTCAGAGGCACTGACTAGGTTGGTACTTGAAGCATATGATTGTCACTTTGGATGTCTCAGTTCGTCCACCGCAACGTTGATATTGGGGTATCAACGAAATATCCAACCTTGATTAGCCAAAACCCTCACAAAGAGCTGTTGTCCTGAACTATATGCCTTTTATCCCCCCCCAACATATTATAGAAGCACAGATACATGCTTCACTAAGAAATATGAAGCCAGAGCATCTTTCCCTGTGCACTGGAATCAAGGTGCCACGCCAACTGATGTGCATCCAACCGCTCTTCGACGACTCCACCTGTGACTCGCCAAAATAACCCGGAGGTCTGCCACATCTTGAACCGAAATTTCTCTTTGATGTCTTTTCTAGGCTGGGTAGCGCCTTGATGCCCAATGTTGTTGTACGAGCGATCATGGCATCAATGCTGAAGCATGCGTTTCCATGGAACATTACCATTCCAATCTTTTCGCCCCCAAAAGTCTCCGACTGGAATCGGGGGGATCGAGTTTGTTACTTTTGTCGATTGGACGGCGGACAATGGAAACATGAATTGTCTGGCCCCGTACTGAGTCTTTCTGTGTCGAGTGATATCTGGAACGTAGTGCGGCACAAAATGACTGTCATGTAAAATGCCGTAATCACGTTCGAATATGGATTTTACCTTCTTTACAGGATCCGTTACACACTCAACAAACCAAAGCAACTCGCTAATCTTCTTCTTCCATGTTCTTTGGGATGAGAAGACAGCGTAATAGAGAATAAAGGGGGCCAAGACGTATAGCAAAATGGCTGAACAAACATCAAAATCACCCTGGCCAAGACGCGGTAGAAAAGAAGAGAGAGTGCCAACTGGTTTAAGCCCTTTAGTTGCTGCAGGTTGGGTGTTACAGCTCCTAGGGCTTCATTCCATTTCCTTTCCACCGTATCTGAGTGCAGATTTGCTCCCTGACTGTAGATGATCCAGATGTTTGTCCAGCCATTCTGCTATACATTTCGGCTACCTTTGTTTGAGCTGTTGCGACGCCTTCTCACCTAGATTGGAAACAGTAGATCAGCGAGTTGCTTTGATTCGTTGAGTGTGTTGCGGATCCTGTAAAAAAGGTGAGGTTCAACACTATTCTGCTGCAGGAGTATCGCAGCATTTTATATTACCCCAACAGATGGTTAGGCCGTGTCGTCATCAATTGAACCTTGGTTGGATGGCCAGCTGTTGAGTCATCAAGGAAAGCGTAATTAGCCTTTGTTTACTAAAAGTCTTCCGTATTATTAGACAAAACCTTGATTCGTGTGTTAATATCTGTTCTTTTTGATATACTGGGTGTCTCTCATTTGCACTGATTTGACGGATGAGGCACAGGCTGCCTGAGGGCGCTGAATGGATAGATGCGGGTTCACTCCGTATCTTATCAAGAGGTGACAACGCCTCTGCCAGATCCTATTGCATATTACCTGCATGCTTAGAGCACGCGCCACGAATCACGAATGTGCTATTAGGCTATTTGATTTGTGGGCGCTTGCGATTGATGCAGAATGCACGTCGATGCTTGCAGCTTGCGCTGTCGTGGGTTCGGTATCTTTATGCAGCTGGCCAACATGCGATGCCGTCTACATCATCACTGGGCCTGCCTCTAGAAGACGAGAGAATCCCTCAGTAATTCTTAACTTTAATTGCATTGTACGTGGATCTTGTCAAGGAGAATCTTTTCCCTTGACGGTGCAACGTCGGTATCCCTTCTTTCACTCCCTAGTGCAGGGAACTCAAATCGTCAACGCATCGGTGGCTGTCGTCAGGATATGCAAAGGCTTTGAGGAATTCGATGGCCTATAGCGCGCAATGGCGGGCATTTTCAGCCCATGCGAAATTCATCGTATCTGCATATCAATGATATTAATAAGTCAAACGCGAAATACACGTGTAGGATGCATGCAACAGTCTCGCCATTTGAGCTATAAACACGGAGTGCTGATGAAATCCTTACATGAATGGTGATACATCTGTGTCAGCGCTACATGTACATACACGTGCTAATACAGTAGAGCAATATCTACATGTACTGCATACGAATGCTCTCTGCTCTGTTGATTCGATTTCTTTCTTGGATAAACGTGCTGGAAATTGGCATATAAACTTCGCGCATACGTAATAACACGTATCATATAAGGCTCGATTGAAGCTAAAGAAATAGCTCACGTCGGCAACAACAAACATTGATTCAATGCCAGCTGAACATGGATGGATCCAATCATGGAACCCAATTTGTCAATCACAACACGACATCAAGGTGCCTGTAGTGCGACTACCTACTACTACAGCGGGCTCTAAAGCGAAGTGGCCGCCCCCGTCACCCCTGCGAGATCCGCTGTGGCAGACGCCCATTCAGCGCCCTGGATCGCTGGAACCGCCCGCCTAGCGCCCAAGCACACGACGATGCCCCAGATTCGTCAACCGCCAAAAACGCGCCAGCGAGCAAATCCCATTTACACGCTCCCGCGTCGTGAGACCGCGTCTCTCCACTTTGACCTCCCATGTCCCTAGCCTCAGTCATTTTCGCTTATCCAAAATCCTGTCTCCGCTTATTGCCTCCAAGCTCTTTTTCTTCCGTCTCCCTTGCCATGATTCGACTCGCCTAGACTCTTGCATCTTGTCATCTGTCCATCCGCCGCAGCCTTGGGAGGCCTTGCCAGTGCCAGTATATCCGCCGTAGAGCAGCATCATGGTGCATTATCATTATGGCCCGTCTGCCGCGTCTGATGCCGTTCCCTCCAGCCCGCCCGCCATGGCGTCGTCATCGCCGGCAAGCCAGATGCTGTCGCCCACCAGATCCACGCGGCGAAAGGAACGACGAAACCCATCGGTAACGCCACGGAGGTTTGGCCGCTTCTTTACGCCGCGGTCGTCTCTGCCCCCTCTGCCCAGTGGCCGGTCTGTCTTGGGCATGCTGGATAGTGCCTCAGTCAACAATCGCCAGCTGGCGTCCCCCATGTCCTTTTTCAGTGATCCACTACTGAGCTCGGATCCGTTATGTCCATCCTCTCCCACCGAGCGTTTGGGAATGGGCGTGGAGCACAAGAGGTTGATGGAGGAGACACGGGCGGACGGTGCAAAGAGGAGGAGAACCGGCGATATCTCGCCTTATGCTTTCCAGGAGCTACTCAACCCCACCATTATCGAAGAGGATATGACCGAGGAGGATGGCGCCAGGTCACGAGAGACCCTTGAAAGCTTGGGGGACCGGCGCAAGGCGACTCTGGTAAAGAAAGCTCCCTGCTGTGCGGAAGGCTGTAATTTGCTAACAAGCTCCAAGAACCTCTTCTTCAAGGCCAGCCGTAGTGGTTCTCGTGGGCTGCAAGAGAAGTCAGGACTAACTCCACAAAGGCTTTTTGCCGCTGACCCCAAAGGCCCCCTGGTATGGCTGACTGATATCTCTTCTTCTTGCCTTGTCCTAGGACAGGTTGCTAATCTTGCCCGCTACAGCACCTGGAAGGATATCAGCCAAAGCCTGTCCGCAAATTCCGGGATACTGGTTTCGAATCTCACCTTCTTGACCGAGAGCATGGTTTCTCTCTGCACCACGGCAGACAGCATCTGAGCCACCCAGCCTGCGACCCACGGATTGAGACAGCTTCATTTTACAGCCGGAGCAATGACCTCCACCACTGCGCTGCCTCCAGCGGAAACGGCAATACGATTCCCTTTAGCCTGGCGAGCTGCCACAAAACTTCGATTACAGCAATTGGCGATGAACAAGGATGTGTTCGGCTCTTCAAGACCGATCTAAATGACCCGATGGACGACTCCAAAGTTGATACATACATCTCCGTTCATGACAACGCGATTATGGATCTGGCGTTCTCACAAGATGATATGCGCCTGGTAACAGCGTGCGGTGACCGCAGTGGTAGAATACTTGACATTCCTACTCTTACGGTGGCCGCCGAGCTTGGAGGAGGTCACTGGGACTCATTACGGCAGGTTGCGTTCCAACCAGGTGAGGCGGCCGGCAATGTTATTGCCTCGTCTGACCGGGCTGGCCGCATCCAAATTTGGGATTTGCGATGTTCCTCATCACCGGTCAACAGCTTTTCATGCCCCAGCGGCATTGGCCAGCGAGATACCTCCCTAGAGCCCTTCCACGCCAAGGGTGTCAACACCATCGACAACGCCCACGAACGTACGGTGCAGGGCAATACTTCATCAGCCTCCGTCACTGCTATTCACTGGATGCCACCGGGCCGCGAACACCTCCTGCTATCTGCATCTGAAGCCAATGCCTCCATCAAGCTCTGGGACACGCGCTATATCAAGCCTCGGCGGCAGGCCGAAGAGACACCTCTAGCTGTGACTTCAGAACCACGTGGCCACACGTGGCGCTCCTACGGCATTACATCCCTGGCGATCAGCTCTGATGCCGCTCGCCTCTACGCCGTTTGCAAGGATAGCACCGTCTACGCTTACTCAACAAACCATTTGATGGTCGGGCATGCGCCGGAGCTCGAGGATGGAGCCACCAAGCGTAGGCCCAACGGGGCTCAGGGTCTCGGTCCCATGTACGGCTTCAAGCACGATTCGTTCCGCGCCCAGTCCTTCTACGTCAAATGCGATATCCGCCCCGGCACCAACGGCTCCTCCGATCTCCTCGCCGTGGGCAGCAGCGACGGTTGTGCGCTTCTCTTCCCCGCCGACGAACGATATATCCGCAGCGCCTGGGCCAAACGCTCCCACATCCCCTCCGAAACCGCCTTCGCCACCCCGTCACAAAGCATATCCACGCCTTCTGCCTTTGGGTCATCCGCCGCCACGCCTCTCATCCCTATCTCGCGCCTTGGAACGCCTCTTGTGCGTGGCCACAGCCGCGAAGTCACCACGCTAAGCTGGGCTCACGACGGCAAACTCGTCACCGCGTCAGACGACTACATCGTTCGTCAGTGGCAGCAGGACGAGTCTCGAGCGCGGTACTTGCGACAAGTAGGCGAATTCGGTGGCGAGCGCCATATGGCAGGCTGGGCGGACGTGGAAGACGACTGGGATACCTCTGATGACGACTCTGAATAAGTCATTGACGCTGAAAGGAAACACAAGTAATGATGAGTATATGAACTGAAGGATACCATGGTATGGAATTATCGGCCTATTTTCCCTTCCTCTGGCTTCTATTTTTTTTCTTCCAATGCTTCAAAGAGTATATGGGCATGTAGCAATAATATGCTTGGATAAGCATTGTACGGGAAGAGGTCTGAGCTATACACCCTGTTTGCGAGAGAGTTGATTTTTTGTCTGTTTTTATTCTCAAAAAGCATAGCATGGCGTTTGTAGGGTTAATTGCGGCATAGCCAAGCATCGAAGCATTGTCTGAGCCATGATGGGCAAATACATGTAAAATAAACGAAATGAAAGAAGTTTACATTGTAATTCTATTGATCATGTGCTGATATCCAACTCTATAGGGGCCTGTGGCAATTGGTCGAGGATACAGCGCCGTGTGCCAGTACATATATATATGTACGCCTCGCGCTCACTGAACCATCGCGGTGTAACCTAAACTCACAATCCCTCTGATACGAACGAATATGTACAGGAGAAACAGGCCGATTATTCCTACCAGGATCGGTTTCTGCATCGTAGCATTCACGGGTTGCCTTGGTGATCTTACACCTAGCTTGCCATTGTGACTACCACCATTTGCGGCAGCAACTCGAATATGTTTTCGTGGCGGAATAGGGAGCGACTTTGCAAATCTCATAGATTTGGGAATACCAGGGCACAGTTCGATGTCAGTAGCGACATCACCGTGATCAGCCTCTCCATCTACAGAATCATGCTCCCCTTCTTCAGTTGATGTCGTGTCGAGCGATTGGTTCCGGAATGAAATCCCTACCCCCCGTTCTTTGGCTATCAGGAAGCTGTCACGGATACGTGCCACGAAGTGAGTCTGCACAAAGCGACTAGCCAGGGAAGGTCTCTTGGGAATCTGATCGCTGGGCTTCTCTTCCTGCTCGTCGGAATAGATCTCGTCAAGCTGGCGAACGACGGATTCTATGTTCTCCAGGATAACGACCGACTCTCGCACGATATCATCTCTCTCCTTAGGAGACAGCTCATTTTCCAATCTGAGCAATCTCTCCTTATAGTCCCGCTTCAGATCCTCGCCGTCTTCCGCTGTGTTAAAGCGCCAGAACTGAAGCGGTGTTTGGGAATGGAAACTGGTCTCTTCCCAGTCATACGTCGGCTCAAGCGGAGATGTAGCAGCAGTTGATTTTGGTTCGCACGGCCGCATCGTTGGTTTGATGGGCATGGGAACCGTTTCCCAGAATTCATCGCCGGCCTTTTCGAACGACGCTCTGATGAAGCGGCCGCCGGCGAAGAGGGCCATGAAAAAGTTATATGAATAGGCGACGAGTGTGTGAGGCTGTGCGTGAATGGTTTGCTGAATGTGAGAGATGAAAGCGCAGAGCTGGCCTGTTCCTTTTATGATGAGGAGCTGGCGATCGAGAATATCATCAGACCAGCCAGTCATGGATTTGATATCGGCTCTGAGAATATCGGAACGAAAGAGTTGTGGAATTCTGAGCTCTTTGAGAATCGTCCGCATGCGCTCGGAAACTTTTGGTCTTCCATCATCATCATCCGACGCAGCTTCCTCGGGAGGAGTATCGAGAACGATATCTAGCCAAAGTTTCTCAAACGTCATATATACCGGAAGAAAATATAACAAGCCACTGATGTATGGACCAGTATCAGAGGCCTGTGGAGGTAAGGCTAGAGGTAGTCGAGATACCACTAGTCTGTTGATTATTGTGTGCATTTCCCTCGTGGCAGAGATAATCTCAAGCGCGAGTGGCTTTTTGGGCTCAGAGGGGCCATTGTCATTGTCGGGATGAGACATGGTAGGAGGTGACGTCGTTAGGATGCAAGGTAGGTAGGATATTAGAAACAAAAAGAGAGTATAAGAGAAACAGTAAAAACAAGTTGCCTCAGGAATGGTATAGGATGCTGAAGTGGCTTCTTGAAAGAAGCCAAGTAAGAATGAAATGGTATAAGAGGGCCAAAATATCAAGAAAAAGGCCGATAAGTGGTGTTGTAATAAGATATTAGGTAGTCTCGATATGTCGTTGAGCAAGAGAAGGAAGCCAGAGACATATAATATGTACTTAGACGAGCGCCAGGCAAGAGTACTTGTAGACGAGCGGTACCGAACCAAGCTTCCCAGGACTGCTCCTTGTACTTTCCAAACTCATAGAGGGCAGGATGTTCAAGGTACATATATATCCAACCAGCGACTGGATGTCTTGGACTGCATGTGCCCTCTGCAATTTGCCTTATTAATGAAGGCTGATAGCATATGTGACTTGTGTTACAAAAACCGCAGGACCAGGCAGCCTCAGACGGCAGAGGGACTCATGCAGGAGGTGACCGAGAGCTTCGCCACGCTATGCAACAAACAGGAAATATAATCGTCCAGCTGGTTTGCTCTGCCTTTGTCTCGGCGTTCGTCGATGTTTGCCCTGCTGATCCTCCGCCTTTAGATCCCGTCTTCTGGGGCTTGGTGGCTGCAGGGGGCCTAAATACAGGTCACGAACCTTGCTTTCACGGTTCGCTCAGCCAGGCCTCTCCTTATTTGTCCCAGTAGTTGTATTTTAGCTCTTCGTTTAGTCGAGTATTGTGAGCACGCCGGACTTGATGCTAGTAGGCGCGCGAGGGTACTCACGGGATAAGGTCATGCAGCTCTCAACACCAGACGGTAGCGCTGCGGGATGCGTTCACCGAAGTCCAGCAGGTTGAAATATGACAAATAACTCACCGTTGATAAACACGTTTCACGTGTAATGGTACCTCCGGCCGTTGTTTTCCCTCTCATTGCTCGTCACGATCGAGAATTCAGCGCTTGATCGGAGTAAATGGAGGCGGGTCCCGCTAAAGGCATTTACTAGTATATTCTACTGTCCTATATAAACATCTGATAGTAGTAGCGCCAGGGAATTGTACAACCAGTCGCGAGAAAAGGCAATGAAAGGTCTATTGGGATTCATTCTAACAAGAAGATAATTAATATGATGCACCCATTAAGAGGCGTAAGAAGGCGGTAAAAACCTTCCAGTCTACATGCACTTATTACAATCGCCCATACGTCACGCCCTCGTCGGCATCAGGATCAGAGGCCGAGCCAAGACCTGCTGTGCCGTGGGTTGCTTTGCTTGTGTCTTCCTCTTTCGTCTCGTGATTAACAAACACAAATGAGACAAATACAACGGCAGCACCGATCCAGTAGATAAAACTCGAGTACTGCTGGTACTGAATCATTTCGCCAATGAGTGAGAGCGGGATAGTCAGAGACAGGCCCACGGTGACGATTAAGGGCGTCGTCAGGAGCATGGCCAGAGCCCAGGATATGTCACTGACAAAGGATGCGACTGCGTTTACCTGCGTAGATGTGAGCAAATTAAAACGGAAACGGGGAATAAGGGGAACGAGTGGCTTGACTTACTATCATGATGGTCCAAACCTGGCTTGTAGGAGGCAATTCGAACTGTGTTGGATCCAGATCAGTATTCTGATTTGCAACTCCTTTATCAGTATTCCAAGGGAGAGCGGCACGTACCGGTTCAATACCCGTCCAGTGAAGTATGAAGAAAAGTGGCCATAGCAGTGCCAAATTAAACATTCCCACCAGCCCAAAGAATAGCTGCATGTTGACCTTGTCCTCGTCGCCCACCCGTCGCTTCATCACGGTAACATATATGCCGTAGACCACAGCGCTCAAAAAAGCCATGGAATCTCCGAGCGCAATTTGCCCGGGAGTCTTGTGCGGGAAGGATCCTCGGTTCTCGTCGCTCTGGCCTGACAGATCCACCATGGAAATGAGTATGATGCCCGTCAGAGATGCCACAACCCCAACCAGCTTGCGCAAGGAGAAGGTCTCGACGCTAAACATGGAGCCGAATACCAGCGTCCATACACTGCTTGTTGACGTGAGAATAGTGACGCTGGCGACGCTGGTATGCTGGAGACATGCTGACGCCAAGTAATTCGCGAGGAACCACAGCATGCAGAACTCGAAGCTCAGCACTGCGGTTTCTCGGAAGCCAAGCTTCTCCTTCTCCTCTGCAGGACTCCATGTTGGCGTCATGGGATCATGCTCATCTACTAACAGGCGCTCTTGTGCGTGATGATCTTCTTCATCTGGCGGAGGACTGCCCGCGGCGGCTTGGAATCGATGCTCTGCCCACATGCGCCTGACGTCGCTCCGCAGGCCGTGGAATCCCTTCTGAGCGAGATATCGAATGAACATGGGTATTAAAGAAATGGCGAACATGGAGGTGTTGAAGTAGACGAGGAAGAAGGGTTTGTCGTAGGTTTCGTCGGAAAAGATAAACTATAGTGCTATCAGCCGCTGTTCTTTGACTTGTCGCAAAGCGTACGTATATGGCATGTTGGGCAGCCATATCCGATTTATGTACTTACGCTGGCGAGAAAGTTGGACAGCGTCCACAGAAACACCGTCAACAGCAGAAAACAGATTCCCAGTGTTCTCCTCGCAACTCCCGCCAGGCCCAGGCGCTCTCGAAACCCAACTGCTGCGCCATGAACAGAAGAGGCCGATGTCGCTAGACTGGCAGCGCCGTGTGAGGCTCGCCTCCCAAGGCCATCAAATGAAGGCATCGCTACCTCGTATGTCTTATTTGATCTTGATCGCTCGTCTCGTCTCGTCTATTGTCTCTCGTTCTATTGCCTATCGTCTATCGTCTGGTAGCGGCGCCTCTCTCTCTCGCTCTCGACTATGGGCCCGTGATCAAGCGCCGGTCATAGCGTGGTCGCGTGCATCCTACATGTACTTTGGCCTGGGTATTTCGGAGCGCGCAAATCAACGTCGGCACATGTGCCTTGAGCTTCAGAGTTGGCACGTGCAAGGTGAGTTCGCAGCCCGAACAGTTTTGCCGCAAGAAACGAGCGAAGCGACCTCGAAATGCCCAAGTGATGATTCCGCAAAGATAAATCACCGAGCCTGTGGAGGGAATCTTACTCTATGGAGGCCTAGTCTCGGTCTTAGTGCTCAGCCGGTGGGTTGGGCTGCAGCGGCTCGAATCCGCCGAGTCCAACAGCAAGACTCGCAGCTTCTTGAAGGGGGATCGAGGATGCAAAGAGATCGCAGCCTTGTAGGATTTACTATTATCACTAATTTTTCAAGTAGTACATTCATCTGTATTCTCAAATGAACGATGACCCGACGGATATATACGAAAAGGGGTCCAGAATATGTTGGGGTACAGTGAGAGCAACTGTGTGAGACATCGGAAGCTGGACAAGGGTATGTCACCGATAAGGACTGAAGCACACAGCTTATGCCATAAAACAAAACGCACGGTTACGACATGTGTTCTGTCAATCTATAGTAGGTGTGATTGAGATATGAAAGATCCTTTCAATAGTCTGAATTGGCCTGATATTCATGTATACATCTCTTCACAATTGAGGTATAGATACCTACCTACATCTGCTCTGGGACGAATCCTCATTGCAGGCTGAACAAATATCGGCAGATGGCATGTCAAGAGGCAGAATCCGCTAGGCAATGAAATTAAACTTGACACTTGCATTGCCTCTCTTCCAGATGTAGCCAATAAGCTCGGCCCCAAGGACAGACAGAATGCACTATTGAAAGCACCAAGACTTCGGGTAACACAACCACAGAGCACGCACATGACGTGGCACTGAGACTTGTAGTAATATATGTCTTACAAGCTGTCAAATGCCAAGTCCCCGAAAAAGCCGTATGATCAAATCATTGTTATATGACACTCCCTTCAAGCCGATGACTAGATCGATCATTACGCCGGGGCATCGAGGAGCGAAGTCCCCTTCTATCAAGACAGCTCACTCAGACAGCATGACGTTTGATCAATTAAAGGTGCATATATGCGGAAGTAGACTCATCAATGACAGGCAGAAGACTTGGCAGATGAGTACCTATGTACATGTTTGTTGGGAATGAATGAATAGCGAGATAGCGCATCTCCGACTGATCGCTTGAACGTCGCTTCTGCCTACATCTGCAACCACCAACCGTAACTTCTTCTATTCGCCCGGGCAAACGGGGCATCGATCGGATTTGCCTCACAATCGGAGCAAGTTCCGGACACGAACAAGTTCTCCACGTTCCAGAATTTCGTCCTGCACGTCAACTGCCGTTGCTTAATCAGTCACTAAATTCATGGAGTGACGTCTCTAGCTCCCCGGTATTTTCTAGCGTCATGTCATTTAGGGCCAGTGAAAATGCTGGGAATAAAGGCTCCAGCCAGAGGTTGTGGTCGCGCTCTTCGCTTAACTCGCCTGCCCCCTCCAGGTATTTCTTCACGCTCGGAGAAGCTCGAATCAACGAGCTGAGGTAGCGAAAAGTTCTAGCGTGAACGGGCGTTTAGTACCTTTCGAGCTCAAGCTTGCTTATGAGTCTATCTCCAATCCCCTGTACCTCGCATGTCGTAGTTTGGCCCCATCCTCGCTGAGAGTATCCTTTTTAAGGAGAGAGCACCGCCTAATATTCTTCATGGCTTCACGTCATCGATGTTACCACTAGCTATCAATCCACTATCTCTCTCGCTTCTAAAGTGTAATTAACGAAGCGATATCCTGAGAAATATATTTAGTCTTCAGAAACTTTTGCTCTACATATAACTTACACACCTGTAATGGTTGCGCACAACAATTTTTTGAACTTTTCAGAAGAGACCAGCCATTATCTCCTAGAGGCACAACTATGTACAAATCCAAGACTGGACCCACATCGAAATCGATGGGTTTCAATCCAGATCAACGGGCACGAAGCGCACACAGCATCGGCAGAGATGTGCGGCGTACACGAGTATCCAAGGCCTGTGAGCGGTGTCGCCTAAAGAAGATCAAGGTTCGCTTGTCAATAAATGCCGAATCTGACTACCTCGGGCTAACAAAGCGGTCGTATAAGTGTGATGGCGAGCTTCCTTGTCAAAAGTGCAAAAACAATGGCCATGTATGCACTCCCGGTCTCCGGAAGAGGACGATTCACGTAGAGTATAAACAAGTCCCTAAGAGGTATGTATTTTCACCTAGCAATATAAATACATGCATCCAGCAGTGTCTAACCTGCGCTTCAGTTATGTTGAGTTCCTCGAGACCACCCACCTGGCCCTTATCGGCAGCGTCCACAAGCTATACACGATGATCCAGAAGAATCAGCCTTGGGATCTTGGGGACCCAGAACTGAATGATCAAGGCGAGCTGGTTATCCACGATGTGGCCAAGAAGCTAGGCTGCATCGGCCCCAATGGCGAAATCGAACTGCCCATTCAATATGAGCTGCCAACAACAGCTACCGGAATGGCAAGACTCGCGGCCCACCCCGAACGACAACAATATCAGGATGAGGACGATGAAGAGCATGACGAATTTAAAGAAGCCGATTCACCCATGAACGACCACGCTAGTGATGCCTCACCATCATCTGAACCGATGCAGAGCATCAAAACCGAATTGGAATCCCGCAAGGAAGCTTTTACTAGCTACAATAACTCTATTACACATTCCCCTCAAAGCCTCTGCAGTGTTGAGGACTCGGAGCATAGCCATTCTGGATCCGATGGTGTTAACTCATGCGTTACATCATCACCAAATATTCCATCAATGACAGACTATACCGATTCTTCTCTATCGCAACCGGGATCAGAACCTGACGAGATAGCGGCTTTCCTTCATCAATACGGACAGACGCCAAATATGGGCACGTTAGACTGGGACTTTGACGAATCCGATTATGCGCCCAAGGGTGACCTATCGATAATACCAGAATTTGGAATGGAGATGAATATCGAGGGCCAAATGATGCTTCCTGAATACAATGACCACTCAGCGTGGTTGTCTCAAACGTTATCGGGATGGAGGGAAGAGAATCAGATCTCTATAGAGTCATGATCTTTGGAGGCATACCCAAAGTGGTTTAATTGAGATGTAAAGCATGATGTTTAGAGCGTTTAGACAAAAGTTCACACTTGATTAGATAGCTTATAGAAAACCTTTGTGTATCCCACTCGTGGGCCCACCGTTCGGAATAAGATTTTCTTTCTGACTTATATTTGTAAGTCGAACTCAACTGTCAAAATATGTTGGTGCATGAGAGGCCGATTGTGATAATATTGTTCAAGTATAATTACTTCTCATGAAATGTTCTATCATATGTATTAGATTCTGTTCAGCAAGTGCCTGGATCCATAGCTGTAGAAGCCTACTGGCTCATTTCCTCGATATTTTCCTCCATCCAAGGAAACAAGACCCTGCATATACCATCCATAATTTTATCTGTCTTTCCAATTGCGCGTGCTAGTAGAATTCCTGATTTCAATATAATAAAGCCTCCCTGTTTGATAACACCCTTAGGCGAAGTAATCGACATGGCCTTCATCAAAGATCCGTCTAAATTACTAACAAACTGTATCGGGCCTTCATCCTTTGCCACAAACGCAGCAAGTGATGATACAGAATCTCGTGAGATGCCTATGGTGTTCATTTCTGCCGGATCCCAGTCCAGCTGAGCATGGTCAAACTCACCGCAAAGGTCGTCTGCTGTGAGTAAGTTAGGCGTAGTACAAGCCAAATAGATAGAGTGCGTTTAACTCATACCATCCTCATCTAGAGGCTTCGGGTATACAAAAACAATAATCCCGTTAATGCTGTCCTCCACGAGCTGTTTCAGCGAGGTTTTGGTTCCATCGTGAAGATAGAGTGCTCCCCCAAAGTCATCGGTCAATGGAACTCTGGATCCAACGCTTATAATGGGCGCCGTATTTTCATCACTTGTCTCATTTCCTTTCTTAGGGCGGGATTTTTTTACAACTTTGGCCGTTTGCTCGCGTGATGGTTTTGGGACCTTTGGTGGTGGTTTTGTCTCGACCTTCTTTGTTGTGGAGGTGCGACGATTCACGGCCGATCTTGTTCTTGGCATATTGTGGGTTAGATGTGTGAGTGCATTTATTCAGGTAAAACTGGGCGATTTAGCCTTTTTATGTCAAGAAGCAATAGGTACAGGTACAATATAGATTCACGATCATGAGTCTACCGACCGCAACAGAGTGCACCGCAACAGAATGCAACAATGATTGTGCTTGTATTCATAGGTTTACCTGCGCGCGGAGAACCCAAGGAGTTATCGATGGGTACATATATAAATAACTAGGTACATATAAGCCCTAAGCCCAAATTGGCTAATAAGTCACTTACAGCTACTAAACCATACAAATAGCTAATAAGTATATTATGAAACTAATGATGTAGCTTTTTATAGTTTGAACATTTCACAATGCATATTAGTAGTTGCTGAATGTGTATATATGTTGTTTTAAGAATTTGATAAGTTGACTGACTAACCTGTTGATCGTCTGTAAACTAAGATTGGTGACTACCTAAACAGAAACTGGCCTGGCTCTTTGGAAGCATATAGATCGTAAGACAGACGTCGTGAGATTCCATGTCAGAATCACTCCCAATTGCGCCAGCGGGTAAGGTTTAGGGAGTACAGATATTCAGCTGCGGAAGCTTGACCAAATGCTTCTTTAATTTACTGTCACTTGTGGTTTGTAGAGCGGTCGGATAAGCTGGGTTTCGTTTCTGTTATTGTATTGTGTCGGCTACCTGGTATTATCAGTTTCTATGTAAATACCTAGCTGATAATGAGATACCTTTCCAAGCTGTTTTAGTTACATTTTCTATTTCTTACATGCTCAAACAATTAATTAATTATATTCATCGAAATTTGGCCTAGATTGGGAAATAAGGGATTTATTCTGTTAATTAAGCTGATATCGAAAAGTCTAGTTAATAACGTTGATGTATTTGTTATCTTAACGTAGCATCTTGGCCACAAAGTCGATGTGTCCCTTCCTTTGTGAAACTTATTTATTATTGTTTATATTATTTTAAAGAAACGATGTTTTGTGCGTATATGCTGTTTTGCCATGTTGCCGCGGCGCACAAGCCTCCTAAGTCTATGGGGGTGCTGGTAGAAATTAATCCAGCCCGTGCCACCTGCGTGAATCAACTTAATTTCTCAACAGGCGACTGCATACGCCAGCCCTTCTAACAGTATCATGGCAGCAAACGACTCTTCACCTTCACCTCAATTTGCCATTATGAGCCTCTCAGACGACTGGCAAACCGTCATCCGCCTTGATGAACGAGAGTACCGGCGGTCTCATGGCCCTGTTGCTCGCCTCAGCGACGACCTTGGAGTGAGCCCAGCTATTTCATTCGCTGTTGCATACATACTGAACAAATAACCATCTAGCGACTCTGTTCTGAGGTTTCTGGGAGCCCGTGCCTCGTCTTTCGCGCTGACGACTGTCCCGATCTCGTCGACTCCAGCCTCTGCAAGCTCTTCTCGCATTGGCTTACCGTTGACGACGTAACCTCCGCGTTTTTCTGCAAAGCTGTTTTCCTACTAGAACCATCTCTCGAGCCCGGAAGAGCCGAACGCATCCACGTGGAATCGTTTCCAGGCCTCAGAGATCTGGGTGCGATTTTCATCGTCCGCATGGCCATCAGTGGCTTGCAGGAACTGCGTCCGGGGCCATACATTTATCAAGGAGCTGGATTCCATCGCGCCTATCGAGTGTTCCCTGACTCTCAATCTGCATTCTTCTCGACAATCATGCAGAGCCCTGTGAGCGGTCGGTTCGTGGAGCATCGCCCGACGGACCATGTCGCCGTGCCGTCTCGCCTTTACTCTCCGCCTAAGAGTCCCAAACTCCCCTTATCCGGCCTTCGCTTTGCGGTCAAGGACGTCTTTGACGTTGTTGGGTTAAAAACAAGCGCAGGCTCCAGATCTTTCTTCAAGCTCTCTGAGCCTAAACCCGAATCGGCATTCATTGTACAATTACTCACTGATTTGGGCGCGGTTCTGGTCGGCAAGGCCAAAAACACTCAGTTTGCAAATGGTGAAGATCCGCAAGAATGGATCGATTACAGCTGCCCCTGGAACCCGCGCGGTTAGCTATCACTTTGCTTTGTTCGAGATCTTATAATTCCCTGCTAATTGCTTAGTAGGTGACGGTTATCAAAATCCTGATACAAGCAGCAGTGGGAGCGCGACAGCGATTTCTTCATATGCGTGGCTAGATTTTGCCATTGGATCTGACAGTAGGATTTAGCTCTCATTTTCGACACTCTCTCTTCTTGGCCGCTTTTATCGCTGACGAGACCTTTACAGCTTGCGGCAGTATTGCGTGTCCGGCCGCCGCCCAAGGCATCTTTGGCTTAAGGCTATCTACCGGTGCGCTCTCACATGAAGGCGCATTTGCCATCAGCAAGTATGAATAACCGGAGCATGTGGCTTGTTTTATTTGCACTAATTTATATAGCACCCCTACAAACACACTGCTAATTGTCATTTGTCAGATATTTAGATACATCGGGGATCTTCACTCGAGATATCGAGACTCTGTGTCTCATCACCTCTCGGCTACTTGAAGGGGCGTCAGAGACTGTGAAAGCCCCCCATCCATCCAGTGTAAATTCCGCAACGCCCTTCAATTATTAATTATTCGTTATCCGGAAGCTGAAAATTCACCCCCAAAAGATACCCTCGAGGATAATATACCCTGAATCGTCATTTCCACATGATAACGCCGAAACCCTTGAGGCTGTGGATAGATTCGTGAAGGCTATGGAGATTTTCTGCGATACGGAGCGAACAACGCCGAACCTAGATGAAGAATGGCAAAAGGCAGATCCTCAGGGCTCTGGGTTATCGATTTATAGCGACTTAAAAACGGTGATTCCCTCCCCTGCTCTATTCTTTTACTCAAAGTACAGCTGAAATGTGTATCCTGACATTAGTACTAAGACCACAGCTCATCTACACCTGGCTGGATTTCACGATGCTATTGAACCGTTTCGCAAGACATACCGAGATACGTACCACAAGGATCCTTATTTGGACAGAGTCAACACTGAAAAACTGTAAGACCTCTGAAGCTCTTGGCTGCGCCAGGTTTTCATCCATCTAATCGCTGTGCGCTAGAAAACTTGCCCGGTTGGTCACGGCAGAGGATCGCGAAAAAATGGTACGGCAGAAGACACTATTTGCCGATTTTGCCTACAAACATATCCTACAATGCGGCAGCGGCGACCGGCCCGACTCTCTCGGGGGAATTATGGTATGGCCGTTTAACCCCCAGGAGCCACAATATCGAGACAGCTATCCACCGTGAGTTTTGGAGTTTATTACTCATCTGCCGAAGCTGCGTTTCTGACAAACGCAGGGAATATAGCCTTACGCCTCATGTAAACTGGCGCTGGGATGTGGACTATACAGCCCCTCTCGCCGGGTTGCCCCAAGTCATTGTGCCCAGTAAGACAAAGAAACTGCCTTCATCCACATTTGCTCACATGATCCCATCTCTGATAACTCTCTTCCCCAGTTGGCCAGTTCCGGTATGAGTCTCGGATCACGGGAGAGCCAGATTTCCTCCCGATTACTGCTTCGATCGTGGGACCTCCAGGTGAGTTCGTCCGGCTCCAAATCATCCATGCTTCAGAGAATGTGGTGGCATCTAAAAATATGTAATAATAATCACGGTGCTATAGGAAGCGATGTTGCTTTGCTACATTTTGTCTCAAGGTTTCTCCGTGAAACACAGGGACTTATTTCTGTGAAACCTGGCCGGTATATTGTGTGAAGAGCCATAGAGTATAAAACAGTGATGATGATTGAAACAGGGCTGCTCGACCCTATGATTTAATATTCGACTAATACATGCCGAATCTCCTTGGGCAAAACAACAAAAGCAAACCAGCATTTGAATAACTCCATCCTTTTCCCACCTCTTTCTCTTGCTCCTCCAACGCTATGCACTCAGCCTCAGTGTGTGTAACGGAAATAAAACCAGAACTATTGTGATGACTCTGGTAGAGTATTATTTATAGGACAGGCTTCTACTAAAATATTTCCAAGTTTTACGCGGCATCTTAGCCACAGAGATGTGCTCCCTCCTTTTGTCATTTTTGATTTGTTTAGAAGAAAGGCCTGTTGCGGTTATGTGCACCTTTTTCGTGCGGCCGTCGCGCATACGCTTCAGGCTGCGAATGTCGCTCGAACGTTTCACGCGGCGTCGCGGCCGGGGAGTCAACATGATTTTGCCTTTTTTATGTTTCAGTTGTATAGCACAATGACCCTTTGCGCGTATGTGCCGCTTTACTAGGCGTTTTAGAAATATGTGACCTGATGTAGAGTCGCAAACTTTATGTTCGTAGCCATAGGTAGGTAGAACCAACGGGGATGTCTATCATAAGAAAAAGCTGAATAATAGCTCTATACCATTCTCAGCGGCGTAATGTAATGACGTTCGATTGCTTTTATCGGCTAATTTATTTTTGTGAATGCCGCCGGTGGCAAATATCAGTTTCGTGCTCCTTTTACATCCACTCTAACCAGCGTATGACAGTGGTGTTCGGCCATAGTCTATATGTTTGCTGAATTCACATGGGTTACACCTTTTGCAAGCAGTAGCTTCACAATAGATTTCCGCCGGTGGATAACAGCATATGTAAGGGGTGACCGACATCCGAATCTTCTATAATGGCGCTGGGTTCAGGGTTTCGCTTGACAATATTCTCGTAGCTTAGGACTTCATCAAGGTATGATATTTCGCAGAATCCCCTATCGTCAAGATTCACTTCGTCCACAGCGAGCAGCAATTTAACAACATCTTCATGCCCATTTTCAGCGGCATATGAGAGTGGTGTTCTGCACTCATTGTCCCAGAGATAAGGAGTAGCCTCTCCTGTCTCAAGCAGCAAGTTAATAATATCTTTATGCCCATTTTCAGCGGCATATGAAAGTGGCGTTCTGTTTTTATCATCCATACAATCGAGATCAATCTTGCTTGTTGCCAGCAGCAACTCAACAATATCCTTATACCCCTTTTCAGCGGCATATGAAAGTGGTGTTCTGTCGTTCTTATCCGATAGATAAGGAGTAGCCTCCCCTATCGCGAGTAGTGATTTGACAATATCTTTATACCCTTTTCCAGCGGCATATAAGAGTGGTGTTTTATTTTTATTATCTCTATCATCAGGATTAGCCCCTGCTGCAAGCAGTAACTCAACAGTATCACCATGCCCCCCTTCAGCGGCATATAAGAGTGGTGTTATGTTTTTATTATCTGCAGTGTATGGAGCAGCTTCCCCTGTTGTAAGAAGTAGCTCAACAATATCCCTATACCCCCTTTCAGCGGCATATGAGAGTGGTGTTCTGTTTTTATAATCTGCAGTGTATGGAGCAGCTTCCCCTGTTGTAAGAAGTAGCTCAACAATATCTCTATACCCCCTTTCAGCGGCATAGGAGAGTGGTGTTCTGTTTTTATAATCTGCAAAGCAAGGAGCAGCTTCCCCTGTTGTAAGAAGTAGCTCAACAATATCCCTATATCCTTTTTCAGCAGCATATGAGAGTGCTGTCTTAAGGTATTTATCACGAAAACCTGGATTAACTTCGCTTTTTGTAAGAAATAGCCTGATAATATTCGTGTGCCCAGTCCGAATAGCACACAAAAACGGTGTTTCGCCATATTCATCCTCATAATGAGGACTAACCTTGCCCGCTGCAAGTAGCAGCTTGGCAACGTCCTTGTGCCCATTCTCCACAGCATCTAGAAGCAACTTTCCTCCATATTCGCCACTAAAATCATGATTGATCTTCCCAGTTTCAAGCATCAGTTTTACCACACCTTCATGCCCATTTTTGGCAGCGTATGAAATTGGCGTTCTACCGCTTTTATCGCAGGAATCAGGATCAACCTGGCCTGTTGCAAGTAGAATTTTGACAATATTTTCATGCCCATTCATGGCAGCATACTGTAGCGGTGTCGCAGCATGACTGTCTCTCACGTCCGCAGACAGACCGGGTTGGAAGATGGCGTTTACAGCTTCACTGATACCAAAATATGATGCCAAGTGCAGCCCTGTCACGCTCTTTGGAACGTCTGCATATAGGCAGGCAGGCCAGCGCCGCATTAACGCTTGAGTTGAGGCTTCTAGATTTGCTTTGCTGTTCAAGAATTTCATGACTTCCTCATCTAACTTTGAACATTTACGCGCGTGTTTTCCCCAGTGATTTGCAGCATATTGGTAGAGAGGAAAGAGTCGTAGTCGCTCTCTATATGCACAACTTTCTGCACAAGGCCAAAACATAGAGACGCAGTCCGTTTGACAAGGCCCCGTTCGAAAATCATCCAATAGAAGATATGTAACACATGTTCTCGTAATTGCAGATTCAGCCTCAGGAAACCACCGTTCTTGTGTTCGCTTAAGGTATTCATGCGTAGTATAGTGAATCAGCCGTATTATGCCGCTTTCTTCATCAACTGCTACCAGTCCAGCGCATACAGAGGCCATATCTCCGATCGGTAGAAGATTATCCTCATCAATGCGATATTTTTTGGCTTCTATGGCAAGCGCATGTTGAAGTTCCAGCGTTTTAAGTGGCCTTTTGGCACAAGTAATCCATAATAGAACTAGTATGGCTAGCTCTACTGTGTCTGAGTCTTGGCTCATTATCCTGTTCATGGTTTCTTCATAAGCGTGGTCGTATGCGTCTTGTCCAGTAGGCAGATCTCTTAATGCATCCATTATCTTTTTTTGGGTCCTTTTGCTTTTAACAACCCCAAACAAAAGCTCCGCGAGAAGGAACCTACCTCAACGTTAATTAACGCCATACACACAAAGGTTAACACTTACATGCCACCAACTGCCTTTGTGATCTTGGTCTTGATATCTTCGCGACAAATATCCAATATTTTAGAATCTGACTGAGATATCTGACTGTCCAAATAATCTCTCACATCATCGTCATACGCACAAATCTCGATCGTCATACTTTCTTTGAATTTCTGACAAATCTCTGGAAGAGGTCGCGAGGTTGCAAATATGTTTATGCCGCCGTGAATCTGAAGTTTAAAGAGTCGGGAAAGGAATTGAAACCGGCAGTTGTTAGAAGTTTGGCACTCATCCAGAGCATCAACAATTATGAAGATCCTTGGATATGAAGCTATGATGGACTGAAGAGTGTTATACAATTCGTCCACCGATGGTCTTGTTCGTCGAGTATAGTGTCTATTATGGAGGTCTTTCACCCTTGCTGCCAGTAAAGGCTGAGTCTCAGCAAGCTGTTTCAGTATACTCGCTAGCAGGCCACTGGTAGTCTGCTCATTGTGCTGGTGGAAGTTGCAGTATATATATGCGATGCCAACATCCCCTTGACGAAACTCCGAGATAATATGATCAACCACTATTGATGTCAAGATAGTTTTCCCCGCTCCGGGCATACCCGGGCAGAATAAAGTCTGGTTGCTAGTAGCCAACCATTTTTGGAACGTTTCGGAATCTAGGAGCCAACGGCATGTTCCTGGCTGCCGTCTTTGGAAATAATCACTTTGCTGTAAGCCATAATCCGTGGGCGTTAACCAATCAAGGATCTTGATGTCTTCAATTTTATCCAGTTTAGTTCTCGTATATGCTGTGTTCTCCCCGACCGCAGATATGGCATCAAGAACTATACCAGATGTGAGAAATGATTATAATTTAGGATAAAAGTAACTAACCTTCCCTAAGGCTATTCCTCGCCGGAGGTTCTCTTTCGACTTCAGACGTCTGCACATATCCTAGGAGCTCTTTTGCAAAAGCGGCAGCTACAGCAGCAGCATGCTCTTGCCAGACATTGTTTTTATGTGAGTCAGCATAATCGCAGATGCCTCGGATGATGATGCAAGGGAAGTTATTCATCAGACCCGCCGCTTCCATCTCAATACATAGAATGTGACCGTCAAGATCTTTGGTAAGTTTATTTCGGAGGGTGGCGTCTTTAATAACCTGGTTACCAGATGCGATTAGCCCATAATGAACGCGCATCTCCCTAGGTTTCTTCTTCAAAATCTGACTCTTGTCGCATAATTCGCAGCTCTCTTCTTCATCATAATCGTCAATGTCGGAAGCATTGTCGTAATTTGTGTCTTTGCTAACATGCCCATAATCTGATCTAAACAAAATGTCTTTATGATAATCAGATCTGAGATATTTCGATGCTAAACGTGGCCATTTCTCTCTTAGCTGATTTAGATACTCTGGTATCTTAGAACCGTTTAACTCATGCTCCGTCTCCAATCTCGTAAGAGCGGTTAATAGAGGTGTCGGGGGGGTATTTAACGAGCCTGTTCGCTCAAATTGGCCCCCTTTATTCGCCTTACCAATATCCCATTGGACTACACCAGGAAACTGGCCAATTGGTGTGCTAACCACGACATCACCAAGTCTCACTTTAGGCGGAATACCACCACCAATACCGACCATAAGGCCCACCTTAATAGATGGAAAAGCACCAACCATCCAGGTAGCAACAGTTGCTGCTGAACTTGTTCCTATCTTGCCTTTGGGGAGACAGGCTATGGCGATATTATGGCCGTTTATAGACCCTAACGTATAGGTGTTGGGATCATTTGGTGGCTTTGGAAGGTCTGCATGCTTGTGATCCAGCATGGCGATAGCTGCGGTCTGCTCTTTAGGCAGAGCGCAAATCCACCCCACGGTATAATCACTATGGGCTCTAGGCCTGAGGTTGGCCTTAGGAGAGATAGCAAGAGAGAGTTGCGAACTGGATGACATTGCAGACCTGACTCTTAGAGATTTGGCCAGAATTAAGATCAACAATGATTCCAACGGAAGTATTTGGGTCCACTTAGAGAAATAAGTTTATTCAAGGCAAACATTTGAAATGTATCAACTGGGAGCCGATGCTGGGCATGGATGAAATTCAAAAGCTGGACGCGGGGCAGCTCGGGCAGCAACTCAGCCGCAACACGCCAACGCATGAAATTGGGTTCGCCGTATCATAGGGGCTAACAACCAATCATTCCTTGTCCATGTATTAATGGTAGCCTTGTGACCAGTTTTTCTTGGCTAATAAGCATAACTTACAATGCACACCTATATTATTCCCACAGCCTGTAAGTTGACATTGTGCATTGTGTTAACAGTTAGTATCCCTATTGACTCGGAATTAAAGGTGCCGAGGTCATCACCTTACGGTTAGCAGAACTACCTTCACCAAGGACGTACCTCTACCCTCAAGTCTTCGCTGGTTTTTCGTATATCATATCTAGTGTATTTCCTGCTCAGCTATGGCGCGTCATGCCAAAAGACAAGCAAAATGTATGACTAATGTAATGAACTTTTAACTGTTGTATATATAAATCTGTATCCAAATACGCTCCCTTTTTAGATGTCCGCAGCTCACCCTTCTATCTTCTCTCTCGCTAAATCGATCCACAAATGGATTAATGTGAGATCGCGCACAATGGTATACTTGGTTAGCTGTCTATATAGTTTGCAAGACGATCGCGATTTGAACTGGGCATTGTGCGACTGCCTTCTTCCTGGGAGGTGGGTTGCGTATGTGCTTAGCATTGGACTCTGGTTTAGTATAGTGAACATTCTCATCCAACGTTCTTGGGCCTTGAGATTGAATCTACTATTATAGCAAACACTGAGATGCAATTCGGGAAGATGGGTGTGCGGATAGCATGGTAGAGTTTGTGAATTCACACATACGCTCAACCAAGGCAAAGGCGCAGTGGGACTCAGATAGATCTTACTAATGATTCCATATTCACACGACATGCCTAGATGCCAGAGACAAAGTATGAGTTTCTTTCATGACTATCTATACATTAAAACTCCCATGTGTTTTAACACAACTCATCTTTCGAGCAACGTATAATTAAAAAGCTGCGCAAATTCCATCTCGTGTATTTAGCAATTCCTCACAAGTTTAATTGTGCGTTCCAGCCGAGGGCGCTCCGTTACTGCTGTTAAAGTGAGGGCTCTTTTGGCCGTTCGCCGCTCGAAGAGCACTATCCTTTGCCAATCCGTTGTGACAACCGTTGAAAACAAGCCCACTGATACCCGGGTATCCCTTGACCCCTGTAGCCTTTTCCAATCTGGTGGCTAAATCATCCGATACTTCGCGGAAGATACCAATCTGGCGTCTAATGATTTCCTTTTCAGTGCAAGTGCTCATGTGGCCGGCCACATTGCTAATGAATCGCTCCTTGGCGGCATCATCAAAGACTTTTTCCCAGAGGACGCGAGGTTGGTTGAAATCTTCTGGTCTGATCTCGGATAGGAAAGTAATAGCTCTACCAACGAAAGCACCATGAGTCTGATCCAGATTCGTTTTGCGCTCTTTGAAAGAAATGGGTTCGATAGATGAGAAATAATTTGGCCTTGAACCCTGGTTATAGAAAGCCATGGCGCCATCTCGCTGGAAGTTGGCCATGCGATAACCTGTGCGTGGTGCATTGACAGGAAGCTGTTGGTAGTTTGCGCCAAGACGATGGCGATGAGTGTCGGGATACGAGAACAAGCGACTCTGAAGGACAGGGTCGGCGGAGGGCTCAATTCCTAATTCATAGATTAGTATTTCTTATGTGATGCCAGCCTCATCCATGGAAAATGTTAGCTTACCAGGAACGAGATGAGATGGGCTAAAGGCAACTTGCTCAATCTCGGCAAAGTAATTCTTCACATTCTCATTCAAACAGAGCTCTCCAACTTTGCGGAGAGGGAATTGGCCTTGGGGCCAGCAGTGAGTAAGATCAAAGACATTAATCTTCTGGGTCTCCCACAGCTCCTCAGCCTGCTTCGGGGTCATGGTCTGCACACACAAATCCCACTGAGGATATTCGCCGCGCTCGATGGCCTGATAGAGATCCTTCTGGTTGGCATCTGGAGAATATCTTGTCGATTCCTCCTGAGTCAAGAATCCAGTGCCCTGCTTCGAGCGAATATGGATCTGGCAGTATACCCATGAACCTTCCTTGTTGACGAACTTGAAGGTGTGACCGCTGTATCCATGCATACGACGCCAACTATCGGGAATACCGCGATCACCAAATGTGTACATGACTTGGTGGACAGATTCAGGGTTCTGGCAGAAGTATTCCCAAAAGTTGGTAGAGTCATCACCGCTACCGAGATGACTTGCGGGATGACGCTTCTGTGTATGAATCAAGTGAGGGAACTTGGCGGGATCTCGGATGAAAAATACTGGGGTATTGTTTTGGACAAGATCCCAGTTGCCCTCCTCCGTGCGAAACTTGATAGAGAAACCTCGAGGGTCGCGAGCATGGTCGTGAGAACCGCTTTCGCCGCCGACCGTTGAGAATCGAATGGTGATAGGACACTCTTTGCCTTCAGCAGAAAAGATATCTGCGAGGCAGAGATCATCGAGGGGATTGGTGGTCCTGTAGAAGCCGTGGGCACCACCACCCTTTGCGTGGACAACTCTCTCGGGGATTCTCTCTCGGTCAAAGTGTGAGAGAAGATCGATCAGGTGGAAGTCTTGGAGCAGCAGAGGGCCATTCTCTCCAGCCCGCTGAGTTTCTACATATATTAATTAGTACAAATTAATACTTGTAACGATTGATAATGGGATATATGTGCATGCAGCAACACATACCAAAGGGGTGGTGAATTGGCGCTCCATTGCTGGCTGTGTACACAGTTTGCTGAGATGCAGTGTTGCGATCTTCGACGTAATTCAGGTGCAAGTCACCTATGTAACTTGTTAATATAATTTGCAAAGAATTGGGTAGAATCATTTATATGCTATACGCACCGTTCTGGCGGCCTGACACAGAGTGTGATGCAGAACCCATGGCTCAAGTAAGTCGTAAGTCTTGCTTTGCAGTAAGATAAAATGATCTGAATGATATTTTGTTTCTAGAGCATCTGACAAGCGAGCAGCTTTCAGTCCTTTTATACATGTTTATCATCTTTAATGAGGCACACAATATCACCGTTTGTCTCTTCGGCCGATAGAAACGCGTGTAAGTGACCGGTGACGTACCTGCGCCATTCCATCAACCATGTGGCTGTTCAATCATCCTTGCCGCTATTGGTTCGTGTGGCTCACCTTGTTTGTTGTCAGCATATGGGGCAGAAGCTCGCCTCGGCCGACTTCGCCGGCGAAGGGGACTAGTCCACCTCCGGGAACAGACGGCGAGGCTTTACCTGTTTTGTGTAATTCAAGCCGTTCATGTACCTGTTCACGCTCACATAACATTTGGTAAGCCCTGCCCTTCCGTTCAACTGCCGGTAGCATCATAGTATTTCCAAGATGTGATCGAGGTGTAGATTTTCACGGCAGTTAAATTGCTTAGATGGTTGGAAGATTCTCGTAGATACGAAGTACATCCGATGTCAGATGATGCAAAAAGTTCCAGGCAACTACGTAGTGTATGATACCATGGAGGGACATCTTGAGCGATGGTGGTTACATGTAATTGTTCCGAGTGTATTACCTTCTGCACAGGGTAATGTTAAATTGTACTAAGTTATATGTCGGCCACTTCATCAGAGCCCAAATGTTGGTATGCCAACTCTACATCAAGGAGGCATGGTTGCTCCGCGTAAATGCGTCTGTTTGGGAGTATGTGCAGCATGACTAGCTGTGATTGTTTGATCATACAAATTTCTGAGCGTAATTTCCAACAGAGGTCTCTGGATGATATAGTAACTAAATTAGAATGCAAGTTTAGCCAATGTAACAGAGCACAACCTGTCTCGACTAATGGCAATGTATTCTATTTTCTCGTATCAAGGGGCAATAATGCATCTTATAGACCAACTAATAGGCTATTTCGATACTGTATTCTTCAACAAGTGCCCGTCGGCAACTAAGTTTCCGGATTGTTTACAGGTGTCGCGATTGGTTCGGCACTGACGTTCAGTACGCTATTGACCTACGGTTAATCCTATTTTGCTCTGCAATTGCCTAGACAGGAGCTTTATTAAGATAGCGTTTCATTCCTTTCTATAAAGAGTAGCTGAGCAGAATACGAGGATCGCTAAAGCAAAATTTATAGGTCCATCTCTACCATCTCCGGTCTCATACAGTACTCTCTATCAGCAACAGTCCGTCAATAGTTAAGAGTTTCTAATCTATTTATGGAATATTAAATACAAAGCTATTGGCAATAATTTACTATCTCAGATCGAAGTTTCCTGGTCGGACATGACTGACAACCCCCCTCGCTCTTAATGTGGGCCACGATCAACGGTCCGCTAAGTAAAGCATCATCCATATTGAAGACTACGAGATAAAGAATACTTAGTATCTCATATCTAGGCGAGATTAGCGATTATAGCGGTGATGAAGCCTCAGTATGTAGAATTGCACAGGAATTGGGATACAGACACTAGTCCAATCAAAGGGGCTGTTTTGCCAATAACCAACCACAGCGAGAGGCTATTCCGCAAACAGTATCCGACAGCGAGCAGGCGTAGAGATGAATGACATCATACGACAACTCTTGAAGGCAACACCAAGAATTAACAGCATGCTCGATATATTGAATGATAGCACGTGGGTGCACAAATCAAGCAGCTGTAAGCGGAAATAAGAAGAAGAATAAATGCATAATTACGTAGGCATCTCTTGAGATGATGCCGCTCTATGTAGATTACCTGTAGTCTAACAGTGCATTACCCACAGATCGCCGTTGGCCGAAATACGTACGACCTACATTCTCGCTTATAAAATCTGTTTCCTCTCATCACTAAAGTATTAATTATTCTTCAATATCTCATCATAGTCCCCCCTGGCGTTTGCTGATTCATTGGCAGCAAGCGACCTCCATTAATATGATCGCGAAGGACGTGATCGAGGTTGAATCTCGTCTCCGAGGAGCGAGTTTGCCAGTTGTTTGCGACTGGACGACTGAGAATCCACTCGGAAGTAAACTGTTCCTCCATAGACCTTTGCTCATCATACGTATCAATCTCTCTCTTGGCTGTATTATCGTCATCAAGCTCAGGAGAGAAGCGCGCATGGGCAATAGGATAATAGGTGAGGGTATCGCGGTTGATCCAACCGCTGTTGAATCGAGAGGGTTTAGCATAATAGCAAACAAAGCCCTGAGCGTTTGTCTCTGGGATCAGTGTTGAGATAATCCGTAGCGCCGGGTTAGGATATCGCTCAATCCTATCTGTCGGGAGCAAATTATGGCTAAGCTCCATTCTGTGCAGAACTTTAAGGCTCTCGGACAGAACGAAGCCGTTGAACAATCCTTGTTCTCCAATCTGTTTCATCAGTTGCGCGATCCAGCGAAGCCAGGATGGCTGAGGACTGCATTGGCCCGTGATGTACAGAATAGGCAAGAAACTCTTGTCCAGCTCCTCGCTGGCAACAGGAGCATCGGTGGAATAGGTGTTGTTGGGCAGCGTCCTTGTACTATTGTTCGCTGTATGGGTTGCTGCAAATCTCATGGTTTGGTAAAAATGCATGTAAGCTTCAGACTCCATCTTCTTTGCGTCTTGGCTTTTATCATAAAGGCAAAGAGTCCACATTATGCGAGCCATGAGGAAGTTGTACATTGCCCCAGAGAGACATAGGTTTGATGGCAGCGCCAAGAAAGGAGACGGAGGAATGGGGAAATGGTATTCTTCCGAACTTTCGAGGCTGGCCAGGGTCGCCGTATCTGCCTCCAGGTTGGGATGAAGATGGCCATGAACATCCTTCCATTCCCGTAAATTACGTTGTAATCGGTAGACCTTATCTAATAATACGGGTGACTCTTGGCGTATCGGCGTGAGACTCCATATCTCGTCATGAACTCCAGAATCAATTAGAATCTGCAGCAAACTACGCTGCAGAAAGGAAGGACTTGGTGCAGTGTACGCTGCATTTATCGTGCGACCAACAGAGAGCAGCATGCCGGGAAGTGGCACCGCCATGTAGCAGGTCCATGTAAGAGTCTGTAAGGCAGTTCCCAGAGACTCGAGTGCAAGGTCATCAACATGTACTGGTGTGTTAGACTTGAGTGCTGTGAAGTAATAGTTTGCTGTGCAGACATGGCTATACGCCGCTGGGATGTTGCTCGCAAAGCACTGTGATCATGACGTTAAAACCGTGTATTAGATATATCACTCTACTGGCCTTGGTTGACCCGGCTTTCTGCTCAAGCACCATTTTACTTACCTCAAAGTAGGCCATGAGTATTAAGACGGCCGATAAAACCTCTAATGATTTCTCGGCCTCGTCTAGCCGACTTGAGAGCTCCTGTAACGCCTGGGTGTATGCCTGGACGGCAATAACTTTGGTGTCGAGCCCGCGGGCCTGGTCATTCTCACCAAGCATAGAAATCATGAGGGCCGCACGATGCATACAGCCTAGAGCTAGCAACCCCCGCTGAGCATGCTCGATACACCAGGCCTCATCGCAGAGACGGTCCCTCCAGAATGGCAAGTGGTCAGCCGGGAACAGCATTGGCAGCGTCCTGAAGAAGAACTGGTGATAGGCCAGGACCTCCCGGGAAGCCGCACAGGGGCGCTGGGAGAGCCGCGGATTGCTTGGCAGGCCAACCAGGGGCAGGCCGTCGTGACGGAATTGAGGCCTTGGAAGAGTGCAAGTGGCGGGCTGTGTGGATGGAGCAGAAGCCGGGCCGGACGGCGGACCGGACGGGGTGGAACCCGGAGGGCCTTGAGGCGAGGATTGAAAGCGATCTGAACGGACATCGTCATCTACGACGTCTGCTGGCGAGCTCTGCTGCGACTGAGACGCGCGGTGCGACATCCGCACTTCAATGTGCCGCTTTGGCGCATATCCCGCACACTCGACATTGGCAATGGTGCAGCGGTTGCAGGCTGGCTTCCGCTCGTCGCACTTGACTCGCCGCGCTCGACACGTGAGGCAGCCAGTGCGCGTGCGTCTCTTGATCTCACTCATGGTTGAGGCTCAGACAAGGCTCGGCAATTCGTTGCTCCTGAATCCTCCCGTCACCGCGAGATGTTTTGCTCGAGCGAAGCGAGCTAAGCGTCAGCCCAGCCTTAGGGAGTCGTGGAGCGCTTGTGTTCATTAGGTAATTTTGGAGACGTCAACGACACTTGATTAGAGCAGAAATGCGGGGAGTCTCTGTTCTGTGGGTGGACTTAGACGACATAGCCGAGGCTGCCGATGCTGCAGATCTTCCTCCGTACACGGAGTACATGGGTTGGCTCTGCATACCCTACTTCTCACATCAAGCTCTTCGGAAGGACTCGCTGCAGTCGCCAATTGCTTGGATAGACGCGAGATTGCCGAGCGCCTCCTCTCCGCATTTCCTCATGCGGTAAATTTAGTATAGTTCCATGACTACATATGTAGATTCGTATTCAGTATTACTATATAACTACGAGCGGCTTGGTCTTCTTTGGGACTTAGAGAATAAGATAGAACTCATTTAAGCCGCCAAGTGCCATTTCATCTTCATCTTTTATTATAGGCTCTCTATATTAGAAAGAAAAACCACAACGAAGCATTTATATACCTTCTCCCTCCCCTGCAATGTCTCATTCCCAGATACAAACAGAAAACCGAGAACTGCCCTTGAACCAGCCTGAAAACTGGCAAGTCAAGTTCCCTCGGTATATGGTGGAACTTCCTGAACATGTTCACGACGTAAATGTTTCTTATATCGGCATCCAACCGCGTCATGAAGAAATTCCTGTAAGGGGATCACATACCGAACTCAATGCTCATGTCAGTTCTGCTGCTCAGAGAACAGCCGCAACAAAAATCGAAGAATGGATCCGACAAGGAGCCGGAGAATTGGCACCAGTTCTATGGGAGAAGACATATGTGGAAGCTGGCTATGATGTCCCAGATACAGAAATCTATATTCTCTATTGGACTGATAAAGATGTCGCCAAGGCAGCCAACAAGAGCTTGAACCTGCAGCAACTTCATAAAACACTGTCGCCATCTGATCAAGAGATAGTCGGCGTATGGAGAGAGTCATTCACAGTCCCCAAACTCAGATTCGAAACAGTGTATTCCGGAAACGACTATCAGCCGGGCATCGCTTCCCTAGAGGGCGCACAGCAAGTAAGTCACAAATTCACCGGCTACTGGGGAGCAGCCCGCGACCGATTTCCAGCATCATCGCATGATCCTTTTGAGCCAGAATATAAACTCAGCACCCCGAACTTTGACAAAGACAACAAAGGCCGTGTCATTGAGGGAGAAAACAAGGTTTCTGTCCTCCACATCCGGTCCGGCCAATACTGGGAGCGGTGCAAAGAGGATGAAAGGGAAGCATATGAAAGCACCCTTGAGCCGGTACTAAGAGTTGGAATGACCTATCTGGAAGAGAATGCCGCGGAATCGGGTGACATTGGGCTGCGCTTCTCTCGGAACATGATCACAAACCGGCTGCTTCAGGCAGAAGAGGCGCAACAATTGGCTTCTTTGACTGGTGTTGGAAGCACCGTGGTGAACGGACTAACCAACCTTGTCAAGAGCTATGCCGGGTATTTGAATGGAACTAATGGAACAAATGGAGCTCACGGCTTGAATAATACGAACGGCTCCAATGGCACCAACGGCATGCACGAAACGAACGGTACGAATGGAACAAACGAGACGCATAGCTCGGACAGCTCGAACAGCACAAACGTCACAAATGCCAATGGCACCAACGGTGTCTCCAAGGCAGACAAATTCGGCCTCATGGTCACAAAAGAGCGACGAAGGCGTGAGACTTGCAGCAGTGGCTTCTTCCGATCTCTCAAGGACATTGAGGCGTGGGCTTCCAAGCACAAGTCGCACCACAAAATCTTCCACGGAGCGCACTCGCACTCCCAGCAATTTGGCAAGGAGGCGTTCAAGATGCGCACGTGGCACGAAGTTTCCGCTTTGAAGCCAGGCGAGGTGGCGTTTGAGTACATCAATTGCTATCCTAGGACAGGATTGATTCCCTTTTTTGATGTGTGAGTTGGATGTTAGAATTGATAGATTAGTAGATTATGAGCATTGGAGTGATAGCATGGCATGGAATGTGCTTGGATGTTATGGATTTGTCTGCTGAGCCTTTGTAATATATTGATGTCCATACGCCATTCAAACCACAAACGCCTTCCCGGATAGATGAGTTGTGCATTGGCAATCTTGATGTTGTTTGTACGTATGATAAGTTAGCTTTTCAGAGTTGCACCCGAAGGTTAATGCATAGCGATGAAGTATATCATATTTTCCTACCTTCTATTAGTTGTTCCAATGCATCATGCAAGCTACATATTAATGAAGTAATTGGCTACTACCACTGTTGAAGATTTCTGAGGACTCATGTTAATGAGTGCCTTATACTACCTACGCATCTAATATCGTACCTTCAAATCTAATATGTAATCAAATTTTGTCATTGATATGAACCGAACAAGTATAGCAAATGAAACCATGTATTCTTTTATCTATCCTGTAAAGCCTGAAAAATGAACGCTATAAAATCACTGCCGCTTCGCCATTCGCTATGCATCATCCCTCAATCACCACTCGCCATTTTACTGTTGAGAAGGCAGCAGAACAACTCTGTATTGGACCTTGCCGGCCTCAAGGCGCTCAAATGCCTTGTTAATTCCCTCCTCTGTCATGGCGAACCTCTCAATAACAGGCGCAATCTTGTGGAGAGCAGCAAACTCAAGCATCTTGCGGTGCACAGCGCGAGTAGCGACGAGAGAGCCGTGAATGGTGATGCCGCTCATGATGAGTGGCATGTAGGGGATCTCCAGGTTGCTGGATGAGACAGAAAGCGGGTAGATGCGAGCGCGAGTGGAGAGAAGGGGCAGGATCTTGTCCCAAGAGGGCTGAGCGGAAGTGGTCACCAAGAGACGGGAGATCCTCCAGTCGCCGAGCTGCTGCTCAATGTTGCCGTTGTTCATGGCGACAAATCTGTGCGCACCGAGCTTAATAGCGTCGGCCTTCTTGCTATCAGAGCCGGAGAGAACAACAACGCGGCAACCAAGCTTGGCTGCAAACTGGATGGCAATGTGGCCAAGACCGCCGACGCCCATGATGCCGACAGTATCGTTGGAATCAACATCGTGCAGAGCAGTAAAGACAGTCGCGCCGGCGCACTGAAGAGGCGCGGCATTCTCGTCGCTCAAGTCGTCAGGAATGGGGTGGAGGAAGGCCTCTCGCACGAGAGCGTGAGAAGCAAAGCTGCCCCGGTTAATTGACTCTGCGTCACCGTAGAGAACACGCTCTTTGCAGAAAATATCTTGCCCCTGAAGGCAGTCGAGACAGTGGCCACAGTTGTCGGTCTGGTATCCCCAGCCTACTCTGTCGCCCTTCTTGAGGTAGGTGACTCCAGGACCTGTCTCCTCAACAACTCCGACACCTTCATGGCCCAGAGCAGTTTCTCCATTTTTCTATAGGCAGCACGTCAGTATTTGTCGAGGGAAATAGTCTTTTAACTGGTGTCGAGGTCACTTACATAGTGAACGTCAGTGAAGCACATTCCTGAGGCAGTTATCCGCACAAACACCTGGTCGCCAGTGAGCTGGTCAGGCTTGGCGGCATTTCTAGGTCTGACATGTCCGTCTTTGGCTCCAGTGTAGACGGCAAAAGACGGCATGGTGCTTGTGGTTGGATGAATAAGAATAAGTGGTTTTTGGTAAAAGTCGTGTTGTTGATTGATGGATTTCGAGAGTGTAGCTGATTTCGGATGCTGTGTGTCCAAGAAGCTCGAAGATGTTGTCGATGCTGTTTGTCTGAATGATGCAAAACCATTTGACAGCTCCTCATCCAGGACTTATATACCTTTATCGTTCCTCCGATCGATCAACCCAACCCTTACATCATTGCATGGTTTCTCTCCCAATAGTCGGACACGCCTACAGAAAGCCGCCAAACCTTAGCAAATCCCGAGCTCCGGAGTGGTCCGTTCTACTCGCATGCATCGCTTGGATCGGCCGATTGGGGTGAGCTGACCCGCTACAAGGGCCGTCAGCGAATTGACTTCGGCTAGAAATGGAGCCTGAAATCCTTCCGGGCGCTGGATGCCCCGTTTGAGAGCAACTCTATGACAGTTTACCATCTATTGGAAGCTGCATTTCTAAATCTCCAAAAGCAGCTGCTCGGAGTTTAGGATGGGTCGAAATTGGATTTTCTTCTTGCCCGCCAATATGGTGATTTTTCCTTTCAATTACTATCTATTTTACAAGCTGTACTTTTTGTGTGAATACTGCGTAGTCACTCCATGTATATAGGTACGCTTCGCCCTGTTTACATGTAAAGTACACATCTTGCGGCAATAACAAGTTGAAGTTTTCCCCATATCTCCATTACCCTTAGGAGATAACCTACTGAATTGTGTTAGTAAATCTTGATTGTTAATGCCTAACACCCTGCAAAGGCGGCTGAGATCGAATGAGGTTGCTGAAAATATCAATTGCCCTAATACGGAGTACGGCCTGGGGCAAATGCCGGCATGTTTGACGTCAGCAGCACGACGTTGCGGCGGAGCTGTCTCGGAAGTTTCCGTCCAGCCCATGAAGCGGATTTTCCCATTGCTTATTAGATGAGATCAGCGTACCAATGGAAATGGAACGATTTATTAGGGGATGACAAACGCGTCATATTTTGACAACTGATGAAAAGTTTACTCCGTAGATGCGGGAGAATTTAATAGTCGCACCTTAGTTGACGTTTGACAGATTCTAGAGGCTGCGCTAACATCGGCGATGGCACTTCCCACGTGTAGCAAAACTTTGGCGATTTAAACGTGCAATCATATGACGCAATCCAACTTCTCGCCAAAGCTTTTGTAAAATCAATCAACAATCTATAATGGGGAATAAACTATTCTGCATCCTGATATTGTTTCTCCGGCGGCATCTCCTTACTAAGAGTCTTCAGTCTCTGTTGCAGATCTCGTATCAAATCCTCCACAGATTCAACTCCACCGCTCACTCTGACCAGCCTCTGGTCAAAACTGGTATTCGGCATGGCCCGCCATTCTGTCAAACTCTCTACACTTCCCAGAGTAGTCGCATGTTGAAAAGGACGGAGCTTGCTTGGGAGTCGTTTTGCTAGGGTCGAATCCTTCAAAGTAATAGAGAAAACAGGCCGGCAGCGGTTAGGCATCTGTTTCTGAAACCAGCTATCCTCCTCTGTTGCTTCAGCTTGCAAGCTCGCATGGTGAACTTGTTCAACCACCTGATGGGCCGCAGCCGATGAATCTTGACGCTGGCCATTAAGCCACGCGACAAGTGCTGTTGCAGAGACATTCTGTCTTGTGACCCGAAGCTCAAGAGTCCACAGAGATCGCATAAATTGCCAATGACAATGAAACCAGAATACGTGTACGTGAGACGCAGTTGAGAAAGCATAATGAGAGTGGAGGATCTATTATCTCAATATCTTCAACACGAGCCTTGAATAGTATACAGTACCTACCTAATCGTATAGATAATGTATGGTTAGCTAAGGAGCGCACCAAATAGAACCGGCTTGTCTGACCGCTATAAGGGCCACGACATGAGAACAAGTCAGGTAATTATTGGATATAGCCGCCGCGGCCACGTTACCTTTAATTGAAGCCCTTGGTATAATTCGGAATTATTTTGAGGCATAAGATTGTCTTAATTACATTTACTCAAACCGAAGAAACGTTCCTCAGTTGGCGGAGAAACGGAGTAATCCGTCAAGATATAAATGGCAGCGACGATCACGGCCCATGAAATGTTTGGAGGTTCCAGATAATACATTTTCATCTCTTCCCACCTGCTAATCTTATCAAACATTCATGGCAATAACACCAGCAACAGTATTTTCGCCTACGATACCATCGCTACACCAACAACATCTCCGCTCACGATGCCGCCACACGATTCTACCGCGAGGGTGTTGTTTTTGCCCGAATTTATCCATTTAATATTCTCATTCTGCCTCGATACCGGCGATTGTTGGAGATTATCAGGCAAGTCGCTGTACATGCTCGCCGGAGCGGCCCAAGTAAATCGATTGTGGTTCGAGTGTGCAACGGAAAAGATATGGTCACACCTAGAAGCTCCTTATCATCTTCTCCTAGTGCCACATCACCGACGACATATGTACGCCTCCAAGATTGTTACCCTCCATCTCGATTCGACCAATGTAGCGAAATTTTATCGAGAATTCCGAAGCCTCGAATTCAGCCGATTGCGCAAACTAGAAGTTGCAACCGATGGTGGAAAACTTGGATTGACAAAGCCATTCTGTGTACCATCGGTGCAGAAATTTATGTTTTCGGGTACTGCTATCCGACCCTGGATGATTCATTATCTGCAAAACTGTTTGCAATTAACAACGATACACATTGACTTGATACGCGTTGACTGGGATCACCAACCTCCATTCACCTCTGGAGTACTCCTTGATATTGTGAAGAATCTTCGGTTTCTGCAAAAGTTGAGGTTCAAGTCTAACTCCAGAGGGTTTATAAGTGGCGATCTTCTTGTGCATTTGGCTGGAAGTAGGTGTATAAGAACACTGATACTTCCATGGAGTTGGACCGTTGGAGCGACACGACAAGTCATGGCTGCAAATGATGACATAGGATTTACGCCTTTTCCGAGACTCACAACCCTAGGTTTGGTTGCTCCATCAGCATCTATTGGAAGGCTTGTGCCTTGGCTCAGAAATCTCACTTCCCTTGACCTGAAGCTCGAAGATTCGGACCCTGATGTGCTATTGCGCATCGCTCATTTAACCACCTTGACCAAATTGTCATTGATATACTACAACAGGACACATATTTCGGCGGAATCAATAATGGCACTGCGACATCTTTCGCAGCTCCAAAAACTAATCATACGTCCCCATAGCACTTTCATCGCTCCTGTTACTATCACGTCTGATCTCTCAGACGATGACTGTGAGAGGGTAACCTCCCATTGGCCGAATCTTAATTTCATCTCACTCGTGGTGGATTGGGCCAATCTGTCTACCAAAGGGTTAATATCTCTTGCCCGTTCTTGTCGGTGCTTGACCACGTGTCACACCAGTCAGAAGTTTAATTTTGACGAATTATTCGCCGATGGTTCTGATGGCGAAGTCTTGTTTCCACAGGTCAAGGACATGCGTTTAGCCTTCCTAGTGCCAGGTAGGCATGATGTTACAAGGTTGGTTTCGATCCATCTTGTCGTCAGAGGCTATCATAAGGAAATAACTAATGCAGCTTTTCAGTCGATTAAAATTGGAGGAATTTGTGGAACTCTTTGAGTATCATTTTCCTAAACTCGAAGAATTGCGGCTTCCAACCCCCGTCCATATGTGGCGCTCGTTTTACAATGATGCTTTTTATCTCTGGCGCCAGAAGAAACCACGAGTTCGTTGCTACACAATGTTTTAATACTACATGTACCAGGTGCTGGGTTAGGAAAGATTCTTACCTCAGTTCATTGAGCTTGCTCACTGCCAGGTACTTGTCTGCTAATTTTGGTATACGTTTCTCGATCAGAATTACCTGCACTTGCCTGTAACTGCTAGGGTAGGCAGCATTGATATGTACAGGTAGATTTCAAACCAATACACTGTATGGGTTTAATATCAGGTAACTTCAATGGCTCAGTACTACTAACTATAGGCAGAACGGAGGTCCACTATCTTACTCCAACATCTGGCATCGATGACCTCTATTACTACCTCACTAAGACAAGTCACTACCAGGTACGGGTAATTACTAAGGTACCAAAGGGATGCTGATAACTGCATGTAGATACTTAGCACTCTATATGTTTAGTTGGCACCTTTAGTAATGTATGGACTTTTTTATAATATGTATATAGTTCCTATGGAGGTGATCTTCTGCATTATCTACTCCATGTTCAACTCGGCGGTGTCTAGTCCGATTCATGCAGGTACCAGTACGTCATGTACACGCACGCCGCCACTATACGAGTAATAGGCGTTTATACATTCAGGGCGCTTTGCATGGCGCCTTATCCGCTATAAATCCCCTAATCGCCGCTCCGATAGGTTCCCGCCCTTGGCGCCACAAAAGGACCCGTGCTTATCGTGATTGTACCCCAGCTTCTGTCCCTGCTGCGCCCCAGTCCGGGGACATGCGCGCATCTCCTTGCGAATGACTCTCGACAACCCCAACCTCTCTCTCTCTCCCTCTCTCTCTCGCACCGCCTTTTTAACGCGCTCCTCGCCCTCTCTCTTCCTCGTTCTCGTCGCAACCATGACTCGGCGCGTGCCTTCTTCTCTGTCTCTCCGACAACAAGCGCCTCCTCAGGCCCAGTCTCCCCTCTCGGCCTCGTCTTCCGCTTCCACCTCTTTTGCCCCGATCCCGGCCCCGGTTGACGCCCCCTCTCCCTTGGCTTCTTCCAAGCACTTTGTCCTCGCAGACATGAACGGCCGCCCGCCTCTCGACAACCGCGCCTGCCTCAGCTGCATCTCCAGGCTCTCCGCGAGCGAGGTGTGCCAAGTCAACTGGCATGTTGACGAGGAGAACAAGTGCAAGCTGTGCGCCGTGAGGGACCTCAAACCCGAGGCTTTCACCAAGCCCTTCCTCGACTTCCTGCGCGAGAACCCGACTGTCTTCCATGCCGTCGACTACTTCAAGACGAAGCTGCGCCAGTCTGGATACGTAGAGGTATGTGCGCTCGTGATCCCTCTGTGTCTGTCTAGGTAGCACAGATCAAATGCTGACAAACCCCCTAGCTCCCTGCGCGCGACTCCTGGGCCAACAAGATCCAGCCCGGCGGCAAGTACTGGGTCACTCGCAATGGCAGCTCCATCATCGCCTTTGCCGTCGGCAAGTCCTACAAGCCTGGCAACGGTGTTGGCATGATTGCCGGCCACATCGACGCCCTCACAGCCCGACTCAAGCCCGTCAGCAAGAAGCCAACCACGGCCGGCTACGTCCAGCTCGGCGTTGCCCCCTATGCTGGCGCCCTCAACCAGACCTGGTGGGATCGAGACCTGAGCATCGGCGGCCGAGTCATTGTGCGCGATGAGAATACGGGCAAGACCACCAGCAAGCTTGTCCAGCTGGATTGGCCCATTGCCAAGATCCCCACGCTGGCGCCGCACTTTGGCGTCGGCATGATGGGCCAGAACAACCCCGAGACACAGGCTGTCCCCGTCATTGGATTGGACAGCTCCGATGGCTCCAACACCGAGCCGCTTGGCTCCGTTGGCGCCTTTGTCAACACCCAGCCCCCTAAGCTGGTCAAGCTCATCTCGAAGCAGCTTGGCATTACCTCATACGACTCCATTGTTAACTGGGAACTTGAGCTTTTCGACTCTCAGCCCGCCTCCGTCTTCGGCTTGGACAAGGAGTTCATCACCGCGGGACGAATCGACGACAAGCTGTGCTCGTGGCCCGCTCTCTTGGGTCTTCTCCACTCCACGGAGCGAGAAGAGGACAGCTACATCAAGCTGGTAGCCCTGTTTGACGATGAAGAGGTTGGATCACTGCTGAGACAGGGCGCTCGTGGTAACTTCCTGCCCTCTACTGTTGAGCGCGCCGTCGAGGCTCTCAACCCGACTACCTACGGACCTGGTCTCATCGGCCAGACCTTCGCCAAGTCCTTCCTCCTGTCCGCCGACGTCTCCCACGCCGGCAACCCCAACTTCATGGGTAACTATCTCACCGAGCACATCCCCAAGCTCAACGTCGGTCTCGTCGTCTGCGGCGACAGCAACGCTCACATGACCACCGATGCCGTTTCCTCAGCCATCCTCCACCGCGTCGCCAACCTCTGCGGTGCCAAGCTGCAGGACTTCCAGATCCGAAACGACTCCCGCAGCGGTGGTACTGTCGGCCCCATGTTGTCGAGCGCAATGGGTGTCCGTGCTGCCGATGCTGGCTTGCCTCAGCTGAGCATGCACTCTATCCGTGCTACAACGGGTGCCCTGGACCCTGGTCTGGGTGTGCAGTTCTTCAAGGGCTTCCTCGACTTCTGGGAGCAGATTGACGGCGAATGGGAGTAATTGTGAAGTAGATAGATATAGTACTGTACAGAGTAGACTAGAGCATGTTTTGGATTAGTTGGAGGGACTTAATATATATATAGATGAGATTAGAATCATGTCACCCATGAGTTTAATATAGCAGATAGATGCTGCCAATAGTAATTGACCGCAAGCAATGTGATTCAACGCTATGCTGTGTCTCCATGCTACTACACATTATCATTTTGATATATATCATCTCAATCCAATTTGTCTCCTATTCCATCATCATGCACCTCACCTTCCCTTCCCCCATTATGTTGCCAACTTTTTCTCATCCAGTCTATTTTCGTCGTGAATATGCGTGTCAAATAGCCAACATCTTCCCCAGGATATGCCACCTCGACGTTGAAGCATATCCCTGTTCATTATCCATCTCTGATAAATCGCAATGCTTTCATTCCATCCATCCATCCATCCATACATACCCACCATGCAATACTATGGCAACAATAACCAGCCACAAAGTTCCTCAATCATGGTGGAAGCATTAACAAATATTAAGCTGCATCCCCGCTGTTTCGGGGGCGCATATCCGACAGACTGCCGGCGTCATCGTCTTCATCATCGTCATCATCATCAAAATCGTCGCTTTGACCAATTCCACCAGCCTCCTCGCCGGCTTCTTCGACGGGCTTCCGCTTCTTCTCGAAATCCTGCTTATGCGCCTCGGCCAATATCTTAGAGAAACTTCGGGTAATATGAGGTGAAGAGAGGTCGGTGCGGCGCCGAAGGCTACCACTTGGAAGGCCAGCAACGGCAGTAGAGCTTGCAGAGTCGTAGAAGCTGGGGTGTTCTGCTGGCTGCGGTCGTGGTGGCTGCGGCTCAGCCTGCCGCTCCTCTTCGGATGCCAATATGGGGCTGGATTCGATGCTGGCACGCTCAAGCAGCGGCTCAATGTGGTAGGGGAGGGGGACATCGCGAGAAGCCTTGTATTGCGCTACGTTGGCGCAATGTTCGTTTTCTACACGAAGGAGAGACCATATGCCGCGGCGGAAAACTTCCATAAAACTAACCATGAACGAAACAATGGTAGAATGCTGGAGGTCATGAGTGAATATAGCATAGAAAATCCATGAGAATCGGAGCACAGGATCGACAATCATAATCACGTAGTAGATCCAGCGGTGCTTTAAGGCGAGAATATCGCGGAGAGCAGTATGTCGGCTCTGGGGCTGAAGTATGGAGAAATCCATGAACAGATCCCAAATACCTGCCGTCGTCTGTCAGTATCTAAGAGAGTCTTGGGGGAGTTGAACGGGAGCGGCTCACAAGTATATACGCCGTTGATGGTTGAAAAGGTCACAAACAAGGCAAGGTTGGTGCGGCTCTGATGAATGCGGTAGAGGGATAGACAGAGGTAAGATAATATGGTGGCGGCATATTTGCCGCAGTTGACCAAATGTGGGAAGATATTGCGTGTGTCTTTGTAACGTCGAATACACTGAAGAAAACGCCATATTGCCGGAAGCGTCGTCAGGAACCCAAGCAGGCGGGAGCTGGTCGAATTGCACTGCCCAGGATTATTCCAATGATGTGCATACAAGCAGAAAAATAGTTCTATATTCTGTCGCGCGCATCCCAGTCAACTATTGCCCTGCAATGGTTCGGCGACGAGGACCACTTACCGCCATTGAATATGTCAAAGAACAATACATGTCTCCTAGGAAAAAATCACGAAACTCCACAGGGTAAAACCCAGACAAGAGAAGACGCCACTATCACAAGGTTAGCATTGTCTGGCAAGCAACTCTCCATCAGGGGGGGCCTGAGGTACTGACATGTGAATATGCAAGCCATCTGCGGCTCTTGTATGCAAGCACAGGAGCAGGAAATAGAATAACAACGACGGTTAGGCCAACCAAAAGTACAGGGTAATAAAGAAACATGGTATCGTCCCCATATCTGCTGAAATTGGCCCACATAATAACCCCAAAAAGCAAAAGGAACGCAGAGGGGAATTCAGAGAGCTGACGCCAGTCGAGCTGACTTCGCTGATCAAATTCAAAGATGAAGGGGTAATTAACCCTGTTCTGCAGCCAAATAGAGCAATTGATGCAGAAAAGAGAGAAAAGCATGAGCATAAGGAAATAACCACCATATAACTGTAACAGATAGCTTGTCTGAAGACGCACTGTCGGGTTATTGTCATTGAGCAGTTGAGTGCCATAAACGAGGCCCTGGATGCTGAAGACAATTCCAGTGCCGATGAGGAAGCCATTCAGGAATGAGCTGCCGGATTCGTCCTTGGGCTTTTTATGCAACTTCCGCAACTTGCCAACTGCAAGCTTCTGATTGCCGCGCTCAAAGTACCTCGCGTAGAGATCTTCGACAGATTTGATGTGAGCTTCCAGAACATCGCTATTGACGAACCAAGCGTTTTTGACCTTTTCGTTCATATAGCGCATGGGAGGTCGAGCGTTGACAGCCTTATCATACTTCTTATTTAGCTTTCGAAAAGCAGTGCGATTAAGCATGGCGTATGACTTGAGTAGCTCCAAGCTGCGATAAAACTCTTGCATTGCCAGCTTCAGCTTTCGTTTTGCTGTTCGATATGTCACCTCGTGATTTTCTGGCCGTCGCACATAGTCCATGCGATCGTTATTAGCCCTGCTGCCAGCTGCTAGGTGTGGTGTACGGGGCATGTCCTGGAAACTTTTCGAATTTGGTCCTGGCGGGAAGATCTTATTCTTCAACGGATGTATCCAGCTACTCGACTTATCAGGGTTCCCCTCACCAAAATTTTGGTTCGACGACCGGGAGAGTGAGTTATTGGCACGTTCGTTGGCTATTTCTTGAATTCGCCGATTGCGCATCTCATGGAGCTGTTCTCGCAGCATGGCCAAGCGCTGGCCGGCTCGATCCTCATTCTTCTTGTAAAACGTCTCCACCTTGTCAAGCTCTGAGTCGAGGAATGCGTAAAACTGCTGTTCTCGCTCTCGAACAAGGTCAAGGCTCTGGCGCGGAAGGCCTGTTATTCGGGCAGATTCTCTCGCGCTGGAAAAAATGCGGCGGAGGCGATCATCGGAGACGTCTTTTGGTATCAGAGTCGGCAGCGTTCCAGAGCTCAAGGGACCCGACGAGTTTGACCTATGGAAGTTGAAACGAGCAGCTTTTCTCCCAGGACTCAACGATTGTTTAGTACCGGGAGAGGACGATGTTGTGTAAATGGCAGGAGCAGGGAGCTCGAAGTCGTCGTCGTTGCCATCGCCTTGGTTGTCACCCTGGTTGCCATTTTGCTCATTGTCTTGGCCATCCTGCAGGTCGTCATTGTCGTCGTTCTGCAGACGACGCGATAGTGGTCGAGGGTCTGGAGGGGGCGTTGGTACGAAGCTCCCATACCCCAGACTGTTGCCATTGCTGTTCAGGGCCTCGTCTTCCGTCTGCGTTGCGATGTTGACCGGCCCCGACTGACCATGCCATCTCGAGCTTCTAGGAGCCTCATCAGAAGGCTGAAAGTTATCGAATCGAGAAGACGGCTTGGGAGAAGGCTCCGTCTGAGGTCCTGCTATTGAAAAAAAGGTTGGAGTGCGGCGTGGGTTAAGGAGTCGAGGCGTAGAGCCGGAAGTTCTCTGGATGGCCGAGGCGACGGCTTTGACGTATTTTTTCCCCGCCTTGTAATTGAGATACTTGATTCGCCATTCTGTGTAGTTCCCAGAGAGGGAAAAGTCAGCAATCTGACAACTGATGGTTGCACAACCCGGTTCTGTTCTTGTTCGTCTTTTCCTTTTTTGCCCCTGGTCTGGTGGCAATCAAACAGTTACAAGTAGTACAAGAACACCAAAATGAGAACACAAAAATTCACAAAAAAAGACCAAAACACCAAGACAACAAAGCCAATATCATCTCTTACCAGGAACTGCCTCGCGCTCGAGCTCCTTTGCGAACTTCATGGTATCGCGCAGGCCCAACCTTGGCCAGACCGGGGTTCGTTTGCACTGCACCAGCACAGGGACGAGTATGCAGGTCTTTCTCTCTGTTCAGGCGCAGGGGCGACATAGAAATGCACGTCTGCAGGTCGCAATTTGTCGATCGAGCCCTTGCTCTTCGTGACTATGTCTCAGAGGTACAAGCTCCAGGCACAGGAATGAGATGGATTGAGATGGACCTGTGAGAGTTCGTCATGGAGACACGTGCAATGCCGCTGTCTTTGGAGGTTCGTCAAGGCCCGCTTTTTTTGTCTAAGATCCCTGACGTCAAGACGCTAAAGTGCTGAAGAAAAAATGACCGTGTTAGGGGGTAGCTACTCGTAATAGGCTAGAGCTGTAATGCTCTCCGAAGCTGTTCCATTGTCTTGTTCAGCTTGTCTGTGTGTCTGAGTGATATTGAACGTGAGCTGTGGTGTTGCGCTTCAATCAATCCTCTGTGTAAACAGTCATATATATGAACAGCGACCCTTTCTTCATGCTGCTCCAAAGAGCGGTGGACAAAAATGCTAGTTCATTAGGGGCATGACCCCCTGGATTTTATTACCACATGGCGCTGTTGCTGAACCGCCACCGCTTCTCTTATCTCCTGTTCAGCCAAATGTTGCAAACTTGAACGATGCGCAATTGATGATTTTGCATTGAAGATGTTTGCTTCAAGGACGTTCTCCCTCGAACAGATGCAACGCATCGAGACTGTTCGTCTGCTGATGCTCAGCTCTTGCGACTTTCGTATTGCCTATATAAACATCCACGGGATCGAGGGCATCATGAGGATAATACAGAGGCCACATTCCAATCAGCGCCACGAAGCAAACGTCAGCCACCTAAACAGAAATTAACTCGGATAGCAACAGAAGTAACAGAAGCAGCATAAGTAACAGAAGCAACAGAAGCAACATGTGTCATTTCGAGCATCAGCATCACTTTTGTCCGTGCAGAAACCCAGACTGCAAGACTCCTAGTGCCGTATGCTGCAAACAGAGTCCGCCGCCCAAGGATCTTGCCAAGGGCCAACTAGGCCATTTCCTGCCTACCTGCGACGCCGATATCGATTCGTGCTTCGACTGGGAAATGGAACGATTGAGTCCCGGGGCATCCCTTATCGCAACAAAGTGCCCGAAATTTACTCATGGAGCCGCCCTGAAGGTGGTTGGCCTGTGTGCGAAATGTCGGCAGGATTGTGCTAATAAGCAGACCGGACCGGCCCAAGGAGCCAAATAACGACCTAGCTTTCATCCCCCTTTCACTGCAAGATGCTTTAGCATTTGGTAATCAAAACGAGGTATCAAAGGCCCAGCTCGGGTAGGTATCTAGTCAACAGTGAAATCAAGCCTGGGTTATGTATGGGACGTCTGCGTTGAGGAGTCCAGTCCGATTGTCTTTGCTCGGGTCACATGGCGTTGGAAATTGGTTCGGATAAAGGATAAAAGGAAAAAGGAGCGAAGCCATGCTGCGGAGTGCGGAGTAGTTTGGAGAAAAATAGCTTTTGAGAATAAACCTTCATCTGCCCAATAAAGTAGCAGCATCCCAGTGAATGAACGTCCGTCCTATCACATCGAAGCCCCAGCAACGAAACTATTGCCTTTTTCGGTCAGGATTCTACGCAAAGTATGGAGTATGGATCGCTTACAACGGCCATGCAATGCAGAGTGCCCGGATCCTCGTTCGACTGACAATCTGGCAGCTGTCAATTTGACAAAGTCGATTACGTCAATGCATGGTAACCCGGCCGCGTAACCCGTGAAGAAGTGAGGAGAGAGAAGTGGGATAAGATGCCGTTGCCGTGCATTGCGGAGAAGCCATGGCAGCTTCATATAAGTACTCCGTACCTAAACAAGGAAATCGTGCATTAGCGACGGAGTTGAGAGCTTGGTTAAACCGAGGCACCGCAATCCTAAGGTAACAGTAGAGACCGTCTTTGTGTGATGTAGCATATATTTGCAGCGAACATGTAATAATCCAAAGCAGATGAAGCTTCTACAACAGAGGGGGATTCTGATTGGATACCTTCAAAACCCGGTAGATATCCCATACCTGGCAAGGCATGTCAAGTGCTCTCTTAGGCTGGTTGCACTACTTCGAGCATGTGAACATGAGAGTATGTTGTGTGTCGTACTACATTCATTGATGTATTTATTCCCACCTCTGTGTTCGGTGCGAGACAAAATGATGCAGCCCCACTGGTGTGAGATTCATCCCCGCGATTTTACTGCAGAGCTTGGTGGCCCCAGGCAAGACATTGCGCATGTGGAGATGGCTCCAGGCGAGGAATGGGCACGGCGCCTGGCAATGGCTGGGCTGCAATTGGCCTGGAATTTGGTTTAAATGGAAGCCATCTGATCCGTGTGCTCGTACTATAGCGATAGAAAGCGGCCCGTGTGATATCAATCGCTGCCGCGGGGAAATGGCTCGCTCGCCTTGCCCGAAAGGCTGCAGTAAAATACTCCGTAGTAAAAAGCATCACGCCGTGGTCCAGAAGTTTAATGAGATCTGACTGTGCTGCAAAACCGTAAGACCAGCCCCAAATCAGAGGATGCTGCGCTAATCTGCGGGCGAGAGCCGGGGCAACAAGTCAAGAGATCCAGGCACGCACGCCGATTGCTGTGCTGTACTCCGTACTGTACTGTACATACAAGAGCCGATGCTACGCCTTCGGACCAGGGAAGACGGTAGCATTGCCTGGAGATTTGCATTCACCGTGCTCTTCATTCCCGGCGATGCCGGTGACATCAGCGGTGGGTAGCTGCACGACGCTCCACTGAAGAAAATGCTGGAACCACAAAAACGGACGACTCCCTGGCAAGGCAGATTTTACACCCTGATGGGCTGCTACGTAGCAACCGAGGCGTTTTTTGCCTGCTTGTTTCGCTTCAACTGGGAGATTGAAACACATTCGACGGCCTTTAATCAAGAAAGCCCCCTTGGTCGGCGTATGAAACGGAGAGCACGGGGGGATATTGCACCTAATCGGGAAAGATGTATTTTATTTCCAATTTCTTTGGGGAAAAACGTGGCATGAGACGGAGCTCGAAACATGACAGGACATGACGCCAATTTGCGTGAACCACGTTTAATTGTAAGTCTATGTTGACGAATTCTCAATACTGTACTTGCACCTCAAATTGCGCAGTAAAAGTCCCGCCGGGAACAAAAGACCATCCATGGCATCAATACTACATGTACCTACTATACCCAAGTCCATGTATTCGTAGCGAGTGCTACAGCACTATGTTCTGTTCTATGCATCATCATCGTCATCGTCGATGCGGGAGCCCTATGGCCTAGAACCCCCCTTGTCCATTTCTGTCTGCTTCCACTCGCTGGCAATTGTCCCAAAAGATGCCAAATTCAAATTCCCACTAATCCCATCTTCCAGGTAAGCTCAACACTAGTCGTGCCAGCGCTAAACACGCCATGTCGCGCGTAGCCTGCAGATGTTTCTCACCACCGGGGCAGCTAGCGAGGGGGCCAGCCCCTCTGTGCCCAAATCTCTTTCTTCTGCGTTTCTTTGTCGCTTTTTACGTTTCGGAAGTGACCGAGAGGAATCAAATACTGTACATAGTATGTACACGCTACTGTGCAGTGTGTTGGTTAGCAGTTGCTCGTTTTGCCGAATCGCCATTGGCATCAAATCGTTTCTTTATTCGTGATGGGGTTTTAGCCAAGTGGAGTTGTCAACATCAAAGAACATAATCTTGGACCTGATTAGTTCCAGTAGTACATGCATTTCAGGTGCCATCACCACGCTTCGTGCAGGTACCTGCTTCGGCACTGGCTCTTGGCCATTTGCCTTCCAGGCCCTCCTGCAGCCCTCCCCCTCTCCAGGCCCGCTAGCGCCGTCCCCCCAACCACAGCTGGTTCAGCTGGCCAAAACCTGGCGGTTGCCCGTCTGGTGCCATTCTGGGCTCTGCAGTGGGACGGGCAGCGCTAACCACTCAAGGCTCCACGCCAGGTCACATCAAATATCTCACCCTCCCTCCCACCTTTTTTCTTTACAATCTTCTTGGCCAATATCATTTGTGCGGCCGTTCTTCTCTCGCCCGCGTCTCTTTCACGGCTATTTTTACGGGGATAGTCTTGTTATCATCTATTCTTTTCTTCTATTCAGTGTCGTGCGGCTGAGGGCATCGGCCGATTCGGGATTGTGCGGCGGAGACTCGATCCGCGGACTCCCCCCCGCTGACAATCCAAAAACCTCGTTCCTCCCGATAGACATTCCCAAACAACAAACCGAGGAGGAAACGGTTTGCTTCCCAGCTGGCCAGGCTACTGCTCTCTGAGCAGGAAAATGGACCAGAGCAACGTCTATAGCCACTCCCGCTCGCGGACAACGTCTTCCAACGTCTTTCCGTCCCAACCTCAACACCCCCCGCCGATGCTTCTGTCGCACCAAATGTCGAACCAGCAGTTCAACCGGCGATCGCCCTCAGTGAGCACCTTTAGCAACTCGAGCATACAGCCGCCCGCAGCGTACCGAACCTCGTCCAATTCGGACCTTCGACGGTCCATCTCTAACCGCTCCTTCGGCCAACCCCAGGCGTCTGGCTATGTGGCTCTCTTGCGCAAACAAAAGGCTACGGTATGGTGCGATCGCGCCCAGTATGAGGACCCCCGGTTAGTCGCTCAGCAGCGAGCTGCCAAGATGCGCGCCAACTTGGAGGTCAGTGGGGGAAACCGAGGGACTGGCTCAGCTGGTTCCTCGTCAGGTGGCCGCACAAGCACGGGCATAAGCGCAACCACAAAGGTCGCCGCCAAAATCAGGCATCATGGCAAGACGCCCGTGGTTGGATATGCCAACGAGAACCACGTCGGCGTTGGAGGAGTACCCATGCGACTGAGCGCTACAGAAGTCGAGGGCGAGAGCAGCGAAGAGGAAGACAACGGCTTTGCGTCGCGCTCGCATCACCGCAGGACGGGGAGCAGTGGACGGAGCAGCATTGGTAGCAGCGGCCGCCGCAACGTCTCTTACAGGGCCTCTGGAGGCACTGTCACTGGATCCCAAAGCGGCCGACGATGGAGTCCCGGCGATACTCCAGAAAGGGCTGGAAGCTTGGTTGAACAGCCAGAAGACACTATGCCAATCATCGACGACGCTGCTAGCGGAAGAGCTCAGAGTACGCATAGTGGTAGCAGCGCTGAGCGCGCAGACAATGTCGGCGAACTAGGAGCGGCCCCAAGACTCGCGAGCAAGTCGTTAATGCACTCTGCTCTAACAAGAGAAAAGAGCGTCAAGTCTCCCGAGGAGCTGAAAAGACGGGGAAGTGTCGACGAGCGAACAGCCACCCTAACCTCCCAACGTCTTTACATCGCCAACCCTGATTGAAGACTCGCTATTTCGCAACCATTACATTTTTCACATATACACCATTCCATTATTACGCGACGAAGGACGATGCTATCTCAACTGCCTGCCATTCGTTATCCTCTAATCAATACCACCACCAACAACAACAACAACAACAACAACAACAACAACAACAACAACAACAACAACAACAACAACAACTTCACAATCGTTCTTGTGCATTGTCATTTTTTCCTTCTCTCGTTGTTTTTCTATAGTTTTACTACCCGCATTGTTAGGCGTTTGGATATGTTAATATCACTTTGGGCATTGGGAGGGAGTGCAGTCGCTAATAAGGACCCGTTTGACGCTTCATATTTTTTTTTTGCTTGTCTAATACACTTTCGCTTCTGGAATTAAGCTTGCTGGTTGAGCGAGGCGGCGGCTGAGACGAGGATGACTTGGGAGAGCAGGGAGAAAAAAGTACATTTGATGTGCCTCGAGAAAGGCCGGTTGAAAGAAGATAATATGACGTAATGGTTAATATGTAATACTCTTTTTTCTCCGTCGGGTGATTTCCTATTCATGTATCAGATGCTTTTCGACATGCTGGATGCTAATTTATTTGCATGAATCAGTTTGGCAATTCTGTCGTCATCGATTTGATCAAGCCATGCATAGCGAGCATCGGAATCTTGGCTGATTTGGATGAACAGGCGAGGAAAAAACATTTCCTCTGTGTACTCCAAAGGTACATACAAATTCGGATCGTTATAAGTACCAATTTATAACTTATTTGGTATGGAGAAAGCTTGCAATTGGTGTCATGTGTAGAACCTTAACTTAGTAGGGGTGTGATGCTTTTTTCATGTGATTGGAACTTCGCAAGTGTGTCGTGTGAGGCGAACTTAGTGCCCTTTGGCAAGCTATAAACCTCCAATTTTTTGGAGATTGGTATATCTTGGCATGGCTTACTCTGCACAGCAGCTTGGAGTTGTAATGAGAACGAGGGTATCACAAAGCCACAATCCTGCGAGCCTTTGTTCAGCTCTGTGAGATGCCAGGTACTTCCATGGAGAGAAGGCAGAGAGTACCCAGTACAGCCGTCAAAGCCTTAATATTAGTATATGTTGGTACACAGTACTTGAGAGGCTCGTGGTGCTTGAGGACTGGCATCCAACTCCGGCTTTTAGCCGCAGCAGCCTGGACTTCTCCATAACGATTAACGCGTCCTCCAAAGGAAAGCGCCAAATTAACGCGTTCAGAGCAATCGCGACTCTGCACTAATTTGTGTCGAGTATCCAATTCAACGTCAAGCAGCGCAGCCTCTGTCACCGTTGAATGTAACCGCGTGCCCCTCGTTCCTTTCGTTCGAACAGCAATTAATTTCAACTTTTTTTCCCTCTTTGTAATCTACTCCAATCCGCTTTTGTGTCCCTATTCACCAGATCCTCTTTGCATCGCTGCACTCTGCCCCCTCCTTTCTGGATCCTTGTGCACATATATGCTCAGCTGCACGCCGAATGCAACGCCAGGTTTCCCCCCACTGGTGAAGAGAGATTCTACGCAATTCCGAGAAAGCTACAGCCATTTACACTGCGATTTGAACGACAATGCCTCTTCTTGAGGTGTCACATAACGTCAGGGAGCCAGAGTCATCTGGACGGAAACGAAGTCACCAGGAGTTCTCCGCCGAGTCGGGAAAAGTTGATCCGGCTGAAGATGTTAAGAACATCTTGCCCGTAAATATCCAAGAGCCGGATGACTGTGAGCACAGACCTAGAGTTACCCACTGCCGATTCTCTGCAGAAAGATACTGATTATCTACCAGCACCTCCATCTTCACCCTTATCATCACTCGCCCCCTCGGAAGCTGGGGATGACGGCATAGTGGCACGCGACTCACATTTATTGTCATCACCGGCCAAAGCTGTTGCAAAGCTAGATATCTCTGGAACCTCTACACCAGGGTCAGACTCAAAGCCCGCCACAGACATGAATCCACCGCCGAAACGGAAGCGCCTCACAGGCGCAGAAAAGGAAGCTCGAGATAAGGAACTTGCTGAGAAAAAGGAAGTTCGAGAAAAGGAACTCGCAGAGAAAAAGAAAGAACGCGAGGAGAAAGCAGCAGCACAGGCCGCGGAAAAGGCTAAAAAAGAAGAAGAGAAAGCGGCACGAGCAAAAGAAAAGGAAGAAAAGCGAAAGGTGAAGGAAGAAGAGGAACGAGTAAAAGCCGACAAGAAACGAAAGAAGGAAGAGGAACTAGAGCGAAAGGCCAGAAGTCAGAAGACACTGGGCAGCTTCTTTAAGATCCCGAATACTCCCAAAAAAACCGAAGGAGAAGATGTGGCCAAAGAGAATAGCCCCGCAAAGGCCAACTTGTCGGTGGTCGAGAAACAAACAGTATCGGAATACTCCAAGATGTTCAAGCCATTTTTCGTCAAAGACAACACCCAATTAGCACCGATGGCATCGCAGATGGATGAGACGACTAGGGAAACGAAGTCGAAGATGTTGGACGACTATATCGCGAGCCAGAGCAGCGAAAATGCTCCTCCAAAATTCGACCCTCTAGAGGCATTCTCATTTTCCAGCCTCCCTGCTCCCCGTGGCAAACTGCATCAGCCGGTCCGGCACCTGATGGAGACAGCTTACAAGGCTTCACAAAATGCAGGAAAGACAGGCAGTGCAGATTCAAGTAAGATCTTGACAGAATTCCAGACCGGGCTGAGCAAAATCCCCATGAAAGTGATTGCTTTCTCTCAGGATGTGCGTCCGCCTTATTACGGTACTGTAACTTTCAAGCCCTTTGCTCTTGGTAAAGGAAACATGCAAAAACTAGCGCGAAGATCAATGGGCCGTCGACTACCACTCGACTACGATTATGACTCGGAGGCTGAGTGGCAGGACGAAGAAGAAGGCGAGGATCTCGACCTAGAGGATGAAGAGGAAGAGTTGGATGATGAGGATGATATGGATGGCTTCCTTGATGATTCCGAAGACGTTGGCCTCTCTAGAAGGGTGTTCGCCGATACCATGAAGCCCGATATTACGGGCCCATGCTTCGAGAACCAGAATCGGAAAGGCGTAGTCCCCGCTTTGAATGAAAACAAGATGGAGTTCATTCATGGTGAGTTTTTTGTTATTCATTGAATTGTATTTGAGGCCTGCTGCTAACACTCTCTCCAGAGGGACTCGACCAGTTATGGGATATTGATCCTTTTTCAACGAAGTACTGGGAACCGGAGCCTAGCAAGGTTGCCAAGGGCAAGACTCCCAAGACTATTAAACCCGAGAACGATGCCAAGGCTCCCCCGCCAGTTCCGACAAACGCCTTTGCCGCCTTAGGTGGTGCTGCTGGCTCCACCTCGGCCCCAGGTAAACTTGTCAAACCTGAGCTTCTGAACGAAATCAAGAAGGCCATCTTGGACAACAAGGCTCTCTCGAAAGTCGGCATTGTTGACTTTATCTTCCATCAGTTCAAGGATAGTGCTTCCCGTCTGGAAGTCAAGAACACAATTGAGCATGTTGCGGAAAAGAAAGGCACTGGTCGAACCAAGGAATGGGAGCTGAAGCCAGGCCATGAGATTACTCTATGAGGTGTTTTGTCTTTGGGAAGGTTTCGCTGGCGACATTCTTGAGTTACGATTGACGAAAATCAGCTTAGCATGGAGTTCTTTGGACGATACTAGGTCATTCCGGTTGCTTTGAGGGTTTCCCAAGCTGGTTGCGAGCTTTGGGCTGGGGTTTTATTATTCGCATGGCTGGAGGCGGTGTATATTAATTAGATACATGAAGTTCTGAGCATTTACTGCATCTGAGGAGTGGCAAACAAAGGGACTATATTTCGAGAGCGCTGCATGATAGCATCCAATGCCAATATTTATTCCTCTTGGTAACAGTTAGACAAATCTCTCCAGTCAGTGATTGATCGCTTTCAACGACGAATTCTGTTACGCGCATGCAAGGATGACGCGGAGCGCGGGGCGTCCAAGATATCAAGCAATTCGCTAAGGCAGGTCCCTGAACCCCCTGTCTGAGTCGTGTGTCCACTGATTGGCGTCCGCTAAGAACCGCCCATCATCCCAGCTTCTCTTCCATTCTTTTCTCTCTTCCAACTTCCAACCTTGCTCCAACCAGCCAAACAATAAGCACGGCTCCGCTGCGCAAGCAATGATGAGGTGAGAACCTTATTGGTCTTTATAGATCACCACCGCAACTTCCGCCCTACTTCCGCGTAGCTCGATTGCGCATCGTCGATTCAACAGGCTCCTATTTGTTTATACCGTCTATCCCGGGAAGGGGACATTGATTGTCGTTCCAGGAGAAGCGAAATTGGACAGACAGCCCCGATTGCACAGATTCGCAATGTTACGACCCAGTTCATGATAAACACGCTATAATAATATTTCTTGCCGCATCGAGTCTTGCCTTTAGCAGTCCATCTCTGCGCGACATGCCAAGTCGCCTGGAATGGAAGATCCGTGGGGTTCGCCGTGGGCTGCAGACTCTCCGGCTAAGATAGAACTCCCATCCGCGCCCCAGAATGCGCACTTCTCGACCGACCATCTCTTCCCTCGACGAAACTCTCGTTCGCCTGCGCCGTCGCGATCACGGTCACCGGCGTGGGAAGACGACAATGCTTGGGGCGGGTGGAATGGCGGTGATGCCAGTGGCAGTGGCAAGGAAAGCCCCGGATGGGGGAGAAGCCCTGGGCTGAAGCCACTGCAAGTTACACCGTCGGTGAGGTCGTTGTCACCAGATCCCTGGAAGGATATGGCCCTGAAAAGACTAGACACGACGGCGCTGGAGAATGAGGAACGGAAGCCAAGGGGGAGACGAGCTTCTGAGACTTCGGGTGACGATCGCGTCGTGGACTCTGCAATCAGTCTTGGAGAAGACCAGGAATTGCAAAGAGAGGAAGAATTGAAGATTAATATCCCCGTCGTGGTGCCGCCATTGGATATTGATGCCACGGACGATGCATGGCGTGTTGAGGCAGCGCCGGAAACACCGGCAGCCGAGGTGGTGATTCCGGCTATTCAACTTGAACAACCAGACTTTTTTCCAGACACAGAGGCTCCAGTACCTGGTGTTGTGGATGACGAAGAGCAAGACGAGGTTCTATTCACAGCTGATGAGCCTGTTCAGAAAGAGGAAGCCATTGCTGCGCAGAGTAGCTTCGAGGTGGAACAAGATCAACAACCGATTCCAGCTGTTGAAGCGATTGAAACAACTCCACCTGTTGAAGCAATCCCAGCTACTGAAGCAACTCCTACTGCCGAAGCAATTCCAACTGCTGAAGCAACCCCTACTGTTGAAGCAATTCCAACCGCTGAAGCAATTCCAGCTACTGAAGCAATTGCAGTTGTTGAAGCAGTTCCAATTGTCGAAGCAACCACAGCTGCCGAAGCAATCCCAACTGTTGAAGCGACTGAAGATGCGGCAGTCATTCCGGAACAAGAAGTCAGTCAGCCTCCGTTGGGCCTGGAGAGTGAGAGTGAAGTTGTCGCGGGATCTCAGCGCCTGCAGCATGAATCGCAGAATCACATTCCGCCGGTGCTCGCCGTGAGCGAACCCAGAGTCTTGGAAACGATGGCTGCCCCGTTTGAGTCTGACATGGTGGAGCGCCCTACCTCCCCAACGTCCAAAGTACACTACCCTATCGATTTTACCAAGCTCGACGATTTGTTCCCGTCGACGCCGCCCATTACGACTGAAGCGGAGCTTGTTCCAGACGTCATTATCGACGACACTTTTGCTTCCAGCAGCGAGCGCAGAGCTTGGTACCGGGTCTCCCGTTATGGATCGAAGCGGAAGCATGATATGGGAGGGGATGAGAATTATGTGCGCGTTACCTGGTCCAAGTCACAAATTCGAGAACGTACCACTCAGACTGTGAGGAGATGGATGGAAGAAGACTCTATTACTGGGCGTGTGGTTCTGGGTAGACGCCTTGGCGGATCTGGTGCAGTCATGTTCAACTGGAATTCACCTGCACCTCAAGTGGAAATCGGAGAGTTCCTAGGAAGACATTCGAGAAACTCATCCTTGACCGTGCAATCGGCAGTCGCATCGCCTACTGCGTCGTCATTCGGCTGGGCTAGTAGCGTCCCGTCATCGCCAGCGGTTTCGAGGCATCCTTTGGCCAACGAGATCTCACAAGCAGATGCACAAGAACTGCAATCACCAAAAGAGCCCAAAGCGGACTCAGCTCGACAATCCTTTTCTCTTGAGCCGCCGCCGCTGCATAATCGATCACGTATTCCTACGCCAATTCAGATTCCACCCACTTATCCCATCAACCAAGAGGACGATGACGATTGGGGCGAGATGATGACTGCTACACCGACCACTACCGTGTCATTCACCGAGGACGAAGAACCCGCCAGCAACCGCTACAGCATTGCTTCTCAGTCTGCTCTCCAGTTCGACACGGTGTTTGAAAGTCCCAAACTCCTTGCATCAAAGATCGAGAAGGCTCCAAGCAAGCGACCCTTTTCATGGCACTTGGGACAGACGCTTAGCAAACCCTTTAAGAGAGGGGGCAAGACCCCTTTGACGCCATCATTCCCTAGCCCGCTCTCCAAGCCAATGACGCCGTCTCAAGTCACACTTACTCGCCATGCTCATACCATGTCTGCCGACACATCGCTCGTCCAGTCACCAATCGGACCTACCTTGAGCGCTGCGGACGAAGAGACTGTGGCCAGGCTTTTGGAGGATATTCCTGATCTTACATATATGTTGCGTTGATGTGAATGTAATGTTGTGAGGGGTTCGTATTTGATGTTCGATCCCTAGAGAATTTGCCCAATATTGGTGATGATTATAGCATATGGAAATAGCAAGGCGTATCTGGTTTATGTAGATTATCTTAATAGTGTGTACCCTGGAAGGAACAGCTTGGATATTCTGCTCAATATAGAAGCTATATATATACTCTTGATTCTTTATAAATCTATCATGGCTATTACTTAATAAAAATTAATCGTGTTCTCTAATTAGACTCATCAACTCGTATATCGTCCAGCGGAATAATCATTCTCGTGAAATTTCATCCGAGCTTCTCCTCTTGTTTGTTTTATCGGAGGCGTAAAGCTTCGAGAAAGCACCTCCCTTCATCAGCAATTCCTCAGGGGCGCCAATCTCTGCTAGCGACCCCTCTTCAAGCACGGCAATTGTATCAAAGTCGAGTAATGAGTCGAGACGATGGGCAATCATGATGACTGTGCGGTCTTTAAACTCTGATTTGATGACACGTTGGATTTGGGCGTCAGTTTGGTTGTCGATGCTATTTAATATGGTTAGCTTTCTTGCTTAAATTTCCGGGTTTGAAGGCGGAAAAACATACTTGCTGGTTGGTTCATCGAGGATGAGGATGCTACTCTTCTTAAGGAGCGCCCTTCCAAGACAGAAAAGTTGTCTCTGTCCATGAGAGAAGAAAGTCTCATCCATTTTCTCGTCGAGAGGGTTCTTGCTCGTGTCGACTTTAGAAATGATGACATCCCATATAGCAGCTCGCTGCAAAGCGCTGATGATAGCCTCGTCAGAGTGGACTCCAAGGGGGTCAGCGTTGAACCGTATCGTGTTGGTGAAGAGGAAAGGATCTTGGGTGAGGCAGCTGAGCTTCTGGCGGATGAGGGACTTGGGGACTCTGGCGATATCCTGGCCGTCGAGGAGGATCTGGCCGGCGGGCGTGTTGGCCATGCGGAAGAGGGCTTGGATGAGTGAACTTTTGCCGCTGCCGCTGCGGCCGACAAGGCCGAGTTTTTGGCCCGGCTTGATGGAGATGGAGATGTTTTGGAGGACGGGGTGGGAGGTCGAGCTGAGAGAGATGAGGAGTTAGTTTCATAGTATTTTGATATAGGATGAGGTGAGGTTAAAGATACATACTCGTATTGTACGGATAGGTTGGCAAATTCGAGAGAACCCTGGGCAGGCCATTCCTCAGGGGGAGTGTAGTTTTCTTCGGGGAGAAGTTCCGAAGGAGTAGTTTCTTCAAAGGTCTTAATGCGCGTAACAGCTCCAAGAGATGTTTCAAGCTGAGACCACGCGAGGATAATACCCTTCAGGTTAAGTCCCAAGTTCATCATGTTGACGAGTGCGACGCCAAGGAGGGAGGGATTGAGTTTCCCCCTAAGGACCACAGCAAAGACGACGAGCAGCACGGTGAGAACTGCGACCACGAGGTCGAGCACGAGCGTAAGCCATCGCTGAATGCAGTTGAGAAGATACGAGGGTTTTTGCGCGTTGTCGAGGAGGGACAGGTTTTTGTCCGAGTAGGGATGGGTCCAGCCAAAAGCGCGGATTGTGGCTAGGCCGTTGATGGATTCGAGGAAGTGGGAGTATAGTGGTGCCTTGTGCTCGATCCTAAAGTGAAATAGTTAGTAGATGATACTATATGGGATGTTGTGCCAATGCCTACTCTAGAATACGGAGCTGCTTAGATGTTCGGACGTAGAAACGCTGGATCATGAGGAGGATGGTGATGACAAAGGGTAGGGATGCGGCGAAATAGCCGACTGCTCCAACTGCCAGTCCTGTTACACCGACACAGGTTGATACATCTATAATTCTCGAGTAAGCAGTGAAATTGGGGTTATTTTACGAGTATGGATGGGGGAGAAGTTTACCAAAGAGGAAAATGGCGAGGGAGACGGGGAGGTCAATGTCTACCAGACGCAGGTCTTGACTAAATCTATTTCAATATTAGCAAACTTGAAGAATAGGATTCATAGATGTATACTTGCCGGTTGATGAGTGAACCAGTTTCAGAATTGGAAAGAAATGACATGGGAGCCCTGAGATCATGTTAGCCCAATATTCCCAAGAACAAATCAGCTTCGCGTTTAAGTCTTGCCTCATAACTGCATTCAAGATTCTGCTGTGGAATTTCTTGGAGACTGCTGGTCCGAGAATGATCAAAAAGTGCCTAAACCTGTTGTCAGTGCGTGTTTGCTTCCTACTCCCGATTTGTCTTACATGATTGCCAGAGATATCAACGTAGCCTCCACAACAGCCATGACGGTAAAGATGCTCAACCAGTATGCAACGTCGTTGCTCGCGCGTCCTCGCCCATCGCCCCACCAGGTAAGCCAAACGGCTACAGAAATTTGTTAGAGATGACTGGAATAATTGTTTTGTAGGAATCACTTACACCTGAAAGTCGAGAAAAATGCCTGTCCAATGATATACGCGCCGCCAACTGCCAAGCTAAGGGGTCGCATCGCGCCAAAGTAGTACTTGAAAGTGCTGCGATCACTTGAAACTGATTGCTGCTCTCCCCTATCTTGCTCCTCCTCTTCGTTGTTCTCATTGAGGTTCTTAATCTCTTCGACAATGGCCTGTTTAGAGGTTGATTCGCTGTCGCTGTCGCTGTCGGAATGGGGGTCTGTGACGTCGAGGCTTTGGACGTATTTACCGCTTTGCTGAAGCTTTGCGAAAGATCCTTGCTCAATGACTTGGCCATCTTGACCAAGGGCGATGATATGGTCGGAGCTGGGTAGAAGGTGGACTAAAGAGGTAGACACTCATGTTTAGAAACTCATTTCGACACTCCCAGGGATATCACTACTGAGTCTTACCGGAGTGGGTGGCGAGAATCACTGTTGTGCCACTGCGTCGGAGGAGTCCATCTTTGCTGAAGACGCGAGCAAAGACGATACGCTCCGTTGCTTTGTCCAGTGCACTGAACACATCGTCGAAGATGGCCACTGGCTTTCGAGCGTAGACAGCACGAGCGATTGCCTGTGAGGAATTAGACAGCTGCTTCACACAAATCAAAAAGTCGAACTCACAAGTCTTTGTTTCTGACCTCCGCTGAGTTTCACTCCTTTATCACCAACGACGGTCGCAACGCCTTCTGGCAGCCTGGCAAAATCCTGAGTCAAATCACAGGCCTCAACAACCGTTTCAAACCATTTGTCTTCAAAGTGTCCAGATTCCGCCACAATGTTGTCTCGAATCGTTGCATTCATTACCCAGGGGGTCTGATCACAGAACGCGATGCTTGGAGTTGATAGCGAGACCCTTCCGCCAGTCGATGATGTCTCTCCAAGGATGGCCTTGAGTAAACTTGACTTTCCGGAGCCGATTGGACCAACAATGATGGTGAGGGATCCCGACTGTGCTTGTGAGAATGACACGCTAATGTTGCTCAACACTTTCTTCTCCTTCCAAGCAAAGTCTCCTCCAGAAATAGAGATGCGGGCGCCTTCTTCATTATAGCGATCAAGTGTGCGAAGCTCAATGCTGCTCTTGCGTGAGCCATCTTCTTCGTTCTTTGTTGAAAGTCCTGGCTGTGCGCAAATCTCACGGCTATCAACCCTTTCATTAAGTAGTAGGAACTCTTGGATACGCTTAAAGCACCCAAAGGCAGCATAGGCGGACGAAATATTGCCGAGAAGGAAGCTGAGTGGATTTATCATGACGTTGAGGATAGAAAGAGCCGTGATGGCCTGTGATGCAGAGAAGGACTGGTTGTCGCTGAGCTTGGCTACAATGGCGTAGGCGCCAAATGTAGCAGCTTGAGTAAGACTGACGTTTGCGTTTCCTAGAAAATATCACAATAAGTTATGTGAAAGTTCAAAGAGGGAAGAGAGATCGACTTACCAACTGTGTTGGCCCATACAATCATTTGTCGGTAATGTTTGCCAACGTTCAAATCATGGTCGCGCTTGTCTTCAAGGAGATCAGTGAAACGCTCAGTGTATCCCAGCATCTTGACGGCTTTAATGGAGCCGAGCACTTCGGATGTGAAATTGATGCGAGCTTGCGTTGCTTTCTGGTAGACGGTCTGGCGTTTGACTAGGACCTTTCCAATGAACCAACACAACACAATAGATACTAGAAATTATAAGTACTGAGAATCACAAATAAGCTCAATTGCAATACTTACTAATTGCCATAACAATGGGAGCAACACAGACGGCGCCCAGTTGTGCGTACAACATCCAGACGGCGATGGCGACAGTAAGTGTGTTGGCCCAGCCTTCGATGAGCAAAGCGTTTGCTCGCTCAGCCAGAGTCTCAATGTCGTTGCCCATAAGGGTAACAGCTGAAGATTCGTTCAGTTCGCTGGCCGAGAGCTTCAACATCTTACGGTAAATGAGGCCAATCAAGCCACCTCGAATCATGGCGCCAACTCGAAAGGTTAGATGTTCATACCATGCCGTCAGGATCTAGTTTCATGAATCAGCTCTGGTTTGGGGAGAGTGGTAGAAATAATGCTTGATTATTAAAGTATAAACTCACAGCTGATCCGACAAAGACAAGAGCAAAGGCACCAATCAACCCGTAGCCGATATTATCAGAGTGCTCGTTCTTGGGCATGGCGAGGAAACGCAGAGCTTGGGACACAAGGAAAGGCTGCGCTATTGTCAAGCCAACTGTAGCCAACCGAGGAAGGGCGATGCCGGCGATCTCGAGTTTGAGGATCCAGACAGTGTTGAGAAAGAGGGATGCTTTTCGTCCATCGCGAGTGACTTAACAGGCGTCAGTCGTGAGTTCAAAAAAAAGGTGCATGGGGTGAGTTGGTTGTGAGAACGTACCTTTGTCCCATCGCTTTGTGAAAATAACGGCCAGCTTCTCAGAGGAGAGTTTCTCGTAAATGGCGGGGAGGTCGTGGTTTGTCAAGACAGTAGCCCAGCCGGAAATGAGTAGCGAGTTGAGCCAGATGAAGAAGCCGCGGTTAAAGGGGCCACTCGTGCTTTCTGTTGACGGCTCCTTGCTTGAGTCTACCAAGATCCTCCTCTTTTCGACATTTTCCAACACTAGCACGACCAGTTTGAGAACGGTTGAAGTAGATAGCACTGCTGCATACGCGACATTCACGGACAGAAGCCATTCTGTTCGTAACCGAGCAGCATCGAAAAGGAGTGACGTGAAGAGATAGGAGGTGAGAAGAAAAGATGGACGTATAGATTTCACGTGTTCGATGTGCGAGAGGAGAACGATGCAACACGCGGCGATGAGATTGAGGATGGCGGCGGCGAGAGAGAATTTCGTGTTCAGGAGTCGTGAAGAGGCGACGAGGGCTAGGGAGCCAACTTGGATGCCTGCATATGCACTTGATGCAATCTTATGAAACTGTCAGAGATATTTGCCAATACGAAGCTTAGAAACTATCAAGATGGTGAACCGACTAGTTTTGGTGTATAAGCTGATCGTCGCTTCGCCTTGTCGGGAGTTCGAAGGAGATAGATGGCTCTAGGGATGGAGAATAGGAGGAACAGAGCCGAAGGAAGGGTGGACAAGATGCTCTCTTCAAAAGACACTATACAGCAAGATCAAATTAGCAACCGCGTATAATGAACCCCTTTCACCTGTTTATCTGGACATGTCGCACGTGTAAAGTCGAAGCCACCTCGACAGCCATCGGGCCACACCGCCGGGCCGAAGAGGCCATCACCACACGCCGTGGCGTTATAAGATCGGTGGCGAATCATATTCTAAATCAAGCCGCACTCGTACAGGTAGGTAGTTTTACAGCTATCATTCCATGTCGCACAAGACTCTTGAAGGATGCCAATACCGTAGGGCTGAAGGAAAATGCATTACTGACAAACTGTGTGGGGGGACAAAGAAACTTTATAATAAAGGACAAAGAATCCATAATGCTCCGTACATGGATCTATCAGAGACACACGTATACCGCCGCCTAATCGCTAACAAAAGATCCAATCAAGGCGTGGAGCATATCTCAAAGGGGCGCTGACGACTGAGCGGCAATCGTACCCGTTAAAGCCATCGGAGTCATAACTGTCATCCTTCTCTCCCAACTCCCAACACTAGCCGTATCTAAAAGACCCAGGTAGAGCCGCGCTTGCGATGATGACTCTTCGGCGTCTGCCCCGTAGTTGCCCAGATGTTCTAGCTTCGACCGGCTCTGTGGGGAAGAGAGTTCGCCCATTGGATCTTTTGTTTAAACTTATTTCGCAGAAAATTGAACGGTTCTCGTCAGCGGCCGCGTGATTGTTGCGCGGCCTAAGGCGTAACTAAAGGTTCGATTGGCGAATCCATGTTAAACAGACTGACTAACAGATGGAGAGGCTCGCACTAATCGAGTTGGCCGACACCATTTTAGGCAGGTAAACCGTTTTGCCGTTGTTGGACAACCAGCCATGTGGGCGGCTGTTATCAATTGCTTTTAAAGACAAAGGAAAAGACATGTGGAATGAATGCTTCATGGGTTTGACTCCTTATTCTATTGATGTTTTGTATTGCTTTATACTTTATATATTGCATACAGGTAAACAAGGGATTAAACAAGAGATACGAGGTTCATGCTGTTGAGCGGCCATGTCCATACACTAGTCTTCATGAGGATTCATCGGCTCGTCTTCCCCATTTTCGTCGGCGGGAACCTTCTTCGCCGGCGGGGGCCGCACAAAGAGGAGCGCAATCCAAGTAATCATTGACAACAATGCAATGTAAAACCAGGGCAAACCAATCCAAATGCCCTTCTTCTGTAATCCCTGGTCAAAGCACCATGCCAGCACCGGGCCAGCGATAAAGGAACCAATCATTTCGCTCGTGCTAACCAGAGCATAGAGCCTGGAGACAAATTCAGGCTCAACATAGTGAGTTATAGTAGCTCGGGCCAACGGGCTGGCAGCTGCTCCGAAAGTCTCGACGAAGAGGCCCATGATGAAGAAGTAAATGTTGCGGCTGAAACCCTCAATCATTGCGCCGACAAAGAGCAACACCGTGGAATATCGGGTCAGAAACAGATCCTTGCCGAAGGAACTGTAGCCGAATCGGGGCGACATGAGAATTTCGGAAATCTTGGGGAGGACCGCCAACACAGTCAAGTTGAGAAGTCCAAAAGGAGACAGAAGAAAGGTGGTCTCTGCGAGGCGCCATCCAAAGTAAGTGCTAACGTATTGAACAATCGTGCTGGTATACGCTGTAAATCGCGCAGCCTGGAATAAGAACGTAAGGAGTACCAGAGGGATGCTGGGGTTCTTCAACAAGGCCAGAGCTTCTCTCAGGTCGGCCAAGCTCGTGGCTATTTGCTGCTTAATGGCTGTAACAGACATGTCGTTGTCGCCCATCTTCTTCGTTTTGTCCACCGGCAGCGTCTCAGGGATGAAGCAAAAAAGTACCAAGATAAAAGGGAAAATAGAGCAAGCAGCTATCACGGGCACCCAGGGGCTGAATTTCTCCATCAAGAATCCAGTGAGGAGAGGGCCGGCGAGGCCACCAGCCGTGGCGCCAAACGTAAGTTGCAGGAAGCTGGCAGCTCTAGAGAAGGGTATAAAGTCAGCTTTCTTGAGCATAGGATCACACCATAGCACAGTATTTCTCAGAGATTTCCTTACTTCTCCTTCTCAGAACTAACATCAGCAGCCATGGCAAAGAGCATGGCCAGTGTAACTGGGACTCCGCCGCCAACCAATAGAAATAGCGAGCCGATCATTAGCAGGTAAGGGTTCTTGCGGAGGGCATATTGGCCAACTCCAAGCAATAGGGGACCAGAGATTGCCCCCATGATCATGCCTCCATAGGCAAGCAGCGCCGTCGGCTTGCGGCCAATCTTGTCGGCGAGCATGCCAAAGGGAAATGTGGTGAGCAAGCCTATACATGAGGTGAGCGAATAAAGTCAGTAAGCGCCATTATATATTCATTCATTCAAGAGGCAGAAACGCACTCATAATGGAGTTGAAAAGCCCCAGCCATCCGAGCAAATACGCCATCCGAGCCTGGACGTCGTCCGTTTTGCACTTCATCTCGTCAATTATATCCAACGAGTCGTCTCCATAGGAGACGTGGCAGACGGTGTCCTCGATCAGGCGGTAAACGGGCATCATCAACAGCATGCCGCTGAAGACAATCATAAACTCCAAAAAGGCAAACATCCTCACCGCCGCCTTTGGCGTTTTTACCTGCCAACGAGCCGCCTTGAGGACTCGAGGCACAGCCTCATCGTCCCCAGGGATCGGCTCATGTTGGCGCTCGTTTTCCCCTAGAAGAGGCGCGTCCGCGGGACTATCCATTTCGACGTCCGCCATGAAGGGGTGAAGAGGCTGTTAGAACAGCCCGAATTACGCATCAATCAAGAAGGAAAGAGAGAAGGAAAGAAAAACGAAAAACAAGGGCGAGCCAACAGCGAAACTTGTTGCAAGTAAGAGTTCAGCACACTTGACCAGGGGGTAGAAAAAAATGGGGGAGATTGATAAAAAGAGTGCACGCTAAACCTCCGGGTTTACGTGGATCATGATCCTAGTCCGAGATGCTCAGCGCTACATAATTTGACACTAACAAGGACATACTTTATTCTATGCTGTGGCCCGATAGAAGGGAGCCGGGTTGGCATTACGGGACACAACTGTAACATCAAGGAGTCTACATTTAGTTGCAGGCAGGCTAAGCCGAGACAGTTCGTTCGGTGTGCGCGGCTGAAACGAACGAGACGGCCGATGTCGTCCTTGTTCTCAGACAACATAAGAGAAGCAGCCCTACGATGCGTGGGCCCATGACGCGGCTATAGCCTAAAGTTGTCAAAGATGACCCGAGCTGACGGCGAATCGCATCTCAGGGCAGCGGGCAGAAATGCTGCTTGTGGGAATAATGGTTTTTCACATGCGTCCAATGACGACCTTGGCGTGGAGGGGCTGAAATGCGTACCTAAAGATTCAAGTTTGTATGAGCCCTAGAACAGACTTGGACTAAACTCACTTCAATAAAGAGCATGAGGATACTGTCTAATGCGGGAAGTGAAGATGTTTGATTTTATGAAAGTATCTGGTATTACTACATGTAGATCATCATTTCAAGTTTATAGAAAGGAAAACAAAACTCAAAAACTCACCGTGTAACCGTGCTGCTCCGTAAGCCAGTGAGAGCTTTATTTCATCATCGCCATGCCTTCAACCCCACTCAGCGTGACCGAATATTCAAGCTTAGAAACTCTCACCTTCACTTTCTACCATTTTGTCGTGGTATTTCAAGATTGAGCTTCCATTCATGAACACTTCTTCACCAATATCAAGAAACTACGTGTGATAACAACCATCCCTTCGCCATGGCCACCCCTCTTCGTATCGGATTCGTGCCGGAGCACTTTTCTACCCCGCTGCACTTTGCCCAGAAGCACTTTGGTCTTGATGCCACTCTGATCCCCTTTCCATCGGGCACCGGCCACATGATTACAGCTTTGCGGGCCGATGAGATCGACATTGGCATTGGCTTGACAGAGGCATGGATTGCTGGACTCGGAAAGGAGGGCATTGAGGGAGATGGCGGATATCGCCTGGTTGGAACATACGTTGAGACTCCCCTCTGTAAGTATACGGAACGCATCAAGTCTCAATTTACATAGCACTTACACAAGCACATAGGCTGGGCCATCTCAACCGGGGCCAAGCGGCCCGAAATCACCGCCGTCGACTCCCTCAAGGGCGGCAAGATCGGCGTCTCCCGCATCGGCTCCGGCAGCTACGTGATGGGCTACGTCCTCGCCGACAAGAACGGTTGGCTCTCGACTCCAGGCACGGAGCCCTTTTCCGACACCGTCGTCCTCAACACGTTTGAGAAGCTGCGCAACGCCGTCAACTCGGGCGAGGCGGATTTCTTCATGTGGGAGCACTTTACGTCGAAGAAGTTTTACGACTCGGGTGAGATCCGTCGCGTAGGCGAGATTTACACGCCTTGGAGCAGCTGGAAGATTGTGGCGTCGACGAAGCTCACTCAGGGAGGGCTGGATGCTCGCGTAAAGGATTTGTTTGAGAAACTGGACAAGGGGGTGGCCTATTTCAATGCTCATCAGGACGAGGCGGTAGAGTACATCTCAACGAATCTGGATTATTCGGCTGAGGATGCAAGGGAGTGGCTCAAGACTGTCGAGTTCCCAGCAAAGACAGAAGGCGTCAAGCCAGAGGTCGTGTCCAGCTGCATTTCGATTTTACGAAAGGCTGGCGTCCTGGCTGAGGGCAAAGGCATGAGTTCGGATGCGATGGTTGTGTGAGGATTTATTCATGAGAAAATTGAAGATAGCTAAGCGAGCATCGAAGTATAAGAAAATTGATAATGTATTACTATCTAGATTAAATATTACTTTATACTCCCTTACGCCCAGGGCAATACCGAGTACTGTAACACTATTCTTATTACACCTTTCGCTTCAAAATGTCAGTAACAAGCTCAATCATGGGTATTCGCCGCGGCGATGCTGATGCGACTCAAGAGCGCACTTAAGGTCCGTACAGGCTCCAGTTGATGGAGGCAGGGTTGGCGTAACAGTCAGACTTGATGGCAAACTCGTGGCTAGAGTAGGAGCCAGCAGGGAGGTCCTCGAGGGTAGCACACTCAGGGAGCAGGCGGACGGGAACACAGCCGGCGGGGATGTTCCTCTCGACCTGGCCAGTCGAGCTGACGGTGGTGGCGGCCTGCTTCACGACATTGAACTTTGTGCCCTGGTAGTAGGCGAGGGGCTCGTTGCAGATGACATAGGTCTCAGGCTGGAGGAAGCGGAAGCCCTCTGGGAACTGAGAGATGGAAACACCCTTGGTGCCAGGGCCGCCGTTGATATTGGCAGTAGAGAGAGTCGCAGAGCCGGCATCCTTGGCCAGAGAGAAGCCATAAGGAGAGAGGGGAGATCCCTGGTCGGTGATGATGGTCGAAGCACCGAAGCGGTAGTCGGTGGCAGTGCCGTTCTGGTAGAAGATGCTCGGGTTGTCACTCTTTGCTCCGACGCCGGCCTGAGCCAATCCAGCACCGACGTGGATGCTGTTAACGTAGAGGCCCTGGACAGAGGGCGAGAAGTCGAGAGACTTGTCGGTAACGTTGACGAAGAGGCGGAAGCCCGTGGACTGCTGGGTAGGAGGATAGTTGGGGACAATGGCGAGGGGAGAGGCAGCAGCGGCGCCGACAAGGCCAAGGAGAGCAGCAGAGACAAACATCTTGACGGGTGATTTGGTGGGTTGTTGGTTTGTCTGATGTGTTGAGTTCAAGTCTGTTGTTGGAAGACGTTGGCTTTGTGGTGGTGTAAGTTGTCAGGCTTTGTTGGATAAAGACGGAATCTCTTGGCTCAGCGACGGGCGAAGCTACCAGCTTATATACCCGCCGCGAGTCTCCACGATCATCGGATGTCCTCAGCCAGGATCCAGTCTGTCTTGCTGTGTTTCTGCTGAGAAAGTCCAGACGGCGTTGCCACCGCAAGCCAAGGGAGCAGCTTCCCCTCGCCATCTCCATAACTCCATAACTGCCCAAAGCACAGCGCCATCGCGCGTGACCGGAAGCCTGTAAGTCGCCTGCCACGGCCGCTAGCCTAGGCCGCTTAGGGGACTTGGGGGAGCAGCCCAGCACCAAGGCTGGCCCTAAACCGCCTAGCAGCACAGGGCTAAAATGCCGACGGGGGGCGCCACATCTCGATGATCGGCAATATGCCCTTGGCAACGTCATGCTCGTATTCTCTGCCCTGCATATGATTGATTCATGCTGCCTGTCTCTGTACTGTTTGTCAGATTACCGTTACTGCTGCAATTGGCCGTGGTGTATCTTTTTGTTCCGTCAGGGCCAATTGTTCCAGAATGATCTGATAAAGAGCAGTACCAGAGTATGCATGTGCATGTACATCTAATGCAGGTACAAGCATGGACATCTACACTCAACTTGGTACAAACACAGTAGGGTCTCCATGAATAGGTACATGTACCTCGACACTTAGTAATCGGAAGCTACAGCCGTCTTCCTTAGCACTCGTACTTCTACCTGGTAAAGTGCAAAATGGAATATGCAATTTCAGCTTTTACCCAAAACACCACAAGATCCGCCCGTCATCCTAATCGCCGTCATCCCCCTGCTCCTCCCCCCCTCTGACGTGGTTTCTACTTACACCATTGAACGCTGCCATCGCCATTACATTGCATTACTTCACACCTCCGTTTTGCTCCTCGCGTACCGCTAGCATGATTCCACGGAATCCTTCCCCCGGAGCCAAATCGAAATTGATTACATGCAAGCATAAGGAGTTGGTAGTGGATCAGAGCGGACAGCGTGGCTGCTACGATTGATGGCATTTTATTTGTCTGGCGGTATCTTCCGCACTCAACCATGATCCCAGCTTCATCGTATTCCATAGAAGCATCATTACGGTAAATGCGGTTGGCCTCTACCAACTCTGTGTTTGCATGTTTACATACCTGCCGTTGATGTCGTTAGCCACGTTTCACATCAAGGATCGCCCTTACGGTCATTCCGATTGGTCTTTGGAAAGAAACGAATGCTGTTACATACAGCCCTCTCACGAGTAAACACGCCCAAAAACAACTTGACCTAACGATGACTACTTCAATGTTGAACATATGCAGTGGCTGTTGTGCCCGGAAGACCGTGCCGAGCCTTGGCCAACTTGAGTGTGAAATGTCAGAACCGCAGATCATCACAAATGGCTTCCAAGACCCGTCGGGTCCTTTCTGCCAGAACAAGAATAGTAATACGATGGTCAGAGACTCGCTGCTTGCACGACTTTATCCCAATCGCTACGGACTGCTTCATTCATCATAGCACGGACAAGATATCCCGTGTGTTAGTGTTGTCCTACGTTTCACCTACAGCACCTGGTGAGCTTTTCTCCTGAAAGCTCCACCCTCAGCCTACATATGCCGATAATACGTTATTATTCAATGTGTGCGAAAGCATATCTGGATCCAAGTCCCATAAAACATGCAGACCTATTTCCCGAACTGCCGGCAATATTAGCAAATCCGTCCCGCCCTGGCCATCTCCAGCTCATCCTGCATACGGCAGCCGGCGCCATCTCGACTCAAAAGCCGCCTTGCGCCACTGCCATCGGGAGATGTGCATTGGACAAGCAAAGCACCAGGTTATTCCGCCCGTGCTCCTCGTCGAGGCCACGATCTCCTTGGAGGAGAGCCACAAATACGAGGCAGCTAGGACAGGATAGGCGGGCGAGATCCTTGTCATCCTAGTTGACGATAGCAGTAAAAGCGGCCGCCTAATGCCGCTGGCTGGTTATTTCTCCGTATAACGGCTCTCGGTATTTGCATATTGAAGCGCACTGGAATAGAGCCATTGGTTTGGTACAAGCATCAACATCTACCCTGCACACCGCTGGTTTGTTCTAGAGCTCTATGCTCGTAACTGAGCTACTAGGTAGTATCGTTCATTTAGAATACGAATATAGCTTCGTATCCAAATCCAGTCTCCTGAGATGGAAGGGTGATGAGCATTGGTGGCGGAAAATAATCAGACTGGAGAGCAGACAGCAATGCCCTTCGCAAATCCTGTTATTTCTCAGCCAATAAACCCAACACCTGCGGTGGCTATTGAAAGTCCCTTAAACCATTGCAGCTTCATCAAATAAACTACAAGATAGTTCTCCTAATTATAATTTTCCCAGCCAAGATAGAGCGCCGAGTGAAGATGTGGACATTATAGGGTAGCACATCAACATGAAGCTCGCAATTTCCGTGAGCTGTTCCAAAATCAGAAAATCACCAATCGTAGATCATTATGTAGGGCTGCATTACTGATCAACTATTCTCTTTATGCATTTCCCAAACACTTGGAGAATTTGTGCTGCTAATCATAGTGATCCGGTACCATATTTGGGTCTTGATATTTGTCTTTGCCTACCTTATAACTTCATAAGTCGAATGACTATATTGGTGGATTTAGAATAATATGGAGATCGTAGCCAACGATTTTATTGCTTTCGTGAAGAAATTATACTTTACTAAATGGCTTTATAAAGGACACTTTCTAATCATTGAGAAAGCTCTACTCAAACTTACCGTGTGCATTCAACGGCTACCAACTTACTACAAAACGACACTGATGCGATCGGCTAGCGCTAGAAAGTCACTCTACGGAAACATATCATCTTTCCTTATATGTCGGAGATCGATTCTGTCATATAATGTTTAGAAATGCAAATACAAAGTGCCGGATAGTCGGATGGAATGCGAGACGAATGCGTGGCTATGAGAGCGAAGCGTGATTGCGGCAATTGCGGCATCGTATTCATACGTGGAAACGCGTTGCTCATCATTTCCAAACAAGGGCACTTTGTTCGAACCGATATTTTTCTTTTCGTATCTCGGTGATATCACGACAATGTCCTGTTGAAAGGGCGGTATGGTAAGTGAGGGAGATGCTTGGGCGTCTCTGCTCTGCCTCCTGAGTCGCAAATTGTATCATTTTACCCATTCATTAAGAATGATGCACAGTAGCTGACTCACGGACAGTCCGTTCTCGCGCCTCGAATAAGTCTTTTTTTTTTTTTTTTATTGTTTGGCAAGTTGGACAAAGATTGGGCTTTGATGTAGGAAGCGTGCTGAGCGTGAGCCAATATAGTGCGGCTGAAGACGACACCTCAGCTATTGGCTGCACCACTACGAGATGAGTGGATGAGGAGCTTTGACGCGCGCTGGGTTGCTCAACGCCGTGATTTCGATGTATGCTGTCGATCGTCGTTGAGATATATCGAATAGCTGGAGAGTATAGTATCACGAAGTGATCCACCTAACGGAGTATATCGCCGCTCGTCGCGGCGCGATAGAGTATTCCTAGCGGTGACGGCTGTAAGCGGATGATATCGTCAGCACCGAGAAAGGCACATTTTTGTACATGGAGTAAAGGGACCATGGTGTAACTCCATGCTTCACAAATTGCTGGTCGAAACGTTTCATTCACACTCGATATGGGGAAGAAGAAGAAGAAGAAACACAAACTGGTGAAGAGTTGAGCTCTGGCAATTTCCTTGCCATTCAAGGTTGAGCATCCCCTGCACCGTCAGCTGCCATGTCCAGGAGCAATCGATCCGTGGGGGATTCTGGCTTCTGCTTCTTCAGCATCCAACCAACAACAGTTGCTCCGGCTTCCAGCTTTAGTCACGCGTCATTTTTTCGAATCCATGAGACGGCCTAGGCCCAAACTCGACCCGAAAGACCGACGGGGATGTGACAAGCACGACCTTGATAGTTCGGACTTGTCTCGCTGGGGCGGGTTCCTCTCGTCCTCAACCAGTGCACGGCTCTAATCATAATCTTTGACTTTGTATTCCGTAATTGACGCATAATAACCATGAAGCTGCAGATACGCAGCGGCATCTCTGTTTCAACATGAGCGGCAAAAGGGTTGTATATTTGCGGCAATTCTGCAATACATGTATCATGTATGCTTCAGGCGGCACGCCTCGGCTACGTGGAGAGGCAACGCCGAAGATGACCTTTATGGAGGAGATTCGGCGAAGTGGGCATCGCTCCATGGTGGAGAAGCTGGGGCTGACACGCGAGATTGCCGGATATATGGGCTGAGGGGCTTTTTGTACTGGACGCGGCCTTGCGGGGGCTCGGGAGAGGAGGTTCGGAGATTCGGATTCGGTGAGAGCAGGACAAGCGGGGAAGCTGTTTCGGAGTACCTGCATGGCAGATGGGACATGGTTGTTGAAGCCACACGATGTGACGTGATTCTTCGCGACGAGCCACAGGGCGTGCTGTTGTTGGTGCCCGCACAAGCGAGTGGGTGTCTTCATCAACATCGATTGGGTTTCTCAAGGACGCCAATGCAGCAATTGGACGTCTGAGAAGGGCTTAGACCTTCTTACTGGATGGTAACAAGTGGCGTCAACGGCACTACGAACAATGGAGCTCCTAAGAGCAATTAAGTTCAGCGGCGGGTGAAGTTTGCCGTGAGAGTGTACGGGAAGAAGGGGAGAAACACTACGCTCATTGAAACTGGTGCAGGGGATCCATGCTGCGCTTACACGGTACAAGGCTATATTGAAAGTGATGTTTTCGATATCCAAGTCAGTCAGATAGCTGTTGATGGGTTACTTCTTGACATCAGATGCAGCGGCAGTTGGAGAGTACACTGAGCTACGAATTGACATGTCTTTTTTAGTTTCGATGCTAATACAGGTAGTCCTTCTTGGCCTCCAAGCTAGAGGAATCTACTGGAATTTCAGACTTGGATGGACCTTGATGGACACTACGATGACGGTGAGTTGAAATGTCTGTTATTACCACTGAGACTCTCTCTTCATGATATGAGAGATATAGCTGTCCTCTTTCGATTCAATGCGGATGTCTCGGAGGCCAAAGCGTCCACCTGTTGGAATACATTTACCTGATTCAGGTATGGAGAAATTATGGCAGGTAGATAAGATGGGTACATGTACGCAAGGTATCTTCTATTAGGTAGGTAGCATACAATCGGACAGCTCATTACTAAGACCTAAACAACTGAGAAGATGCTAGATAGGGAAATATTCTGCTGCCGTTGTTTTACACGATTACATACGTGTACTACACAGGTGGATCTCCACTGACACTTGCCTCTACAGAACAACCATCTCAAATGCGGTCACTAGTCTACTCTCTATGGGTATATGTCTCGAAAACATGCACCTGGCAGTGAAACATTGATTAACTCTAATGAAACCCTGTCTTCAGATCTTGTATGATACACAAGGATGGTAATGTGCTGGTGAGCAGAGGTAGTGGATATGACTGCTGTGGGTCTCATTGGGTAGAAGCTGAACATGTACAAAGTAACTAGTCGCCATTGGGTAGCAAGGCTTCGATGTCAAACCCTTCTAGAAGCAAATTGGTCGTACGATGAATCGATCCCGCGATAGAGTACCCGTTGATATCGGCCCGCCCGTTCCTGCAGGAGATATGGGGAGAGGAAGGGGCATGAGATGAGGCTGGAGATGAGGTACGCCACAGGCGGTTTGCTGGATGACTGATTGATGCGAGGCTATGACAAGTTTGGGGTTTTCGCTTTTGGTATAGTTGATGGTGTGGCCATGTTGGAGATATTCTTGTGCTACAGTTGCGAAGATTGGGGAAGTTGTGTTGCGCTCCCACATGGGGACTCCCTCTCTATGGTATAAGCTGATGAGCATTGTATGGACATACATCATTTTTGTATATACCATATTATTTTATCATATGCCGCAAATCGATTTTTATCAAATCAACCCAACAAGAACCTTTCCCATAGTACTACCTATGTAGACTTGGTCAATATTAGTAGGGTAGGTGCTTCGTCCATAAGGGAGACCAAGGGCAGCACTTCTCCAAAACGTGCAGGATACGTTTCTTTTTTTCTTTCTTTTTTTTTTTTTTTGCTTGAAATCGAATCACAATTCAGTAAATGTAAGCAGTAGTATGATATCGCTATATCCACAGCTATTTGCACGCATCTCTGGAGGAGTTATTCATCTCATGATAGAAACAGGCCTTTCACGCTGTCAGTTGTCGATACATATTTGGAGGCCCCAAAGCTCCGAGTCTTCAGCGGGGTTAAAAGCGGGACACGACCGCTGTGGGGGAATTCACCAATACAGTAAGGACATGCACCTCTTCCACTCCCATGTATAGCCTGATGTGTCCAAACTCGCCTCTACACCCCTCACCGTGAGATGAGCAAAACAGCAGCAAAAAGGGTTGTCTCAAAGGCGGGGGAAAAAGAGGAGGTCGAGCCAATTGGTCTTCACTCTGGCATATTAAAGGAACATTTCGATGCACAGAGTGACCAAATGGTTGGTGCGGCTCGAGGGCTGGGCGGCTGCTGATTGGCTGGCAGGGGCTCTCCGGCTTAACTTTTAGGCTCCGTGCATGTAAGTTGAATGTTAGTCGAAGCTTCGAATGCATGTAACCTCCTAGGACAGTAAGACCTAATGGACTGCTACTGTAAGGTGTTGATGCTGCTCGGTGGTATCGAGGCTGGGAACTAGCAAAGATGAAATTGCCTCATGGAAACACACACGGCGGCATCAGCCTCACAGAGGCAGGACGTGCATTAGCAGAGTGGCATTGCGTGAAAACAGCCTTGACGACATGAACTACTTGCTACCGTGCAGCAGCATGCAGTGCATCCAACACTGTAGCAGTGGTGCATAGCGTTTTGGAGTGCATGCATAAACGACGAGATAGTTTGTAAACTACATGCAGACATACCTAGTACTGCTACGGAGTAATCTCTCTGTATACACGTACATACATGGATGTTGCAAACAGCCAGTCTTACATGCCTCGAAGCTGTAGACTACTTACACGCAATACGTGCCAACACACACACACACATCAACACAACATTGCCAGAAATAGAATCCCTTCCCACCAAACTACACCTATTCAAGTACTAAAGCAAAAAAATCAGTATCCGGCAAAATGATCAGCAACTCTTCAAGGTTCTCTCCCCTTGTTCTCCTTTCCCCCGCTCCCAGCGCTAAGCACATAACTTGCCTCCCCCACATCTCCAACATGACCCCGAATCCCGAGATATGTACGCTCGCGATGCCATCAAATTACGTCTTCGGCTAGATTAACTGGAACCCGTTAATCCTTTTACTCCCCACCCTCCTCCCCCCTCTGGCCCAGGATTTGGAGAGACGCCTCCCAGACGGATCAAATGGGCCAGTCGCGGCCGTCGGTGGGATGCCGAGCCTGCAGCGAGCCGGGGAAGGCCGTTTGGCACCAAAAGTGACGACTGTGGATGAGCAGGTGAGGAGTAAAGAGGCCTGAGCACAGAGAGGGACAATTACGTACCGGGACGGAGTAGATGAGGGGCTTTTTTGGTCTTTTTTTTTTTTTTTTCTCTCTATCTATTTCGTATGTGTCATTTGTATTGTCCTGGTTGAGACAGAGGGGGTGTCGAGGAGGTGATTTTGGGGCGTTTTCTCGGAGCATAAATATCGGTGCTGCTACTCTGCTCTACCACTCCGAACTATCAACCTCATTCTCCCGACAACCCTGCAGCAACCTCCAAGCCTCATTCAGCCCAAAGAGTCGACAGCATCAGCCCATCGCTCTCCACCCTTGTACGCCTCCCCCCCCGGCATCTACTTGTTGTGTCCCTCCGACGCCCGGGCTCCCAACTAACCACACCCAAACAAACAGATTCCTCTACATATATAAGCTCTCTCGCCCCGATCGATCGAGAAAGCCTTGTAGATCCAAATCACACCACTCCCATCTTCCTTTCTTCTTCTTCAAGAAACTTCCAAAAAATCAGCCAAAATGGTATCTTTCCGCCCCCTGTCCCGTTCTGTCTCTCTCGCTTCGCGAGCCACCCTCGTCTCTTCAACACCTTCTATTGCTTCCCGTCAATTCTCCTCGCGCGCAGCTGGCCTCGCCACCTCCAAGCTGGGCTCCTTCACCAAGCCACGCCTCATGCCATCATCAATCCGCACGCTGACAACCGCCCGCGAAAAGGTCAAAGTTCTCCTCGTTCTCTACGACGGTGGCAAGCACGCCCAGGAAGTGAGTCTCGTCCCTTTCCCCCGTCTCCAAGCTCTATTCTACTTGCCATTGGCCATATTGGCTGTGGCATTCTTTGTCTCTGGTTGAGCTTCTCGTCCATGTTGAGTTTCGGACCATATTTGTGGGGGCCGCATAGTCTCGATCCAAACCACAAAAGATGGGGCCGTTTCGCGCCGGTTCTCAGACCCAAACTCCGCTCATCTGAGTGCGGGAATGCGGGGAGGCCGGCTGGTGGCTGCCGAAACCTCACATGATGCGGGGAGCTCTCCAAAGACTTACAGAAGTAGTAATAGTGTATGCCATCAGTTATCTACTGGTATACAAGCATACGACTTATACGGAGTATCATCTGCTAACACACAAATCTCCACAGGTCCCTGCCCTTCTCGGAACGACTGAGAACGAGCTCGGCATCCGCAAGTGGCTCGAGGACCAGGGCCACACTCTGGTCACCACCTCTGACAAGGAGGGCCCCAACTCCAAGTTCGACCAGGAGCTAGTCGACGCCGAAGTCATCATCACCACCCCGTATGTTTTGAGCCCTTTTTTTCGCCATAATCCAGTGATCCCCAGTCTAATAGTGATGCTCGAATAGCTTCCACCCCGGTTACCTGACCGCTGAGCGTCTGGCCAAGGCCAAGAACCTGAAGATTGCCATCACCGCTGGTATCGGCTCTGACCACGTCGACCTCGTCGCCGCCAACAAGACCAATGGCGGTATCACCGTTGCCGAAGTCACCGGCTCCAACGTCGTCTCCGTCGCTGAGCACGTCGTCATGACCATCCTGGTTCTGCTCCGCAACTTCGTGCCCGCCCACGAGCAGGTTGCCAGCGGCAAGTGGGACGTCGCCGCCGTCGCCAAGCAGGAGTACGACCTCGAGGGCAAGGTTGTCGGAACCGTCGCCGTCGGCCGCATTGGTGAGCGTGTCCTGCGCCGCCTCAAGCCCTTCGGCTGCAAGGAGCTGCTGTACTTCGACTACCAGGGTCTGTCCCCCGAGGTCGAGGCCGAGATTGGCTGCCGCCGTGTCGACACCCTCGAGGAGATGCTTGCCCAGTGTGACGTTGTCACCATCAACTGCCCTCTGCACGAGAAGACCCAGGGCCTGTTCAACAAGGAGCTCATCAGCAAGATGAAGAAGGGCTCATACCTCGTCAACACCGCCCGTGGCGCCATCGTCGTCAAGGAGGACGTCGCCGAGGCTCTCCGCACCGGCCACCTCGCCGGCTACGGTGGTGATGTCTGGTTCCCCCAGCCCGCCCCTGGCGACCACCCTCTCCGCACTGCCGTCAACCCCTTCGGTTTCGGTAACGCCATGACCCCCCACATGTCCGGAACCTCCCTGGATGCCCAGAAGCGCTACGCCGACGGCACCAAGGCTATCCTGGAGAGCTACCTGACCGGCAAGCACGACTACCGCCCTCAAGATCTGATCGTCTACGGTGGTGACTGGGCTACCAAGTCTTACGGCCAGCGTGAGAAGATCAACACTGTCAAGCAGTAGATGGTGGAAGAAAGAAGGAGACGAGGAGGTATTGCCTGGCCTTGAAAGGGGGGAACAAGAAAAACCCACCCACAGAACAAACAAAGTGAAACTTAACAAAATCGGCTCATGTATATGATAACGCTGAAACAACAACACGTATACCTCTTGCATATCTAGCTATTAGTGCCAGCAACAATACTATATCTTTTTTTATTTTTTTCAACTAGATGACCTTCCTTCACTGTGACTTGTAAAGCTTCTTCCTCGATCGCTACCTTACTCTTGCATCCGTACAAAATGGGTGTAAGAGGACCTCATCGACAGGCAGAAAACAAATACGACACATCATGGAAAAATTAATAAAGCCTTTATTCATTATGTGTGTTTATAAATAAATGCGTTTGCCTCTTTCACCATGCGTTACTCATTCCAGTCTTCACATCCGTTAGCAATCATGCCCTCCCAATGCCAGCCGTCATGTCTAAGTAACCCTTTTGAAACTACCCTAGCTAAATCGAACAATATTCATTATCGAACCAGCAAATTCAAACAAGGCATTAATAAGTATAGTAGTATTCTGAAGAAAAACCTCACGGGAATTTACCCGATATGAGAAACGAAAAAGAAGATGAAGAAAGATGCATATATCTTTCATCGTCTCCAGAACTGCCACCACGGCTTCTCTCCGTCGCCGACGTCGCCGCTTCTCCGCGTTGTAGACCTATCTCTCCCCCTGATCCGCCAAAAGTACACGGGTATACCGGCCGCGACGAATGCTACGACAATCATTGTCTGCAGGGGCTGCGCAAAGACGGCCCTGCTGAGCAAGAATAGACTCACGCAGCAAAAGATGATGGGGGTGGAGATCCACGTCTTGTAAGGGCGCTCCAGGTGTGGCTCCTTGACGCGCAGTACAATGAGGCCTAGAACAGTGACAAAGTAGAACGTGTAGCCCGCAACACCGTAAAAGGTGACCAGCGTGCTAAACTCGCCGACGAGGCAGTATCCCGACGTGAGCACGGCGTTGAGTAGCAGGGCATAAATGGGAGTAAAGAACAGGCCGGCATCTTCATCGCCAAAGCAGCTGCGGAACTTCTTGGAGACCCAGCTGCGGGAGCGCTGCGTCGATAGGCCGTGGTCGTTGTCGTTGCTGCCGACACCCAGCCGGCCGAAGATGTCAGGGATGTAGCCCTCCTTGCCGGCGACGTAGATGAGGCGGCTAGCTGTAAAGGTAGATGAGTTGAGAGCGCCGAAGCAGCTCGCGCTGACGATGAGCGCAAAGATGAGCGCGCCAATCGGTCCAAAGACTTTGGATCCAAACATGACGGCAACGGTGTTGGAGGCGTTGATGGAGGCCAGGGGGAGGACGAGGAAGTAGGACACGTTAGCAAGGACGTAGGAGACGATGACTAGCGGCATGGCTGTGTGAATGACGCGGGGAAGATCTCTGCTAGGATTGCGAAACTCGCCCACGACGTAATTTGTCTGCATTGAAGCGCATGTTAGCTGACAGCTCCTTCGTCGTTCACGTATATATACTTTGGCAACTCACATTGTCCCAGCCATCGTAGGCCCATAGTCCGGCATACAACGCAATCGCCCAGTTTGACGGATCTGAAGACGTGCCCGTGAACCAGTCGTGCGATTTCCACTCGCTGCTTGCCTGTCCCTTAAACGAGAGGCCTGTGGCGGCCACCACGATGCCCACCACGGTAACCCCCAACAGTGCCACAAACTTGAGGAACATGAGAAAATCATTGACTCGTGTGCCGACCCTTGTAGAGACGCAGTTGAGAAACGTCACCGCGAAGATGCCCACCAGCGCAACGGCCTTGGTGACCCAGGGGTTGATCGTCTCCGCTTCAGCGCCGATGATGGCCCGCACGAAATACTCGCCCATGATGATGGCGATGATGGCGGCGCTCCCGGGCTTCAGCACCAGGAGGGCCACCCACGAGAAGAGGAAGCCAGCCAGCTCGCTGAAAGTCTTGGCCAGATAAACCTGGGAGCCACCGTTGAGAGGGATTGCGCCGCCAAGCTCGGCGTATGAGGCACCACCTGTCCATGCGAGAATACCGGCCACCACCCAGACGATAAGGGCCGCGCCAGGGGATCCGAGCCTCGCGCTCACCTGGCTGGGCGAGGAGAAGATTCCGGATCCGATAATCAGCCCAATAATCAGCGATAGCCCGTTCAGGTACGTCAGCGTCTTGAGCTTCTCCAGCGACCCTCCCCCCAGGCCCCCATTCGGCCGCCCTGCTGAAGTCGGCGCGCCAATGGGTGCGTATCCGCCAGCGCCGGCCGTCGAGCTCAGCGGAAACAGATTGCCCGCAAAGTCGAACGCCGATGACACCGAATATGAGCGGCCAAGTCTACCCCTCACCGCCGGGTTGCCGTCGTCCAAGGGATCCTCCTCCTCCACCATGGACAGCCTCCGCGACGACGAGATGCTCGGACGCGACGAAACCTCGGAAGCGGCGCCATCGTAGGCAACGCTAGAACTGGCCAGCGACGCGAGCTCCAGCGAGTCTCGCGATTGCGACTGCAGGGGCATGGCTGCCGTGTGTTTGTCCCGTGCCCTTTGTCCTTTCGTTTTCTTTCTTACTCCTCCTCGATTACCACACTGATCGTCAAGTGTTTCAAGTTTTACGTTTCGACCGGCGAATTTAGTAGAGATGTCCCATATCGCCAAAGGCTGGCCAACTCAGTCGCGGGGCACGAGGAACGTCGCCGTATTCCGTGGCAAAGAGTCGCAGATCTCGACAGCGATGGACGAAAAGGAATGCGCTGTCTCGTAACAAACCGCCTCGGTATCAAAAAAGGACGGACGGACGCAGAAATCGTAGTCTTCGTAACGACGTCTCGGAAATAAAAACGAACGAAGAAAGAAGAACAAAGAATGAATGCTGGATTTTTTCCCCCTGAATATAAAAATTATATATAAAAGAAAAGAGTCGGTGGACCAAAGGGAACCTTTAATGAACGGTTCAATGTGAAGCACACACGAGCCCGCTGTTCCCCTCGTATGTACTAGTGAGAGATGTAGCAATTGGGCCCCCTGTTCGCCCGCTCTAATTGGCTTTTTCGGGCGGGCTCTCAATGCTTAAACCTGCTAGCGCCGTATTGTCGGCCTTTCTCCTTGCTGACTAAGGCGACGATTTGGCTCTGCAATCGATCTGCGATTCTGCATTCTCACCTCGTCCTCGTTATTGTCGTTATTGTCGTTTTCGTCGCTTTTATGCGCTGCAACATCATCGTCGCATAAGAGGTCCCTCCACCGCGCCTCTTTTGCTGCTACCTGACGACTAGCAATGGGTTCCGACGATTACAAGGCTATTGGCGGCGGCGCCCTTAAGCTGAAAGGCGCAAAGGTCAGCAAGAAGAAGAAGAAGGCAGCCAAGTCAGACCTGGAAAAGAATCTCTCGACCGGAGACGATGCCGCACTCGCCAAAAAGGACGACGACGACGACACGTCCAAACGCAGCCGCGATAAGAAAAAGAGCCCCGTAGACGATCATCACAGCAACGAAGATGGCGAGGACAAGGAAGAGGATGAACCAGTGGTACTGAAGACGGAGTCGGAGCGACGGCACGAAGAAGCTAGGAAGAAGAGGGTATGCTTAACTCCCATCTCGTTTTGATCTTGAACCGCAAAGACGAACAGTACATCTGACATTTGGCATAGCTTCTCCAGATTGCGCAATCATCTGGATCAAGACCCGAGCTGTTAAAGACACACAAAGAGCGCGTTGAGGAGCTGAATACGTATTTGTCCAGGCTGAGCGAGCATCATGATATGCCCAAGATCGGACCGGGCTAAGAGGCAATGATGCACCAGCATTGGGCCCATGGGAAAGGGTATTTGCATGGAATGGAGTTTCGGCGTTTTCTGTTCCTGGATGTTGAAATTACTGGATTATTATATACCCATGAAAACCTATCAAAGGAAATACGAGTACCAATTTCACAACAACGATTGGTTAGAAAATTGAAAAACCGTCAACATCACAAATCCAAAGATAACGGCACCCATATGTTGCGCCTAAATGTGTGGCTGCTCCGTTTGCATGTGTGCTTGCTTTACTATATGCTGAAAATACATCGTGTCCCCTTTTTATGCCATATGTGCCAAATGATTATGCCAGAGGCTTTCCCGCGTAGGGCCCCGTCCCAGTCTAAGTCCAATTTTGCTGCCAAAAAAGATCAAAAAATGCAGTTACCCAATCTATGCATCCGCCGAGTTGTTGTATTAAGAAAAGAGTGGTAAGGAAGTGGCCGTGAATTGTCGAGAATAAAAATGAATGAAACGCCGTCGCCAATTCCTCTAGCATCGATACGCTTATGCTTATGCTTATGCAATTTGAAAAGAGAGTGAAAATATTGGGAAAAAGGAGGGAAGGACACAGTCGTGTCTAGTTTATACCATCAGAACAGCCCCGACCAAGAGACCGATGGCAGCTGGCAGCATCACCTCGCCGCGAGGCAGGGAGGCAGCGTTCTGAAGGTCAGGGCTCTTGGATCCCTCAGCCTGGTCGGTAGGGACAACGGCAACCCATGAGGTGGAAGTGAGAGTGGTGGTGCCGCCATTGGGAAGAGTCCTGGTGAAAGTGTGGAGAACGGGAGCAGACGTCGTCTTGGAGCCTGAAGTAATGGTTGTTTCTGGAGCCTGGCTAGATGTACTGGTGGTTGATGTTATGGTATTATCTGCTCAAAATAAGTTAGTTACTGTTGACACGGTTATCGCAAACCACCAAAAGGTGGAAGAAGAAAATGACATTTCCATCCAGCAAATCATGAAGCACTCGCAATCAAGCAATCACAACACTTCTCCATTTACATCCAGCAAACGGTCCAAGCATCAACACCAGAGCTGGAATGTCTGTCTCGACAATGTCAAATGACAGCGCGAAAATCTGACATACCAGTAGTGGTCTCTGTCGCCGTTGTTGATTCCGGTGGTGAAGTTGAGGGAGGGAGGGAAGAGGTAGAAGAGGTAGGGGGGGAAGTAGTAGAAGCAGTTACAGACTCATCGGTAAACGATGAAACGATGCCTGATGACGACCTACCAGAAGAGGTGGTGGACGTTGGAGGAGCGGTCGTAGGAGAGGACTCAGAGGAGGAAGCAGCCGTAGTGGTTTCTTCTGTCTTTGTAGTGGACGTACCAGTAGTAGCAGTGGACTCAGGAGCAGAGGTGGTCGTGCTTGGGGGCTCGGTTGAGCTTGGGGTAGTGGAGGGCGCCGAGGTAGAGCTCTGTTCCGAAGTGGTGGTTTGCCCTGCGGTGGTGGAAGCAGGAGCAGAGGTCGAAGATGTTGAGTCCGTGGTTGAGGACTCAGAAGTGCTGCTGGAGGACTCGCCTGTTGATCCACAAGTTAGTCGTCATCATGACAAGGTTTCCAACATCGAGGTACAACTTACTTGATGAGGTAGATTCAGTTGAAGTTTGTTCAGTACTGGAGGGCGTGGATGTGGTTGATTGCTCCGGTGTAGTTGAGGTACTCGGGAGCGAGGATGTAGATGAAGAGGGCGGAGGGGTTGTGGATGATCCGGGAAGAGTGGTGTTGTTGTTGCCCGGGGTATCATCTTGCCTCTTGGCGATCTGGACAATAGCCGAAGCCACAGAAGGATCATTCTCATGGATAGCATCAATGGCCTCACGGTCCGAGGGGAAGACTCCATGCTGGTATCTCTCGGGGAGATAGGCATGCAGCAGTCGGTGAAGCAGATCAGGAGATGCCTTCTGAAGGGCCTCAACCAACTCCCCGTTGGAGCCATGAGCCTTGGCCACAGCCATCTTGGAGTTGTGGCAGTTGATGACGCCCGGTCGAGCAGTGACGACGCCCAAGCCGAGGACGAAGCCCACTGCGATGATGAGCAGTGCCCGCCTAAAGTAAATCATCTTGGTCCTGGGTTGGGTCTGCTGCGTTAGATGTCGATGTCCGGTCTGCTTCTCTCCTTGGGTGCTCCTCAGAAGTCCAGCCTCTAGGTGGCCATCACGGTCGTTGTAAGCCGCGGGAGCCATGACAGCGGATAATATACTGTCAAGAGTTGAACGAATGGGGCAGTTGAGTATGCGAGTCCCGTGTTGCTGCAGGCAGGGTAGGGGGTGTCTTGAAGTTTACGAGACTGGACGAATCCGAGACGCACGCCACCACCGGCAGGCCAAGCGGAGAGGTTTTTGGGTTTTTGGGTTCAACCAGGCCGGACCCGAAAGGTCTAGCAAGAGGGTTTCGAGTGAGGGCGGGTCCGGTTTTCTCCTCTGGAGATTTACGCTCGTCTGGAGATGTCCTCTTGGGGCAAAGTCTGGGGCAGATGGCTGCAGGTCGGTCTCCGTCTTGCCCAGTCAGGTCGAGGTGCTGATAGGCTTTTTGCCTCTGGCCAACGAAGATGCCAACTGTTCGAGTATGTGTAGTGTATATATGCAGGTGGATGAGGAGAAGGCAAAGTGTGGTGGAAAGAGAGGCTCTGGTTCCTCGACAATGGAAAAGTATAAGTTTTGGGGGCTGGGGGAGAGTCCGTGGGCTTGCATAAAGCGCTCCGCCAGCTTGTGAAAGATAAGAGTCGATAGCAAGCATCAGTGAATCGATCCCAACCCAATGCTAATCCGAATCCGCATCTGCCTGCCTGTGCGACCTGACCTTGGCACTGGTGAACAGCCTCGCGCTTGTGCTGTACTGCCCAGTACGAGTATTGCTATCACAGGTCCCCGTTTCTGTTGCTATCCATGGATACGAGGTGGTGGCCCAGGCTTTTCGGCCCAGCCCACTCTGCTTCAGCTGCCATGGCATGGCATGGCAAACACGGCAGGGCAGCAATGACAGCTCACAGCAACAAGGACATGGGCGATAGCTTATCCATGCGTCATTATTAGCGGACATCAGACGCTTGCGCAGGCTGGAGGTTGGGATGGCGGGACTTGAAGCACGGGCTGAGGGCCAATATTTCCAGACACAAGCCATTCGCTGTTTCTGACTGGCCGGCGGCGTTGCGAGAGAGCTCTAGCGGCCACTAGGCCCGCTGCAGGGGGGGGAAGCTATCGCTGAAATCCATGACGAGTTTCAGTTGTGCAGAGCCGCTGCCGGTTTGACAGACTCGCGGCTCTCAATATTTTTTTTTTTAGCGCCAGAGGGAGCTTACTGGTGCAGTACTATGTACAAGGCACATTTGTACCAGGCATGCATCGTCTACTATGTAGGTACTTAGTATGACTCGACACCAAGCAAGGGCGGAGAGAAAATGGAAACCTCAAGAGAAGAGGAAACAAGACAAGGACGAATTCAATCCGATTTATTGGCCCAGAGCCTCCATTCCAGCGACACACAGGCGTTACGCCACGTCACGCACTTGTGCCTGTTTTTAGCTGGAAGCGTTGCCATTAGACTTTCTGTATTGTTTCGCCCCATGAGCCGCGACTTCAGCACCAGGTACAAAGGATTACAGGGAGAGACTCGGCGATAGTAGAGGAGCAGGCAGTGAGAAAAGGATCAGATCTAAATGATTACGCTGGCATAGCTGAGTCCCTCCTGATCACTCACGATCAGACACACATGCTACTGGATTTGAGGCTTCACTCCGGAGCGGCCTCACGATTTCGCACTCTGCCCAGCTGAGGCGAAGCCGTGAGTGAATGAATGGGTTTCCATGTATTCTCGCAAGCTGCTCCGTACTGCCAAGTAGCTATACCTGGTATTAATCCACTTGCCGGCATGAAGAATCGCCACCCTGCTACCAGCATCATCGACTGCGACTGAATGCAGCACAAATACACTACAGTACTTGTCGTGGTTCGTTGTAAGGACCAAGAAGAATACCTAGTAGTTGCTGCCGCCTGATCAACCACTCCGGAGAAAGCAACCATTCTTGCGCTCCGTCGGCTGGATGCTCTGATTTTAGCCCCATCACCCATCGCCATGGCATTCCCGTGCCCGGCTCTTGGTGTCGTATCCCTATTTAGCAGCGAGTGTTTGCGGAGTCCCTACTCCCTACTCCCCGGTTGTACGAGAGCCTGCATTTACGAAGTGCCATCGCCATCTCCTTATGATCATCGATGGTCATATATCACCCGTCTTGGCCCATGCCCGAACGACAAAAGGGCTGCGTAAACCATGATGGCATGGCGATGGCCTGGCGATGGCCTCTTTTCACAGTCTCTCCGCCGTGCACAATCCCTCCTTTGCCCGTAACCGTGCCAATAACGTGCTCCCGCTCACTTGTACAAGTATTCATTTGTATCATGGCAGGAAGCGTGGCGTGATCTCCCATCTCCACAGCCCGTCTCCTAGCCCTCGCTGCCGGCATTCCCGCTGCTTGCTGCTTACCCATCCTTTCTTCCGCTTCATAGACAGGGCCCGTCGTGATCGTGAAAATCGGGGCGGTGTAACCCCTTTGTGGGCGCCTTCAAGACACCGGAACGCCGCCCGCAGCATCCCGTAATCATGACAGCGACCGAGTTCGAATGTGAGCATGTCTTGCGAATGCCCCCCGGATACGCTCTTTTGCTCTCGTTATTCTCCGCGGGATCGCCCCGAAGCGGTATCACAAGGAAACCACACTAGCTGTGCTGCTAACAGCAGCGACTCCGTAACCGCACTCCATCACTGACATCACCGCCGGCGACACTGGCTCAGCCCATTTCTCGCGGCTCGTATTCGAATCGAAAAATGGGCGGACGGGAGAATTGGAGACCGAGCGACTTGGCCGACGCCGACTGGACCATGGACCATGCGGAAGAGGACCAGACTACCGCTCTCTGGCCAATGTGCAAAGGCCAGCAAACTTTGGACTTCAGCCAAGGCTTATTTAGGCCCTGGGATCAACGTTTAGATTGGCGAGTCCGCGCCTTTGGGTGCCCTCAGCCTCATGGGGAATTTTCGACGTAAGCAAGGGTATCCACGCTTCTGGAAACGCCTCGGAGGCCACGGCGCGCAATCCAGCGGATGGCCAAAGACGAAGGAAATTTGAGAGAAGGAGGGGAAGGGAAGGGGGGCAATTGCTTCGATGACTGGCTTCGTGTGAGCGGCATTGTTTTTATATCGATTTGCTTCGTTGGAGCCTTTAACCTTCTGGGCCACATCTGAGGCTTGTGCATGGTATCGACTGATCTTCCATCGAGAATTCCATCTTCGGATGCCGGCTGCAACCCTGCAAACTATGTTCGTGAGATTCATCTCCATAGTCTCAACTTTGTTTGTCTGGTGCACCAGATTCTCAGATTCTCATGATCCTGCGGCCGTCAAATGGCTCCACTCGAGCTGAATACATTTAGCCCACCAAACCGTTTGCCAGCTCAAGCATGGCATTTCCCTCAGCAGCAATTGGCTGTGTGCATCCTGGTTTCAACCTTGGAGCTATGCATGGCATCTGTAGCTTCAGATCCTTCCAGCCTTGTGAGGTGTCATCCTTTGTGCCGTGGCCTTTGGAGGCTCCAATTGGTGTTACAAGAGTATCGAGGCTGCAAGCTTTGCCTCTACTCTGCTCTTTTTGCCCATTTTGGGAATGTTTGGACAAAGTGATAAGTCACTAACTTGAGGGTGGCTGCAACTAGTTGTGGTCGACTCAGTTTGCTGAAACAATTAGCAGAGGAGAAACGGCGTCTAGCTGCGTGAATGGCCACATGAGGTTTCAGTCGCCAAGACACGTGAAGTTGACGGCTGCAATGCTAAAACGCACAGGCACAGGCACAGGCACTTAATTATATTAAATGCCGCTGAAGATGTCGGCATGCTCTGCCAATAAAACGGCCAATAGCCCGTCACATTCTTGGCCAAGTATAGTACGGAGTACCTCTTCAGCATATTTAAAGAGCTGATACATGCAAGTACCATGCACGTATGGTTTGCAGGGCGGTGACTTTGGCTAGCATCAGGACTTCACGTGATAATGCCAGCAAATGGACCAACTATCTATTCGCATCGTCGCAGCAAAACCTTGAGTCAGGTACACGTAGCTTTCATGTGAAAGTCCGACACGATACCACGTAATCTCGTCTATTTTTTAATTCCAGTTTTCCCAATGTGAAGACTCCTTTGCCTGCTGAAGCCGCCCGAGCAGCAGCCATTGGATTTTCCCAAGGCTGTCGACGCCTCAGTTCTCTAATACGTCATCCTTTTTTTGAGCCACATCCCACTCCAACCGACTTCAATGGTTCCTAGCAAAAGTGGCCTCACACGACATGCCAACACACCTCAGCCCAGAGTCGATAGAGACTCTGGATCTAGATGAACAGCATGTCCTTCGGGCATTGAACCGGTCGCCTCACCCCTACCATCACCAGAGTTCCGAGCTGCCCTACCCCTCTGACCAACTGGTCTCTCGAGGCCAACGGGCTGCATCTCCGAAGCTATCTAGTCTACCAACCTTCTCCAAGGAATCGACACCAGCGAGCGATAGTGGCACCGATGCCGACGATGAACACTTCCTCAAGGGCTTGCCGCCCCCGAAGCTACGACCCCACAAAGGACTGAGAGGCCGGAACGAGGTCATATCCGGCACCTCGACGCCGCTCTTGTCGCCTGCAGTCCTGCAGGAACCAGTGCCTCCAACGAGTCGTCGAGCACCGCATAATGGAAACAAGTCTGGGGATAGGATTATCCTACCAGATGTTATCCGCCGGAAGAAGATTCTCGTGCAGCGAGCCATTGAAGCTGGCATCATCACCACACTGGCCGGGATGATCCAAGCAAACAGGTTGCTGGCACCGGTATTAAGTACTTGGCGCAAAGGTTCATCACATTCATTCTTCATACTTTTGGGATTTCTTGCTTACTAGTTGTAGATTTCTATCTCTTTACTGCTTTGTATGGAGGACTGTTACTGCTATATCCGTTTCGGGTTGTGGCATGGAGCTACAAGAATGGCCAAGCATTTTCAGGCTTCCCGTTGAAGATCCCAACAGTCTTCGACCCTGCTCCTCTTCTCTATCCTCCAGCGATCACGATATTTGTGTCACTGCTGGTTTCTGTCAACAACCCGGCCGTTATCCTCCCCAATATTATACTTGGCATAAGCTCGATCCCACAGCAAGTAGTGCCGAAAATTGATCACTACGCGGCATACGACTCTCTCCACTGGGCTCTATCTTGTCTGCCTCTTATTTGGCGGCCTTCTCTGTCAGATCACTCTCGACTTACACCTACTTATTCTTTCCTCTCGCAAGAAGACCTTGTCCTGCTATACCCTCTGCATAGAACTGCGTCTGCCGTATTACATCATCTTACCACGACTAGTCTCCTTACAGCCGAGCTTCAGCTTCTATCAATTGCACTGATCAACGTGTTGCTTTTAGCGTCGTCACCCCAGATTCAGATACTAAAGGCTCTGTTATGGGGCGGTGGACTGGGCGTACTTGTGCTCTGCGGTGCCGTGATTAGATGGGGAATTGTACTGGCAAGAGTTCCCAAATGGCGGTTTCGAAGAGAGCCATATCCGCCACGCCGCCCTCTTTGGAAGTCCTTGATTCGAATGTTATCTTGGCAGAAGCTTAGGAGCGAAATTCTAGGATCATCTTTCGATTTACATAGCGACGATGCGTTGTTCTCAACCGATGAGGAGGAAGACGATTTGCGATTCAGTAGCCCTACTAGAGTTCAATCTTTCGGCACAGCAGCAGACACGCCATCTGACGTATATAATCTCTCTTCGCCCACTGCCGAGAATGGATGGAAAACGGGTGGTATTTCTCGAAGACATACAACTCCGCACCCTGAGAAGGTTTCTCGCAAAGCAGCAACGCACACTCCATCTGGAAGGAGAAAACGGACTGCATCTGTTTCCGTTCGTGCGTATTTCAAATTTACACCGGCACAAGCAGCACTGAGGAAATGGATGTACGCAGGCTATGTATACGTCTGCTTGGGAGTAATCATAGTGGCCCTTATCCGCCCATATATAGGGAAATACGCCCTTGGTGGCAATGAGCCCATCGGTTGGGCTCTCGGCTACTTCTTTGGTGACTTGCCAGAATTCAGGTATCGAGTTGTCAGAGCCGATCTCGAACGCTGGATTTGTCTCCCTCCACGGATTGACACCTCGGATGCGAAGCAGTGCCACCTTGGCTGGGTGCAGCATGTTCGCCATGACGATTTTGGCGAGGCCAGCACGCGACTTTTCATCAGCGGCTACTGGGTCGTGATTTTAATTATTGGACTCGCCATTGTGTTTCAATTGAAAAACACATATGAGGTTGACACCCGACGGAAGGTATTCCACTTTATGATGGTCGGTATGCTTCTCCCAGCAACCTACATTGATCCGACATTTGTTGCCTTGGCCCTTTCCATTGTCTTAGCCATCTTCTTGATTCTGGATCTGCTGCGGGCGAGCCAGCTGCCGCCTCTTTCCAAGCCGATAGCCTCCTTCTTGGCTCCTTATGTGGACGGAAGGGACTTTCGCGGACCTGTTGTGATTTCTCACATCTTTCTACTTATTGGGTGTGCCATTCCTCTCTGGTTATCGCTCGGATCTCTGCCGCGGACCGGATCTGACTACCTGACCGGCTGGGAAATACCCACTAGAGAGATCAGCATGGTTTCAGGAGTCGTCTGTGTCGGTCTGGGTGATGCCGCTGCCTCCCTCATCGGGCGCCGTTATGGTCACCGTAAATGGCTCTGGGGTGGTGGCAAAAGCCTCGAGGGGAGCTTGGCATTTACCGTTGCCGTCTTCCTTGGTCTAACAACGGCGAGTCTTTGGCTTCGAATAGGGGAGTGGCCCGTCGACGGCGAAGGTACGAGCATGACAACTAGAGCTGGGCATGCTTTTGTGTGTTCCTCCATGGCTAGCTTGACAGAGGCTGTCTTGACAGGAGGCAACGACAACGTCATTGTGCCGGTGATTCTCTGGACATGCGTTAAGGCGCTTGAAGTTTAATTGTATAGAAGCATGATACGGGCGTTTTCTTTCTCTCTTTGGGTTATCAACGATGGGTATTTTACTGCAGTGTGGGATGACACGATGATACGATTCATTTCCTCTTCGTCTGCTTGTTTTAATAGATCGATTACAGATGGCGGATTAGACAGCTGCGTATGGTGAAATTCCAGCGATGCAGGAAGAAGATTTTATGATCTAATAGCTAGATATTCACTTGGAGATGAGGTAGACGGTTAGTTTTTGAAAAGAGGGCGCGCATGCAGTGATAATATGACTCATTAGATCAAAAAATATCACCTTAATAGTTGAATGTGAAAAAAATGTGCATAATAATGCGCTTGCTTTTGGTATCATCCTTCCCCCTATGTGCATTCCCCCTATTTCCTGTGCTATATTGGCAGTAAAACACCATGAAAAGGATCAAGAAAGACAACCTCTACGCAGTTAAATCCTCTAAAATGGCTTCAAGGTCTTCTTTTCTAAACGGTAGACTTAGCAATTCCGTTCCCAGGTTGTCTTTACGGCTTGTCAACATCTGATGGTCGTGGAATCTACACAAGGCGAGTTCTGTTAGTACCATTACCGGACGATTTATAATATGACATTTGTCTTAAAAAGGGGAGATATTAGAGAGATTTTGGGCTTCGCTTGCTTACTCCTTGAGCAACGTCCGAAATGCCATTTCGGAGCTGCAGATGAATTCCTCCACGGCCTTGTTGTACACCATTCTATACTCCAGACCAACACCCTCGTCACCCTCGTCCTCCATTGCGATCAGAACCTCGCCAACAAGCAGTCGGAACAAGTTCTTTGCATTTTCTGTGAGACTCTTGAGGACGAACGCGACACCTTCACGGCCGTTGACGCGCTGGGATTGCCGGCCGAGGAGCTCGTGCACGTCATCTACAACGTCGAGCTCGGCCTTGAAAGGCGAAAAAGTGGTACAGTCGTGGAAGACAAAGTTGAAGTCTGACCGAACGCCAATGTCCCACAGCAGGGCGAAATCGGGCGTGTCGGCGGAACCTACAAGGTTGATTTGCGGGTGAGCTGCGAGCTGAGAGAGGATGGCCTGAGAGCCGGGCTTGCGGAGGGGGATGGCGTCGATAGAGTTGATGATGATGGTGATGGTGAGTTTGGTGGTGGAGAGAAGGGAGATGATGCTCTGGATCATGATGGCTGGTTGAGCAGTTGGCACTCTTTGGGTGGGATCAATGGCGGACGCGACGACACTGAGGATTTCGCGAAGGTTTGTGGTGTGGGCGTAGCCGTTGACCATGACAATCTTGCCAGCCTTTGTGGATTTGTTGTTGGAGTGGATGTAGGTTGCAAACTTGCGCAGGAGATGCCTCTTGGACCCCAAGCCATATAGACATATGCTGAAGCCCTGGGACAGCTCAAACGCCCATTGTGGAAAAGACTCTGCGTGTAGAGACTCGAGATACTCGATGTTTTCGGCGTGGCGGTCTTTGTGCTCCCGTAAAATGCTAAAGTACTCGTCGTGGGAGAGCAGATTGAGGGAGGCCAAGGTATTGTCCGACGTCTTGGGCCGGCCTGGCTTGTTGTGCAGAAAATACAGCTCATGGGGAGGCAAGTCTCTCGGCGGCGTTGGCGATCTGGCTCTCTTGGGCCGGCCCTTTCGTCGAGCTGGCGTTTTTGAAGGTGTAGCCGCCTCTGCTACAAAGCTTGCCGCCTCGCCGTCTGTTCTCTCCTCGAGCTCGTCCTCTCCGTCGTCTTCATCTCCACCATCGCTCGACTCGTAAATCTGCCGTGTAATGTCGTCGCCAATGTGTTCGTCGTCGTCATCGCTCCCTCCATCTCCAACAACTCGATTTATCAGGGCTCTCGCGCTCTTCCTCCGCGCAGATCGGTCTGCTGCCCTGCCGGGCGTGAGGGCATTGAAGCCTGTAGGTTTCTGGGGAGTTGCAAATACGGGTACGACGTTTGATTTAGAATTGGGAGTGCTGCCATTCGCCTTGGCCTTTGGAGGACGTCCGCGGCGTCGAGGTGTTGGCGTTGTGGCAATCGGCTCGGGCTCTGTTGCAGTTTCTTGGATCTCAACGTCCATCTTGTCGCCCAATGACGGGGTATTTGGGGTTTCTTCTTCATTTGAATCCATCGTGGCTCTTCAAAACTGCGTGTTATCTGGCTCTTGAATTTTGTGAGCAATCGTGAATGCCTGATAGTGGTTGTTATTGGATGGAGGGGTTGCTTTGAGGGTATCTTGAATTGCAGAGGCGTAGGAGACTGAGCAGCACGAGACCGAGTTGCTGCCTACAATATAATCGCGATCGTCTCAGTGGAATTTGAATTACAGCCCTCTGACGAGAATAGACCTCTGGGAATGATGTTCTCGTCAAGCCTCAATATCGTCGAGCTATGTTGTAATAGCTAATGGCTGACCTCATCCGAGATTCTCCCTGGAAAAGCCCAAGCACTCAACGCGACAGACGCGCTGAAGCTACCGGAGCTCCAGGGTCTTGAGGCGCTAAACGGAATTTGATGATGTGGTGCAGCGCCTTTGACCCACTGGAGCTGCCCGAAGAAATTGCATGTGTCTACAAGTGCATATATCCATACTTGACTCTTCTACTATATTCATTTTGGATATACGGACATTCATACTGCAAAAATGAACTTCAATTTGTACGGATCTCTCAGCTCGGCAAAGCTACTGCTTAAGCCGGGCTTGTGTCTGCCTCACCACATTGCGCCAACCTTCAACGATCTTCCCATCCCTCTTGATGCCGCCCTGCAAAGAGAAGGCCGGAGAGTCAACATCAAGGCTGTTGTTCTAGATAAAGACGATTGCTTTGCCTATCCCGATGCGAAAGAAGTGTATCCCGCTTACAGGGTACGGCCATGTCCCGCCATTTGTGAATGGGAGCGCAACTAACGGAAATCTGCAGCAACACTTTGAAAAGCTGAAGCAGACGTACCCTGGCCGCAAGCTCCTCGTAGTGTCCAATACAGCTGGAGCAACCAGCTGGGATAAAGACCTCAAGCAAGCAGCTGATGTGGAGAAGAGCACAGGAGTCTATGTCCTCCCTCACTCAACAAAGAAGCCCGGCTGCGGCGCTGAGATCATGGCGTATTTCAAGAAATACCCAGAGACTGGGGTGACTGATCCATCGCACATTGCCGTTGTTGGCGATAGACTGACGACAGACATGATGTTGGCAAATATGATGGGCGCATGGGCGTTTTGGATCAAAGATGGCGTGGTGCCGCTGAATCAGAAGAGCATCGTGAGTAGACGAAACTGCTGAGGTGCATCTGCATGTGATATTGACATTGAGTAGTTCTCCAGGATTGACCACTGCATGGCAGGCTTTCTCCAAGCCCGAGGCGTCAAGGCACCTGAGCCTCGATTTCCCGAGAAATACTGAGCCTCCTGTTGCATCGGTGCCAACTTACCTGGCTAACAGAGCTGCTTTGTACCGCTTCTTTCTCGGCGGTGTCTGTGAATCACTGCCACAATTTGGGTCATGTCTGTATCAAAAGAATCTCATCCGCCTAGCCCTCTGGCGGTCAGCATGGACGCTCAAGCGGTTCTCCTGATGGACTGAATCACCCCATGGGCGATTAGACTCCAACGCCTCGGCACTATAAATTCTTTCTGCTTTGCATCTGACCCTGCAATAACTACTGGTCGTGGGCTGGATATATTCTCAACCCCTTATGAATTTCTTATTGATCATCAGCTCCTGATAACCCTGCTCTTTGCTTGGAACTCTTTGACCACATACATATCCACCTTTACCAGACTGCGATTCTTCGTACGATATTATAACCTGAGCTCGCGCACAATGGGTGGCAAAACGTGGTCCAGGCAGGAAGAACGCCTTTTCTGGAAGATTATCGTTCCACAGTCTCCAAAGGCTGTGAAACCGTCTGATCGAATCCATGACTGGAAAGTCTGCGCCGAAATTATGCAACAGGAAATGGGGGTGAATGCTCGCCGCAAGTATTCGAAGCTCATGCTCTGTGCGTAGCGTGGCCCTTGTCGGAAAGTCTCATCAACTGACTGCTACTCTTTCAAGTCGAACATTATTTCCAAAACGTTCAAACCGGCCACAAATCGCCTTGCGCTCGTGAGTTTGTGGTGGAGCACAAGCGTGAACTTGGTGAGTTCCGCAAACGACGAATGCTATCGGACTCCATCGCTGAAGAGAATCCAGCACGGGCTCAACAGCGAATGGTCACTTTGATGCAAAGAGAGACTGCCAGGGCCGATCTCTAGGTAGGGGATACGGGCTCTGCTTCGGCGACTCTCCTTTCAACTTGATCCATCTTCATCAGCATTACAAGTATCGTAGAGTACGGGGAGTATAGGTAAACACGGGATCGAGTTAAACGAATATATTAGCTGGTATAGAGGGATACTTTCCTGGGCATTCGATTGTTGCAGTTTTTCAGTCGCCAAATAGACATGCAGAGCTGCTTTATTGATGCTGCGCGCACTGGTTGGCAAGACGAGTTTTAATGGCCCATTTATACGCAAATCAAGAGTATCTCATTGCTCGTCATACTCTAAAATTCATAACATTCTAGAACAAAATACTCAGAGGGATAGAAGGAATAATCACATGCGAGTATGTACTCGCTCCAAACTCGTATACGAGTAGATTTCTCCTACTCACGTAGCAGCCATGCTCCAAACATAACAACAAAACGCAGGTCGTCTGTCGCCTCGTGAAGAGGATAAATAGGACCAACCTTCACATTTGTAATGTCAAAGCCTGCTCCTCTCCGGGCCCACAGTCATGATGACCTGAATGCATTGTTAGACATTTCAGCTGCCCACTGCCGTCGTATCACTCCCAAAAAAGAACCCATTGTTCTCAGCTGCCGTATTCTCGCCACTCAGATATCCAGATCATCTCAGCATAAAGCAAGGGAAGAGATGTCTCCTCCACAGCCGAAGCAACTATGGACAACACCAGCATCTTCAGCTGCCCCCGATCTGCCTATGAGAGGACAGCCAATGCTGTAGCCCATTTCGGCACAGCCTAGACGGCATTTTTCAGGGCAATATTTCCAGGGGTCTGCCGTGAGATTGGGAGGCTAGTGGACGGCCCGCGTCTAAGTGGAGCCCGCGTCTAAGTGGAGCTGGTCTAGATGAGCAAGCGACAGCTCAGCTGGCCAAGAGTCAATAATTGGCCCTGTAGCGACTCTAGAAACGGGATGGACCGGCAATAGTCTGAGAGGCTTGACGGGGCTGATACTTGATAGTTTGCAGCTCTATTGTGTGGATTACACCAGTGAATCAAACCAGCACGCTCACCAGTATATGTATAAGTATATACTCTCTCCTATGCAAATACCAATTGCGCTGCCACCACTTCTCATCTTCAAATTGTCTAATTGTTCTTGCATTCTTCTAGCCGTTTAGAACAGCACTTCACAGCACCATGGTCTACCTCCCTGCAACAAAGCATCTCAACGGCGTCCGCCTCCTCGCCCTTGATGGCGGCGGCGTCCGAGGCGTGGCCTCCCTCATTGTCCTCCAAGAAATCATGAAGAGAGTCCAGGTTAAAAAGGGCCTCAAAGAAGAGTGTCGCCCCGCAGACTACTTTGAAATGGGCGCAGGCACCAGCACCGGTGGCATCATCGGTATTATGCTGTTCCGGCTTCGCATGACAACTTCGGAAGCCATTGAGCAGTACGACATCATCTCCAAAGAGGTGTTTAGTCCCAAAATCTACGGGTGGAACCTCACGCGCATGATGCCCAACATGATGGCTTCTTGGATCAACAACAGCAAGACGCTGGTTCAGAGCAGCAGATTTGACGATAAATCGTTGAAGGATGCTATCGACAAGGTTGTTGCCAAGTATGGCTTGGATGAGAATGACAGGAAATTGAAGGGCGAAGCGCCATTATTGCATCCCAAGGCTGGCAGGATGTAAGTTTCTAAATCTTTTGTCCATCTTTCACCCGTGTCCGGAGAAATCATGTCTAATAGATGATTGTATAGGTTTGTCTGCACAACTGCGCAAAACAGAGCTGAAACAGTCTTGTTGAGATCATACAAAAACAACACCGTCCATGTTCCATCCAAAGTCAACAACATCATGCGAGAGCATTCAGACAAAGTCACCATCAGCCTAGCTACGCGCGCAACCTCTGCCGCGCCAACATACTTCCCTGAAGTCAAGTTTCCCGAGCAAGTTGCCAAAAAAGAAGACCAGCTGACCTTTTGGGACGGCGGTCTCCTCAACAACAACCCCATCGACCAGCTATGGTACTCAAGATACGAGCTTGTCGAGCCGCACGAGCCTTCCCCCTCCGTATCATGCGTCATCAGTCTGGGTACCGGCTACACTAAGCCAGACGAGTCACCATCAGATGCGTGGTTCAAGCTCGTGGGAGTTGCATCGTCAGTCATGGGATTTGCTACAAATACAAACGCAAAGGGCAAGGACTTTTCGCGGCACATGTCAGTGCTGAACAACCGATCTGAACACTCCCAGACACGATACGTCAGACTGAACCCGTCGCTCGGCAAGAGTGAGATTGGCCTGGCGGATTATACCAAGATGGAGGAGCTGAAGCAACTGGCGACTGCGTACATCAAGGGCAAGGACAACCAGGAGTGGATTGACAAGGCCGTGGCTGCGGTGTGCGGCGAATGAGAGGAGTTGGGCCATGTTTATATAATTTGATGTTTCCAAGGGCGTGCGTAGGATATATTGGCATGTATTGATTATGAGTTGGACGGTTCAAAACGTCAAACAAGATGGATGGAATTCAAGGGTATATTATACTTGTAAGCGTTGTTCATTGGGGTTTTACTTTTGAAGCTTTTGAAAATATTTAAAGGTCTAGCAATAGATGCTTTTACCGCGCTAAAATATGTCCATCATCATCGTCATCAGTATCCTATTTGTTGCACATTAAATCACATGCCACCTCCGGCAAGCTTGTCCGCTCTGCTCCGGCCGGCGGCACCGAAACTCAAGCCTGAATCAAAAGCCCCGCCGCGGGGACAATCCGTCAACCCACCAAGGCGGTCAAGCCCGGCAGAAATAATTCCTCTCGTTCATCTTCAAGGTCCCGTAGCTGGCCTACGATTCATCGATCCCCAGTATTCGCAGAGTGACGGCGCATTTGTCGAGATCGCATCATCACCATACTGGCCAATTACCCGATTCATTTTGTTTCAGAAACTCCTTCGCCGCCATCATGAGCATTCCATCTCCTTTCGGTGGGGGCAACGCTCCTCTTCCGCAGCTGGGCCAGGATGATCCCAACGTCAGAGCTGTAAATCATCCCATCTTCTCTCTCTGCTTTGCGCGCCTACAAGGCTCGACACCCATAGCGTATAGACCGATTCGCTGACTTTGCTCGGATCTAGATTCAAGGCGCAATGGAATCATGTTATGGCAAGTCCATCATGTCAGGTGTCATGGGCTTCGGCATGGGCGGACTCTTTGGACTCTTCATGGCCTCTGTACGTTTCCTCTCTCTCTCTCTTCCTACCGGCGCCAACTCTTTCGTCCATCTTACTAACATGTCCTGTTCCATTCTGCAGATGTCCTACGATACCCCCTTCGGCAGCCCCCTCCAAGGCGCCAACGGTCAGCCCGCCATCACTTCGCTCCCCCTCCGCCAGCAGCTCAAGATCGGCTTCAAGGACATGGGCACGCGGTCCTGGAGCATGGCCAAGAACTTTGGCAAGGTCGGCGCCCTGTTTTCCGGAATCGAGTGCGGCATCGAGGGCATGCGTGCGAAAAACGACCTGGTCAACGGCGTCGCGGCTGGATGCCTGACGGGAGGCATCCTGGCCAAGAATGCGGGCCCGCAGGCCGTTGCAGGAGGCTGCGTTGCCTTTGCGGCTTTTAGTGCGGCTATTGATGCGTACATGAGACAGCCGAGTGACGAGTAGAGCATTTGCTGGCTATAGCTGTTGAAAAAGAGAAAGGGAGGTGTATGATGATATGAAGGAAAGGGTTCGAGGATACTTGCGTTTAATTTGTGGTAATCATGGGTCGAGGAGTTCCGGTAGAGTGTACATATAGAGCATCTGGGTTGGCGTTGGTGGAACTGACATGGCATCTCTCCACTTTTGGTGTGGCCTTTTGATCGATGGAGAGGGAGGGAAAAGAGAGAGAGAGAGAGAGATGACTGCATGTTGTTGATTTTATGAAGAGATTTGGATGTGTATCACAAATACCTAGGCTTCCATAGAGGCGGATTATGTATATTATGACTAACTAGTCTACCAACTGTCTCGTAATTTCCTCTTTCTTGAACACGTCAAGGGCCAAAAGTACCCCCTGATGCCCGTTTCATTCATTTCATTACTATATAATACCCACACATATTCCTCGCGTTTCTCTGCGTATTAACCATGATAATTCATGACGATTCCTCATTAAACGAAAATGTCGGCGCTCGCTCCTACAACGCCTGGTAGACTTGGAATTTGCCAACCTCCCAGTAGGCATTAGTAAAGGACTGGGGGTTGTTTGCAACAATATCGGTGCAGTTGCTGGAGCCTGCAAAATTAATAGAGTTAATACCATTCTTCATATTTAAAGCAAAAGGGAGAATGTGGAATAAGACAAGGCAGAGAGAGAGAGAGTACTCACATCCAGAACTATCCCAAACGCCGTACACCAAGTCGCCGCAAAGATCAATGTTCAGGATAATCGAATTGTTCTTAAAGTGACTCGCAACATCGCAGTCCGTGCTCGGAAAATCGGCCGCAGCCTCGCCCCAAGTGCTCGGATCAGGTTTCTGGCCGGTGATGTCGGAGGGGATGGAGTTGCGCGCAAACTGCCACACACGAATACCCGCATCTCGCCACTCCATGGCCATGATGCCGCCTCCATTGTTGTTGTAAGCCGAGCCAAAGGTGTTGTCCGCACCCTGGACGCCGCAGCCTGCGTTGCTGTTCTTGGTAGCGTCGCAGTTGGTCTGCAGGGCCTTGTCCGTCTGCTTCCTCTTGACACTCATGGAGCAGTCACTGGAGGTGTGAAGCGTCATCTGGTTTCCGTCGCTGGCCTTGTTTGTGGCCTCCATGACGTCGATCTCGCCATTCTTGGGCCAGTTGGACGGATCAGTGAGCCAGAGAGCGGGCCAAGTGCCACAGCCAAACGGAGTGTGACGGACGTCAAAGATGAAGAGGCCGTTGTTGTACGTGTTTTTGGATTCTAATCGCACCGAGAAGCGACCCGTAGAAGCATCGGGGTTGCTTCCCGGGCCGACAGAGGTGTCGACTTTGAGGACTGCAGCATCTTGGGATGCAAAGGTCAGGTTCTAGCAGTACGTTAACGACATCTCTTGCATTGAAATATAGTAGCTGACGGCATGAAAGTTACTGCTACCTACCAGCTGCTGAGCTCTACCAGCATCAACGTAGTGAACGAAGCCTCCGGCAGGGTCAAATCCTGTGAAGTAGTTGAAGTTGTCAAAAAAGGTTTCTCCCTGGACTAATCCGTGTGCGCGCAAGCAGTGGTTAGCATGATTCCCACATCGTCTAGGAAAGAAAAAGAGAAAGTAAACTCACATGTATCCTTTAGGGTGTATGAGAGCTGGGAATAGTCGGGATATGAGCTCTTCTTCCCTTGTGTAACACCAACAGCCACACCAATGATAATGGCGATGACGATGACAACAGCGATGCCGATCCATACTTTCTTAGACCAGTATCTCGGATCCCACGCGGGGGCGGAAGAGCCTGAACGCTGATAGTCACCACCAGAACCAACGGCGAATTCTTGGTATCTTGAAGGGATCTCGCCCGGCTTTACGCTACTTCGCTCCATTCTGTATCTGGATGAAGGGATTTGCGCCACAGAACTGAAAGACGAGAGACCCAGACAGAGAAAAAAGAGAAAGGAAAAACAGGGGCAGAGATGCTTTTCGCTTTTGGATTTGTCAAAAAGCAATAATAAGAAAAAATCAAATCAGTGAGCCAACAATCGAAGGATGCCAATCCTAGCCAATGAGTGTAGGCGGTTAATATCACCGGCGATAACCTTTTTAGGAAACAAACAGATCACCAACGAGCGCAATTTATCTGATAAATGCGTGCCCAGCCGTGTATACCGCAGAAAAAGAGAAAACGAGCGACACTGGCAGTTTGCGGGTTGAAGAAGCACAAAGGCTATCGCAAACACAGAATACGAGGTGTGGTGTAAAGAGTAGGAAAAAAAAACAAAACACAAAAAGGTGGACTGCAGGTTGACCTCGTACTTGATCTGATGCTCACTGACAGGTACCGGTACTTGTTCTATTAGGTATCTTCACCGGCATATTACTGGACCTTATTTTTCTCGCAAAGCACCGGATACTACGGCACAGCCAGCGATCCATTCCAATGCCCCCGGCGTCTGATACATGCCCGCTTCCCCGTCGAGAGAAAACGTGCCATATTTAGTAGTCCGTAGCGCCGCGAATTGTCTGTCTGTACCTACATGTGCCCATCTTGCCATCCACGGTAACCGAAAGGGCCCTGGCTAACCTCTTTGCCTCTACTCCGTAAACAAACTGACAAACCAGAAAATGCAACCTGCAACCGGAAATCGTTCAAAAGCGGGCTAGAAGATAAAAAATGGGGGCGAGGGACCTGGATCGACACAGCCTGTGACAATGACGCGTCATTGAAACTCTACTCGTATTATACATGATGACACTACGGCACTGACAAGCAAAACGCAGCCATTCATCATCTTCTCTTTCTACTACCTGAGGAGTGTCTACTGTTGCTCTTTTGGATAAAAGGGGGAGCAAATGGAGATAAAGAACCAAGCTAGAGACGGCGTGGCAGTGCAAAAGGCCAATCCAAAGTGTGCCAGATACGAAGTGTGAGTGGGCTCAAGCTTTTGATGGTGTGATGCGGGACAGCTCTGTTCTTCACCTGTCATATGCCATACCTTATCTTCATGCGTTGACCATGCTGCACTTCTCTATAAACACCAGCACCCTCTCCTCACAAATCGCATCAGCACAACATGTCAAGTGGTTGTCCTCTTCTCATATGTTTTCCATTCCATATACCTTTAACCGCGAGCACAGTGACCATGACACCGACAAAACCAAAAGACATTGACCCCTGGATATCCAAGCAGCAGCCGCGATACTGCCTTCGTCTCATTAGTATTGGACATGATAATGCATCTCTAAAAAAAATTAAAAAATAGTACATGTACGCTTTAATCGTCATCTTCCTCAACGCGAGCCTTCTTGGCCTTCCGATCCTCGTCTTGCAATCCATATCCTCTCTTAGACGACGCGTTCTGATCAACCTCAGACAAGAACTTGTCCACGTTGAACGGGTCTGCAGCATCCTTCTCAAACTGCACGGGTCCTTCTCTTGCCTATTCCCAATCAGTTAGCAGTGTTACAAAAAGATAAAAGTAAAGGGAGGGGGAGAATATTTTGAAAAGAACTTACCTCTGCCTCACTGGCCCCCTTAAAGGTACCCTTGCCCAGTGCTTCGCCGAATCGGCTTGATTTCTGGATCTTGGCCATCTCCTTGTCGCCAGCTTCAGCATCTTCGTCGTCCAAGTTTGCTCGCGGCCGGTAGATGCTGTTAATAGCATCCTGAGCAGCAAAGAGGGGCTTGTCGTAGGGGTTGTCCTCGTTGAATCCGCTATCAAACCCGCTGGACTGGTTGAATAATCGGGAGTCGTACATGGTCTCTTTGGATTGCGAAGGTTTAGCAATGCCAAGAGCAATCTTCTCAGATATGTCTCGGTTTTGCTCTCGTGCCATGACTTGGATACGTCGCTCTGCGCCCATTCGTGTTTGTCGCAACTTGCGCTCATCTTCCTTTCGCTTCTCCCTACGCGCCCTTTCTCGAGCCCGAATCTCTGAATCTTCGCTATCAGAACCACCCCTGGACTCTGAGCCGCTGTAGCTTGACCGTGATGGTGATCTCGACCCCGAATCTCGTGAGTCTCGCGAATCCCTCGAGTCCCTTCTTCCACGCCGCCCGGCGGCAGCTCGATCCTCGCGAGCCTTTTGAGCCAGAGATCGCAGGTTTTCTTCCTTCTGAGCCTTCTCCTTCTCCGCTAGCCTCTGCTGCATCAGAGCTCTCTGCTGGACCTCGTCTCGGGCATGGCGTTCTGCCATCTTGATGGCCTCTGCAAACTGTGCGTGCTTGTCATTAATAGTAATATCCTGTAAGCCTCGCCCGTCTGCAGCCAAACGCTTGTCCAGGGGCACTGTAAAGCCCTTCGGGTTCTTCCAATTCGACACTGGAGGTGGGATTCTCCACATCTCTTGGTCCTCGGCTGTAAGTTTTCGTGGGGGCGAGTGCATAACGGGAGGAGGAGGTGACGGAGGGCCGCGGGGGATTTTCTTGTGCTTGAATTTCGGAGGCTCCATCGGATCTCGCTGCCGCTCCACAATCTTCATGATGCGATCCTGCTTCTTGGAGTTGTCTCCCATCTGGTTTGCCGGCGTATATCGCACAAAGGTCGGGTCCTTTCGCTGTCCGATGTTGAGGTTCTTTGGCTTCTGCGCTGCCACTGCTCCGCTGACGAGAGCTGCCAACGCGTTCTTGGTTCTCTCCGTCGTCGCCTCCACAGACTCCTTGTCGGGACGCGATAGATCAATCTCTCCAGCATCAGCTCGCTGCCTCAACGGGATCAGATCCTTGAATGATGTGTGAATGATTCGTCCCTCGCCGTGACCCTGTCTCGCAATCGCGTCGTATTTGACCTTGCCCTCGGCATCGACCTGCAGCGCCAAAGCATTGCTCGTTTTCGCACCCTTCTTGCCCATGTCAAGGGGATACTGGGCAATCGGGATTTCGGGAAACGCACCGCCATCGCCGAAATCCTCCTGCGAGCGAGGTCGCCATCCCGCTCGCTGGCCATATGGAGGAGGTCCGCTTCGCTTCAGGACGATTTGCGTCTCGTCCAGCTGGCCGGGACCCACGATGCGAGGGCCGCGCTGCTGCGTCCGTGATGGCGCCTCCTCATCCTCCCCGGTGTATTTCGGCTTGGGGAGCGACGCCTGCAGCGATGCGGCCATGGACGTCATGATGGGCGTCGTGTGAGATGATGTTGAAGCTTGCGAGTTGCGATGCCAACTTCTAGGCAAGAAATTCCAGGTATGGCGGTGCAGGTGTGGCTGATTGCAGGGATTAAGCGTCCAAGAGTGGCGGTGATGGGCCCACGCACAGCTCCGCAAGGTGGCTCGAGGTGAGTAGCCTCGGAATAATTATTCCCCTGTCACCAAGAAGCAGCTGTCTGTATTAGCTGTTGTATACTCCGTACATAAGAGTTAGAATCACGAGCTAATAGAACGATGCGGTTGATGTATGTAATTGGTTTCTTCTTTCAATCAACGTCTCCTTTTTCATTAAGTTGCCACAGTAATTCCCATGACGCTCTTCGCTAGCCATTTTCAGGCTTCTAAAAAACGCCCATTGTCGTGACTTCCAGCCACGCTGGCCTGCCCACCCTTGCGCATAGAAATGCTGGTATCCGTTCATGCCATCCCTCCTCATGTCCACCTGTAGTCTGTTGCTTGCCATCCAGTTTGCCAGCCTACCCTTCCGTCCAGCTGCAGAATAAAGAACAACATTCGCTTAAACGTAACCCTTGCGAGCACCCTGGAAAAAGAACCGGACAACGAACACTTGCAGTGCTCCCATGCAGACAATCAGAGCAATCTGAATCATGCTGAAGTTGACAATGCGCTTCTCCGTGCTCGCCACAGTGCTGAAGTTGCGGTTCTCTCGTGTTCTAAAGTACTTTTGGTTTCGAGAAATGGTAGAAAGCTGGCCAGAGATCTTGTAGATGGATTCCTCCAGGACGGACGTCTGTTCAGGTGATGAGCCCTGCTTGGAGGGGAGCTGGGCGGTTCGAGACTCGTTTTCGACCTAGAGGGGTGTGGTTAGCTACGACGCCGTGTTCGCAAAGCCAATTCGCTACTAACAGCAATTTCGAAATCGACAAATTTCTCGGCAAATGTGCTCATCTCGTTATTGAAGCAGAACGAGTAGTCGCCAACTTGCTGCGCGGTGAAGACAAAGTCGCCCTGTCGCTCCTTGTCGCCCTCCAGGATGACCTTTCCACCAGGTCCCTCGACAAGGTAGTCGACATCGAACGAACCGCCGGATTGCACCTAATGCGACTTGGATGTTAGCATATGTGCAGAACAGGCATCATCTTGACGCAATGCGGCGGCACCAACAGCAAAGTAAAAGGCAATCTTCTCGTTCTCGTTCTTCGTGGTCGCGTAGAAGCAGGCCTTTTCGTTGGCGGTCAGCTTGTAGGTCAATGCTGTAGCGGCAACATTGGTGGCCATCAAGGCCATCAGGCCAGCTACCAGCGTTGGCAATCTCATTGTGTCGTTGTGCAGGTTCGACGTTGTCGAGGACGGACTGGTTCAGGGATGCTTGAATGGGACACGACACATTGGCCCCAAGTCAGTAGTACTACGAAGATACGCCACCATAGGACAGGGAGTGCTAGGTACACCAGCCACTTTTGCAAGCCACTAGCCACACTTTTTGAGCGAGCGAAAATACATCCATGATGTAAACATCTCCCAAGCACCCACTCTCGGCAACGGAATTTCGCAGCGACCGACCCCTGATCCTCCTGCCTACTGCCCTCTAGGGCCGCTGCATTGATGCCTATCCCACTAGCTTCAGCGTTGGATCGCCTGCAATAGCGGGACAGCGCCTTAGCAGCGTTTCGAATGGATACGTACCGCTTGAGCCACAGCCTGAGACACCGCTATATTATTGGCGTGTTCACGTGTTGTTATTCTTATTGGAGGTGACGTCGATTGTACATTCTCGTCTCTTCCATCTTCGCAATATCGCCATGAGGTGATTGGAGTCTTTTTTCCAGCTTCATCGCCTTGCTTCACGCCTCTTCAGCCCCTCCTGGTTACCGCTAAAAAGTGACCTGCTTCCCCCAAGTGAACCCCCCCAGCCGTCTGACTCTGCGGGGGCGGCAGTGGCATCTTGCTCAAGATGGCCATCCAAAGGACTATCGCTAATGCGTCTTCGGTCGCTATAAGGATAGGAGCCATTCTCTTTTTCCGTGCTGTACGTGATGCTCTCTCGCCTCTCGCTGGGTGCATGTAGTGTTTGAATCTGAACTGACGCCCGGTATAGTTTCCCGTAAGTATTGCTCACTTGCTCATTGGGTGACCGTGAACGTAAGTAAACATGCCTGCCTAACCATGTTTAGGCTCGACTGCCGTCTATTATCTTCGCCCTGTTTGCCATATATATCCCAGCGTTCTTGACGAGCTTCTTCTCTCCGCCTGAACTTGAAATCGTGGATGATCAAGTCGACATTACTGTCAAAGAAACTGTAGTTACACCCGATGATGATTCGGATCAAGAGCTTGTCGCAGAAGAAGTCGACGTTCAGGAGACGATTTCTTACTCCGGAAAAGATGTGCCAGCCTGGAAAATCATCTTTTATGGTGCTCCTAGTTCAAAGCGCCCCTTCAGCTCCTTGCTGAGTTTTCTCATCAACCTAGCATTCGTTGGTCTTACTGCCGACGCCTTATACCGCGCCAGGTGGTATTATCCAGCCAGTGACCTGTCTTTTGTGCGACTTGGATATGTCTCTCACAACGAGGCCAACATCCTCATCCGAGAGCCTGATCAGACCAAGATGCCCGTCACTTTCCAGATCCGAAACTACAACGGCCTCATTTGGCAATCCGTCGGCAGCGTCAAGAGCACCGCCAATGAGACGGACTTCACCAGCGCTCTCACCATTCCGCTCCTGAGCTATGCAGAGCAGCAAAAGTATGAGTGGCGGACCTCGAACAACCACTCGGGTGAGCTGACTGCGGCGCCAAAACCCGGCAAGATGCCAAGTCAAAATGGAGGGAAATATACTTTCTTGTCTACCTCGTGCATCTTGCCGCGATTCCCCTACTCGCCTTTGGATCATCCGCTTGCCATTCCAGGATTACGAAATCTTGCCAAACGACTTCCTGAGTTGGGCGCGCAGTTTATGCTATTCTTGGGTGATTTTATCTATGTCGATGTTCCCGAGCGCTTTGGCAAGTCAGTCGAAGAGTACCGTATGCAATATCGGCAGGTGTATGCCTCTCCCGATTGGGCTTCTGTTGGCCAGAATTTGAGTTGGATTCATGTTTTGGATGATCATGAGATTGAGAATGCAAGTCCCCTCTCATCAATACATGCTTGCTTTTCTTGTTGACTAACAACGACGGCACATAGGATTGGTCTGCAAACACTACCGGGGTTTACCAAAATGCTGTAGACCCATGGCACATTTACCAGGCTCAAATCAACCCTCCGCGAGCTGTGACTGCTGGCACTAAGAGCGAGCGCCGCAGGGGTGCGACATGGTTTGAGTTTGTGCAGGGCCCCGCGAGCTTCTTCATGCTTGACACCCGCAGTTACCGATCCAGCAATCAGCTGCCGTTTAATGAGACGGAGAAGACAATGCTGGGTGCCGATCAATTAGCCGACTTTTTAGCCTGGCTTGGACGACCTGAGCCCAAGGGCGTACGGTGGAAGTTTGTGGCATCGTCTATTCCTTTCACAAAGAATTGGCCTGTGAATGTTAAGGACACTTGGGGTGGCTTCTTGGTCGAAAGAAAGAAAATCCTCGAAGCCATGTGGGCTGTTTCTGCCCGCGGAGTCGGAGTCGTGGTCTTGTCCGGAGATAGGCACGAATTCGCCGCAACCAAATTCCCGCCCCCTCCAGAGTCCGACTGGTCAGAGGAGTCTACCGTCTATGAGTTTTCCACAAGTCCGCTCAATCAGTTTGCGTCTCCTATTCCTTCATATAAGCAGGTGGACGATGAGGACGTTTTGATCCAGTAAGTTTGACTAATCTCATAACCCTCCCATATCATCAGAGGACTGTTCTGACAGCAACCATAGATATCATCACTCTGGCATGTCAAAGTTTGGCTCGTTCACTATCGAAGAGGAAGATGGTGAGAGCAAACTCCTCTACCGACTCTTCATCAGCGGCGAGGAGAAATGGAACACGACCATCACAGCACCGCCAGTTCCCCCTGAAGAGGAGAAGAAGGCTTCTTCGGGATCTTTTTGGGATAGGCTCAGAGGCTGGTAACTTTGTTATATAAATGGAACAAGACCTTGGAGTTTGTTTGGCGTCTGCCTGGGAGATTTTGGGTGTCACTTATCGGCTGATGGGGATGTTTCTAAGGCCATTTTCCACCTCTTGGAATGTGTATGATGAGAAGCCGTGCACGGATGACATGTCTTGTCAGTTTTGTTTGGGACGCAACAGGGACCCGTTTTCACATGTGGCGACAATATGGTGATGAGGATTGCTTTTTATTGGATTATCATGTATGAAAACAAAACGGTTTAAGCTTATCGCTCAAAATGTGCTACTCTCGTTTTTGCTCATACAATGCCTGCCGGCTGACTTTCATTAACAGCTCAAATTAGGTATTCTCATTTCATCACATCGTCAAGTTCTGTTTCCGGACACCACCTCTTGGAACCAGTCAAAAACAACTTGGTTTTGCAGCACAGCAGCGCCAATCGAGCAGTGCTCACCTGCTCCATCCTCGGCCGTGAACAAGTGATACGTCGCCAGTTCTCCAACAGCTTCAGCAACAGTCTTTGCCTGTCCAGGCAACAAGTCATCCTTCTCCGCTTCAGCCACGAAGAACGGGACGCTGATATTGTGGACGGCATCGCCTAGCTTATAGTCCAGGCACTTTGTTGCCCACTCATATGGCGACTTGGTGTTGAACGCCCACAAGCCCTGCTCAATCGCCCAGCGGAAAGAAGTGGGCGCTTCGGGACTCGACACGGCGAACTTGACGGCCTGGTCAACTCCCTCTTTGTTGCCGGCTTTATAAAGCTCAAGCAGCTCCGGAGGGAACTTTTGGAAAACCGCCGCGCCAAAGTCGCTGACACCGTCAATGGCCATGACGGCGGCGATGCGAGGCTCGAATCGAGGCTCCATGGCTGCGGCGCGAGCAGCGAGATATCCACCTAGAGAGTATCCCCAAAGACCAATGGCGTCATGGTTAACATCATCTCTCGTCAGGGCATAGTCGACGACAGGGGACACGACTCGTTCCCATTCGTGGGTGAAGCCCAGATTTTGCTCTCGGCGGACCGTGGGCTGGCCGGGGCCTTCATACGTTATGACGTTGATGCCCCGAACAAGGGCAGCCTCAACGGCAACATGGTAGAGCTCTTCCTGGGAACCATCATAGCCGCTGCACATGATGATAGTTGGATGACGGCCAGGGCGTCCACAGCCGTAGAAGATGGCCGGGACATCGAATCCCTCAGCCTTGAGCGTTACCCTCTGGCCAGGAACAGGAAGAAGCGCAATAGCCTTGTCAAAGGCCACCCTGTGCTGTTCCCAGATCGAGTTGATACGGGGGTCCTCCCAGTTTCCATGGAGGAAGAACTCAGCCGAACGAAGATACGTAGCCTCTCTGAAAAACGCCGTCCTCGCTGAGACGGGATACTTGGCCACGTCGATCTTCTCAGCTTGGTTGTGTGCACGGACGGCAAGGTCGTGGAAAGCAGCGAAGTAGCTCTCAAAGTCCCCGGGCTTGATTTTGGCAGCGGCTGTGAGGACCTCACCAATGTCGGCGCCTTGGTAGGGTGCGATGGAGACGGCGCGGAGGATTTCGAAGTGGAAGCTCTGGTCGGTGCTTAACTGAAGCATTGTTGAACCTTGCTTGCCTTCCTCTGCCATTTTGATGAGTTTTGTTTGGTGTAAAGAAAGGTGTTTTAAGTATGGGGATGTTGTAAGTTATTATAAGTGATGTATACTTGACAGATGTCTCAACTCAAGCTTGATATACTATATATCTGATACAGAAACATGATGGTACAAGAAATCGAACGTTTATATAGAAATCTCACCTGTTGTGTGATGCCATTTCTTACACCCATCAAGGGCCGTCTCCCCAATATCCCGAGATGCATTTTCCGAGCATCTCGCGTTCGAAGCGAATCCGAAAACTAGCTCCGCGCAACCTCGTCACATGCGTTTTGACGTAATTGAAGCAACCACCTTTTCCCACGATGCAAACACTTGGGAATGTCTTTTTGCCGTGTTACAAATCTCGTTATCGGTACTTGTGAATGAATTGCTGGTGAACGACGGAACGAGAGCGAGGCTCAAAAGAGATGAGCGACGCAGCTAAGCCTGATTCAGAAGAACGAGAACGACATGCCGCCCTGCAGATGCAAGTCGGATCCGAGAACGAAGAAACACCTCCGTTCGGCTATTGAGTGCATGGTAAAGGATAGTACGGATTGATCCGCTTTGGACACATGCAAGACGTTGGTCATGCCTGGTATTACAGGGTCGCTTGGTATTTATACTATGTGGCAGACCCCAGCATCTCGCCCTCAAACCCACACACGTGGCCGGATACCAGCGCTATTTGCAGATTTCGGACAAGCAAATTGTTTCCTATTGACACCTGGTCCTCTCTTTATATCGGCAGAATGGTCCCCGTCTCTACCACCCGCAATGGCCAGTCCATCATCTTCTGCCACTTGGCCGGCAAGTTTGCCGCAATGCTCTGCACTTCAAGCTTCCCCACATCGCCAACCCACCACAGCTTTTCAATGACAAGCATCGAGAAATAGTATGCCATGATTACCATGGCCCTCGGACGGACTTCTTGCATGAGGTCGAGAAACTTCTTCTTCACGGCCATGGGGAATATCACCAGCCTTCGCCTTGCGTCGCCAGGGTCGATGTTGGCGTCTTTGGAATGCACCAACAGCAAAATCCCTCCGATGTAGCTGAGAGTCGTCTCATATGCGTCCTGGATCTCCATGTCCCACGGCTCCGACACAACGTCTTCGGCATCACGCTCGAGCATGTACTCCAAGCCCCGCCGGTTTGCCTCGCTGTATCTCAGCTGCAAATCGTAAATGATGGGCGAGCTCCTCATCATGCCCGCCACGATCGATTCCGGATGCGCCAAAATTATTCCCCAAGCTTTGGTGAAGAGGGCTTGCGTCGTCGCCGTGATCAATATCCATTCGAGAGGAGGGGTATATGGTTCACGAGCTCGGTACCGTAACGTAGCAAACGTGCAGACGCGCAACAAGTGTGATGTGAGGCATACGACTTCAAAGTTGGACTCGTTCAGCTCGAGAATCTCCTTTTGATGCTCATGGACAGCCATTGTCAGGTATCGTCTATGTACATTGAGTCCGTCAAAAGAATCATCTATGTTGCATATGAGCGAGTGGATGGCCGCCAACGCATAAATGGCATACAACAAGGCTTCAGAGTCCAACGCTAACTTGGGAGCCAAGGTGGCGAAGACTTTGTAAGTCTTTTCATCGATAGGCAACGAAGGTCCAGTCTCAGTGACGTAGAGGTGCATCAGCCTCGTCTCCAACAGCCGTCGCTGCTTCGATTCCAAGACCTCTTCGTCCAGCGGATCCACCGACGATAAAGGGGAGGGTTTGTCAGGGCTGGTCTCGGAAACTCCCGATTCGCTGGCCAGGGGTTGAGATGAAGAACCCGGAGATGTCTCTTGGCTCGTCCTCTTCTGTGGAAGCCGATCATAGATGCACTTGGCCCTGTGTCGCTCGCAGTGCTGGCATGTGGGCTTGGCCTCATTGCACTTTACCCGCCGTGTGCGACATCGCTGGCAGCCAAACCGCGATTTCTTATGATTGAGCTTTGGCACCCGATAGGTTCCATCGGCCGGGATGCCATCGAGCGTGTACTGGCCAAACATGTCTTGGAGATGAAGGCCTGTCGTCTCCTGAAAGGGGGATGGTTGATACGATGACGCTCTGCTAAGCCAAGCTTACCGCACCAGCTCCGCCGGCTGGATAAAATACAGCTGTTTATGAAACAGCACTTTATCTTTATGAAGCCCTCCGGATTGTCGATTGCAACAAGGCAGCGATATGGGCAGATGACGTTAATGACGGCCAACAGCACCGGCTCTGCCCCGCAAAAAGCCGATGCCGTCCGGGGCGCGATTCAAGCAGTTGCGACGATATAGATGAGCGTATCAGAAGCGGTAAGAGTAATAACAACGGCCAGCAATGGTGTCCTTGTCTCTAATTCCGTAGAAGCGTGCTGTTTGTGCTTGTTCTTGTTGAATATGCTCCGTCATGAGGCCGCTCGCTTGCTTGCGCTACGTAGAGAGCCTTGGGATCCCGTAGGATTAGAGGCTTGGTTTGGCTTGAGACGTTGCGCCTCAGTAATCCTCAGTAATCCGGAGTTCGGGCGGTACGTACCACTGGTCCACCTGCCAGGTGAGCCTGAGAGCTTCCCAGCGGGGCACTTTCACCGCCTTCCCCAATGCGATGCGCTGCCTGCTCCAGAGAAAAAAGTTGGACCTGGCAAAATTATCCAAGGCCTTTTGATTTTTCAGAAAAAAGTCCAGAGACAGCAATCATCAAACCATCTACTGTCATATCTAGGACGGTTAATTCAACACAATGCCTGGAATGCAGAATAAGAAACGGCGTTACGACAACAAGTCACACCGCCCAACCAAGAAGCAGCGAAAAGCACAAGCATACAACAGCGACTCAGAAAACGAAGAGGAACAGACCTTTGACGCGGTTAACCTGCTGGATTCCGATGACGATATTCACAATGCGCCCGCGGACGATGTCGCTGAAGCCGAAGAGAATGATTCCTCGAGCTCCGATGAAGAGGCGCCCGTCGTAAAGAAGACCAATGCCAAGAAGTCAAAGCCAAAGTCAAAACAGCCAGAGCCGGAAGCTGAACAGCAGGAGGAGGACGATGAAGAAGAAGAAGAGCAGAGCGGATCAGATGACGATGATGATGACGACGACATGGACCTCGACGTGGGCGCAGCAAAGACGAAGTCAAAACGTAATGACCCCACTGCATTCGCAACGTCGCTTTCAAAGATTCTATCAACCAAGCTTTCTACATCAAAACGGTCCGATCCCGTTCTGTCTCGAAGCGCCGCCGCGCATGAAGCTTCAAAGGTCGCCGTGGATCTCGCGCTCGAGGCCAAGGCCCGGCGGAAGCTGAAAGAGCAAAAGAGAGTCGCATTGGAAAAGGGCCGCATCAAGGACATTCTGGTGGCGACGGTGGACGAGTCGGGTGAGCCGGAGATGACCACTTCGGAGATCTTGGCGATTGAAAAGAGCTTGCGCAAGACGGCACAAAGAGGTGTGATTCGCATGTTCAATGCCGTAAGAGCCTCTCAGGTACAGGCGGCCGAGGCGGAGAGGGCAGTGAGAAAGGAGGGCGTCATTGGTCATAAGACCAGGGAGGAAAAGGTCAACGAAATGAGTAAGAAGGGCTTTTTGGATTTGATTGCTTCAGGAGGAGGCGGCTTGAAAAAGACTCCGTTGGAAGAGGCGTAGGGTGTATTTTTGTCTTTGCCATTGATTTTTGTTTTCAATATGTATCTATACAGGGAGCGAAGTTCGGCCTGTCTTCAGATCTACTCATCACTAGGTATACAATATTTGACCCCAAAGATACCCCCTTGGGCAAATGCTTGCGCCCAACCCCGAGGCTCGCTGACCCAATCCACCGCTTCTATTTTGTTCAACATTATAAATACAGGGTTTCCAATTTTCCGTCGTGTATGCCGTATTCACATCAAACGACTCCTACTCAATCATTGAAAGTCACTCGCTTGCATGTTTCTCGTCATAGAAGGCAGCCTCACGACCAAGCCGTCCAGCTCCTTGGTCATTATAACCTGGCAGCCCAAACGGCTAGTCTCGGTCAGCCCAAAAGCGAGGTCCAGCATATCGTTCTCGTCGTCTTCGGGCTCGGGCATCTTGTCAAAATGGTCTTCTCCCTCTACGATGACATGGCAAGTCGAGCATGCGCATGATCCTCCACAGGCGCCCTCCATCTCCAGGTCGTTGGCCTGGGCAATGTCGAGCAGGTTGTCGCCAGCCGAAACGGCGAACTTGTGCTCTTCGCCCTCCTTATCGATGAATGTGACCCAAAGCCTGTACCGGTGTTAGCCAAGACTTATTTTTTTTTTTTTTTTTTTTTTGCAGGAATTGCATTGCTCCTCACTCTTCTCCGGGCTTTGGCGGGGTGACATGGCCATGCCGCCGCTGGGGTGTTGTAGAGAATGCGCGACGGCTTGCAGCCAATTGGAGAGACTGGAGGGCTCGTGATGTAGGCGCAGATTGAAGGAGAGGGCTCGGTGAGGCAATCAAGCCTCTATACGGCGCACTCGTGGATGGAATTCGACGGCATCCCGCTTGCGACAGCCTAGCAAGGCTTCGTGAGAGCGATCTTGAGGCCGACATGTGGAGCGCTTGGTCGGAACTCGGTGGCAGCGAAAAAATTGGGATCAAGGAAGAAACCCCGGCGTGGTCGAGTCGCAAACTGGGATTGGCCTGGACTAAATGATCGCCAGCGCCCAAAGACAACGCCGCAGCAGTTTAATAGCCGAGAGAATCACAAAAGAGCAGACCCGGACATGCTCGTTAATAAACCGCCTCCGGTTCGCTGGACGCTCGCATCTCCGAAGCTGTTTGTGGTGGGAATTGGCCGCCGTGATAAGGGTGCTTATCGGCTGCACAATGCATCTATCGGGGGAGGTACCGTAGCAGCAGTAGCTCCCCTCCAGCTTGCCAATGACTGCATTTTTATCGACCACAGGAGCCCAACTTGGGTTGTGAAAAAACAAAGGCAGAGATCTGGAATCTCTCTCTTTTTCAATCAATCATGTCGTCCCCCAAAGAAGCCGCCGTCAATCCCCTGCGGCCGTACTACCGGCCTCCCTCAATCGAAGAGCGGGCAGAACCGGTATTGATCCCGAGCTCGAATCCGTTCTCTGGTGGCAACAGCTACGATGTGGCCAGTGGTACCAAGTACGCCTCCAAGGCGAAGCACATGCTGAATGATCTCGACTACAAGGAGTTGATAGGCGAGCCCTCGCCGTCGGTTGTCGAAAGCGCCAGGGAGCTTGTCGATGAGTTGATATGGAAGTACATGTCCGTCTTGATCGGGCAGCCCTTTGAGGTTGCCAAGATGATCCTGCAGGCTCGGGATCAGGATGAAAAGGCTGCTCTCATGGTAGCTGCCGAACCAGAAACCCCTGCTCCCGCCCCTCAGGTATCAAGTCGAGCTGGCTCGGCATTTGATGTAAGCACCGCTTTTCGAGATTTCTCTCTCTCTGGTGTTTTTTCTTGGCTAATGAGGAACTGTAACAGGAGGATTCTGATGGCGAGGAGCCGGCATACTTCACCTCGAGCGATCCGGCCATACCCAATCCCTGGGGTCCGATCCCAGCCCAGCCTGAGAAGCGACCCGGCAGCGGGCGTGCAGAGTCTCCTTTGCAAACCCCCACGACGCCAAAAAAGGTGCCCGTCACGCCGGAGCACTTCTTGAATCTTCGACGACCTGATGCTATTCTTGACGTCATTGGGCAGCTATGGCAGAGGGATGGCGCATGGGGGGTATGGAAGGGAGCAAACGCAACCTTCTTGTATACCGTCTTGCAGTCTCTGTTGGAGAATTGGTCGAGAAGCTTCCTGAGTGCTGTCTTTAATGTGCCAGACTTGGGAGTCAAAGACAACATTGACCGTCTTGTTGACATTGCATCTCCATATCCTTGGGCTTCCCTGTTCGTGGCCGCCGCCGCTGCCGTCACAACCAGTCTCGCCCTTGCACCTCTAGATCTCATACGCACGAGGTATATGACACAGTTCCACAGACCAACTTATCTACTGTAGTAACTGACATGGCAACAGGTTGATTCTCACCAACCCTTTCAAGGGACAGCGGAGAACCATTGCTAGCCTTCGAGCTCTCCCATCTTACTACTGCCCTCCCACCATTGTCGTTCCCACCATTCTTCACTCTCTTGTCAACCCCATCTTCACTCTCTCCACCCCATTGGCGCTCAAGACCAAGTTCATGCTCACAAGCGAAATTGCCCCCATGACATTCTCTGCTGCCAAGTTTTTTGCCTCGTCAGTGGGAATTTTGATCAAGCTTCCCCTGGAGACCGTCCTCCGCCGAGGTCAGCTCTCAGTCCTTTCTGAGCCGGAGTATATCGAGGCTCTCAATGGCGATGAACCAGCGCTAGAGACCATTGTACCCATTGGCAAATACCATGGTACTTTCGGCACCATGTACCACATCGTTACCGAGGAAGGTACTCGAGAAATCCCACCTAAGCCCGTAATAAGCAAACGAGGCAAGGTCAAGACCAAGAACCTCCAGCCAACCTACAAAAAGGGCCAGGGCATGGAAGGCCTCTGGAGAGGATGGCGAATCGGCTGGTGGGGATTGGTCGGCCTTTGGATGGCGAACATGGTTGGACATGGTGGCGATGGCGAGTTTTAGACGACAACGAAATGAGAGAGGTCGAAGTGGACTTTGTATACCAGTGAGAAACGAAAGGGACAAGGGAAAAGATGGGAGAAATATCAGTACACATCTCCTGAGGACGACAGAACAGAGAGGAAGAAGAAAATCCCCGCTTCAACGACTTTTATGATGGAACGACAACATCTGACTATGCCTTCATTCATACGCATGCACGAATAGCCTTGAAACTATCCGTTCTTTTTCTATTAGAAAGCAGAGCATTGAGTGGTATTTAGTTGGCTGATTTAGGAATTTTGCTCTGTAGCCGATATAGGCAGGAATGAATGCATTACAATGACAAGTATGCAGCAGTGTCACAATTGAATTACGGCGACTGAGATTCCATTAGGGTTCCATCCTTGGTCATGATTGTCTTGGTTTTATTCATATTATTGTCAGATCTATACTGTGGAGAAGATAGAGATGGGGTTTATATTCGTCATCGTTCTATGGAGTATAAACGAGCATAGGCTGCAGCAGTAGATTCAATAATGCGAGATAGAAGGAATGAAATCGCTACATACCTAAACAAATATTGAGTTGATTATAATAACTACCTAGAGTATAGCATCAAATGAGGCCAAGGCAAATACTACTTGGGGGTCAGGGCAGATGTAGTCCATCAGTAATACGGTAATGGCTCAGTAATATTACCAAGGCAAGGCTCCCGATGCAACAAGGAGATCGTATTGAAGCAGTTGCATATTTTAACAAAGAAAAATGCAAAATACTCGAAATGCATGTGATAATACAACTCTCTTTGTCCATAAAATGATACATTTGAGCTCGCTCTGAATCGTTGAATAGGTACCAACGTACGATTGCTGTCACGTGAGCTGGCGTTCACCTGATGATACTCCCACTTCTGCCCTCCAACTCGGCAACATCCCTTTGGCAAATGGCATAGGCGGCGTCAAGTGCGGTTTTGGCCCTCCGATTTGATTCTGAGGCTGGATTTGGCATTGCGAGTCACTTTTTGGATTTAGCGGCATGTCTTGATCCGAGCAAAGCGATTCTCCATCTCCAGACGGGACGCGCGCATCACGCCACGCGCAGGCAAATTCAGAACAATGGCGACGTCTGCAGAGAAGTCAAACATGGCAGGCGAATCGACAGCTGATACGACAACGCGGAAGTTCAAGGCTTCCGAGCTGCCGTTGCCATCTGCAACACGAGCGGCGATCGAGTCTCTGGCACATAGCTTCAAAAAGGAAGGCGCCTACGATTCGATACGGAAGCAGGTTTGGGACAAGTTTGCAGCCAGCGTATGCAGAATAATTGCAACTTGAATCATTCTTTCTTTAGGCATTGCTAATCCTTTCATTTCTTGCTATCAGGACTACGAGGCTCAGGTTACAAAAGCCATCCTCGAGGTGGCAGAGCAGGAAGTCGAGCGCAATCCGCATCAGCTCCTCACGTTGGACCGTAGAAAGGCCGCAGCTCTTATCGATGGCGCATTAGAGCGATCAGGAGTGTATCACAAGGCCGAGGAAGTCATTGGCGAGCTGATCGATGTCGGCGCAATCGAGCAGAGTATTCGTGAAACCAGACGAGCCGAAATCGGTGTAGAAAACGCCAACGAGGAGCAAAAACGAGGAGCCAAGACGGACGAAGAGTATGCCGCCGACACTGCAGCCAAGCAAGCGGAACGCGAGAGAGTGCGAGAGGAGCTGAGGCAGAAAGAGGCTGCCATTGAAGAGGAGAAGAAGCGCATCGCCAAGGAAGAACGCCGCCAAGAAGAAAAGGAGCGTGAGAAGGCCGAGATCAAACGTCAGGAAGAAAGAGATGAACGCCGGAGGAAGCGCGAGAAAGAGCGCGAAGAGAGAGAGCGACAGCGCGACTTGGAGCGAGAGCAAAGGCACAAGGAACGGGAGAAGCGAGAGAGGGAAGAGAGGGAGCGCGATCGCGATAGAGACCGCGACAGGGACAGAGATCGGGACAGGGACAGAGATAGAGACAGGGGCCGCGACCGTGATCGTGATCGTGACCATGATCGAGATGGCACTCGCAAGGAGAAGGTGGTCCTGTCTGAAGAGATGAAGGAGAAGATGTCCAAGGAGGACCACGAGCGACTGGAACAGGAGGCTTTAGCCGATCTTCTGCGCGAAAGCAGCAAATCGACCCGTACAAAGCTCGAGATGGAGATTGATTCTACCTTGGCCCCTCCTCCTAGAAAGATTGGCCCAGCGTCGGCCATCAACCCAATTCGAAGAGACTCTTCCAAGACCGCAGAGTCTAGAAAACCAAGCGACAGGAGAGACTCAAAATCGTCCATCGACCCGAAACTGTCAGGAGGAAAGGACGAGCGCCGTTCTAGTAGAAGCGCATCACGGACTCACGATAAGGACCATGAGAGGGATCGAAGCCGTCCACGAGACATGGATGACCGGCGCCGCCGTGATCATCGCTCAGACTCGCCAAGGCGTGATCGCAGTCGTTCCAAAGTTAGAGATAGAAGGGATAGAAGCCGTTCAAAGCTGCGGAGAGACAGGAGTCGGTCTCGGCGCCGAAGGGACGATAGACGGGAGCGAAGTCGCTCGAGGCTTAGACGCGACCGATCTGTTGCTAGAAGTAACTCACGACGGCGAGTTCGAAGTCGGTCACGAGCTAGATCTACTAGACGAGAGAGAAGCCGTTCCCGAATCAAGACCGAACGACGAGACCGTAGTCGGGATCGTAGCAGGGACCGGAGGGAGCATTCGCGCTCTCATGCACGACCCGATCGACGCGACAGGAGCCGCAGCGGTTCTCGTCTACGCACTGATCGACGCGATAGGAGCCGATCCCGTGCTCGACGACAGCGCAGCCGATCACGAGAGAGTCGTCGCGGCGCAGCAGATTCCTACTATCCCCCTAGATCGGACGCACGCTCACCCCGTCGCCGCAGCCGTGATCGATCCGGCGATAGAGACAAGGATCGAGATCGAGAAAAGGATCGCAAAGACCGGGACCGGGAAAGAGACCGCGCCAGCGACCGACGAAGCCGGTCGCGGTCTCGACCAGGATCATCGGCCGTGCCACACACAGCTTCCAAAGACGAGCTTGAGGAGTGGAAACTCGAAGAGGTCAAGAAGCGGGAGAAGGAGGCCAAGGCATACCTGGCGGCTCAGAAGGACGCCAGGGAGAAGGGCTTGCCCATCCCCGGCGTTGACGACAAGAAGACCAGTGGTGAGAGAACCCTTGCGACACGACACAAGGGTGATGGACAAGCTGTTGACAGATATGCCCCTGGAGCCCGGGACGATCGACATAGGAGCAGATCGCGGAGCAACAGTCGGGATAGGGCCCGGTACCGCGAGCGAGACAGAGACAGGGACAGAGATCGAGATCGAGACCGACGAGACCGTGATAGAGACCGTGACCGTGACCGCGACCGCGATAGGGAAAGGGAACGGGACAAGGACCGGAGAGACCGCGACAGGGATCGCAGCCGAGAGAGAGACCGTGATCGCGACCGTGACCGTGACCGAGATCGAGACAGACGGACCAGACGAGACCGCAGCCTATCCCCCCGCCGAGAGAGACATCGAAGCCGGAGCCGCCGTCGCAGTAGGAGCCGATGAGACCTGGGAAGGGTGGGGGAGCTTTAGCTTGCTGCGTTTTCCTATTTTTTATTTTTTATTTTTTGTATGTATGTGCGCGCGCGCGTTTTACTACTTGATACAGTTTGGAAGCAGCGGAATGCTACTATCGATTGGCTTCTTAAATGAAGAGAGAAGATTATATATACCCTGGATAATGGAAGGAAAGGGGACACGAAATAAAATTCTATGTTTTTTGCCTGAGCATAGCAAAGGGAATTCCATAAACACTAGCAAGAAAGCCGTGGCAATCATTAATGAAGACGTTGCTCTCTTGTCGTGGACACGGTCTAGCAGACGAATAGATGAAACTCGAACTAAAAGGGGTATTATTCGTAATTTTTTTGGGTTCGCTACGCCCATCATAGGCTCATCTCGTAGCAAATACTAGAATCTTTTCTCTTTTCTCTTCAACATCATTAAATATCAATCATTCACTGATGATCTCCATGTCCCCCATGCCTCCCCTGCCATGAAGGAGTGGCCAACATCCTCCTCCCCCTTTCGCTCAGGGTCAACTCAAGTACCACGATTACGGCCACCAAGGAAGATAGTCCAACTACAATGAGTCTTTTTGACCGCATCGCACCACTTCCGCCATTTGATGAAAAGAATTCGTTTATCCAAGCAAGCGTCGTCGTGCCAAGGCTGACGATTTGGTCGTAGCCGAGGGAGTAGTAGGTGAGTCCACCAAGAGCAATGGTGTAGCCCACGGTTTGGAGGAAGGTGATTTGAGTAGACCAGATGAGCACGGAGGCGACCACGAGCAGGATGCTTTTGAAGATGCCAGTCAGAGTCATGACTAGACCTGAAGTCTTGCCGATCTGCGCAAGGACATGCGTTAGCATTCAATATAGTTATGTACAAGGCTTCTGCAGGCAGATTCACGAGAGCAAGGGGACAAGCTTACCAAGAATACACTAGCAACGTTGAGAATAAAGGCAATAGAAGCATTGAGGAAGAGCATTCCAAAACCAGCGCGGGCGGCGTCTTCCCAGTGGAACTTGGGCAGTTCACTGACCAGGGCAATAAGGAAATTCATAACCGCACAGACGGGTGCGTAGTAGTAGAGACTGACAAGGGGATCCATGTTGAGACCTTCGCCGCTGAGCATGACTTGAATCATAACCACGCGAACGGCTTCAAAGCAAGTGCCGCCAATCTGGAAAAAGAAGCCTGTCCAGGAAAACTGAATCTCTCCAAAACTAGAGACGGCCACGCCAAAAACAATCACCAAAACATTGATGAATTTGGCCAGGTTCGGTTCGGCAACGCCCCAGGACCACGAGGCAAACAGCACGGCAACTGGAGAAGCTGCCTTGAGCATCTGAATGAAGGAGACGGAGAGGTAGAGGTACACAACATTAGAGCAGATGAGAGAGCCGGAGTATAGCAGGCCGATGGGGAGAATGGTGCGGAGGTAAAGGCGGCCGGTGACGGGAAAGTTGCGGCGAGAGTCGAGGAGCGTCGTCGTGCGAGCGAGGATCTGAGTTGCGATGGTGGCATAGACGAGATGCCAGCAAGTAAGTAGAATGGCTGTTACGAATGGTCAGTACTTGGCTCCCTCGCATGCAGAACCTCTCCTCATATTCTCCTCCCCAGAGGCAATCTATGCGAATCAGACTTACGATATTCTGTAATTGCTTGTTAGCTACATGTATTTCAAAACACGAAACTGCATCATCTGCCGTGGATATTGAATACTCACTGAATCCGGCAGTGTCTATCAGCCACTTGTTGAAGATGATGGTGACATTCGAAAAGAACATCCAATTTCTACACAGCAAGTCAGCCCCCCCGTTCGTCACTGTCCCGCAACATCCGCGACTGCACGCCCAAGCACACCATTCGCACAAGAGTATTCTTCTTACATTATGTGTGCCCAGACGGGAATCTGCATCTTGACAGAGGGCAAGATCTCCATCATCGGCAGCAAGCCGCCATTGGCATTTGAGACGGTCATGGTTGGCCTTGGCACCGCCAATTATAGTACTTCTGCAGCTCTGGCAGAGGTGACAGTTTCCTTGGCGTTCCCGCCCGGTCCCGCCAAACACAAGAAGGGAAGGAAATGCAAATGCCGTGTGATAGCCGTTGTTATCAAGACTGGATGACAGCGTTGCGCAGCGTCCGAGCTGTGCCGCCAAGAGTTACACGGCGCAAGGGGTCGACGGGCGAGGGCGTAAACCGACAAAATAAGCCGCAACGGTGATTGTCCCGCCTATTCAATTCGATCCCAACTCGCGGCGAGTGTCGACGATTGTTTTTCGCAGCTCGCCGTCCTCGTCTGTCGTGCAGAGCTACCAGGGTGTGCGGTTTCGGTCAAGATCACCAATGCCAAGACAAGGCGCGGGCTAGGAAAAAGAACGGGCGACCAGGAATTTATCATGCAATTCGGCTTGACCAAAAAAGAACAGGCAAAAATCCGCAGCTCAGCAAACGTCCAAAGCAAATCCGCGTTAAAAAGGCCCAAAAAACGAAGTCGAGGATAGAGCTCGGTTCCCCCACAAGGAGCGCGACAAGAAAAAGGAAAGAAAAGGAATCTGGCAAAATGCAAGGCTCCAACGCAAGGATGGGAACGGCGGCGCGAGGGAAGGGAAAGAGCATGGCAGCGCACTTCTGGCTTATGAAGAGCAAGAGCGATGGATGGATGTCAGTCTGACCAATCCAGATCGGTCCAAGACGGCAAAGTTAAGCCACCGGCAAGCACTGCTACCTTGCACCTACCGTGCTTGCCACTTCTGGTTGGCATGGAAGGAGCTTCCAGCGTCGCAGAGTCTGATTGAATGCCCCGGCTGGGGAATGTGCTGTGCTGTGCTGTGCGGTTTTTGGTAGGCGCAGAGTGTCTCGTCTGGCTCGTCTCGTCTCATCTGTGGCCGGAGCACGCGCTACTCAATACGAAGTCACTACTTGGCACTATCCAATGTACATAGGTAGTACAAGTACTTGATCTACTTGGTACGCGCTGTTAGCCTGTGAGCGCTGGCGGCTACAGCGACAATTACTGCCTGTACTTGAATTCATCCATTTGTTCCATTCATGGCATTCGGCATTGATGCACTGCATGTGCGCCATCAGCCCAATTCTGCCGGTAACATTCATCCGCCCTCCGAACAAGACGCTTCTGGTTGTATCTTTTTTTGCCTCCACCTCTCTCAGCAACCCTAACCAGACGAAGACGAAACGTTAACCACAATCTCGTGTCACTCCCAAGCCCATGAGCGAGAGATGTCGTAGCCACGGCAGCAGTACCCTTCCAACGACGTACGGAGCTCGTCCGTGGCTGAACTTGTTTTAGCGGGCCTCTTGCTTCATGCCCATCTCCACTGCTGAGCTTCGCCTCGTATCTACGAGCAGAGCCAACACCCTACCAATTCTAGGGGGGTACTCACTCGAATTGCTGAAAAGGCCATGACCGCTCGATCGATGACATGTACATTGCATCGCATCGCTTCCAGGTATCATTTTTAGGTACTAAACTTGATGCACAGCACAGTACTTGTATCAATACTCGCAAACTCCAAACAAAAACCTCGAGATCTTGTCTCATCTAGCCTCGTTTAGCTCTAGCACCATACTGCAGTCGCCCATCGTCGCTAACAAATTTGGCTTCTTTTCTAATACCCTAGGCAATCTCTTGGCCCAGCATTCCTCCCTTGTCCCGTACCTGATCCTGCATCAAACATTCGCCGGGAAAAAAGGGGTCCCATGGATGGTTCCCTTCCCCTGGAGCCCCTCCAAGTCCCCCCTTGGATGCCCGACTTAGCCCTATTTGGGTCCCCCCGAGTGAGCACTATTGCTGTACGGCCCAAACGAAGGTTTTTTGCTCGCCTGCCAAGCTTTCTGCCAGCAGCGGCCTTACAGGTAGCATGACCGCTAAATCGCTACGGGAAGAAGCGCCAATGGTCCTGGCGACGGGACGCCGATTGGGCCGAGATTCGACGCGCCCTTGTCTAGCGTAGTGCTTGTTTCTCGCTCTCCCATCTTCGCATCCTGGGCCTTTTCCAGCTTGGGTTATAATTATGCGGCCAGCCAAGCTAGAGTGCAGTAGTCCCTTGCGGATGGAAACATCCAGACCGCGATCCGGCCAGGCCTGTAACAATGGTCGAGTGACAACAATGCTGACTGGCATCGTCAACAACTTCTGAGCTTCTCTTCTCTTCCCACGTTGCTGTACTCTGCTGAACAATATTCTATTCTGTGCGGCAATCAGCGCGACGACGCGTCTTTTTTTGTTGCACGACTACTGCTCGAGCTAAGCACATCGTCAAATTAGCCCTGCGTGGCTGTGTTGTCTTCTTTCGGCACAACCCATCGTTTGAATCCTCCCGACCCATCCAATAAATCGCACCACGCGCGGCATCCGTTACAGGTGACGCAAAGTAAGGCGTGTGCGTGCATGGGCCATGTTGTCTTGATCGGGGCGCCGAAACAGTCCGACTTCTCTCACTCTCTCTCTCTCTTTTTTTTTCTTACTTCACGGATACAGTACGTTGAGAACCAGGTAACAAGTATTCTGCATGACAACTTCGTACTGCTCGTATGGCATCCACCGTGGCAAATTGGTTAGGTATTCATTCTCTCGCCAGTTTGCGGCTTAACATCTACCGATCAAGTTCCCATTAAACGCGCTCTCCCCCCCATATTGTTGACGCCAAAAATCCATATCCCACTGATCCTGTTTTTGAAATCTCACACCAACGCCGTCGCTATGCAGATATATAATAAGACGAAGAATAAAAAAAAAAGAAGAGGAAAAAGGCATGTCGCTTCAACCATGTTACGTTGACGTCTTGTCTCCTTCCTCCACTGTGCTTTCAGATGCGGCCTTCGGTTCAGCCTTTACAGGTTCAACCTCTAAAGGTGTTTTCTCTTCTTTGAGGGCTTCCGAAAGTACCGTCGTTGCTGGGATAATGGGAGCTCCATTCTCCGCTTTGTTTTCGTCTTGCTTCGTCGTAGCGGCGGCTTGTGAGTTTGTATCTGCGGCCTCGTTTTCCACCTCGGATTGTAGTATCATGGAGGCGTCGACGCACTCGTAGAATAGCATAAACACTCCGGGAGACAAGCTCATGACAGTTTCTTCATTGACTTGTGACACATTATGATCACTGAGTCTCCACCAAGAATCTCTGTCTGCTTGGCTAGTGTTCTTCTCTGTTGTCTCATCTGCATCTGCGTTCGGGTCTGCTGGCTTGTCGTCGGTAACGCTGTCAGCAACCGCCTCGGGCGAGTCAGCTTCTTTGTTGTCTGCACCATCAACGCTTTCTGGCCTGAGAGGCGGATATTTACGATAGCAGATGTAGTGCCCATTTTCATGCCGCCCGTAATGCGTTACTGCTGCTCTCAGCTCGTAGATTGGCCCCGTCAACCTCGACTCTCCCAAGTCCCCCGCAACCATAGAAGACATGGGGTCCAGCTGCCACTGCTCCTCGCCGTCTTTGTCGTCCTTGTCTTCTGTAGCCTTTTCGTTCACGGGCTTTACTGGCTCGGCACTTCCCAGGCACCATGGACCTAGATCCAGCGTCATCGGGAAGCTCACGGGTGCAGAATTCTTTATCATGTTAAAGGTGGACGGGTCAAAGACGGATCGGTTGACGTGGATGGCTAGGCTTTGAGGCGGCCGCGCTATCACCATCTGCTTCGTCTTGGTCACACTAACCCTGCCTTGCGCAGAGATTTTGCAACGATCTTTGATCGTCTCCTCGTCGAACTCGTCTTCTTCCAGGGCTGTTTGAACAGCTTCCAATCTGCGCAGGGGCTCAGCTAATTGCTCTTTTGTCGAGCCCCCCGACTGTAGCCTCTCCACGAGCTTGGTAAGGAGTCTCTGTGCTTTCAGTAGGGTGCATTTCGGACATTCGACTCCCTCGATTGCCTCGACCTTGCTATATGAGTCCAGTCGTTCATACAAATCGTGATGGTTCTTGTCAAGCCCAAGGCTGAGAGTCAGGCAGTTGAATGGAATCATGGACAGCCCGTCTGAATGACCGCACTGCACGCAGGCCACTCTCTGAGCCAGAAGACCTTCCAATGGATTTCGCACAATTCTTTTCGAGTCCGTCCTGGAGCTTGACGACTGGCTTTGATAACCGCTGTCGTCGCTATGCTCGCTGGGTGAACCTTCGTCCGCGCTGTTATACTCGCCGGTTTCCAGCCCCATGAGTTTATCAGAAGATAGCTTCTTCGCCACCAACGCTGCTCCTTTTTCGACATCGTCCAACACCTTGGAATAGTACTCTTGCGCGTCTTGTTGCGTCCACGTGTTCATCGATTTCAGCAGAGAAGGCGTCCAAAGGGTTTTCCCGTTATTTGAAACATCGTTCAGATCTGCAATGAGCATTCGCAGCGTGTGTGCTACATTGTCATCAGCAGCATGTCCAGTCTCATCCACTCCCCTAAGACACGCCGCGAGATAGTCGGGCATCGAGTGCAGAGAGGCCAGACCCTGAAGAACGCTATTCTGATAGCATGAATTATCTCGGTTCCCCAATCCAGCCGGCCGGTCGGATTCGATCTTCAGGCCCAGAACACTTCCCGTCATGGACAGCGCTCTTGTTCTGGCTCGAAGGACCGAGTTCATGACGCCATCCTGGCGATCCAAGCCCATGACCCTCCGCAAGGCTCCGCTTTTAGCAGCATAAGTGCTTTGGTTCGTGGTATCGCGCATCGGTTGTGTCGTGGAAGAATCCATCCAGCTGTCGAGTGCGAAGAGTAGCGGCGAGGGGATCAGAAACACCAGCGCGTCCCATAGAAAACCGCCAAGCAGCGAAAAGATGCCCTCAATCGATCCGTCGGGGCTGCAAAACTTGGCCAGCAAAGTCACCGCAAGCGTGGCGACGGTAACAAGAACGGCGAAGTCGTTGATGCGATTGACGGTGTTCTCTCGCGCGTAAAACTGTCGACGGGCTGCGACCTGGTCGTCGTAAAACGTATCGAACCCGCGCTGCCGAGAATTCATGCTGCAAGACCTCTTTCCCCCCGGGATCCACGCTCTTGTATTACCACAAGAATTAGGCTTCGGTGCAGCAGCGTCGGCTCGATGACGATGCTTCCATGACCAGCAGGGCGCGGCGCAAAGCGTTTGTGTCGAGAATGAAGAGCTTTGCGCGATGCGGCGATCGGAAGCGCCTCGCTGAAAGAGTCGTCCAGTCACGCAGCAAGGAAAGAAGAAGTGGGCAATGCCAAAAGAGCTTGCTGCAGGAGGAGTTGACTGAATATGACTTCCAAGTTATTTCAACTTTTTTTTTTTTTTATCAAGGTGTTGTCTGTGGACTGGCCAGTAGCAGATCGAGCCCCGGAAGTCGGATTATCTTCAGCATAATGTACAGGTAAGCTCGTGCCGAATAAGCGCAGTCTTCACGTGGCTTTTATTAGGTACTTGTTTAAAGATGCATGAACCAGTGAGGAGGGCGCTGACAAAATACATGCTCACCCACTTAACCTACATCCTCACTGGAGAAGCTGGCTAAGAGAATCTTGTACTCAGGCGGCGGTCTCGAACTACTAGGTAGGTAGGTACTATTACCTAGTACCAGGTAGTAGGTTGCTCTCTGCTTAGGTATGTGCGTGATTACAGAGCTGCTTAATCATTCTCAGGAAATTGTAGAACGTTGCGAGTTCGATCGATTCAGCAGCCCCAGGCCCTCGGGTGAGACTAAAATTGCTGTGAAATCTCTGAAAAAGTATATAGTCGACCTCCCATGCCATCGCCTCAGACCTGACTATAGACATGGTACTGTGTAGTAGTACTAAATTTACTAGAAGAAGTACTAAGGTAGTGCTTCGTAAGGAGCGGATTGATTCCCACATCTGCCATTGCTGAGAGAGTTTGGGCAGTCTTTTTTTATCAATCACTTCTCTGGCTTTCCGCCAGCAGTATCAAACAACAGAAGGAAAGAAAATGTAGAGATGGGATTGAGAGTAGCATGAAAAGAGGGACGATACGCATCGTACTATAGGTAGCTTGCAGCTGTGATCGAAACTTGTAGCCTCAGATGGATGTAATAGCACATGTCCATAGTATGTCCCCTCCACTTTTTTCTAGCCGTTCGCAGCCCTGACGTTTGGCACTGCAGCTACCGCCGCTATACTAGAGCTACAAGTACTAGAGCTTGGTGCCGGGGCATATGGAAACATGGGCTGATTCTCATCATTAACCCTCATTACGTCTGAGCAATAAAATGTTGTTCTTGGTGAAAGGCCGTATGATTAGGTTGGTCGCAGTAATTCTCTGTCTGCATCTTGGCTTAACCTTTGAATCGACTCTTTGCTCATTCATGCTATACTCGCAGCTCTGGCCTTGGCCGCCGCCTCAGCTTCATCCCTCGGCAGGCCTCGGCAGCTCTCTCAAGGCCACGATTCTATGCGACAACCCTCGAGACCGGCCCCAAAGGACTCGTCTTGAAAAGCAATGGTTCTGGATCACCTATCAAGGCTGAATTGTAAGTACCCACCTTGTTTTATGACTGCCAGCCACGCACACAATCGAATCGCTAACTTCTGTTTCCAGGTCGAAAATATGGCTCCGGTATGTGCGCTCACATGCCACAAATGACAGCATTGAGCATGAAATGTAACACTAACTGGCGAATCCCTTTCTGCAGCGATAACTGCCGTTGCGCCCAATGCGTGAACCAGGATACCCTACAGCGCAACTTTGACACCTTTGCGGTAACTATTGACCAGGCAATGTCTGCCACAATTTCATTTAATGCTCATCTCCCTATGCTTGCAGATACCCAAGGACATTTCGCCAATTGAAATATCGCCCAAAGATGACGGCGTCGACATATTATGTACTCACCATTCCAAATATTTTCCCTCTTTGGTTATGAGATGAAGCTTATTAACAACTGCCAGGGTCGGACTCCCACAAGAGCCACTACCCCTGGTCTTGGCTCAACTTTACTGTTCAGGAGACGAATAACAAGAAGCTCTCAAATCAAGAGTAAGTAAGGACGGATCAGCTGATAACAGTACGGAATCTAATACTCTACTTAGCGAAAGGAGGCTATGGGGCGCAACAGTATCTTCAGCTCCTCCAGAAGTCAATTATGAAAACGTTATGAGCAGCACTTCTCCAAAGGGAATGGCTGAATTGACGGGAAAGATTGTGTGTACTTGTCCCGTTTACATGATTGATTAAAACTTACCATGAGTAGCGCCAATATGGGTTTTGCTTTGTCACCAACTCGCCCAAAACTCCAGAAGATACAGAGAAGCTCCTAGAAACAATTGGGCCTATTCGAAACACTCACTACGGAGGCTTTTACGATTTCATCCCAGATCTAGCTCTCGCTGATACAGCCTACACCAACCTGGCTCTTCCGGCGCATACAGACACGACATATTTCACTGAGCCCGCAGGTCTGCAAGCATTTCATCTACTATCTCATACGCCACCTACAAATAAGTCCGCCGATGAGGTGCTGGGCGGACAGTCACTCCTTGTAGATGGATTCAATGCCGCCGAGACCCTTAGAAAGGAGTCACCAGGAGATTTCGAGATTCTGCGCAAGATTAAGCTCCCTTGGCATGCTAGCGGCAACCAGGGAGTGGCAATTGCGCCTGATATGGCATATCCTGTGATTGAAGGCAGTGGCGAGAAGTTGCATAGGATTAGGTGGAACAATGATGACCGAGGAGTTGTCCCCCTGGATGTCGACGTTGATGCGTGGTACCAAGCGGCTCGAAAGTGGGATGAGATACTGAAGCGCAAGGAAAGCGAATATTGGTTTCAGCTTGAACCCGGGCGAGTTTTGAGTAAGTGACTGCATTTTGTGAGATTGAGTATGGTGGCATCATCCTGACTCTTCTTAGTCTTTGATAACTGGCGAGTGCTTCATGGGAGAAGCGCATTTGAGGGACTGCGACGTATCTGCGGTGCTTATAGTAAGTCATCTGGTCCCCAACCCCTTGAATCGTGTTCCCGTAATCTATTCAAAGATTGACAATACAAAAATAGTCAGCCGTGATGACTTTATCTCGCGTTGGAAAATGACCAACTTTCCGCGTGAGGAGGTGATTGCATCGAACATGCAGCTGCGATAAGGACTCGGGAACGGGAGAGGGAGATACGTAGGCCATACCCCGTATAGTCAGAGCATCATGTAGTTTAGAACTGAACATATCAATTGTATATCCACAAGCTGTTAATGGTGATGTTGCGGGATGGACTCTTTGGGTGATACCGCTCATAATTTCGGCTAATGATTCCGGCTCTCGATAGCCGTTCATACAGCTTCACCCAATCACAGCAAACAAGCTCCATCAATTAAACAGCATATCTTATCAATTCCCCAAGCCACAACATTCGAGTTCAAAAACACGACCAAAGACGCAGCCAGAAACCCCCACCGCCGATGACGTGGGATCTTCAGGCGCAACAGCCCGACTAAGACATAGCCCAACTGCGCAAAAAGGAGATGGATCCGCTAGGAGGATTTTTAGCTGACCTTGGCTGGCGCTGGGCTTGTTTAGCTGCCCAACAAGCGGCTGGCGGAATGTCCCAAAGAGTTGCTGTTTGGCGGGGAACGAGCTGGTGGCCAGAGACTATCACGTATCTACTGGATTGGTGTCCGGATGACATTTGAGGGGTCCGGAAGATCTCAGACACGCTCAGGCACACAGACATGGGCGAAGAGGCAGAGCACGTGGGCTGCTGTAGACACGAGATGGCAAGCCGCCAATCAATTGACACGGTGACATTTCGATCCACGCACCCTACTGTATGAGCTGGCATATGTGCCCATGTACGAGTATTCGTGCCGGTACAGGTAATAAATAATTCAACATCAACGTGGGGTCAGACGCCAGGCCGTTTACAACGGAATCCCCACATGGGCTGGAGTGACGAGGTCAAGCATATCAGAAATAACGAGTCGACATTGGAGCGCGTCAACGCGGACAAATAGTGGTAAATGTCGCACCGCCGGGCCCGCCTTGGATTCGTCTCGCGGACGGAGTATTTGCGGAGGAAAGCGGTGGCATGTCCTTGTTTGCATGTATAAAGAGGTGGCAGCATCTCCAACTCTCCCCACAGCTCTGCCTCTCGCGGTAGTGTCACAGCAGCCTTGATCTTGATACCTTGTGTTTTCACCGTTCTCTGTTACTTTCAGCTTCAGTCGCGTCTTATTGATTCTCCCCTTATTTACACTAATTGACCATCTTTGCTACCTAACCATAAACCCACCGCCAAAATGGTGCAAACAAAGAACGGCGCCTTTCCCCACGACAATGCGGCTGTCCCCAACGTCGACCGAGTGCTGCCCCTCTTTTCTCTAAAGGGTAGAACCGCCATCGTGTCGGGCGCTGGAGCTGGCATCGGGCTCGCTGTTGCGGAGGCGTTTGCAGAGGCCGGCGCCAATGTGGCCATCTGGTATAACAGCAATAAGCAGGCCGTGACCTCGGCCGAGAACATTGCCAAGACGTATGGCGTCAAGAGTGAGTGGGATGGATGTTTCAGGCTTCCAGTCTTTGTTCCCTGGAGATGCTGCAGTATTATGTTGCTAACCTGAGGACCACGCCCGGCACAGGCAAGGCGTACCAGGTCAACGTGACTTCGGCCGAGGCTGTCGACAAGGCCATCACCGAGATCGTCAAGGAATTCAACGGCCGCCTCGACATCTTCGTTGCCAACTCCGGCATCACATGGACCGAGGGCGCCTTCATCGATGGCTCCGTCGAATCAGCCCGCAACGTCATGTCCGTCAACGTGGACGGCGTCATGTGGTGTGCCAAGAGCGCCGGCGCCCACTTCCGCCGCCAGAAGGAACAGGGCACGACGATTGACGGCAAGCCCCTGGACAACTTTATTGCCGGAAGCTTCATCGCGACGGCGTCGATGAGCGGCAGCATCGTCAACATTCCGCAGCTGCAGGCCGTGTACAATAGCTCCAAGGCTGCCGTGATTCACTTTTGTAAGTCGCTAGGCTGATTGAGGATGGGTGGCAAAGACTGACACGATTACTGCTTGTAGGCAAGAGTTTGGCGGTTGAGTGGACTGGATTTGCCCGAGTCAACACCGTATCGCCCGGATACATTCTTACTGAAATCTCCAGCTTTTGCTCGCCCGAGACAAAGGCTATTTGGAAGGACAAGATTGTCATGGGGTAAGTTGGGAGCGGTCGATCTATTTGACTATGGCCAATTGCTAATACATGCGTTTATACAGTCGCGAGGGTCACACCGGCGAGCTCAAGGGCGCATACCTTTACCTGGCGAGCGATGCCAGCTCTTACACCACAGGCTTGGATATGATTGTGGATGGCGGTTATAGCCTGCCATAAAGAGCTGTAGGGAGGCCGAAATGAAGAAAATATACCAGAAAAACAAAAGACACGAACGAAATAACAGAAGATACAATAGAAGATGGATGCATGCATATTTGCTGCTTATGAATATCGTCTCCACGAGCAAAGGTATGAGGGTTATGAATATATTGTGTTTAATATCTATACGGATGCAGAAATAGCAGAACAATACTTTGCTTGCTCGTGTGACATCAACATGCCGTAAAGTTGTCCAATACATGACATGCATACTCCGAATATAGCGCCTTTGACTGCCACACCCATTCAGACATCTACAAGTCCTCTTTTGGGACGCTTACATCATCAGTGCCCCAAACGGCAAACTGTCTTCAGGGTCTGGCGGCGGAATTAGGCGGGGCTCCAGCGGGAACAGGGACCATGTGCTGTGCTCCGTTCTCCGGTCTCCAGGGAGGTACAAGCTGGTACATGGCCTCGGACAGCGCATAACAAAGGAGGGGCAGCCAGTCTTACAAAGAAAGGGTGCTAATGACAAGTTGCCAATCCCATCTCGGCGTTGCTTGTACTTTGCTCTGCAGTCGCGGAGCTTCAAACCAGGAGACTGATGCTATTTGAGCACAAAGTACCTATATACTGAGCTTGATACATGTATCTGGCAGATCACTGGCAAATGCCACCAAGGTCGGATGCGGTATGGGCGATTGAGGTGATGTCAATGACTCTGCACCTCCCCGCCCCTTTATTTAACTGGTGGCGCGCCGGCAGAGAAAAAACACCTTAGTATTCCCTACATAGGTACGAGTAGGTACTTTAGTAGGTAGGTAGGAATGCTGCTGCTGGTACTCCGTATGGCATCAATGCTAATCAGCAAGCATCAAGCCTGGAGTCTCATGTAACACGTGCTCAATATACACATTTATGTCTCAAACTGTAGATACTTTAGCAAACGACAAAGCAACAAGAGCATCAGCCGCACCAGCTCCTTTCGTGGTGATTCGCTGCCATCTGCTTGACACCAATCATGATTGGGCACAACTCCTGTCCCGCTTTGCCTGCCCAGCCTTAGCAACTTAGGTAGGTACCCAAGGTTCCCTCTGGTAGCGGCCTCGAGGAGGCAAGTTTAGCGCTTCCAGAGGCCTACAGGTAGCCTCTAGCCCCTAGCAGCCAGTTCCAGCCTTTTGCCCCATGGCCAGCTCCCCAACTTCTTCTCCTGTCAGCCTATTCATCTTTGCCTCGCCAGCGCACGGTTTTGGTCTTGGGCACAGCTATTTGGCACTCCGTGACCTCGCCAACATCTGTCGTCCATCTTGCTGCCACGAGCCTTGCCTCGCCCCTAGCTTTTGAACCAGCAGCTGCAGGCCTGTTGCTTGTCCCCCTCACCGCTACCCGCCACGCTCCCGCCGCTCCAGGGCCTCTGCGACCTCTTGGACCCTCGCCGGGCAGAGCCTCAAAGCCTCTTCCTCCTTCAAGCCCTCCCAAGGACAGCATATCCTGTGTCTTCTGGAGCCTCTAGTTTCTTCTTCCTCTCAGCTCTTCAACACACTCTAGTCGCCCGCCATGGACACCGATGGCGACCACGCCGATCAGGCGCCTCGACGGACCGCCCAGGTCGACAATGCCATTCGCGCAATTCAGGAGAAGAAGCCGCTCCCCGAGATCGACTTCACCATTCACATGATGGAGGATGGCACTCAGGTGAGCACGCTCGAGCGAGTGTGCAAAGGTACGTTTGCCTGCAGTCCATGCTGTGTCGTCGCCGCCTCTCTCTTTCAACTACCCCGCCATTGTCGTTGATAAGGGGAGGCTGCTGTCGGGATTCAGCACCAAATCACACACAATGTCTCAAACATGGCATTCGCTGACGCTCGCGGCACCGCTCGTCTACAGATGTCCAGGCGCCGGCCATGTTCAAGCCTACGGATGAACAGTTTTTCGAAGACGACACCAAGGAAAAGCCCGACATCAACTTCCTCAAGCAGCACTTCTACCGCGAAGGCCGACTCACCGAGGAGCAGGCGCTGTGGATCATCAAAAAGGGCACCGAGCTGCTGCGTGCCGAGCCCAATCTTCTCGAGATGGACGCGCCCATCACCGTCTGTGGTGATGTCCACGGCCAGTACTACGACCTGATGAAGCTGTTTGAGGTCGGAGGCGATCCTGCCGAGACGCGATACCTCTTCCTCGGCGACTACGTTGACCGTGGATACTTTAGCATTGAATGTGTTCTCTATCTGTGGTCCCTCAAGATCCACTACCCCAAGACATTGTGGCTTCTGCGAGGCAACCACGAGTGCCGCCATCTGACCGACTACTTCACCTTTAAGCTGGAGTGTAAGCACAAGTACTCAGAGGCCGTGTACGAAGCCTGCATGGAATCATTCTGCTGCCTTCCCCTGGCCGCTGTTATGAACAAGCAGTTCCTGTGCATCCACGGTGGTTTGAGTCCCGAGCTGCACACGCTCGACGACCTGAGAAGCGTAAGACATTCCAACGCCGAGGCTCAATGCATCTGGCCACGAGGCTAACAATGTGACAAATGTAGATTGATCGATTCAGAGAGCCCCCGACTCAGGGTCTCATGTGCGACATTCTATGGGCCGACCCGCTCGAGGATTTTGGACAGGAAAAGTCCAGCGATTTCTTTTTGCATAACCACGTGCGAGGATGCTCGTACTTCTTCTCATATCACGCGGCATGTGCATTCCTGGAGAAGAACAACCTGCTCTCTGTCATCCGTGCCCACGAAGCCCAGGATGCCGGTTACCGAATGTACCGCAAAACGCGTACGACCGGCTTCCCCAGTGTTATGACCATCTTCTCGGCACCAAACTACCTCGATGTTTACAATAACAAGGCCGCCGTCCTCAAGTACGAAAACAATGTTATGAATATTCGCCAGTTCAACTGCACGCCCCACCCATATTGGCTGCCCAACTTCATGGACGTCTTCACCTGGTCGCTGCCATTTGTGGGCGAAAAGATCACCGATATGCTCATTGCCATTCTGAGCACGTGCTCGGAGGAGGAGCTCAAGGAAGAGACGCCATCCTCACAATCCCCCGGCCCCAGCTCGCCATCTCTTGCTGGTAGCCTGGAGGATCCCAACTCAATCGAGTTCAAGCGCAGGGCGATCAAGAACAAGATTCTGGCCATTGGCCGCATGTCGCGTGTCTTCCAGGTTCTACGTGAAGAGTCTGAGCGCGTGACGGAGCTGAAGACTGTTTCGGGCGGAAGGCTGCCTGCCGGTACTCTGATGCTCGGCGCCGAAGGTATCAAGAATGCGATTAGCTCATTCGAGGATGCCAAGAAGGTCGACTTGCAGAACGAGCATCTGCCCCCAACTCACGAGGAGGTTGTCAAGCATCAGGAGGAGGAACGAGCGATTGCCCTGCAAAAGGCGGCGGAAGAGGCGGACAATGATAAGAAACTGCACCAGCTGTCCCGGAGACTCAGCACGTAAGTAGCACCCATCCTAGGTTCATGTGTTTTCCATGTGGCTGGTAACTAACGGAGTCAAATGCATAGGGATCGCAAGAACCGATCATCATGAAAGCATTGGGGATTTCAGCAAACTTGTGCAGCGACAATAGGCTTTAGAAAATTTTGGGATACGGACTGGCAATGCGAGCTCCAATGTCAAGGAGCCGATGACTTGATGCTTCATGTTACCCATATTTATCAACCTCGTCTTTTTCCTTTTTTTGAAGTTTATATATGATTCACTAGGCTTTGGCTAGAGCAAAAAAAGAGTCAAGGGCTGGGTTTGGCGGCGGGAGGTTTAGTCGTAGGATCGGGGAGGGCAGTGAAAGCGATGGTCATGAACATTTTCAGTTACGCATCTCTTTGGTATAACTTCGCTTCGTTGTGCTTGTTGTCGCATGGCAAAGACGTACGGATCGATGCAGGCTGCTATGCTGTTGCGCGGAGATGTCGATAATCCCATGCCATGCTCCAGCCATACGCATCTGCCTATCTAAGCACCTAGGTATAATAATTTAGTAGCATTTCCAACGACGCACATATACGAGTATACGATGATATTTATTACTTATTAATTGCCTTGCTCCAGGGAGCATCCTGAAGCCAAGCTTTCCAAGCCCTAGACTTGGGTATGAAATAGCGTGAATAGTGCAGACTCCAACGGGGGGGCCCACAGTCACGGGAGCCTTAATAACTGGAGCCATTGGAGGTTAAATTCATGGTTTTATATTGGGGTTACATTGCGGCTGAAGACGAATGTCGAGGTAAAACAAGGTCAGCAGCCCGTGATAATCTCAATTGGGGGCTAAGTGGGAAATCCTTCCAATCTCTAAGATTGGCGGATTCTGCAGGGCGGGGAGGACATTCTTATTTTTTTCGTTTCGTTTCTTATTCTTATTTTCCTTTCATGTGATTTTTGGAATTGTTAGAATTTGTGATTCTTTTCAATTGATGAGTCTGCAGTTTTGAACAAAGTGATGACGTTGTAGTAATACACTGCTGATGGGCTGAGATTTAACATTTAGACTTAAAAACGCCAACCTTCGCTACGGCAAGGGGCACGATAAGATGCATCTGGACGTAGTCGGCAAACGAGCATGCGACTACAAATGCGATCAACCAAAGAGAAGGAGTGACTCAACGGCACACAATAAATATAGACGATCTGCATCTTTGCCCTGTCTCTCGTCCGTGGCGGGCGATATTTCCTCCGTCTTACGGCCTCAACCTACGGCCGAGGAGGGAAACGTCTGCGACACTTGGGGGAGCGCACAAGCTGGTTGGAAGGTGAAGGGGCAGGGCTGGTTTGGGCAAGTCGAAGGAATGGATTGTCTTTTCGACAGGATCCATGCATATAGCTAGTAGCAAGGTCTTTAGCTGTGCTGCTAGCTCAACACCCGGACCTATTGGGGGTTATTTTCATCTCGAGCCTTGCTGGCTGGGGGAAATGATGTGCAGAGCTAGCCACGCACGAACCGGTTCGAGCCTTGCGGACTCTAGCCGAGGCCAGAATGAGGCGGTTGAGATTTGATTTGCTTTGTGCTATAAACTGCGGGCAAGGTCCCTACTAGTCTTGTGGATTTCTGCGTTCAAAGGGTCAATTAGTCCGTCCGTCTTGTCTCGCTTCTTGGCTGTTAGTTGTGCTCTGTTTCCATCTCGACAAGCAATCGTTACTATGGATCCGACAAAAGATGACCCGAAGGGGCACCAGCACGAAGACCAAGCCCAGGACCAGGTCACACATAAACAAGAGCCACAGGAGCAATCGTCGGCGGAAGATGAGAACCACCTGCTCCCTCCTCATATCAACCGAGCTACGAGCTCATCATCAACAATCAGCTCAGGCTACGGACCGACTTTTGGCATGTATCCCGCTGATGACGAGGGATTGCCTGAAGTAGTTCCGGATTCGAGTCCACAGGCCTTGTCCCGCCTCGAGGCCGAGTACAAGCGCAAGTTTCTCGATGGCGATGCGCCACAGACAGTGATCCCAAAGGACGTGGACACAAACAAGATTGCCGTCATGGCGGCGGGAGATGGATATAGTGTGGAGCCAGACGGCATGTCGGGGGACATTGAGGGGGCGCGAACGGCGAAGAAGGCGGGAAACAGAATCTGCGGGCTGTCACGAAAGATGTTCTTGATTCTTTTGATTGTGGCTGTTGTTGTGCTCGCCGCGGCAATAGGAGGTGGAGTGGGCGGAGGACTTGCTGCGAAAAAGTCCAACGGGGATTCTCCAGATGCTGCTGCAGCTTCAGAGACAACGTCCAGGTAAGAAGAGAGAATGGCGTCAAGATGAGACAGACAACAAAAATCTGAAAAAGATTAGCTGACCTGTTTTCAACAGCACACCACCACCGACTTCAACACCAACAACCTCAACTACAAGCTCAAGCTCAACCAGAACCACAACATCCACATCCTCATCACCAACCCCGAGCTTCCTCAACAACCAAACCACCTCCGGCAACACCTTTGCCTTCCAGGCCTTTGCAGACGACACCTTCCTCGGCAACGCCACAGCCATCATCGACGACGAGGGCGGCACGGATCTCGGCTTCGAAGCCCACAGCTACGTCTGGGTGCCCTCCGTGTCAGACTGCTGCATCACCTTCTGCACAAATGCCACCAGCAAGGGCATGGTTGGATGGCTGTGTAGTCAGCGGAAGCAGCCCAAGTCGTCGGATGCGTTTAAGCGGGTGTATGTGTGGTGTCATAAAGCCCACGAGAAGCCGAATGCCATCTGTATAGGTGAGTTTATTTGATGTGTTTTTTTTATAAGGAATTGTGAGTGGGAGGATATATGCTGACTGAGTGTTGTAGATCCGAAAACTTAGGGAACTGAATGCCCCCCCTTTTTTTTTGGTTTCACTGCTTCACTGTTTATAATGATGTTTTTTTTTACCCTTGAATAATGATGCGATTTTGTGGCGATATGATTTGAAAGCGGGAGGCTGCTGTTTACAGTTCATTGTGACTAATAAGAGATGTGATGTCTATATTTTCTAATTTCCTTGTTCGAATACAATACCAGAACGCAATAATAGAAGCATTGATCACACTATAATAAAGAGCCAGGATAGGAACAAAGTTAAGATTCCGTATCAAGGTGAAAAGGCCATCGATACTCGTAATCTCTAAGACACACTCGGTGCAATTTTTAATGGGAGTAACTATTCAACACCCCACTCTGGCTATCCAGCATCCTTGGTGGTGGTGATACTAAGAGTATATCGATAGTAGCGGATACTCAAAGAACAGAGTACCTATGTGTCTACCTGAGTAATGGTAATAAAAGAATCTTTCCTCTGCTTCTTATTCAGACATTTAAACTCCTCGTAGTTGCTGGGTTGCTGAATAGTCATGTACTCTTCAATGCCAAAGCCTAAATCAAACAAGGCAAAGAAAACATCTTTCCCTGGAAGTTCAATAGGATATTTCCAGCTCCTCTACCCGCTCTATTTCTCAAAGCCGGAGCAGATCCAATTCCCCCAACATGACCTTATATTGCTCGGCCCGGGCATCGTCATATATATAGCCATTACGCGTCTTGTTGATCCACAGCAACTGTGCGTCGTCGAGCTTCCACTTAGTCCAAACTTCAGGTTGATAGATACCAACGCCTTTATTGGGATCCAGGTTGTACATGAAATTGATCATGTATGTGCGGATGCTGGCAGTCGAGTAGTTCTCCTCCGGGGGGATGCCGAGCAAAAAGTCCTCCTTGTCAAACTCAAACGCAATGGCGTTTTTCTCAAAAGACCCATGTGCAGTACCAAGTAATCCTCCTCGCGATATCGACTTGTCATACTCCTGCGACCCCTGATACCCCCACAACGGTACGGAAGGATGTGAGGCGGCAATCAAGAACATTGCGAGCCGGCGAGGAAATACGAAGAAGAGGTCGCCGAGAATGGATGCAATCCGCTTCCTGTCATGCCATTGCTCGTCAATAGGAGTAAGTTGCGTGCGGTAAGGGCTGCCATCCTCCGGTCTGTCACTGTATAGCGAGGTAAACCTCTGCAGATTGGCTTCCGGCAAGTTGTAAAAGTATTGCCGGCGAAGGTAGCTGTCGAATGTCTCATTTTTCTTGACTTCAAAGAGAGGCCTCACCTTTGCAAAGATGGTACCCTCGTCTTCCTGGTTGCCGATAATCATGGGCACTTGAAGGAAAGTACCACGATTGAGATGCACTTCTGGACTATATCGAATCAACTCACCATCTGGTCGGGGAATAAATTGAAGCCTCAACGCCTCGACAGAGGAGCTTCCCAGGACGGCAGCGCTCGAGATTGCGAGCCTCGCCGGGGTAATCTCACGCAGGCACTGCAGAGAGTCCTCTCTCTCGCTGCATCCAGCGGCGTGGACAATCTTGTCGTAAACCTCTTGAGGCCTCTTTGCGTCTGGATACTCGGCGAGCATGAGACTGCCAGAGCTCATAATGGCACCGTGAAAGAGCTGCCTGCCGTTATACGTTGCGTTTCCATCATTAATAACCAAGTGGCTCAAAACGGAAACACCACCTGATCCTTCGCCCCAGAGCGTGATTCTGTCCGGGTCGCCTCCAAAGGCTTTGATGTTGTCTGACGTCCATTGCATGCTCATTCGCTGATCATAGAGACCCAGATTGGCTGTCTTGTTGGCCATGACCTCTTTGCCGGGCAAGAATCCCCAGACACCCATTCGGTAGTTGGCGGTGACAAGGATAAATGGTTGGTTATTTTCAACACCAAAGTTGAGGAAGCTGGTAGTAGAATGACCAGGCGCCCCTCCCACGACAAAGCCGTAGCCCTGGATCATAAACAGCACTGGCAAGTTGTCTCCCTCCTTGGTGCCCGCCGGACGCTGTACTGTGACGGTTAAGCAGTCTTCTTGAGTAATCTCCACCCTGGGATACCCGCGGGGCCCATGAATGCCAAACGTCTCATTGAAACTTCTGACAGATTCGGCGCTCTCGTTCTCATCCCACGGGTAATAGTCCAAGGGGGTCACCGGGAAATGCCCTTGGTAACATCTTTCTGCCGGCGTGCTTGCATCAAGCAACCCCAGGGGCAAGGTTCTCCTGACGGGTCTCTTGAGACGGTTGAGGCCTGTCGGTGGTTCAGCATAAGGTATGCCGAAGAAAGACTCGACGCCTTGGTAAAATACACCGACGATCTCAGAGCCGGGGAGCTTCACCAATGGTGTTTCTGTCGCCTGGGCGAAGCCAGAAAGGGTCAAGCCCACGGCTAGGACTAGGGGAGATGTGAGTGCCTTCATAATGTAATAGCTATGGTCTTAAGTGTGTGATGTGACGATGTGCCATAGGAGTAAATGAAGTGATGCATCTTGGAGAAGGGGAGTATATGAAGGCCTCATTATAAAACGGGAACAATGAAAAGGAAACTTGTTCATTTATTGAATCTTAAATGCTAAAGTTGAGTTTTTAAAGTTGGAATGCGTAATCGTCCATTGGACTATTGATCACAGTGGATTTACACGATAGGCTAGAACACGCGGTTGAGTGTAATCAACATGATGCAGAACTTTGATATCCACTACTAGCCTCATATAATCGATCACCTCTGCAGAACTTCACTACTCTTTCTGGAATGTTCTTGGGTGACGGCCGTTTTGTTCATGGTGCGAGGCTGTCATAGAGTTTCCTGGCTTATAAAGGTAAAGGTTGGCCTTTTCGATGACGACTCCAGCTTGGTTACAACTTCAAAGTACTACAGGAGAAAAGAGGGGCTTTGCAGCATCAGAAGTTGTACTTGTTGCTGACATCAAATAAGACTCCTTAAGACGTCCAACTTAGGTTCAAGCCTAGGTACCTATGGAATAAGTCAAATTGCATGAGGGTTTGTCTCATGTCAATACACGATAGTCGCTGAGCTCGGACTTGAATCAACGCACAGACGGGGTAATGCATTGAATCGTCTCTGCATATATGAACCATTCAAGGGACAGTGTTGTTTTGGCTTTCGGCGAAACGGGGTTACTTCGCAACAGGCTTTATTGCGTCTATGGTGGACATCTTTCTTCCATCTGGTGGTCAAAACCACTTACGCGTACATATCTACTCTAGTAAGTGCCTAGGTACCTAGGTATCTATACAAGTATACTACTACCTACCTACCTACCTAGGTACTAGTCTTTCTGCTGTTTGTGAAAGTAACAAAGGGCAAGTTACTGAAATTCTTACAAAAGGATATACCCAACTACTGAGGTACCTTGGAATAATGCGCGATAAGGAGCATCCAAATCCCCTCTTGCTATGAAACAATGGCAGATCGTGCCTTCTCCAAGTGCACAAAAGCCAAGCCGATCAAAAAGGAAAGTCCCAACCAAGCCGCCAATAGAATGTCTTTGTTCCCTCGCTTTACTCCGGATACGGGTCGCTGCCTCAACCCCCTTTGACGACCATGAAGGAAAGAGCACGGTACTCGATGCTTGTACCTACTAGCTCATACGTACCAGGTACCTACCTCAATGTCTGCCATCCTGCCTTACCTGCTTCGCAACAACCTCAACTCTTTGTTCATCTCTGTTCCAAAATAACCTCCAGCTGATCGCCAGCCATGATCCGCATAGCCTCATCCCGCCTGAACCACAGCCTGACACCGTTTGGCAGCCACCAGTCCGAATTAGGCGCCAGCCTGAACCCCGACAAGATACATGAAGCACATGCACATGCACACCAAGTTCTGAAGCATCCACAGCGACCGTCGATGTGTCTCTGATCGCCACCTCAGCTCTGCAGCCAATTTTAGGGGCGGTGCTTCGTATTCCAGCATTGAGTTGTGGCCTCGCCCATTAGCGCATCGCCGCAGGCAATTTGCAGCGCCAGACCGTTAAGGGCTCTTGATTCAGAGACGTTGAATGTTCCCGAAACAGACACTAGCCGCTGATGCACAGCCTCACCCCCGGGCTGTATCCACCCTCATATATGTCGGTCGTCCAGTGGTTTGAGAGAGAGGCGGACGCCAATCCGTTGCGAAGACCAGCGGGCCAGGGGCTGCGTTCTTGGCTTGAAACCAGCCCAACTTTAGCACCGTCGACAGCACCTGTGCGCTTGACAGACACTCTGTGGACCCCTGTGGGCGGCCGTGTGTTTGTGTCTTCGGTGCTCCGAGTTTCTCAGCTCGACTTTGTGCAGCAAGACATCAACTCGCTTGAACAGATGGCTAGAAAAAGATATGGGCAAAAGCATCACGGGCATGCGAGCTACGACGACGTTTGAGGCGAAGCAGCAGCCCTACTCGACTCTGGCTTGGCGATTGCTCAGCACCGAGTACTTGATACGGAGTACTGCTACCTTGCTGGCATTGCACTGGCGAATCCCCCTTGAAAAATATGCGCATTGCCGGCCTCGTCCACTGCCGGAATTTCGGCTCCGTAGCAATTACGCAGCACTGCCGCTGCGGCCGATAGTTCAGGTACGAGGGCCTCTTGTATCTCTTCTTTTATTCCTTTCTCGTTTTTGGCGGCTTCATACCACCGAAGGGGCTGTGGCATACGAATACATACATACGAGTACAGGCAAAGGACTCCGTGCCAATAGTGACGGACAAAGATCATCCATCCTCCACCCCAAGATGGAGACGCACCACCTCCGTGAGGCGTTTCAGGCCGTTTGTCCCAAGCTTCTTCAGTCTCATGGGGGTCGAAACCTGGAGTGCCGGGGGGCGCGGCATACTGGCAACTAGCAGGTTCCGTGAAATTGCACAGGCGGCCAACCATGTCTCCCCATGCACTCGTATACTATTACTACTGATACACTTACACCCTTTCCATGGCCTACCTTGCTAAAATGAAAATGACGCGCCTTAACTCTTGTGCCCATCCGTACTGTCATTTTTCCCCCTACCACTATTTTTTCGCGTGCCGATTTGCATGCTGTCTCGCCGCACACTCTCTCTTCTCTTCATTTTCAATCTCTAATCATCGAGCCTCAAGAGGCCCGTATGTAAGCAGTGGAGCAACTACTCTCGTTTGACGCGCGGCGGGGATCCCCTTGAGCAATCACTTCTTTTCCCATTCTCTATCCCATCTTTTGCCATTGCATGTAGCATTTGTCCTCAGCAACAGCCGCTCGTTTCAACAGCCGCATCTCTCTTGCTCCTCATTCTTTGACCCCTTTGACGTACCGAGCATTCCGGTTGCGATACCCCGGTGGAAGCGAATCGCATCTCGACATCTTGTTGCGAATCATCGAATTTGCGCCGCCCTACTTCCTCGTTGGACAGACTGGATCTGGACGACTATTTCCATTTATCAATACAACATATAGATACCTCTTCGACACAACTAGAACATCCCGACCTCTAGATTGCTATAAACCATGAAGTCTCCATTGGTGGCTGCGACAGCGGCTCTGTGCCTGCTGGGCCAGGGGGCGAATGCCATTGCCTTGACGGTGACCGACAGCAGTAAGACAATAGGGACTCTTTAGACACAATGGGACAGACATGGCTCACCAATTTTCCTCAGATTCGGCCAAGAGCGCCGCGGGTACCATTGCATATGGGTTAATGAAGTACTACACGGGAAACAACACTGGCGATAACCCCGGAAACTTGCCAGACCCATACTATTGTTAGGAACCCTCTCTTCTCTTTGCGGCCAGTCGTCTCCTGCTCGAGCACAGATAACTAACATCGAAAAAATAGGGTGGGAGGCCGGTGCGATGTTCGGAACCATGATCGATTACTGGCGCATGACAAAAGATTCGTCGTACAACACTGCTACCATGCAAGCTATGCTTTGGCAGGCCGGAACCGATGGCGCTTTTCTGCCCACGAACCAGTCGCTGACTGAAGGAAACGACGATCAAGGCTTCTGGGCCATGGCCGCCATGTCCGCTGCCGAAAATGTCTTCCCCAATCCGCCGTCCGATCAACCACAGTGGCTGGCCATGGCGCAGGCCGTCTTCAACCAGTATGTCGGTCGATGGGACTCTCACTGTGGTGGTGGTCTCCGCTGGCAGATTTTCTCATGGAACAAGGGTTACGATTACAAAAACTCCGTCGCCAACGGTTGCTTCTTCAACATTGCCGCTCGATTGGCCCGATACACCGGCAACCAGACGTATGCTGATTGGGCACTCAAGGTCTGGCAGTGGGAGAAACAAATTGGTCTCATTGGCCCCCAGTACCAAATCTATGACGGTCTGAGTATCAACACGGACAACACATGTGGCCACATGGACCAGAACCAGTGGTCTTATAACGCGGGTATTTACATGCACGGCGCCGCCGCCATGTACAACTTCACCGGCAACGCCACCTGGAAGGCCAACTTGGACGGCATCATCTCCCAGACGGTCTCCAAGTTTGTCCAAAACGGCGTCATTTACGAGCAGTTCTGCGAGCCTCGTGGCTTCTGCAGTGTCGACCAGAGCACTTTCAAGGGTTATTTGGTCCGCTACATGGCCTCTACCATGCAGCTCGCCTCGCATACAGTTCAGACTCTCATGCCCCTGATCACAGGTTCTGCTTCAGCCGCAGCGGCAATCTGCACAGGCCCAGCCTCGGCTGCATTCAAGGGAATTGACGGCACTGGATGTGGCTTCGCATGGCTTCCCAAGGGCACATACGATGGCAAAAATGGGGTTGGCTCGCAAATGAACGCTCTGGATGCCGTCATGTATACTATGGTTCTACAAGCCCCTTCACCCGCAACGGCTGACAAGGGCGGTACTTCGAAGGGTAACCCCGGTGCTGGTATGGGCAGCATTGACCCCGCAGGCGATCTTGACAAGATTACGAAGCCTACCACTGGTGGAAAGGTTGGGGCGGCGATCCTCACTCTCCTGTTGCTTCTCAGCGTCCTAGGTGGCAGCGCGGTGCTCCTGTTGTGATGAAATTTTAGACCACGCAAATACGCCCCAAGAAGGGAAGGGATTTTTTTTTTTTTTGGATATGTTTCTTTATATATACATGCGTTACACAACGCATATTTTTTTTTTTTTTTTTTTTTTTTTTACAAGTCCGAGAATTTAGAGCGTAGGATGGATGCTCTTTGTGGCTGGCGTTTGGGAGTGGCCTTGGATATACATTTCTTGATCCCCTTTTTTGTCGTGCGGATAGGTACATCTCACGGCGATGTGGAACGCGGGCATCATCACTTATCGTCGTCATCATTACCTAGTATTCATTTGTAGCAGTTTGGAAGAACTACCTAGACAGGCAGAAGCCTGATAACAGAATTGCACGACATTATGACTAAAAGCCCCTGACTGGCTGTTGCGTTTGGGAGTGGCTATGTATGCAGCACCCCGATTTGGCCATCTAGCACTTTGGCGATTAGATTATTAAGTGTCATGCAGAGAGCATTTCTTATTTACATGTGGGTAGGTATGTTCAAATGTTTGGTTTTAGCACAGCCTGGCTCTAGGGTTTATATGTATCCCCTCGCATTATGTTCTGGGTGTACTACCTACCTTAAGAACCTACCTAGTAGTCGCTATATATTAGGACACGGGATGTTTGACAGCCAATTTGTTGTTGTTTTGGCCACGAGATGTTATGGCCCGAATGATTGGCCGCCGACACAAAGACGCCAATGCAGCTCTACAGACAGACTCAATGGCTTTTGCATTTGGGCAGCTTCCAATTCGATTCCGGAGGCGGAGACATAATGCTTGGATCACGGTCGTTTAAGTGCACAAGCCTTGTTGGGACGGGCCGCAAAGTGCTACTACTATAGGCAAGCCGTCAATGCCAAAGACATGGTCACTTTAGTCAATTGATAGGTCAAATACTCTGCAGAATGAATCGAATTCCGAAATGTGAAACCAGGCAGCCAATTCCCCTTCCCCGCTCATTGTCCGAGACACGGCGCTCGTACTGCTACCAACGCGCAAGGCTGCATTTACAGCAGGAAAACATGTAGAGACTTGTACTCGGTTTGTTGAGCTCTCGCATTGTGGCTTCAACCCCGCCGGGATGCCAAATCTCGAGCTTCCCCGCCCTTTTTTCTTTATCAGCCGGCGGTGTCATCACTCTACGTCACTGATAATCAGGCCACTCTTATATATAGCATTCTGTGCTTTTTTGGGGATTGAATATATTACTGCATAGACATCCATTGATATCTTTTCTGCATCATTTTCTCATCCATGATCTGTCTCATATCTGTGTGATCAACGCCATACACATACATAGCCTTTGGATTACAGCTGCAGTCTCCTCTCAGGCGCCCATAATGTCTACAAAGCACTTCATCAATGACCCAACTCACCTTGTCAACACCGCTCTTCACAGCTTGACGCTGACCAATCCCAACGTTGCCCTCGACTCAGAAAACAAAATCATCTACCGCCGGCCATCCGATGCTCCTCCGCAGGTCTCAATCATCTCAGGCGGAGGGTCTGGCCATGAGCCCTCGTTCGCCGCCATGGTTGGCCCGGGCATGCTTTCGGCTGCCGTGGCGGGCACAATCTTTGCCAGTCCTTCGGCCGAGCAGGTCAGGAATGGCATCATGTCGAGGGTAGACACGGAGAGCGGCGTGCTGGTTGTCGTGATGAATTACACTGGCGACATTCTCAACTTTGGAATGGCTGTGGAAAAGGCCATAGCAGCGGGCCAAGCCGTCGAGATGGTCGTCGTGGGCGACGACGTGGGTGTTGGGAGGAAGAAGACGGGCAAGGTTGGAAGGCGAGGAATCGCCGGCACTGTACTCGTGCTCAAGATTGCCGGCGCTCTCGCCGCGCAAGGACGGTCATTGGAGGAGGTCGCAAAGGTCGCACGGCTGACTGCGGCCAACATCGTCAGTGTTGGTGCCAGCTTGGAGCATGTCCACGTTCCAGGGCGAATCATCGATGCCAGTGAAGGCTTGGCACCTGAACAGGTTGAGGTGGGAATGGGGATTCACAACGAGCCGGGTTCCAGTCGCGAGAAGCTGGAGCTGCCTCAGTTGGTGGAGCGGATGCTAGCTCAGCTGCTCGACCAGAGCGACAAGGACAGAGCGTTCCTGCATGTCAACTCAAACGAGGTCGTTCTGCTCATCAACAACCTTGGAGGTGTGAGTGTTCTGGAGCTGGGTGGTATTACTACGGAAGTGGTGAGCCAGCTCAAGGACAAGTACAACATCCAGCCAGTCCGCATCATCAGCGGCACTTTCATGACGAGTTTGAACGGCCAGGGCTTCAGCATCACTCTTCTCAACGTCGTCAACACCGACATTGGTGGGCCGAGCATGATTGAGCTGTTGGATGCTCCAAGCGAGGTCACCGGTTGGTCTGCTCCAGTGCAAAAGACATCATGGGAGGCAAACAACACGGCGACGAGGACAGACACTGCTTGGACGAACAAAGAGACTCAGCCGAGCGGGCTGCAAATGGACGCTAAGCATGCTACGTCTGTTCTCACCAATGCGCTGGAACGCGTAATTGCGGCCGAGCCCGAAGTTACCAAGTACGATACGATCGTTGGGGATGGAGACTGTGGCATTGGTCTCAAGAGGGGAGCTGAAGGTAAGCTTACAGGATATCCCCAATTCTACTTTGGCTTCAGATGTTCTGTGACGGCTGGATACTGACATGAATATTATAGCCATCCTGAAGCATATCCAGCAGAAACCACTAACAGGAGATGTTGTCGTCGACGTGGCTTCCATCGTACAGGTGGTAGAAACCGCCATGGACGGTACATCTGGTGCTCTTTACGCAATATTCCTCAACGCCCTCGTCCACGCTCTTCGCACCCTGGGATCCGGCGAGGCAGGTCCGTCGGTATGGTCTGCCGCTCTTAAACTTAGCTGCGAGGCCTTGTCCAAATACACACCTGCCCGGCCAGGCGATCGCACGCTTGTGGACGCGCTTTATCCCTTTGTCGAGGTTCTGGGTCAGACTGGAGATGTGAAGAAGGCTGCTGATGCGGCGAGGAAGGCAGCCGATGACACCAAAGGCATGCAGGCAAGCCTTGGGCGGTCAGTATACGTAGGCGGCAGTGGATATGAGGAGGTGCCTGATCCCGGAGCTTGGGGGTTGGCATGCTTCTTCTTGGGCTTGGGCGGTGTCAAGCCGACAGAGGAAGGCTGGGAATCAATCTAAATTTCACATAGACGGAGGTCCCCCAATCTCGGAGGCCACGATTTGGTAAGAAATGCCCGCAGATTTGGTGTGTGCTTAAAGCAACCGAATAAATTGTTTTCAACGCCTAAATTCGCCTTTGAGACTCTCGTGATGTAATCCGCCATCCAATAGCTCAATGTCAATTAAACCCCAAAACAACCCAAAGCAGCTCATATAACTCTAGCTTAGAAGAACCAGGATAACGCTATCGCCTCTCAGGAACCTATAACACGTTAGTACCTAATATTAATGCAACGAGGTTTCCATATTTCGACGCGATCATGTCTTTTGAAGCCCAAGATCTCGTCGGCATCTGGAAAGGGGGAGTGTGGCATACATCTTGCTGATGAATCTGTCCTTGTTGACCGGCCGGCCCTTCTTTCCATCCGCTAGCCTGGGCGTCTCCGTCCACATTTCCTTGACGTTCTCGAGCACCATGTTGCAATGCCTGTCAAAGGCCTTGACACGTGCCAGCAGCTTGCGGTTCGAGCGAATGGAGATGAGCACCTGCGTGTGCGACCTCACGGCCGTCTGGAGGATAGAAAGGGGCCCGGAAGAGAACTCATACTCTTCAAGCTGCGCAATCTCGTACTCGCTAGATAGATGTTAGATGACTACACTGGAGGCAATCGTCTGGGAAGCGGTGGGAGGGGCAGAGCGTATCCGCGACAAAAGACATACGTGAGTTCGGAGCGAGATTTGGTGAGGAGTTCCCTGTAGAGCGTCAGCACGAGCACAATTGGCGGTGCGCCGTGGCACTTACTGGATCTTGGGGTCGGCCATGTTTGCTGCTGGATGGATTGGAGGGATGAGGTTGAGTTGCGTGCGCAAGGCTGGCAAGCTGGAAGCTCGAAAAGTTGTAGGCGTATCGCAGGCGCTGATGGTGATTGGCCCTTGTCGCGGCTTGCTGTGGGAACAATTGGTGCTGTCCCAAGTACCTAGTACTTTGTACTAAGAGGCGGACAGCTGTGATCACCTGACAGACAGCTGGAGACAAGCCGACTTTGGCAGAAAAGGTACGTACTGGGATGGTCGGTTCTCCTCCATCCTTATCGGCAATCGGCGGGCCAATTTTCAGGTGGAGCTTCTATTCTTTGCGAAATAGCCGGGGATCAAGTCCAAGTCAAGTCCAAGGCCCTCCGGTCTCGTCCTCCCTCTCTCTGTCTCTCCTGCTTTAGATGTCTTAGAGCTCACCTTGTGAGAGCATCTGTACAGTCGACGTCAGATGTCCTTCCGAATAATTGCGGCTCGAGCTGGCACGGCCGCGAATGCTGCGGGCCGGAGCTATCGCACCACCATGAGCATGGCACATCCCAGCAGAGCCATGAGCTCGTCACTGGGCGCACGACCGGTTAGCAGCGAGAAGATGCTCTATTGTATATGGTGTGGTGCTAATTCGGTTTACAACAGCTGTCTGCTGAGGCCTACGGCGTCAAGGAATTGCCCGGCGACGAACCCAACGATGTCGTCTTCGAGAGCAAGTACGGACTCAGAACCGTGCTGCTGAACCGCCCAAAGAAGCTCAACTCCCTCAATGGGTCAATGATTCGCAAAATCGTTCCCCGGCTGATCGAGTGGGAAAAGTCTGACATGGCAAACGTTATTGTCATGAAGGGTGCTGGCGAGAAGGCTCTTTGCGCTGGCGGCGATGTTGCCGCGCTGGCCCAGTACAACCAGGAGAGTGCCGATGGATGGAAGAAATCAGCCGACTACTTTGCTCTCGAATACCAGCTGGACCACTACATTGCCACATATCAGAAGCCTTACATCGCCTTCATGGACGGCATCACCATGGGCGGCGGCGTTGGACTGAGCATCCATGCACCCTTCCGAATTGCAACTGAGAGGACAATGTTTGCCATGCCCGAGACGACGATTGGATTCTTCCCCGATGTCGGTGCATCTTTCTTCTTGCCTCGGATGAACGGCTCTATCGGAACCTACCTCGCCCTGACCAGCGACCGGCTCACTGGACCCAACGTTTTCTACAGCGGCATTGCGACTCACTACCTTCACTCATCAAGCTTGCCGGATCTCGAGGCACGCCTGGCAGAGCTGCGCTTCCGCGATGAGGACCCCCTCCCCCGTAGACTCGAGCTCATCAACGATACCTTGGAAGAGTTCTGCACCGGTCTGCCCTACGACCAGGCCTTCGCCCTGAGTGGTGAAACCCGACGGGCCATCGACCGGTGCTTCAGCAAGAACAACGTGAATGACATCATTGCTGCCTTGAAGGAAGAGCGGGGTGAGACTGAAGAGTGGGCGCAGAAGCAGCTGGCCACGCTTGGAAAGCGGTCGCCCACAGCCGTGCATGTTGCCCTTAGGCAGATGCGGGTTGGCGGTAAATGGAGCATCTCGGAAACCTTTGAGAAGGAACACCAGATTGCCAGCAAGTTCATGCAGCACCACGACTTCACGGAGGGTGTTACGGCGCTGCTGGTGCGTAAGGAGGCTGCCAAGTGGCAACCCGAGTCTCTGGAAGCCATCCCAGCCAGCGAGAACACCGCCAAGCCGTTCTTCGACTTCAACAAAGACGCCGGATTTAAGCTGTTCACGGACCGCACCTACTCCGAATACCCTTTTGCCGCCCTCGGCGTGCCTACCGAGAAGGAGATTCAAGCCATTGTATCCAGCAACTCTCTGACGCCAGCAGAACTCGCCAAGCAGGTCAAGGCATCAAGAAAGAACCGCCAGGGTGTGGCAGAGGTTGTAGATGAGATTATCAGCAGAAAAACAACTGTTGACGAACAAGGCAAAGCCCAGTGGGTGGCCGGGGAGCCGGCGACTTCAAGTCGACTATAAAAAGGAGGGCAAGGAGACAAAGAAAGAAATTAGAAGACGCATGTAACATGTACAATAGTAAAATTTAAAAAAAAAAGACGATACGCAAATGCATTTAATGAGATGAAGTGACGAATGAATGATGGAGTCGTCATGGTGTTATCTTGCGGAGATGGATGGCGTGTGGTGCGCCCGTGGTTTTTGCAGACGGCGGTGGAGCGTCAAACCATCGGGCGTCATGGAAATAAGGTGCGAGGCGCGATAGAAAACGGCTTCATTTATCGTGCTAAAACGGCAGGGCGAGCCTGGCTATGGAGGGGTAGACTTTGGGAGCCTAAGAAAATGCAGGGAGCAGCCAAGTCACGAGACGGATGAGTTGGAGGGGTGCTGATGGGATGGCAGACGAGCTCTCAAGATGGCGTCAACTCGGCTGGGGCAACTATAAAAGGGTCGACAAGCCCCGCCTGCCACGACCCAGGGCAGAGAGAAACAAGTGAGAGAAAAAAAGTGAGAGACAAAGAGTCTGGCCATTGTCCTCCTGTTTGCTCCGTCGAATTGCCCGCTGAACCGGAGCTTCTTTGCCAGGCCGCCAGACGGTCGTTTGTGTGAGACGAGTTTGCTGGCATTTCAGCGCCAGCACGCGAGCTGGATCGGAGCCGGACCGCTTCCGGGGTTCAGCCGGCTCCAACCAGCGATAAGATCAACTGCTGCATTGGGTAGGTGGGGTCCCCGAGGAGGCGGCAGGTTAGCAGGCGGGCAGGCTAGGCTGGAGCCCTGCAGCCTATTAACGCCCATGATTCAATGACTGCCGGCTGCTGCTGCAGGCACTTTCTCACTAAAAGCTCACCTGCTGCTAGTTCTAGTACACCGAAACAGCTGCCGTGGCGCGGCTAGCGAGCGCCTTGAAAGCAGCAATTGGCGGCACGTCGCTGTGCGTGTTACAGCGTGTTACAGCGTTACAGCGTTACAGCGTTACAGCGCAGGCACACGCTGCTGTTGGCTGGAGCGTGACGGAACAGAGGCCATCATCACAACAGCTGTGCTGCACCTCGCATCTCGTTGCTCCTCAACCTCAACCCACGCACCACCAACGAAGAACCCGGTTTTTCCTCTTGTCCCTTTTCTAGCCAACGGCTCTTTCTCTTGTCTCTGTAGCAACGTGGACCTGACCTCTTTTTTTTTTTTCCGCCCCATCGCCTTTTTATCTTAAAAAAGTCCCCTGCGCGCCTCTATTTCTCAGATCCACTTACGCAGACGCGACCTGGAGCATTTGGCGCGTCACGAGCATGAAACCCGCCTCCCCAATTTGACCCGGCACCAGAACCCAAGTACAACAACCCAGCACTCTCCACTTCCCTTTTTCAAATTCCCAACTCGGCAGAGCAATTCCCAACTCCTGCATCGGCAACCCAGCACCAGGGCTCGAACCTCCCGAAGGGGGACGACGACGACGGGCCGCGAGGGCGAGGCACAATCGCCATGGCTTCACCAATGCCCGCGCACTCCAGCGGCTGGAACAACACGCCTGCCGCCGCCGACGCTGACGACTATGGCGTGCAGACCAGGTTCATCAACTGTACGAATCTCCCTCATGGTGCCGTGTCTTAGTTGGCTGCAGCGGCTAATTCAGTCCCAACAGTGAAGGTGCACTACACGTTCGATAAAGAGGCCAAGGTCAATTGCCTGGCCAGAGGCTCCCAGCCCTTGCAAATCCAGACGGTGCCCATTGACGAGGCCAACTCCATTGGCGTCGTCGACCTGAGGGCTTGCGTACATGTGATAGCCGAGTGCAGCCCGGAGCTGACCAACCACGAGTGCGACTACACCATCTACGCAATTGATTATTCCGAGCCCGATCTCCCTCTGGTCGGCCAAGGCCTGCTGTCATGGGTCTTCCAGTCGATGCGGCCCGACTTTGGGAACCACCAGCCCAAGATGGTGACGGGCCGTGTAACGAGAAATGTCCTGGGTGTTTTTGGCGGTGGCAACAGAGAGACGCTCGAGGTCAAGTTAAAGCTATCTGAGACAGCCAGAATCCAGCGTTCCATCACATATGCCTCTTCCGTGGAACAGCAGCCTACCAGGCCGATGGAGCCAGTCTTGCCGCCCAGTGCTACCTCGGAGTGGAATTCACTGGTTCAGTCCAATCCCCAGATGGCCCAACAGGCGAGCCAGAGCCATGGTAGCCCTATGCCAATCACCCATTCACCCAGCATGGCTCCTGCTTTGCCTCAGGGACCTCCGCCACCGTTGGTGAGGCAGGGCTCCTTTGGGCCGAGCTACAGCCAAAATCCGCCTACACAAGAGCTGCCGAGGTTGGCTCCGATTCCTATCGAACCTCAGTCTCAGTCCATGTCTGGTATCCCGGCACCTTCTTCACGACCATCTAGTAGAGCGTCAAATAGGCCGTCCCGGAGGAAGCCGCCCACGGGTAGGCCCCGAGGCAGACCACGAAAGAAGCCCGCTGAAGGCAACACATCCGGTTACGAGGACGGAACTGAAGGAGAAGAAGCTGCACCCCCCAAGGAGGATGAGCCTGTCAAGAAGAGAGCCAAGGTTACCAAGGTGGACAAGTCAGACGCGAACCCCTTTGCTGCTGAGCCCGAATCCCTCAGAGTTGCGGCGAGCAATTCCAGCTCCCTGCGGAACTTTCGGCCCATTGCCATCAACAGCGACAGTGTGACAGGTAGCCATCTGCAGGAGGTCCCTCGAGCTCCCACACCCGTTCCTAACGGTCGTCTCAGGGCGGTACCAGGACGAGAGCCCAGCTCCCTCAAGCGACGTGAATCCGCGCTGAGCCAGCCGCCCGTATCAAGCTTTGCCACAAGCGAGGTCAGCCGGTTCGCATCTCCCGGCATAGACGACGACAGATCGCCAGAATCCATGGCCCCAACGCCAAACTACCCCGATGACAGCCCCGCTGATATCGGATCCTCGCCACCAGTTCAGCAGGCGACGCCTTATATGCGGTCCAGCCCTCCACCTTCAAGCCCCGTGCTGCCCCCGATGCCGACAATGGCCCCTCGTGAGCACGAGCACAGCATCCCGGGAAATGATATGAGCGAGCTTTTCGGAGAGGGAGATCCGTCTGTTTTGGAAGAGCTACCACCGCCACAGCGCACACACAGAGCTCCAAAGCAAAGCGTGCCGGTTCAGGTTTTTCAGCTCCAGGACGGCCCTAGCGGCCAGGATCTGGTGCATCTTCTCACATACAACACTCCCTATCCGACGTCGAATACGCCTGCCCCTGCCGAGAGCTCCTTACCACCTCCACCAAAGGGGGGACCAAGCCGGCTACAGACGAATGGCCAACCTTCAAAAAGGAAAAGGCCACAGCCGACATCACCAATGCTGGCGCCAACTCCACCACCTACAACGGATGCCGTCGAAAGACCCATGAGCCCAGCCCTCACCTCCACCCCCGCCCCAATCCAGGCTCCAACCCCGATCCCTCTTCCCGCACTTACTCAGGCGTCCATGTTTGCGCCTATTCCTGCGGCCACATCCCCTGTCACCACCGCTGCTGATGTCCCGGCCCTGCCTTCTGCACCTCCTAATGAGCCAGTATCCGCTGTTACGTCTACTCCCGAACTCTCACAAGCCGCCCCCGCGACGGACGACATCTTCAACGACCCCATAGTACAACTCGCCTCTACATTTTCTTCAAAAGAAGTGGCTCCTCCATTCATCAGACCTCCATCACGATCTTCACAACCTCCTCAATCAAGACCGCAAACCTCCAAGCCCAAGTATCCCCGCCAACTAAGTAGATCTCAGTCCGCAGGGCCGCTTATACTACCATCGAGCGATCCCGTTGGCCCGTCAGCTTTGTCTCAAGCCTCTGCTGTCGTCTCGGACCGCCCATCTTCTGTAGGAGGTGCTGACGTCCGTCGGCCAAATTCCATGGGGCAATTGGCTTTACCGATGCCTGAGCCTCTCACTGAAGCCACGACAGAGTCTCCAGCAGACCCTACCCCTTTGGCAAACCCAGCGGCTCCTGAGGAACCCTGTCCTCCAAGTGACTTCCTTCCCGCACCATCTTCACCCCCTGCACAACGATCAAATAAGAATATCGTGAAAAAACATGCCATTAAGCAACGACTAGAGGAGGCCATCAACAACGGAGAGATGCCTCCATTCTGCAGCAACTGCGGTGCCATTGAGACGCCTACGTGGAGAAAGATTTGGATTCAGGAACGTGACGGCGTTCCGGAGCGTTGTGAGTATTCTGAGAAGCCAGGGAAGATCACCGCTGTTGAGGTTTTACGGCGCGATGAAGAGGGCAAACCAACACTTCATCGAGTCGTCAAAAAGAGTCTGGCCATCACCGACGAGAGGAGTAAGTGGCAGGAGGCCCTGCTTTGCAACCCTTGTGGCATCTGGCTTGCCAAGTGCAAAACCCACCGGCCTCCTGACAGGTGGGACAAGGATGCCTCTCGACTAGGCCAGGAGAGACGGAAGAGAGGCACTGGCCGAAGCACTTCTCGGGCGAAGAAGAATCGTCCAAAGGATGATGGCCCTCTCAACCTCACTTCGGAAGCGTATCTCCCCACCGACGCGTTTGAGCCAGTAGCACCCTCGTCACCGAAGATGAACGAAGTTGTTCCTTTGGACTCGAACTCAATACTGATGCCCGAGAGCACCGAAAGTCAGCAAACTGAAAAGTTTGCCGGGAATGACGGGCTGGATGTGGTGTCACAACCAGGATCAACGCATTCTCAGGGCAGTGGGACAGCTCAAAGCCCCATTGATATTGACTTTAACGAAATCGCTGGCAGCACGAGGAGACTGCTATTCCCATCTCCTAGGAAAGAGGGGATGCCGAAAGTGCTTTGCGATGTAGACGTTAATATCGTTCAAACTGCAGAGTGTCGACCGGGAGAACATATCAAAGGCGATCAAGAAAATGGTGTCGTGCCAGGATCGCACGATGGCATTAGCAAATTGGACGATTTAGATGCTCTATTCAACAGTCCCCTTAAAACACGGCCATCCACCCCGCCACCCGATGCAGCGCCTACACTGACTGAGTCTTTCAAGACCCCTACACGACCTACCCCAAGTCATAGACCCATCACTAGAAGTGTCTCTCGGTCCTTGCGATCGGCTAGGTCGATACTATCGCCGAACCAGCATGCGCTCGAGCAGCAAACTCCTACTAAGACGCCGAGATCTTTGCTGAGAATTCCCAGTAGCAGCACTAGGAGACGCAGTCCGCGGGCCCATCAGGGAAGTTTTGACATCTTTGATTCGCCTATTAGTCGAAGCATTGTGCAGCTGCTTTCGGAGGGCAATGCCTTGGGATCTGGGGAAAACGAGATGGACCTCAGCAGCCTACCAGGGCTCGGGGGACACAATGAGGAGCTGATTGACTTTGGCAACCTCTTGAGCACGGATGACATGATGCCCAGTTCATCCCCTAAGAATGGATCTATGGGACTGAGTTTCGATTACGACGGCGCTGCTAATAACATTGCCGATTGGATGGACAGTGTCATGAAGAAGCTTAAATAATGCGTCTTTAAGCAATGCGATTAGAGAAAAGGGATACGGTACTTGATGATTGATGTCGGTTTTCATTATAGCGCGTGGAGTTTCGGATAGGTATTACAAACAAGCTTTCTTGATGAGAAGCAGGAGGAGCACAGAGTTGCTGCTCCATTACAGCTAAAAGAGAGAGATTTCTCTTTTTTTGCGCTCTTATATTCTCTTTACCTAGATAATTTATCTACCTTATATAGTGCTAGCATAGTGGATACCAGAGCGAGGCTCAATGATGTTACGAGGTTATGTTTGTGTGCCTTTTTTCCTCTGCCTGTCTTGAATACTCTTTGTTTTTTGAAAAGTGAAGAGTGTAGATTTGGAGTTTTGGGTTGCCATTATGAGAGACAGTGGCATAGATCAATACATACAAGCGTTCCCTATTCAAATAAAAAGCTACATGATATTATTGAATAAACAAAAGTTAAATATGGTTGTTATAATTATGACCTAGAAATGGGTTTTGGAATAGCGCTGGGAATTGACAAACGCAGAAGCTGTCTTACACTGCTGGAAGAGTACATGCGCTCATGTACCTCGACCCTCCAGCTCTAAAGCTCTGCCACTTAACGCGTCGCGTCTCCACGTCTTCACTCTCAAACCCCCACTACAGCCAGAGAGCTCTGTCTCTCTCTTGTTGCCACAGACAAGAATAAAATTGTCGTAATTGCCGGTACAAGTTTTTTTTTTTCGCATTTGTTTCGATACCGGCAAAGGACAAGAGGAGTCATTAGCTGCATAATTGGCCAATTGACAAAGTGCGGTCGCCCATAATGGCCGACGAAGAAATCCAGTCTCGATTCGCTCCCAATGGGACGCTGGAGCCAGATGTTCTCAGCGAGCTCCAGTCCATGGGACGACTACACGACATCTCGGCTGAGGACCTCTATTTCAAGTGGGAGTCGTACTGCATCAAGATGGACGTGGATGCGCAGGCCGTGACGCTGTCGAATGTGCGCGGCCTGAAGCAGAGCATCCAGGATGAGCTGGAGAAGTCGCAGCGGCGGGTGCAGCTCAAGAGCGAGAGGAAGATGGCGCCGACACCGAGGCCCAAGGCGGGCAAGGGGGATGTGTTTGGCATGCTGGATAGCTTGGTGCCGAGTACACCTGCGGCAGGGAAGCACAAGGCGCCTGGAAGTGGTGGACTGAGGAAGAGGATGGAGATGCAGAGGGACATACCCAGCTCGCCAGCAGCAGGGCTCAACGAGCAGTTGAGGTCGATGAATCTCCCGTAAGTAACTAGTGGCCATGATAGGCTGTTCTGCAAGTTGCTAACCAGTTGGTGTTTTAGAACGGCGACCTTTGCAGAACGACAGAATGCGGGAGAGGTGGTGGAAATCCTAAACGACGAGCTCCCGCCGGCCGAAGCTCCCATTGCGCCCTTCCCCGAACCGAGGATCAAGCTCACAGCGGCCTCTGATCAGAAGAAGATGGGATATAAGCCGCTGGCGATGAAGCTATCGGAGGCTAGCGAGATCCTTGACGACCGAATCGACGACTTTGTTGATCTTGTCCGCGAGCACCATAGTCTGGAGTACTCTGCCTTTGGCAATGCTGCAACCGCAAGCACAAGCGAGATTGTGGCTGTAGGTCGCATTGCATCGGATTCTCTGGAGGGAAAGCTCAACGCCGCCTCGATAGTGCTGGAGACATCAAGACGGATGGGGAGGGGTCTCAGAGTGCCGCTCAAGCTGGACGGTGTTCAAAGCTGGAGCTTCTTTCCGGGCCAGATTGTTGCGCTCAGGGGCAGTAACATCACGGGGGATGAATTCATCGTCAAGGAGATTCTAGATATGCCACTTCTGCCGAGTGCTGCGTCCAGCCCTGCGGCTCTTGAGGCTCATCGAGAGAAGCTTAGGGGGGACCCAGATGCCATGGACGCAGACTCGGACCCTGCGCCGCTAAGCATCATCTACGCAGCCGGGCCGTATACGGCTGATGATAACCTCGACTATGAGCCGCTGCAGGCGCTCTGCAATCAGGCAGCTGATACATACGCCGATGCTCTCGTTCTCACAGGACCGTTCCTTGATATCGACCACCCACTTATTGCCACGGGCGACTTTGATCTTCCTGAAGACGCCACATATGACCCCGATACTGCCAACATGAACACCGTCTTCAAATATCTCGTCGCCCCCGCGTTAAGCCGCCTCGCTTCTGCAAACCCCCATATCACAGTCATCCTCGTCCCTTCCGTGCGAGATGTTCTCGATAAACACGTCTCCTGGCCACAGGATACCATCCCCCGACGAGAGCTCGGCCTACCCAAGTCGGTGCGCATCGTTTCCAACCCCATGACCCTATCCATGAATGAGGTAGTTCTCGGTCTGTCTAGCCAAGACGTGTTGTATGAACTACGCAGCGAGGAGATCTCTAAGGGAGCACCTCCCGGAGAGCTCATGCGGCGGCTGTGTCGCCATCTGGTTGAGCAGCGGCATTACTTCCCCGTGTTTCCGCCGACAGACCGATCAAGGCTGCCCAAGACGGGTACGGAAGATGGGCTTGCGACGGGTGCTATGCTTGATGTGAGCTATCTTAAGTTGGGCGAGATGGTCAGCGTTCGGCCTGATGTGATGCTGATGCCCAGTTTCCTACCTCCTTTTGCAAAGGTAAGATATATTATTCATCTCTTTTTTGTTTCCTTTTTACCGGCCTATCCCCATATGACTAACTAACCATGGCAATAGGTCGTTGAAAGCGTTTTGGCAATCAACCCAGGCTCTTTGTCGAAGAGGCGTGGAGCAGGGACATATGCTCGCATGACTCTCTATCCCCCATCCTCAGACGGAGAAGTAATAAATGGCCTGATAACCCACAAGGTATTTGATAGGGCACGGGTAGAGATTGTGAGGATATAGAAGAAAAGGGCACCAAATTGGGGGAGGGTGGGTTTTAGCAACTGATGACAAGACATTTGGCACATTTTTTTGATATACTTGTTCTCATTTTAATCATGTTCTTTTGGCCATTTTTTCATGCCAAATAGATGGGGTATATATTTGTACGGTTATAAAAATCCAAGGTATGGATGCATCTTTGCATCCCCATTAAAAATATTACATGTGCAAGCCATCCTTTTGGGGGAAACCCCCTTCAGTCCCGATCATCAACCCTGCGTCTCTTGTCGTCGTCATGGCGATATCTTTCACGAGACGTACTCCTCTTTCGGCGATTCCAGTCGTCATCCGGCCGGAATCGATCGTCCTCACCGTCATACCGACGACGGTCATCCCTCCTCCTATCGCCATCAAACGACCCCCATCGCCCAGTATCTTCGGTCCGCATGTCCTTGTACTTTGTCGCGCCCTTCTTGCCCAGCTTGGTCATGTCCCGCAGCTGCAGATACTCGGGAAGCGCCTCGCGGTTGCGCACGTCGTCCTGTATGCGGCTGCCCATGATGTCTCGCTGCAGCAGGCCCGCGGCGGCCGTCTCCTCCTGGAAGAAGGCGCCCTTGTGGTAGTACTTTTGCTTGTATGCCATCTTGCCCTTGCTGTCCTTTTCCTCCTGCTGCTTCGCGATGTAGGCCTCGTCCTCGGCGGCGCGCTCTTCCTCGGTGAGGTTGCGGCGCCGCTCCACCTCCGCGAGCTCCTTTTCTCGTTCCTCGATGGCTTGGCGGGCGCGCTTGAGGCGCTTCAGCTCGCGGACTCGCCAGGCTGCTTCTTCGGCCTCCGGGTCCAGTCCGTCCGTGGTGTCGACGTCGGATTCCTCATTCTCTTCGTCGTCCCAGTGCTTCTTGCCTGCAGCTCGCGCGGCGAGGTCCTTCTTGATTTGCTCCTCGACGAGCTCATCTGCGGCCTTCTTGCGGGCTTCTTCTTCGGCCTGTCTCGCGGCCTCTTGTTCCTTTTCCGTGTCCTTTGCGGCGCCTCGCTGGTTTTTGGGTATGAATTTCGGCCGCATCATTAATCTCCTAGGCGCTTCCTCTTCGCTGCTACTCTCCTCCTCTTCTGACTCGCTTTCGTCATCCTCCTCCTCTTCCTCGTCTTCTTCCTCTTCCTCTTCTTCCGTAACGAAGCCCTCTTCCGCCGCTAACCTCTCTGCCTTTTCGGCGGCAATTCGACGCGCTTCGGCAGCCTCTGCATCTTTACGCCGAGAATTGAGATCGACTTTGTTTAGGTTGCTGATGATTTTGCCGGCGCTGGTGGCCTTTGGGGGAGGAGCGACGGCGACGGGCTCGATGGGCTCTTCGACGTCGCTGGCGTCGGAGTCTGAAGAGGAATCGGCGCCGGAGGGCTTGCCGGCTCTGTGCCGAGACGGCTTGATGGGGTTTGCCGTCATACGCTTTGGAGGCATTGTGAATGTGGTTGTGGGGGGAGGCGAGGAGAGTGGACGTGGTGAGTGGACGTTTTGTAGATAGAGAAACAGTTGTAGTAGCATGTCCAAGTAGAAAATCAGCCTGCGATAAGCCAACGCGGTAAGCTATCGGGCGGATAGAGCACTAAAACTCTCGGCCTGCGCGTCATAGCGCTGCGATTGACTACATGCTCTCACCAAAGTCTTGTGAAAACAGGCCTAGGGAGGTTTCAAATTGGTTTCTGTATGTGCAAGTAAATTTATATATATGTTTTGAATCACCTTGGATATTCTTGGGATGATCCCCCCCAAATTCTGCGCTCAATGGCTGAATATTATCGTCAGCATACGCCCCCTAGGTAGGCAAGTAGGTAAGATAGCGAGTAATACGAATAACCTTGTGTAGGCTGCCGATCACCAATGTCGCACCTCAGCTTCATATTATGCCACCCATTTACCACCAACGACAGTACCTTCCTGGAACCGCATCTACCCACAAAAGTAGACAGTAGACTAGTGTATAAAGATATCTTCCTTAGAATTTATTAAGCTGTGCGTCTTATCTTTCATTCATAAGCTGAAAGATATCCGTTATAGGGTAGGTCTGCCTGGGAAATGCGGAGTTGGCCCCTCGCCTTCACGTCACAGCTCCACCAGCCACCAAGCAATAGCTCAGGCACAGCATCTTTTAAGCTTTGAGGTACGCAAGCTCGTATGTTGCCAAGTTCACCTCATTTTTTCACCACGAGCAAAGTGACCGCTTTCCCTTGTTCCTTGAGGTACCAGCAACAGGTCGACTGTCTTTGCACGGCATTGACGATCCAACAGCTGCTGTGATAATTTAGCTTTAGAGCGGCATCTATAACTCAGACACTTGATCCCCTCATAGACAATGGCGCAGCGAACGGTCCTCATCACCGGTGCTACCGGGCTACTAGGCAGAGCAGTCGTCGCCGCGTTTCACACTCGTAGCGGATGGACCGTCAAGGGCTCGGGCTACTCACGGGCAGATGGCGTTGATATCCTCAAGCTCGACTTGGAGAGCGAAGCTGATATTGCCAAAACACTAGACGAGATACGGTGCGTTTCTCTTGCCCAGCGCTTCATTTGGCGGCTTTGCATAGCCGATATAACGACGTTTATGCTAACGGAGCTCTGAGCGGACGGCAGACCCCAGGTGGTGGTTCATTGTATGAGCCGTGTCTAAGCAATTGGAATTGGAACGGATGCTGATTTCCTACTCTCTCCAGGTGCGGCGCAGCGCTTCCCAGACAAGGTGGACAAGGACCCAGAGGCGGCCAGAGCTCTCAATATCGCCGCCAGCAAATCCCTTGCCAGTGCTACTGCGGCTCGGGACATTTTTATGATTTACATCTCCACTGATTATGTCTTTCCTGGACGCCCAGGCGATGCCCCTTACGAAGCCGATGCCACCCCAGGTCCTACTAACCTCTATGGCCAAACGAAGCTAGATGGCGAAAAGGCCGTGCTGGAAGAGTACGCTGCGGCCGGAAAGGAGGGCCTTGGAGTTGCTCTTCGAGTCCCAGTGCTCTACGGCCACGCAGAAACGCCCTCTGAAAGTGCCGTCAACGTGCTCATGGATAGCGTTTGGAAGGCCCAGACGGAGGGGACCAAGATCAAGATGGACCATTGGGCCATTCGCTACCCGACCAACACGGGAGACGTAGGACGAGTCTGCCATGGTTAGTTTTGTCTCATGCAAGCTCCGCCTCCAGGTTCCCGTTGTCTCATTATCCCTCTACTTCCCCCTATTTGAGCATCTTGATATCCCGTTACGCCTTCAACTGCCAGTGCCGACCCGGAAAGCTGTGCCGACGCTAACATGTTCCCTAGATGTGGCGACCAAGTACCTTGACTCGGCTGATCGCAAGCATTTGCCCCGGACGCTCCAGTTCTCGAGCGAAGACAGAATGACAAAGTACGAGATCTGCCAGCACTTTGGCGACATCATGGGTTTGTCCATTGCCAACATTGAACCCAACACGGAGGGCAACGACCCCAACGCTAGTGTGCAACGGCCGTATGATTGCCATTTGAGCACCCAAGAGCTCAAGAATCTTGAGATCGATGTGTCGACTGTCGATTTCGTCAGCTGGTGGCGCCGCGAGGTTCGAGCGTTTCGAAAGTAGTTATTAATAACCCACTCCTCTTTCCAAGCTGATTGACCGAAATACGATTCCGTATTGGCGACTTGATCTCTCCAGAGCCTTCCTAACAGGGTGACGTGTGCGTGTAAACACGCAGTTGCAAGCACGGGGGTGTGTAATCTGCCGTTCAAGACATGTCGCGCTAATATGCTAGAATGCTCGTATCGTGGACGGAGATTCGATGCATTAGTGGTTGCGCGCACTCCGCGTTACTGTCCAGTTGGCCGCTTGTATTTGTGAATACTGGTCCATGTGCCGCAACGGTGTCTGTCATATTATGCGGAGTACGAAGTAGGGAGGCGAATGATATATCAGACCCCGGTTTACAGAGTAGCCTAGACTCACCGAACGGTGGTTCGTGGGGGATCCGCTTGGAAGGCGACATGAGAAATATCTCAACCGCCTCCATGACCCGCCAAGGAGATGCCTCGAGTTACCCAAATCCATGGGGAGTAAATTCTGGAGAGGCACGAAGCAGCGCGGATCTAATCCGTGTAGTTTTTGGGCCTGGTAAGGGATCGCAGCGTCGCACGGTGAGTACCGCAAACCAAGGGAGAAATCGGAGATGCTGGTTGTACTAACCTTTGCTCTATGATGTAGCGCAATCTCCTATTCACTCTGGTGTGCACTCCAAGAGCCTCCCTTACATGAATTCTCTTGCTAGATTGAAGCCACAAGGTGATGGCTGCTTGTGTTCAGGATGCCGAACCCGGATGTTTGAGCGCTATCCAGCGAGCCGGTCAAATTGGGACCCGCATCAGGAAAAGCAAATATGGACGGCATTCACTCGCACGAACCCCCTTTGCAGGCGCTTGGATGCAGCAGCCACGACGGAACACTCGTACTGCTGTTGGTGGCAGTATTGCTACTGTACTTGCCACGACAAGGCCTACTGCAAGCGAGCAGATATTTTAAGACATTTGACCCATCTGATGGCCGTGGAGACGACTGAGCGGCCGACAGTGGACGGGGCCTGAGGCGGTTGACATTTTGGCGATATGACCTGCATCATGGGCATCGACGCTTGGCAGGGCGACTCCCTGATGCTCGCGCGAAGCCTGTCGCTTGCCACGAGAGATTGCGTGAATTGGGCTTTCTCTCCTCGATTTTTCCCTTTTCTCCAGCCTATTTCCTCTTCTCATCGCCCTTGCTCCTAACCTGTTCCCAGACAGCTGTTCTTCCAAGAGCTGCCTTATTGATAGCTCATTCCCTGGGCGACAACATTGCCATTGATTCTTTCTGCGAAGCCAAGTTAACAGCATCTGGTATGTGAGCTGCGGGACTGGTTACTGCATGATGACAATACGAGTTTTTTCTAATCTTTTTATAGTACTGCCAACCTTACACTTGCTGTTGATTACACCACCCCTTGTCTTTGCACCTTGGTCGTACTGCAGAGGTTGACGCTGAACATAGGGTATTGCGGGCGGAAAAGAACAGTGCAGAGGGCAAAGAAGAAATATTGACGGCAAAAAAAAAAAAAGAAGAACAATAAGGAGAAATTCCTTCTTATTCTTTTCGTTTCTTTTTTTTCCCTCTTCTCAACACTGTGATACACAACCCCCTGTGCACAACATACGAGTACGCCTTTAATCTCTGCTGTGTGGCAGTTATATTGGCGGAGGCACTCAACTCAAAACAGCAATCAGTCAATCAGTCGTGTGCTGTACCTGTGGCGGTTTTAGGTGGCTGATCGACTGACGGATCCGCTGCAAAACCTAATCTGACAGCGGCCCCAGCGCGGCTACAGCAACCATGGCTGCTGCAGACGATGTACCTGCAGGGGACCAGCCGCCAAAGACGCCTCGCAACCGCACCTTTCGAGGGAAGAGCGTTTCTCGCTTCAACCTGTTCCGCGATTCAGATGCGCAGAGCTCGCCCAGCTCCAAGAGCATCCGCAACCCGCCTGCGTCCATTTCGCTCTCGCAAGCTCCCCCGTTGCCAGACGCGCCGCCAATCCCCAACTTTGTGCTCAGCGCAAACCTCAAAAACGACTCGAGCCCCTCGCTGCTGGAACGCCGTTTCTTTGGAGGCGAGCTGAAGCCGCCGCCCTCTCCCTCGGCCAGGTCCTTCATTTCTGAGCCCGGATCGCCATTTGGCTCGCACTTTGGCACGCCATTGAGCACGACTGCCAGCAGGACTGAGAGGGAAATAGACGAACTCGCCGCACAGTTGGACCTTGAAATTGAGGAGGCGCATCGCAAAAAGGCAGAGGCTCTGCAGAGCTGCAAGGAAGAAGACGCCGCTCGCTGCGAAGACGACGTCGCGCGACTCGAAGCCGAGAGGGACCTTGTTATTGACGAGCAGAGGAAATTCGACTTGGCTCGTCTTCAAGCGCAGCCGCCTTCGACTCCGTCCGCGACAAAGCCCAAGAGGGTCCTCGAGAAGCTCAACCTGTTCTCGAGAAGCAGGAAACCGAGCAGCTCCAACTTGATTCAGCCGCCATTAACCCCTCTGCCACCGGCTACTCCAAATAGCATAGCACCATCTGTTTTTACGCCTACACCAAGCATAAGCCGAAGAAGTAGCCTTGACGACTCTCCTCCCCTGCATCCCTCACAAAGGATGAGCTTCATTCGACCACACCCGGATGGTGATGCGCCAATCTCTGCCATCAATGGCGGTGAACGAGTGAGTGCTGTTGATCAACTTGTGTTACCGTCGCCACCCATTTGCTAACCCCTCTTCTCCCAACCCCCCTTGCAGCGCATTACTGTTCGATGCCTTTCGTCGACCATCAATCTGGAGGTAACGGCTGAGACTACGCCGGAGGATGTCCTCATTGCAACGGCTGCTCAGACACGGCATGACATTGACGTTGAAACGAGTATCGTCGTTGAATGCTATGACACCCTTGGGCTAGAACGACGCATGCGACGTTATGAGCATGTACGAGATACCCTGAATTCTTGGGATCGTGACCAGGACAACTCACTCTTGGTTATGCCTTGTGATTTGCCGGGAGATGACGACAGCCTTGAGCTTTCGTCTGTCCCGCAGACAGATGAGCCTGCGCCTGGCTTTACTATCCAGCTTTATCACTCTCCTCGCCCTGGCAAGTGGAGCAAGCGGTTTGTTACCTTGCTAAGCACTGGCCAAATATTTGCTTCCAAGCGCGCCGATGCGCAACCCTCAGATAAGGAGAGCACATCATTGTGCCACCTGACGGACTTTGATATTTATAAGCCAAAGGAGAGTGAGGTGAAGCGGCATCTCAAGCCTCCCAAGAAGATCTGCTATGCCATCAAGAGTCAACAAAAGACAGTCGTCTTTCCCAATGGAGAGAATTTTGTCCACTTTTTCTGTACGGACGATGCCGCTGTAGCGAAGAGGTTCTTCAACCAGGTGCATGCTTGGCGAAGTTGGTACATTGTCAACAAGATAACACACTCACGCCCGATAGAGAGGCCGCCGCCCCTTGATCTGAGCGTTGAAAGTATCAAGATGCCAATAATCCCCGAGAAGTCCCCGCGAGTCTCTAGCGGCTTGACTCTTTCTACTGGATCCTTCATAGATGAGAGCGATTTTACCAGGGCCATCGAGGAATCTACCAGGAAGCTGGCTCTGGAGGCCCAACTCAATAAAAACAAACCTAGAGGAAGAAAAGCCTCTAGCGCATCTGTCGCCCACAGCGTGAAAGAAACGTTTTCACCTACCGGCTTATTGGGAGACGGGTATGAAAAACGCAAGGAGGAGGCAGCAGCGGCAGCCGAGACTCCAACTGAGAGCAAAAGCCCTACCGTCAAAAAGATTGAGGGTCCATTCACAGAAGGCCCATCATTGCTGAATAGCATTCTATCATCCCCCAAGTCGCCCGAACAGCCCCCGGTGAAGTCTTGGTTCCCATCCGCTGCAGAACATAGCGCGCGCAACCGAACCGCTTCGATTTCTCTTCGACGGCCTGTGACAGCTGACCCGTCGGCCCAGTCTGATCATGGCAAGGGGCCAGCGCCGCTTTTGAACTTTGCTACCAATTTCCCAGAGCCTCCACGGGCCCGAGATGGCCCTCGACAGGGCCCTGGATCCAGACATGGCCACGGCCTGCGCCCCCCACCAGGGTCGCCTCTCGTCAACTTTGCAACTGGGGGACAACAAGGACCACCTGGATCTCCAGGAGGAAGACCCGGGCCACCTCCTTCTGGAGTACCGCCGCCAGGCCCGCGAAACCGTAGCCGCTCGATTGCCAGTGCCAGCGGCGGTGGCTTTCGACGCATGCCTGGCGCCGACGATCTCCCTTCCGCATCTTCACAAAACAGGCAACCCGGCCCACGATCTAGTCGAATGCCTCCCCCTCCTTCTCCTCACGGTGCTGCGGCGCGGGACCGTGATCATCGCCGCCCGGGTCCTTTGCTACAGGAACGCCAAGAGCGTCCCAAAGAGCGTCCCAAGGAGCGTCCTCAAGAGCGACGACCAGGGCCTCTAGTCAATTCAGCCCGATAGAGTTTATGCACTGTATATACATAGCAGTGATGCGTGATAGCGATATGCGTTTCCTTGTCATGAGACCCTGATCCAGGGGTAAAGAGTTTTCGATATTAGGGGTTTTTGGTATTCCCTTTGTTTCATTTTTCTTGAATAACTCATCTTGGTCATAGCAATGGTCTTTTTTTCCCTTTGTTCATCATTCAACCAAGGCGAGTGGCACCGGGATGGCTTGTAAGCTATACATGGCAAATATTATGGGGAAAAATTGGACGGACTTGGTTTGAGCTTGTGTGAAATTTCATTTTAGAGGGAAGCCGTGTTTTTAGCATTTAGGATGGTTTGGTATTATAAAGTATGCGCAGACGCACACGGGAGAGATATCATGGGAAGGCTATAGCAATACGTAACACTAATCCATTCATGCGCTCTTTTTTTTTTTTTTTTTTTTGGTCTATATCTGTCGTGAATATATTAATCTGACTCTGTGTCAATTTTTACCATGCTGCAACGCCCTGTTCTAGCTGGATGGCTGCTCCTTTTTCTATATCTGAGAGATTGAGAGAGGGAAAGAATTAGATTTATTTGCTTCGCTTGTAGATCTTGCTCAGGAACACCTCGAACACCTGCTTCTTGAGGCCCTGGCTCTCGTCAATCTTGTTGATCATTTCCTTGATCTCGCCGGCGCGTCTCTCCTCAAACTCCTCGTATCGCTCCTTGAGCTTCAGGTCGTTGTAGAGCTTCTTGATGACCTGCTCCTTGGCGTCGTCCTTCTGGCCGTAGTTTTCCTCGAGGATCTTGCGCTGCTCGGGAGTGACGATCTGGAGGGCCTGGTTGACCAACCAAGAGCACTTGTTGTCTTTGATATCGGTGCCGATCTTGCCAATGTGCTCAGGCAGGCCGAAGTTGTCGAGGTAGTCGTCCTGGATCTGGAAGTACTCGCCAAGGGGGATGAGGATGTCCTTTGCGGTCTGGAGGTTCTCGGGGGTGGCAATGTCGAGCTGGTAGAGGGCCAGGGCGACGGGGAGGTAGAAGGAGTAGTAGGCGGTCTTGTAGATGACGATGAAGCTGTACTTGACCATGGAGAAGTTGTCGAGGTTGACGGTGTCCTCGGGGGCAGTGAGCAGGTCGCACAGCTGGCCGAGCTCGGTCTGGAAGGACGTCTCGTGGAAGAGCTCGACGAGGTCGATGTAGCGGGGGTGGTCGCGGAAGAACTTCTTGAGGATGATGTAGATGCCGGACTCGAGCAGGAAAGCGTCGTTGATGGCGATCATGCCGACGCCCTCCTGGCGGTACCAGCAGGGCTGGCCGCGGCGGGTGATGCTGCTGTCCATGATGTCGTCGGAGACGAGGAAGAAGGCCTGGAGGAGCTCGGTCATCCAGCCCAGGGTGGCGGACTTGAAGTATTCCTCCTCGGTCAGAGGTCGGCCCAGGATGACTGAGACGGAGTCGGGGACGGACATGCCGCGGTTGCATTTGCCGCCGAGGGGGTTGACCTCGAAGTTCTATCAAGGAGGAAATGGCGAGTTAGTATTGGTGGTCTTGTTGTTGTTTGATTTACTACCCCTTCTTCCTCTGCTTGCCCGTCCTCCTCTCCCTTCTTCTTCTGAGATTTGTAGGGGTATGATATAACGAGTATAGGGGACTCAATGAGGGCATTTGTTACTCACCTTCTTGAGCCAATTAAGCTCCTTCTCGGGCAGCTTGTAGGATTTGGCATGGTCAAGGAGAGCTTCTTCCAGCTTGGGGTAGACAGCTTCAAACTCCTTGAGGGTGGTCTTTTGAGCCATGGCGACGGATTGGAGATGAACAAGTCAATTGGACAGCGGGGGGGAAAGAAAGAAGAAGAGAAAAGAAAAGAAGAGCGGGTATAATCTGGCTTGAATCCAAGAGAAGAAGAGAACAAGCCGAGCGAGGGCCGGAGAGAATAATATACGTGCTGGGCGAGGTGTTGGGTCGAATTCGGCTACTCGAAATGGATGAGACCCCTCTATTCAATTCCGGGCCACGCTTAAAGCAGAAAATTGCCAAAAATGACCGGGGGGCCCCTCATTGCTTTTCCATTTGGGGGGGCGGTGAGCGGCCTCGACAAGGGCAGCTGTTTGTATAAGGTACTTGGCAGCTGCAGTTACGCGCAGCCGCTCCAGCGGACAGCACGAGGTAGCGTGTACGCGGCTTGCAGCGCGGCTTGGGATGGTGGCATTTGGTCCGCTGTAGTGGTGGTGCGGTACCTGATTGCCTGAAAATTGGGGTGGGAAGGGTGCTGGAGATAGCTGGGTTTGTGATCCATGGGCAATGATATCGGATGAGACATGCTCGCTCAACTATTAATACGCAGAGAGCAGCGAGTACTCAGTGCGGCGATCCCCCAATCAGCGCACTGCGCACTGTATTTCTCTGCGGGAGCAGCGCTAATTCCTTCCTGCCTCCATCACTGGGTACTTGGCACCACCTCGCCCTGATACGAGTACGGCGCAAGGCACGTACTCGGATTTGCTGTAGTGCTTATCGCGACAACTACCACCCAAAACAAGTTCATCCAAGTTGATGCGCACAGCCTGATGCATCTGCATTTCTGCGACGCTGACGCCCTGCATGATAGTTGAGTTGGATTCATGACACAGAGAGCAAGGGGTTTGGGGAGTCACAGCACGGCCGCGGTCGGGCCTTTGCGCCGCATAATCCATCGCCTGCCTGGTTCTGCTTTGTTTACTTAAGACGCCATGGCGTTGAGCTCCCACGAGGTTGCGCAACTCAGGGTGGCCCTGCAGGACGCGGTTGTCAAGTGCTCTGAGCGATGTCTCTACCAATCGGCAAAATGGTTAGCTGCTGAGTCTCCTGTCCGTGGAATTTGCGCGTGGAAAGGACACAGCTGATCGTCTAATTCAAGGGCAGCCGAGCTCCTCAATGCAGTGCCTGAATCGGAGGACGGCGAGGAAGAGACGGCTGGCTCCGAGCTCAAGCACGCCTCGCCCATCTTTTCACCAAACCAGGACGCCGACGAGGCCGCTCTGGAGGCAAAGGAGCTCAGCAAGTACCTCCTCGCCAAGTCTCTGTTTGACTGCAAGGAGTATGATCGTTGCGCCGCCGTCTTCTTGCCGGACTCACTGCTGTCCACTGTTCTCGACTCGCGCCTCGAGAAGCCCTCGGTAGCTGTCAAGGGCAAGGGCAAGTCCAAGGCAACGGATGACACGAAGCTGAGTGCGGTTCCGCTGCCCAAGCTGAGCCAAAAGAGCCTGTTCTTAGCGCTGTACGCCAAGTTTATGTCTGGCGAGAAACGCAAGAATGAAGAGTCGGAAATGGTCATGGGCCCCCAGGATCTCGGAACCGTCGTCAACAAGCAGCTTCTCATTGTTGGGAGGTTTCTGGCCGCTTGGTTTGAAGAGAGGACGACAGACGATGACGAGGTTCTCGGAAGCCAAGGTTGGCTGGAATACTTGTAAGTCGAATCCATTTTCAATGATGGGGCATCCACTAATGCTAAGTGGCTTAACAGATATGGTATGGTGCTTGCCAAAGAAAAGAATGATGAGAAGGCGCTGGAGTTTCTCATACGCAGTGTCCACAAGTACCCCATGAACTGGGGCTGCTGGTTAGAGATGACGTCTCTGATATCAAGAGTCGAAGATGTAAGTGTCAAATGCCGGCCCTTTTCTTCTGACAACAGTAGCTGATGAGCATCTGCAGCTGAACCGGATATGTCGACACTGCCCCCAAAATATTGTTTCTTACATGTTCCACCTCCACACATCGCTTGAGCTATACCAGCAGTCAGCGGGGCTTGCCAACTCTCTTGATCAGCTCCTTTCCATCTTCCCAACCTCATCATTTCTACTCACATGCAATGCGCTACTAGCCTACCATGCAAAGGATTTAATGGCTGCCGAGCAACATTTCAGCCGGTTGCTATCGCTTCATCCACACAGATTGGACTCCTTGGACCACTATTCAAATATTCTCTATGTGTTGAATCTGCGGCCAAAGCTCGCATTTCTAGCTCACCTATGTTCGAGCGTGGACAAGTTTCGACCGGAATCCTGCGTCGTCATAGGAAACTACTACTCGCTCTTATCAATGCATGAGAAAGCGGTGGGATATTTCCGGCGAGCACTAACACTTGACAGATCCTGTCTCTCAGCCTGGACCTTGATGGGCCACGAATACGTGGAGCTGAAGAACACTCATGCTGCTATAGAATCATACCGCCGGGCTGTGGATGTCAATCGGCGCGACTACCGTGCTTGGTATGGTCTTGGACAGACGTACGAAATGCTGGAAATGCATACCTATTCGCTGTGGTACTATAAAAAGGCGGCAGGCCTTCGTCCCTGGGACGGTAAAATGTGGATGGCGGTTGGATCATGCCTCCAGAAGATGGGTCGAGAGCGTGATGGCATCAAAGCACTTAAACGCGCTCTGCTAGCCGATGCGTACTATGACGTTGGCAGCAGCTTTGGAAGCGGCGGCGATCTGCTGGGTGCTCGTGGCGCCACCGGCCAAATGGACCCAGAGATATTGCTACAAATTGCTACGATGTATGATCAGCTGGGCGAAGAAGAAGAGTCAAAGGCTTACATGGAGCTGTGCATGGCGCAAGAAGATGGCGGCCCGGCCGCTGCTGGAAATCTTGGTGAGTCTGTGAGGATTCATAATGACTCACCGGGAGGCTCTGAAGGCTATCCTGAGCGAGATGATACCAATGCAGAGGGGAATGCTGAGGGCACTGGCGTCACGGCTGCGACCAGCAAGGCTCGGATGTGGCTGGCCAAATTCGCTATGCGCACGGCAGATTATGCGACGGCGAATCGACTGGCAGCTGAGCTGTGCCAGGATGGAGTCGAAGTAGAGGAGGCCAAGGCTTTGGCACGGGAAGTCAGATCGAGACTTGAGGCATCCGGGATGTTGGGGCCTGCAGGCTAGCGGCGGGTGCAGGCGCTGCGTCGATTTCGATCATGACTCCCATCATTAGTAGACTGAATGAACTTTATGATTTACTGTTATGAAGTTGGTTCTCTCCCATTTTGTGCTTTGTAAAGTTAGATGCATAGAATGAATGAATGAATCTAACTTTACAAAGCACAAAATGAAGAATAGGCAAGTTGATTTCACGATGCTGTGCAAGTGCTTCGATGATATAAGGAGCGTACTTTTTTTTATTAAATCAATACTTGTCTAGGTGTAAACAACCCAATCCAGCAAATCCTTTTTCGTCCGCCTTCAGTTCTCACGTATACATTAATCGTTTCCCTAAAATAGCAAGGAGTGTGAAGAAGATTAACTCAAAGCAAGAATTAAAAGCTGAGAACTGTCCCGTGTAGTGGGATAATGGCACTTTTGTTGTTGTTGATGGGCCTTCAGGGGCCCATGTGGTAGCGACGTCGTCACTTAGAGAGCCAAAGCGGCAATACCAGCGATGACGAGAGCTCCGAGACCAGCCTTGTTCTTGTCGGCAGCACCGGTGGGGATGACCGGGGGAGCGGTGCCAGTGGCAGGTGGTGGCGGAGGAGGAGGAGGAGGAACAACGGAGTGGGGAGGAGGAGGAACAATGGTGTGAGGAGGAGGAACGACGGTGTGGGGAGGAGGAGGAGGTGGCACGGAGGTGACCAGAGGAGGAGGAGGCTTGGTGTGAGGAGGAGGGGGAGGAGGAGGTGGCACCGAAGTGTTCGGGGGAGGAACAACAGTGGTAACCGGAGGAGGAGGAGGAGGAGGCGGCACCACCGAAGTGTTGGGAGGAGGAACAACAGTGGTAACCGGAGGAGGCGGCGGCACTGAAGTTTCGGGAGGAGGAACCACAGTAGTAACCGGAGGAGGAGGAGGAGGGTGAGGCTTGGTGATGGTGCAAGGACAGTCTTTTTACGAGTTAGTGGAGGCCGAGGAAGAAGGAGTGTTGCAAGGGGATACTCACTGGTAATGGTCAAAGTAGTTGGCTCGGTGACAGTAATAGTCGTGCTTCCAATAGGGATGGTAGTTGGCTCCTGCAACAGAGTGTTAGTCGCGAGACAAGTAAAAGCTCTGACAAGACATGAGAAACTTACCGGACAGAAGGTTGTAAAGTCAGTGGTGATGACCGTGGTGGTGTAGGTTGTCTCTTGCTCCTTGGTGTAGGTATGGGGCTCCCTAGTGAAGGTCTTCTCCTTGGTGTAGGTGAAGGTATGGGGCTCCTCCTTAGTGTAGGTGAAGGTATGAGGCTCCTCCTTAGTGTAAGTCTTTTCGTGCTCCTTGGTGTAGGTGAAGGTATAGGGCTGTTCCTTGGTGTAGGTCTTCTCGTGTTCCTTGGTGTAAGTGAATGTCTTCTCATGCTCCTTGGTGTAGGTGTAGGGCTCCTTGGTGTAAGTCTTCTCATGCTCCTTGGTGTATGTGAAGGTATAGGGCTGTTCCTTGGTGTAGGTCTTCTCATGCTCCTTGGTGTAGGTGAAGGTCTTCGGGGGCTCGTACTCGTGCTCCTTGTGCTCTTCGTACTTGTGGTCTTCGTACTTGTGATCATCCTTGTGGTCTTCGTACTTGTGATCATCCTTGTGGTCTTCATACTTGTGATCATCCTTGTGATCATCCTTGTGGTCATCCCACTTGTGGTCGTCCTTGTGGTCGTCCTTGTGGTCATCCTTGTGGTCATCCTTGTGACCGTCCCATTTGTCATCCTTCTTTCCATCCTCCTTCTTGAAGTCTTCTTTCTTGATGGCATCAGTATTGGCATCCACCTTAGCAGCATCCGCCTTGGCTGCATCCGCCTTGGCAGCATCACCATTGACAGCATCACTATTGGCAGCATCCGCCTTGGTGGCATCAAACTTGGTGGCATCACCCTTGACGGCATCGCCCTTGACGGCGTCATCCTTGGCGGCATCCGCCTTGGTGGCATCAAATTTGGTGGCATCACCCTTGGTGGCATCAGTATTGGCATCCGCCTTGATAGCATCCGCCTTGGTGGCGTCAGTATTGGCATCCGCCTGCTTGATGTCTCCCTTTTCCTCCTCCTTCTTGCCGTCCGCCTTGCTCTCCTCTACCTTGGCCTTATCGAGGGCGACTGGGGCAATCTTGGGTTCATTGACCTGGGGAGCAAGTTTGTCATCGGCCGCTGGTTCGACGGCTTTCTCATCCCGCTTGTTCACATCGGCGATAGAAACCGCAGACGCAAGCGCCGCGGTGGACGCCAAAATATGCATGAAACGCATGGTTGCGAAAGAGAAAGTTGATGATGTCAACGAAAGACAAAAAGATGCGGCTTCTGAACTGTAAGCGAGTGTATGTCTGAAGACTGTAGCGAAAGAATGTTTTGGTTGTGATGAACGAAAGAATTCCAGTTGAGGACAGGATCAAGACGCCTCTTTGTAGTTGGGAAATAGCGGGTCAATCATGGAATGACGGCTGCATTCAGACTGAGAATCCAAATACTGCATCATGCCGCATGAAGAGAGGCTTCATGAAGCCATCCGTCGCCTCAGAGATGCATCGCCGGATCGAGAGAAGCTCGGGAGCTAAGTCTGCACGGTGTCTGCTCACAAGTATAGTGTTAGTGGGATAAAGTAGTGTTGATCAAGATAAGATAGCTAAAATGACAAGTAACGAACAATCTAATTGCGAATAGTTGTGTGACGAAAGCGTCAAGTGGGTATCCATGTTCCTGGGGGATACTCTTTCGGCTTAAGTCGAAGCATCCAAGGATCAGCGCCTCAACCCCCAATAGCACTGACAGGAAGCTCGTGGTGAAATGCAATTAGACCGTTAACGGCTCGTTGTCATGCAAACGTTGGGAATCTGGCTAGCCTGCGAGCTTTCTAACCGTTGAGGCTTTCTGCTGGCTCCAAGAGGAAGAAGCTCGTAAATTAAAGTTAGAGTTCCATCTAAGCTCTGCTAGCCATCAAGAAATTCCAGTTAGCTTGGTTTGAGACCAACACATAGTTAAAGTCCATAATTACTACCATAGGTAGATCTTCTCAATCGAGAAGGGTTGTTCCCATAGCTATCGCCCCTGTAATGCTCTATCAACCCCCGCGAAGGTGCTGGAGGCAATTTTCTAAAGCAGCTTAGTGCGTTAACATCCTGGGTCGAAGATGCCGGCTTATCTGCTGTTGATTGAACACCCAGTTGATGATATCCTTCATGATAACAATCATGAGGAGAGTCTGGAGGTGTTGGAAGCTTGCCCCAATAGCATCTTTACCTGGCTTAATCATACAATCGTCTCAAGAGCAAGCCAGACTCCTTGCATAGGCCGATTTTGCATTGCTCGAAAGGGTAAAAGCTGGATCCGGGACCATCTATGAATGCAGTCGAACAACCTAGGAATAAACTATTATGGCGTTATATTCTGTGCCCACCCAATCACCGACCGTCATCACCGTAGGTGTAGATGTATGTCCAATTGAATGCGGCTGACAATGGCGATATATTTTTCCGCCGTCAGATAGGTGTTAAGGAGCTTTGTGCCGATCTGCTATTGTGTATATGATTCCGGGTGGTAGATTGAGTTTCGACTGGAATGCGGATAGACGGCACCGGAACCAATCACTAAGCTGGCCAACCGAAAGCAACGCAGCGATTTTGCCACCAAGGGTAGAAAGAAGCTCTCAATGCTATAAGCTAAAAATAGTTTCGACAGAATTGGATGATGGCTGGCGAGAGAAATGCTGGCTTCATGTCTGGCTGTGTGCTTGCATGTGATGAACGGCTTTCGGCTTGGTGTGGTGCGGAACTGCGGTATGCATCTAGAAGTATGTTGGTAAGTTGGATGCAGTCTCAAGATGGGGCAAAATTTGCTAACCGTACCTGTATAGAGATTACCTCCTTATTTGGATTTTATTTACAGAGTTGATGTATGATAATCTGAAGCTCATTGGGAAGATGCATCGTGAGGAAAGAGAAGCCTTGCGCCTTGAGTGATTGGCACTGTACAATGCTGGCTTATCGCTATTATTTTATTACAGTGCTATCTGAAAGGCCTTGAGAATGTACTGTGCAGCCAACCTCAACACCACGTGCCTTGTGCTTCGTCGTCGTCACTCGATCAAATCAGATCAAATCAAACAGCGAACAGGTTTCCCCACTCTAAAAAGCAGGAAATCTGCCTCAACACTATTCCACATATTCACGACAATAATTACTACATGCAGCTACATCCTTTCGGACGAAATAAACACTTTGTCCTACACCCTGTGAAAGAGGGAGCAGTGAGTCACGATGATGGTTCAATGACTGCGAAAGCCAGAGTACGGCTCAGCCTCGAGGTTTCTTCTTTTCTTTCATTTCTATTTCTTTTCAATATTTTTTTTTTTATTTTATTTTTTTTTTTTTTTATTTATTTTTTTTTATTTTTATTTTTTTTTATTTATTTATTTATTTATTTATTTATTTATTTTTGGATAAATCTAACTAGGCTACTCTCTATAGAATCGCGAGACTCGATGATCAAGACATCGCTGGACCTCCCCATGCCAAAGATTGCGATTATCACGAGGTCTTCGCCCATAGTCCTCCACACCATGTGCACCCGGATGGCCCTCGTCATACCCATGCCATACATATATCTGGCACATAGACCTCTGATTGGATTCACATGTTCACACGATGGCTGATTCTCCAAGTGCCACGCATACATGCACATGTACGATATACATGCTCACCGAGTTTACATGCGTTAGTGCGGTGTTACATTCGCATTCCAGCTCTTGGTTGACGCCTTCTCGCACTATCACGCAGCCCAACTTTGACAACCGAGTAGCTCGCTCTCACCAAGTCTCCGAAGCACCCCGTTAGCCAACCAAACTATTGTTTCACGGCTCAATTGCAGTAGCTGCTCTCTCGACTCGGTCAGGCTCAGAGACACGCAGACATATCTCCGCCTGATAAACGGTTATTCCCACCGAGGGCCGAAAGTTGTGAATCGATAGCCCAGTTATCAGTCATGGCAAAAGCTCGGTCTTTGCTCTACGGCTCAAACTCGCCACTGTGCGGGCATTCCGAACAGCCTAGACCGCTGGCTAGCCGTCCGTCTTGTAACGGCGTTAACAATGGATGACTTTTTTTCTGTGCGTATTTTCGGGTTTCCCTTTAGGGTGGCCAAGTTGCCTTCCACCGTTTTAACCCAGCTTTGGGTTGGCTTTGGCAAAATCGTCAGAATTGGTCCGAGCTGTCTTACACGAGAGAGGCAAGTTTACCTACATTTACCGTATCAGGCAGTCATGTCCATCGTTAGCGAGGGATAACTGGACCTTCTGATCTTCCCAGGTGGAGGTCAAAGAGCTTTCTCTTTTCATATTCGCCAAGCACATGAGAAGAAAAAAAATCTAGAATGCCCCAAAAAGAACCCCTCACTGTGTGAATGGTGAATGTCATCGTTGCAATGGATGTTCCTCACGCAACTGCTAGTCTCACACGCAATTGAGAGATAGAGGATTTCCAAAGAGCCATTTGTCAGTTGCCACGCAAGCCTTTGCTGCTTGATGGTTATTCAGGCGTTGCCAAGTTTCATTGTTGCCAAGCTACGGCTCTTGATATGTGGCCCAAGTGTTGGGCAGACATATTGGGTCGGCAACATCATCCAAGTCGCTATGGCAAAGGCTCAAAATGCTTCCAACACGGTGCGCTCTAGTTTATCCGGAAGCTCCACCGTCAGTATTGGATCATGGAAAGGGTTGCATAATCAAGCACACGATTGAGAATGTCGAATCAGCTTTGCAGCTTGGGGCCGCGTTAACCAACAATGCGCTCCCATTAATGGCGAACAGATGCACCTCTACGTGGCTTGCATTGTTGCATTGAGCGTAATGGGATGCAGGCTATTATCGGTCGTCGCTTAACATCAATAGCACGGCTTACACGCAGCTGGGAGTCATCCTTCGACGGATGTTGGCACTGAGATCGTGACAATGGGCCCACGCATCGAGGAGAAATCGCGATTGTTTCTGGAGGCGGAAGGCAGCGGGAGGGAATCACATGGAATCACCCTGCTGCTGATGGAGTGTACTATGGAGCCTTGAGGATTTTTCAGGTTCCACCTCTTGTTGCCGTTCCTTGGAACTCATGAGAAGTTGCGCAAGCAGGTTTGCAGGTGGTTGCAGCATCCCTGCGCCCTGCACTTTTGGTGACAGGGATTGGCTTGTTCCTCAGGACGGATCGTAAAGCATCGGATGCCCCAAGGACGAAACCCTGCAGGGCGCCGAGGCAAAAACTGAGCACAGGCTCAGCCCTCTTAGGCGGGGATGAGGAGAATTACTCGATGGTGCCCAACCCACCGCTTTAGTGACGAGCTATTTACGCAAGGGATAGGCATTTCAGAGAGGCCGTGCATCCAAACCTGATGAAGGAAAGACTGGAAGTACAGTACTCGTACTGAAGCCGTTGCTTCTCTCTCGTTCAATCATCCGCACAATGCTTTCTGCCGCCAAGGCAACTGGCATCAGCCGGACCACACACTGTGGTCACTCTCGCCAAGAGGCCTCGTGCAACTTTCTGCGACTGGCTCGACGCAGGGCATTTTGCTCGGAGGCAACGGAGAGAGGCACAGCAGGAGAAATCTCACGATCCACCCGCCGGTCCGGCCTGTCAGGGCAGGCCACATGGATTCCTGCCAGGCACCGACCAATGGAGTCGCAGCCCCGGGTCCCGGCCGTTATGCAGCTAGAAAAGACGGTTTTCCAAGCCGTCGGGCACCCTCTGGGCCAATTGCAAGCTTTGAATGGGTCTGGATGGTACGTCCGCTTGAGGTACCAGCCGCTGCCACTGGCGGCGAGAAAGCACAAAGTCAAATAACAAATGGACATTGTCGACAAGTATCTGTGAGCTCCGAACTTTTAAGCGTTTTGCTCGGCCCTGGATTTCTGAATCCGGATCAGGAACCCGTCCCTGCCGGCCAGTGACAAGACAGTGCCGCTGGTTTGAATTTGAATTTGTGGCCCTTGACTGCACACCATCTTTCTCTGCCGCTTACTGACAAGCTCTGAGACGCCCGAGCGCCAGCATCGATACGAGTTTCAGTGCTCATTGGATTGCTTGGTCCGTTTGCGAAAACACTGTATTATGCTTTTCCGCAGGGCGTTCATGGCTGAGGGACATGCATCACAGGGTGAGGGGAACGAGCGCAGCGGCAACTGTAACTTCCAACAGCGTTGCAGTTCCCATTCAGCACGGATTACGTTCATCAAAGGCCCTTTTTTATTCATGTGGGATGTCCCGAAGTGGCTGAGAATGGACGCCGTTTGTTTCAAAATGCGCCAGCACAAGACCAGTTTCGGTGACCTGTCTTTGCTAGCTACAACTCGTCTTCTCTTTTTTTCCAAATCGCACTTTTTCCCTTCTGAAAAGGCCCACTCGTAGTCCAAGTGTGCCGCGCAATAGGATGCCGCAGCTCAGACTTTACGAGTCCACCGTAATCCATTGTGGCGTTGAGCAAGGGTGCTCAACGGCTTCGGCTTCCGGGTTCCCATCATGCTACCGCTTCCGTCCACACTACTCGCCAGCACAGCTGCTGGCTAAGAAATGGTGCCTGCATTAGACTCTGTACGCTATGCACATGTAAAGTCTTTCCAAGGCAAGGGCAAGTACGCAGGCACTAAAATAGCTTCTGACCATGTCGGTCTCGTTGAATCGACCCACGATAGGCGCCTACAGGGGGGACAAAGAGGGGAGAGAAGCAGTATCGTTTACTCTCCTCCCCACCAGAGTGCCCTTTGCCACGCGTGTCTTGACCGACGAGCCCTCTTGGCTTTGTGATTGAGTGATTATAAAGAGGACGGCTCCCTCCCTCTCTCGTCCCGCGAGAATCTGTTCACGATATCACCATCACTGTTCATTTCACTTGTCTACGGACTACCATTCTTTCTTGTGTACTTTACACCTTTTCACTCCTTCTGGAAAGCAGAGTATAACGGCAAGGCCCGTCACATTATAAAACAACACTCTTTCTTCTTCAGCTTATCAAGCAAACAAACCCAAACAAACCTTCAAAATGCATTTCGCTACCTCTGTTGCTACTCTCATTGCCTCGGCGGCTCTCTCTTCCGCCGCCACCGTCAACTTCTGGACCCTGGACAATGTTCAGCGCACCATCTACTTCACCTGCAACCCTGGCAATGCTGATATTGCCTCCGTCACCGTCGACGGCAGCAAGAACACCACTGTTACCTTCCCTGACACCTGGCAAGGCAACTTCTACGCCGTCAAGGAGGGCGATGCCAACGTCCCCGGCATGCTTGGCGAGGTTAACTTTGGCAGCTGGCACGGACTGACCTACTTCGACGTCTCTGCCATTGTCGACCCCAACGACAAGGACAACGTCAAGCAGATGTTCCCTGCTGAGTCCTATGAGCCCATGTCTGGCTGTGTCAACTTCCCCTGCAACAACGCCTACTACCTCCCTGATGACATCCAGACCAAGGCTACCCAGGAGAGCGACCTCATCTGCACTCTTGGCTCTGGCTCCGTCGCTCACACCTTCACTGAGGAGCAGTAAATTACTGTACATTCAGAGACTTTCCTTTTTTTCTTTGGTCTGACTTGAGATGCTTTTAGCTCTCCTAGGGTGCTGAGCACCAGGTCACTCACGACGCTATGATGGAATGCAAAAAAATTATCATCTAGTCCAAGATGGCTGGAGATATACGGGCAATGGGTTACTGGGCATGGAAAAAAAAAAGGACAAACTTGGTTGCGAGCACAACCATTCACTTCTTACAGATTTGGTCTTCCTTCTCACGGGGCCAGAGGCTGGCACTCATTTTCTACTTATACCGCCCACAGAGGCGCTTCTCACACTCCTTTATTACGGCCTTTATACAAACTTTTCTTCACTTCTTGAATACCCCTTTTTTTCTTGATGTATATATTTAGAGACTTTATGCAGATTCTGGATAGATATAGAACTGGCAATGTGGAATTTTTTGATTGGAATCATGACTTGATGGCCTTGCTCCTGTGACTCTCAGCTGTTTGATATTACAAAGTGTGTAATCCACGCCATGAAAAACAAGGAAGCACGCAATTCTATTGTTTTTGCCGCCGGAGTTTATTACACGATGACCAATCCGTCATGACAAAAAGAAGCAGCCCGTTAGTGTCAACTATCTTGACGCTAAGAGACCTTTCTTGCCTACTTTAATGCCCATAACTGTCAGCACTGTTAAGAAGTTGCCAACACCAACACCAACACCAAAACCAACACCGACTCGTGCACTAATAGCAAGACCAACGGGGTAAGTTGCCTAAAGGAGATGATGCTCTTTTCCAGGGGCGAAAGAAGAACAATGGAAGGAAACTGGAAGTTGCGAGGAATCGCCGACAAAGACACCGAGATAACTGACTTTGCATTGCGGTTTGAAGCGGAAGCTCTCTCGCCACCTTTCCAGAGCAAAGAAGAAGAAAAATTCATCTCAGCAACAACTGTCCTTTTTTTAAGATGTTCACAACGTCATTGTAATAGACACGCACAATAAAACAGCTTTTAGGGCTTTTCTTTGTTTTTTTTCTTACCATATTAGACAACCGACTAAAACGAAAACGAAAACCTGTGCGAGAGAGAGAGAAAAAAGGGTCCCCGGATGGCGTCTACCTTTCAGTTCACTGTTTTGACTTGACAAGCGCCACAGCCGGTGGATACGGAATAAACCCGAAGGGAAAACGAAAAAAAAAGACGAACAAACAAAAAAAGAAACCTGCTCTATTGTTGCTTTGCTTTGCCCACGTGGAGATGATTGCAGAGGCGTAAAGGTTTTGCGCCAACTCGGCTACTCGCGCTCTTTTCCAATACGCAAAAAACAAAAGAACGAACTGACCAAAAAAAAAAAAAGATCTAGCGGTTCTTTTGAATGACTAGCGGAATGCCTTTAGAAGCGCCGTAGAACATCCGTTTGTCAAAGTGCAAAGGTCCCGTGGCCGAACAGCCGGCTATCTTCAGGTCAGTATAATAGATAATATAGTATTGAGGGCCATAATTTAGATCATCATCCCCACAGCATTATATGTACACGACGCGGATAGCCATGCGTCGGTTCTTCGCTTTGTACAACTGTAATATACAAATCCAACGAGGTAAACCCCCCCAAAAAAGCAGCCATAAACTCCCATCTAATGACCCCGTGTCTGTCGTAGAGCAAAAGCTATCCGATAAAACATAAGGTAGACCCAAGTGACTTTCTCACTCTTGTGGGGCCTCCTCTGAAGATGTCTTGGTTTCCGATTCAGCCTTGTCCTCTGTGTTAGAATCGCCTGTTCCGTTTGTTGTAGTCGTAGCTGCGGTTGTAGTTGCAGTTGCTGTCGCAGTGGGTGAATCTGCCGCAACCTTCTTTGAATTGACAATATTGGTGAGGAAGTCACCAGCATCCCCAAACCCGTCGACCTTTTGTAACCTATTAATGAAGACGTATATGTCTTTGATCATGCTGTGAATAATATGTTAGGTTCCAAATAGCGCGCATTACTTATATATCCAAAGACACCACTTACCGCTCTTGACCAGCCTGCGTTGTTACGGTTGCTTGCCGCATGGCATCTCCTAGCTGGGTCTTGTAGCTCGCAAAAACAGGCACCATGATGGCTTGAATAGACGTCTCGGGAAGATGCTTTGTCAAGACACGGTGTAGCGTTGTTGTCTCTTTGACAAGCATCTCAATGTACGAGTGCGGTCCCTCGGAAGTGTCAGAATCCCAATTGATGCCTCGAATGCTCTTTGCATGATTGACAGCACGGCCACTCATAATTTCGATCAATTTCTGATGGATGTTGTCTTGGTGCTCTTGAAATAATCGTCGAATTTTATCAAACTCTCCCATGAGGTTGGAGGCATTGGCACCGGAGCCTGCCTGACGGCGAACATACTCTCTCACGTGGGGGATCAAGGTAGCCATGAACGCTAAAGCCTGAGATGCAAGTGCTAAATGTCTTGTCGTGATGTTCTTCAGGCCAGCAGATCGAGTAGCACCGGCTCCTAAAATGAGTTGAAAACATCGGGAATTGAAGAGTTGTAGGTATGCCACCAAGGATGTCGCAATATCCGTCGTCATAGATGGGATTCCAGCAATCAGCTGCAAGAAATCTCCCACACCATCAAGGCATAGCAGAGCAGAATTTGGAAGCACGAATTTCTCCGACTCAATGACTGCATTTCGAACCCTATCCTTGGAAGCACCATTTGCTTCTGATGAGCCAACATCCGAGCTCAGCTTCTTTGGACTCTCATAAGGAATCCATATCCTACTGTTCTCAGTCCATGCTTCAATGTCTTGGGTACTGCACTCAAGAATTTGATTCAAGAGTAGAGTGTTCTCGTCTGTAAAGTCCTTGGCACTCCATTGGTCCGATTCCATCCCCTGGGCAAGCTTCTGCATTTCGGCGTCACGATATTTTTGCACAAAGTCTTTGATATGGCTGTTAACCACAGTCTTCAAGGTGGAGCAGCTTCTTCCAGATATCGCTTCGCATTCGTAGGTAAAGAACAGGTTGAGGTTGAAATATCGCAGGAACAAGTCCAGTGGGAGATGGATAGCCTGCTCTGAGCGAACTTTGAGTATCTTAACAATCTTATCGTTTGCCAGATCGACAGCCTGGGCTAGCAGGTTTCCCAAATCGATAGCCTTGTGAAGTTCTTCCTGAATTGCAAACGCGGACGGCTGCGGGTTGCTAGTTTGCCGGTCATATCGAGGGCTGGGCAAGGGAGACCGATTCGGAGGCGATTTGAGCCCATCGCCATTGGGCTGATCTGAAAGCGAACTGGCTATATCCAGTAAAACCTTTACTTGGGTCGACACACGCCTCAATGTCTCTGTCACACCAGTATATATTGTTGTGAGGAGTGCCTCTGCATCTTCTGGGTCTAATGCCCGTAGGTTGCGGGCCAAATTTGCAGATTTCTCCTGACTCGACAAGTGTTTGCCTCCACTTGCAGTAGAAATTGACATCATGGACATGTTATCATCGTCATTGGAACTTGGTAGCGGTCGGCGGATCAAGTTCCTGATTTCACGGAGAATCTCTTCGCGATAAGCGGTTGCAGCAACTGCAACATGCTTAGCGCGATGCAAACCAGTCATAACTGGCAATAGCTGCGCTTTCAATTCGTCCGTACCAGCCAGATACGTAGGAAAGATAGATGGTGACCTAGGGTAGTTGCCCCTTTTTGGTGCTGCGTTGCTCCATCGAAGAAGGACATCGGCCGTTGTGAGAGATTTAATATGCTGACGAACGTCGGATGAAAGCATGAATAAGAACTGAGATTCGTATGCCTTGCCGATGCGAAGCCGGAGTTGATTGAGATCCGAATTAACTCCCTGTAGAACCGAAGCAGACCGTAAATCTCTTAATCGGGGCATCTCAGCCTGCTCACCAGGCTCTTCACGTTCGCCCGCAATTAACATTTCCAGCGAGTCAATGCTAACTAGTGCCTTTTCCACTTCGCCAGCATCAACGAGAGTCTCACAGTTGGCCACGCCCTCAGTAATCAATCTCAGTTGCCAAATGGCATCGCTAAGCTGTCGGAGGTTTTCCTGCCGTCGCTGTTTTTGAACCATCATCAGACCGTTTGCAGCCACTCTCTCATCTAAAGCTTCCAGTTCCTTTCTCAGAGCCTTGATTCGCTGTACCGAGTCTGCTGCTTCAGAGTGGAGCTCTTTCAAGGATCCAAGCGCAGTGAAGAATGTCGTCGATGCGGTTGAAATGGAATTGATAAGGTGGATTTCAATGGTATCCATGTACCAGGAAAGTTTCTCTTGTAGAATGGCATTCGTTGCCAGCGTCTTTCTTGGCACAACGGCACTCCCATTTCCCTCATCTTTATGCTTTTGTATGACCTCGGATCGTTCGCTTACAACATCAAAGGTTCGGGGGTTCTCAAGATGAAAATCATCGTCGAAATACACAGTGGGGATAGTCGAAAGTGGAGGGGGCCCTTGTGCAGCCTTGCGACTGAGCGCCGATGGCCTCCGCAGGGAGCTGACAGTGTCTACCGAATTCACAGAAGACAGGGAAGCCGTAGAGCCTTTCCGAGGGAGACGGCCTTTCGTTCCCGGTCGCAAGAGTCCATCGCCGGTATTTTCGGCCTGTTCGTCTTGTCTGCTGCCTCGTCGATTGGCATTTTCTTCCTCCTCGTTTTCCTTGACGCGGCGAAGCTGCTCGTATAGAGCGCCAATCTGAGAGAGGTAGGGCGCAAATTCCTCGGGGTCAATCTGAGGTATGTTGGTCAATGTAACGGGCGGGATATCCCTTGCGGTGGGAGGCTTGTGAGAACTCGAGGCTGGCGCTGATGTGTGAGGCTGGAGGCCTGTTCGTACAATAGGGGGTTGCAACAACGTCGAGATGGCTATGGCGCCTCAATTAGCTAGCGCTGTCTTGGTCGAATGCGGCCCAACAAACCATTCTGTCCAGATTCATATACAGCAGCGGAGCCGCTGCTCAGCGACGTATCCAAAGTCCCTCCTATCGAATGAATTGAGCTGGCTACAGAGCTCCTTCTCGAGTGCGGCCGCTGATAGCCCTGCCCTATTCGACCGCTGCACTGCCGTCAGCTACCGGATAGCTTCCCCGCCAAGCTCAGAAAACAATGCCCACCTGTGGAAAGGATAGTCTGCTCGGCCTCCCGGAGACAATGGGGCAAGATTATCGACAGATCTGCCGGCGCTGGGGGAAGAATACATGGCGGAAGATTGCAAAAGGAAGCTCAGATTGGCTGTGGCTGAGCAGGACGACGAAGCAACGCTACTGACTTAGAATCTCCAAGGCTCGTACGGAGTATTGAGTATTGAGTATTGCGTAATGGAAGGCACTATCGGGGTATCATCGCTAGCAACTGAGGATTGGAAAAGAATAGACGCCGGATTAGGATTAAACAGAAACCAAGAGAATGGTGAGCAAGATCAAGTGTCGAGCTTCCAGCTGAAGAGTTGACGACTGTCCATTAGCCAAGCTGCCAGGCCAGAGAGCTGCAAGTCGCATGCCGTCAGCAAGTCAGCAATGCGCAGCCAAGCTAGTTCGTATATATGACCCGGATTTCTACCGAAACACACGTGATACGGTCCCTGAAGAGAAGAGCGCGCTAGGCCACTTTCGGCTGCGCCACGACCATGCTGCAACCACTAAACGCGTGTTTCGCGTCTCTTTTTTGCTGGAGGCGCGTCGATTAGCCAGATTTGCCCCGCCAATTCTTTGTACCCAGCAGCTTGGGCTTAGCATCATATACGAGAAGTTGTGTAGCCGCTCGTCGACGAAAATCTGCATCTTTGCCCGACGCAATTTGTCCCCGCGAGCATCATGGATCGTCAGTCTGTGTATTCGGCTCGAGTGTACGAGTCCAACTTTGGCGATGTCGACGACACCAGGCTGCAGCTGCAGTCCCAGCTGGAGACTTTCATCCTGGACTTCCGCCTCGACAACAACTTTGTCTATCGGTAATGGCACAGCTCCGTTCAGGAGTCCGAGTTGGCTGACATTGCATGCAGAGACCAGCTGAGAGAAAATGCGCTGCTGAAGAAGTTCTACTGCGATGTCGATATTAAGGATCTAATCAGCTTCAACGAAGAGCTTGCACATAGACTGGTGTCAGAGCCTGCTGAGATTATTCCTCTTGTGAGTCCCCCTTTAGGTTCTCCTGGAGGTCAGCAGAGTTGACAAACGTTCAATCTTTCAGTTCGAAGCAGCACTGAAGAAATGCACACATCGAATTGTGTTCCCCCACGAGAAAACCGTCGATCTTCCCGACCACCAGCTTCTGCTGCACTCTGATGCAGACGATGTGTCGATTCGCAATCTCGATTCTATGACAATTGCTCGAATGGTCCGCGTCCCAGGCATTGTGATTGGAGCTTCCGTCATGTCCTCAAAAGCAACCGAGTTAAACATCCAGTGCAGAAACTGCAACCATTCCCAGGTGCTCCCTATCCTCGGTGGCTTCACAGGTGTCACACTGCCGAGACAATGCGGGCGAAAGCGTCTTCCCAAGGATCCCACGCCGACTTGTCCGCTAGACCCATACTTTGTTCTGCATGAGAAATGCCGCTTCGTTGATCAGCAGGTTATTAAGCTTCAGGAGGCCCCGGATCAAGTCCCTGTGGGAGAGCTGCCTCGCCATGTGCTCATCACCGCCGACAGATATCTAACAAACAGAGTAGTCCCCGGCTCTCGATGTACAGTGATGGGTATCTTCTCCATTTATCAAAACAAAGCGTCGAAAAACTCGTCAACGGGAGGCGCAGTTGCTATTCGAACACCATATCTGAGAGCTGTGGGAATCCAAACCGACATTGATCAAGCTGCCAAAGGAAACGCTACATTCTCAGAAGAAGAGGAACAGGAGTTTTTGGAGTTGAGCAGACGGCCAGACCTGTACAACATCATGGCAGATTGCATTGCGCCATCCATCTATGGAAACCGAGACATCAAAAAGGCCATTCTTTGCCTGCTACTCGGTGGATCAAAGAAGATTTTACCCGACGGCATGAGACTAAGAGGCGACATCAATGTGCTGCTTCTTGGTGACCCTGGTACTGCAAAGTCGCAACTCTTAAAATTCGTCGAAAAGGCAGCTCCGATTTCCATCTATACGTCCGGAAAAGGTTCATCAGCAGCTGGTCTGACGGCCTCTGTTCAGCGAGATCAGTCGACAAGAGAATTCTACCTGGAAGGCGGTGCCATGGTGCTCGCTGATGGCGGTGTGGTATGCATTGATGAGTTTGACAAGATGCGAGACGAGGACCGAGTAGCCATCCACGAAGCTATGGAACAGCAAACGATATCGATTGCCAAGGCTGGTATCACAACTATTCTCAATGCCAGGACGTCTGTCCTTGCCGCTGCCAACCCCATTTTTGGACGGTACGATGACATGAAGACGCCAGGAGAGAACATCGACTTCCAGACGACCATTCTGTCACGTTTTGACATGATCTTCATTGTCAAGGATGAGCATACCCGTGAGAAGGATGAGAGGATGGCTAAGCACGTCATGGCCATCCATATGGATGGCCGCGGTGCTGAGGATGTAGCCGAGTCTGAGATTCCCGTGCAGAAGATGCGACGGTACATTACTTACTGCAAAACGTATGCTTCATTCCCTTTCTGCTCATTGGTTTACGCATTGATTTTGGCTAACATGCTTCTTTCAGACGATGCGCTCCTCGACTCAGTCCCGAGGCTGCTGAGAAGCTGTCCTCTCACTTCGTCTCCATCCGACGGCAAGTCCACGCCGCCGAGATTGAGGCTAATACACGATCTTCCATTCCCATCACAGTCCGTCAGCTCGAAGCCATTGTCCGAATCACAGAATCTCTCGCTAAATTAACCCTCTCGCCAATTGCCACCGAAGCACATGTCGACGAGGCCATCCGCCTCTTCCTGTGCTCAACCATGGATGCAGTCAACCAGGGCAGCAACCAAGGCAGCCGCGAAATGAACGATGAGGTGAGCCGTCTTGAAGCTGAGCTGAAGCGGCGGCTGCCCATTGGATGGAGCACCAGTCTAGCCACACTGCGCAGGGAAATGGTAGAAGGAAAAGGCTACAGTGAGCAAGCCTTGAATCGGTCGCTAATGCTGCTGCAACGGAGGGATACAATCATGTTTAGAAACCAAGGAGCGCAGGTTTACCGCAACGGAGCTTAATCGAGGGGGGCCGCCGGTTTTTGGGTTGAACTGCGTCATGATGTTTTATTCTATGTTATATGAGACGGCGTGGCTTAGAACGACAGCCGTGATTTGAAATTATAAGAAAAATAAAGAATTCTAAATGCAACGCAGCTATGACTATTTTCATTTACCATGACTCCACGGGTGCTTACTATCATGTGAACTACTCGACTGTTGAGTGTGAGTTAGTTAGCGCGCATCCTACTTTGACTCATCGGCTCAACTCAACCCCGTCTTCTCATGAAGAATCAATCACCCAGCCTCACCATGACCATGTCCCAGTCTGCCTATATATAGCCCCCTTCCTCCCCCTTCGCTCTCACTTCAAAACCCAGTCTCCTACACATCAATGTAATCCCGCCAAAACCAGCAGGGAAAATGGCCCCCGACAAAGTCCTCTCGTCTCCCTCTCAGCCCAGCAACGAGCCGGGCACCGTCCTCCTCGAGACGGCCAACCTCATCATCCGCCGCTGGCGCACCTCAGACGCCCCTGCACTCGCCGCGGCAGCCAATTACCCCTCCATCGCGCCCAACCTGCGAGACCGCTTCCCCATGCCCTACAGCCTCGCCGACGCAGAGGACTATCTCGGCAACTACGTCGTCAACGAGCATGGCTACCCCTACGCCATGGCAATCTTCGTAAAGCCAAACGCTGGCCACAACACCTCCGCCGAGCCGCTCTTCATCGGCGGTGCGGGCCTCGAGGGAAAGGGCGACGTGTATTATCGTACGTGGGAGATTGGATACTGGTTCACGCCCTCGGCTTGGGGAAAGGGTTATGCAACCGAGATGGTCAGCGCCGTTGTGCCGTGGGCGTTCAAGACGTGGCCTAGATTGAACAGGATTGAGGCCATGGCGTATGCGAGGAACGAGGCGAGCAAGAACGTTTTGAAGAAATGCGGGTTTACTTTGGAGGGTTTGAGGAGAGGGGCTTTGGAGAAGAACGGCGAGGTGCTGGATGAGTGTATATTTGGCATTGTGAGGAGTGACATTAAACAATGAAGCTGCTACTTGTAGAAACACATGGAGCGTAATCGATTTTATAAAGCGGTTATTGATTAGGGGTTTGCCTGTGTCTGAACACACTACTGCTAGATGATAGACTCTATGCATGTAAAGTCGACTATCCTGGATATATCGAAGATTTAGAGGAATAGTCCGTTATCACTATGGTCAACTGAGTCATCATCACAAACTGCTTCCCCCCATTACAATCTGCTTCACCCCGTTACTCTAGAGAGAGGTCACATTTTCATCAAGAGATATACATCACACCAAGGGTGGATATGAATGGCACGGGATCATTATGTCGATTGCTCCGTAAAAGTCTATAGAAATGCTAGAGATCTGGTAAAAAGACTACCCGGTGTTCCAATACAATCAAGTATTAGAAAAAGATTGTACCTAAGTACACGGAAAGAGTTGAAAACAATGTCATACAAGAAAAGAGTAGACGCTTTCTCGTTTGCGGGTGAACGCCGTATGATGCTCATTAAATTCCAGTGGCCGGCTTCTGCGGCAACGAGGCAGGATTACCGTACGTGGGTAAATGACTACTACTAAACATTTGATTCGGTCCCTGGGGTATGTTTGCTCGTCCCAGAGCATGAGCCTGCTGGCTCTGGGGTAAATGCTGGGGTGGTGGTATATGTTGCAGGCTTTGCATTGTCGGCATGTGCTGAACGTGGGGCGGCGCGACAAGAGGGGGCGGAGTGTGGTATGCGGCAATGGAATTGTTCGATCCCTGTCGAGCCATGTTGTATCCACCGGCATACGGATGAGGGGGCATGACCGATGGATATCCACCATAGGCCAGATGGGGAGTCCCAATCTGCGGGCTGCTGTGGTGAGAGCCCGGCGCCGTGAAGGGCGGGTGGAGCGGCTGCATCGGCGGTGGCATGCCGTTCGATCCCGGCACAAAAGATTGAGTCTTGGGGTTGAAAGCATGGTTCCTATTATAGCTTCCTGGAATTGGATGCTGACTCTTCGGGTCGTGAGGGTTGGAATTCGCAGGTAGTTGCCCAAATGCGTACGGAATACCGCTCTGTGAATGAGGGCCGCTGGGAGTAGGGCCTCGGGGCGGGTAAGGAGCGGGACTGAAACCGGATTGCCAGTTTGGCGGAGGGGCGCCAGGTAGAATCGGCGAGCCGTAAGCTGTCATTGGGCTCCCATTCGGGGGGTATCGTTGCTGTACGGGCTGCGGCGCATACTGCTAGTATCAAATGTCAGCTTCTGGACTGTCAGTAGGCATCGCGATGAATAACATACCTGAGGTGGGGTTGGATAAGGAGGACCTGGATTCGACACCATTCCTTGCACAGCGGGATATCCAGGTTGCTGACCATACATAGGTGCCACCTGAGCAGGGTAAGATGGAACAGGTTGCGGAGTGAACTGCCCATTCGCCGGGGGGATGAACTGGCTAGGTGGCTGAGACACCCACGTTTGCTGTTGGGGCCCCCAATAAGGCGTGTACTGGCGTCTGGAGTCGAAACCGTCGGTATCGTCACGCCGCTGTTTGGGTGGCTTTGCTTTTTTGCTAGTAGATGATCTGTTGTTGGCAGAGACTGAGCTTGTCCGGGATATGCCATATTCGCCTTCAATCTCTGGCGAGGAATATTAGCTGCCAAATTTCGATGCATTCGACACTCTAAGCTACTTACCAGATGTAGTATCTTCAGAGCTTCCAAAAATTCGCTGTCTAGCCAGCTTGTACATCTCTTCTCGTTCTTCTCGGGACAACCTATGAAAAGGGTTAGTTATCTGTCGCGTTTCTTCTCTTTTCCCCCCCTGGCTTTTGCAACATACTTTTGACTGGCTAGCGGCTGTTTGTCTTTGGAATCGCTTCCATTCTCAGATGTAGGCTTGGAAGCCCCAGCACTGGCACCACCTCCCTCTTCGTCTTGTCCACGACGCATAATCTTCCTTGGGAGAACTGCCGGCGGAGGGGTGCTGCTAGTCGAAACAGTTGTTTGAGGTATCATTGTTGCTAGAGAGGGTGGCACTCGACAAAAGGGTGTCCTGAAGATACGAACAGAGCCAATATGGGGCTCATAAGAATGCGTCATGTGGTAGTAGTCAGCCAGTTTATGGGTCAACATTCTACAAAACGAGTTCGATGGAGGAAGGTCCATGTATGGCTCTCTATGCTGCAGGTTAGTTGAAATTGTCAAATTAGAGCAGGAGGGTTCACTTGCTTGGAATCTTGGACAAAGTCAATAACATCTTTCTCCAACCTTAGAAGGAAAAGTCGGTCTCTAGGAGCCGCCAAAGCTTCGAGGAGTTTATCATCGGGAGCTTGTCTGTAAATAACATTCAAGGCATCTGATGAGCCGCTTGCACTTCTCAATGGGTTCTGTGAAGGTTGCTCAGACGATGTGCTCTGGGGTGTAAGGATGCCATGTCCGTGAGCTCCGGCCACTGGCTGTGCCAATCGCCGATCTGGCATATCTCCCAGCTGAATGCCCCTCGCTCTAGCGGCAAAATCTGAACTCATCCGAGAGCCAGCAATCAGAGATCCCCGGATCGAGAAAGAATCGTCATCCTCTGCAGCAGCCTTAACACTAGCGCTGTCATCTGGACGGAGAGATTCTTTCTCGTCAAGTGCAAAAGTAGTGCCGGAAGTTATGCTTTTCCCATCTAGACTTGGAGGCTTGGTGCCCAGTTCTGAGCTGGAATCAGCCTTTTGAGAATCGTCTGAGCCGCTAGCCCGGCTGAAGACTGCCTGCGATCGGGCGGCGGCAGATGAGTTGCTACCATCAACCACCAGGCTTGGGACATTTGACTCAAGATTGAGGCCATCCAAAGACACTACAACCTTGTCCATTGTCCCAGGAATGTCCGTTGGTAATGGGTTCACCGACTGGGGAGATGAGACGGCTGGCGGCGGAGACTCTGTGGACTCGCCAGTAGGCGATACGATATCGGCAGCTGATTGATCCTTCGGCTGCATCGTCGATCGACTTGTGGATGGACCTGAGGGGTTTTCTGTCGCTACAGACGCAGCTATCTGCGTGTATGAAGATTATTGGTCAGTCCCAAAGGCCTCCCAATGACAGACAGCTTCTGCAGAAAAAAAAGGTACTGCGCAGAGCACACTTACATTTGCAAAGGAGCGTTTAGGTAAACCAGATGAGATTGTCGCCATGACGTTAGGTGTTCGCAGCCTCGAGATGGCTTATTCGAAGCCAATGGCTGGTGTATAACAAGGCGGAATACAAGGCAGAGAAGGAACGTTTTTTTCGACGGTTGGCGTCGCAATCCAAAAGGCGCCCGACCACTGATGCCGAAATCGATCAAAGGTGGGCGGGAAAGACCGTAGACAAGACAAGATTAAGAAGCAGAATCAATGGGAACGAGCCAGAAGATCAAGAACAGAGTGCAGGTGCTCATTGTCGTAGTAGGAAGTACATTGTTGTAAGTTGGTCAATGTCTTGGCGAACGGCGAAGCGAGGCGAGGCGAGACGAATCAAGATTTTCTCAGCGTCGGTCGAGGGGCCGGGGAGGCGTACTGGGAGGTCGGATTCACCTCGCAGCCTGGAGCAATATTCAGTCAGTCAGCCTGCTGCGCGCGAGGAGGAAGCGGACCACTGGCGGTGCGAGCCAGGGCGATGACAGGACTTTCTTTTGTGGAGGGGTGTCCCAAAACGAGGTTATCCCTGAGAGGGGTGGACATTGTGGGTTTGCTGCGGAACGTGGACTTACAGTGACGAATTGTTGGTGGCTCCCCCAGCGCCTATGGGACAGACTTGAAGAAGAACAAGCAGATTTGAGCGCCCAAGTCGCAGTTCAGGCCGATGTCATCGCGGTGAGGGCGAGGAGAATCTGCAGTTACAAATCTCGAGAGGGAGCTCAGATTGTCCTAGCGCCGGTACAGCGCCAGAGACAAAGTGTGTGCTGCTTATGTAAGGCATTCTTTTTACATGTACTCTTGGATTTCTTCTACGAGTACGGAGTACACAGTCACAGCACGATCGATTTGATATGAAGAGCTTTCTCTGACTCCTTAACTGCGAGCAAAAACAATACATTAAAAAGAAATTAAAAGACGACAAAAGGTCCAGTCCATGCAAACCCATTACGCCTACTCGTACATGTGTTGTTCCGGGTGTAATTTGCAGATACGTACAGCATTGACGCCCAGCCGGTCACGTGAGACTTTGCGGTCTGTCTGAGGCTGGGTGGCTGATTCCCCCATTTGGGTACCCAGGCCGTAGGCTCGCGTGCGCGCTGAGCAGCAGCAACAGTCCACTGAAGACTCTGCCCGTACTCTAAACACCCGATCCGTATAAACTCAGACATCCTGAGGCTGAGCCTGAGCACTTCTCATTCAACTTGAAACGCTCTTCTTCGCGTCCCCAAACACGGCCATCCGCCTTCTCACAACTCTTCACGACTTTGATTTTACTGCATTTCATTTCATCAGCCATGTTCGGGAACAGGGGCCGTGGAGGACCCAGCCGGTCGACTCCGGCCAATGTCCAGTGCCAAAAATGCTTAAAACGAGATATGTGCCAGCAATCTATTATTCGATGAGGCTATGTGAACTAACATGCTCAGCACGGCATTATTCATATGAATGCAAGTCGTCCACGCAAGAACGGCCATATGTCTCTCGGCCTTCGCGCTCACAACAGCTTCGCAATCCCAAACTCGTCCCTAAGCTGACAAGTGATACTCCAAACCCTTTAGAAAAAAGGTGAGCAGCATGTAACTTTGCTAGGACAGACCAAACAGCTAACACCGTCACAGGAAGGGTGTTGCGGATGAAGAGCTTGCCAAAATAGAGGCTGAGCGGGAAAGGAAGCGAGAGCTTGAGGAGCGCGAGGATGAGTTGCTAGATGCAGGCTCGAGGCGCCGAAGATCAGTGTCTTCACACTCAGTATCAACTATCTCTACAGATGCCTCACGAGACTCTCGCTCTCCACCTCCTAGGCGAAGAACTAGGTCTCCTACTCCTGATCGACGGGGACACAGCCCCGAGTCAGCGAGTGATCGCAGCTACAGCCGGAGCCCGTCGCCTCCGCGACGAGAGCGGCGTTCAGTATCGCGCGATAGCCAATCACCTTTGCGTGAGGATCCCCAGCAAGGAGATAGAAATCGACAGGGACAGTCCCCTTATGACCGAAGAGATGATGTTTCGCCCCCTCGACAGCGCCAGCGTGACCAAGAGGCAGGACGGCGCCACGGCAGGCGACGAAGCTGGTCAGGTTCACGATCGAGATCACCGCAGCGAGATGACCGACCATATCGAAGGCGAGATGATCACGGCCCCCAGCGTCACGGGCGTCGCGGCGGGCGTGGTGAAGGGCAAGGGAGAGCACCGCCTAGAGAGGCGCCCCGAGAGCGAAGTCTGAGCCCCTTTAGCAAACGATTAGCACTGACTCAGTCTTTAAATATGGGTGGAAGATGATTGGGTATCTTAATTTGGCCGGATGTAAATATTAACCGCAATGTCCAAAAAACAAAAACTCCAGCCCATGCGATAGTAATAACAAACACAGAGTAATTACATACAGTACCTCCAGGTTTCCCCCTTCACAGACCCATTGCTTCCTCTTCCTCGCGCTCTCTCTGTTCCTCTTCTTGCTCTTCTTGTTCACGAACCCTGAGCCCCTCCACGAGGGCGATGCCGTCAACACCAGCAGCGTCTCCATCTAGGTTGCCATTGTCTGCGTCTGTCGTCTTTTGGGCAGCTTTTTGAGCACCCAAAACTCGGTCCCGAACCAACTTGGCGATCGCATTGTCCGTCCGCACGTTCAACAACTCCATTTTTTTGCCCAGATTCCGTTTCAAGTCCCAATTTGGCTTCTTCGGTTGCAACTTGAAGAGATCCAGGCCCTTGTCGTCTCGTGCCTCCTCGGCAGCCTGCTCCCTGACCTCGGCTTCCACCTCTGCAGCCTGCTCTTCCAACGTAGGCTTTTCTTGGGCGAGGGTCGGCGGGGCGTCGAATCCGAGCTTGGGGCCTCTTGTTTCGGGGTCATAGTTGCGGCCAGACAGGTGTAGAGTCGCAACGTCTGGTGCTTCGGGTGGTGATGCCTCTCTGTCGCCTTCTGGCGTGGCGACTTCGTCGATGGGCTGTTTTCGTTTGAGGTTTTTGAGCTTTGCTAGACGCGCTTTCCGCTCGTCTGATGCGGCGCTGAGGCTGTTGTGGGAATTCATCTTGCAACGCTCTGATTGTCACGCGCAGTCTGTCGATTTCAATTCAAAGGCTTCACGATGCGTAGGTATGGAAAAGCGATTTCAAGCTTGGTGGGGCACAGGTACAGAGGTACTCCGGTAAGCCTGCCAGGGCCACTTGCGTTCCGCGAGTTTTAGCGGCTAAGCCAACCGAGGACATTTTCCATCAATCGGTGCTAAAATTGTTCTCTGCGATAACCTCAACGAACAACTGCTGAGACGGTCAACCAGCAAAATCGCGACTCGCAGCAGTGCACCATGCATACTGCTGGCCGTGTGTCGGCCACTGTTCCATTGAAATGCCCGCGGCACTCATGGCCCGCGCCAGCTCCCTGAAAACCAGGTGCTTGACGGCATATGCGGCCGGTATTCTTCGACCGAGACTTCATCTTGCTGCGAGGCCATTGTTGCGGCAGCTCAGCTCTGTAGCGCAAAACATATCGCAGAAACATGTCCCGTCTTTTGAAAATGGGATTCCACCTCGAAAACCGCAATATCTCACCTCGTCTCTGAGTCCACAAGAATCTATCTACCCCACGATGCCTGACGCAAACAGCCGTGTCGATTTGGATGAGCCTCATCCGAGTCACCATGCCACTTGGTCGGATAGAAACGACTTACAGAAAAAGCAGCTGCCATCGAATAAGCATGTGCGTTCTGGACAAAAGCTGAAAACCAAGTCCCATTCTCCGAAGCAGCCTTATATTATCAGAAAGAGGCGATATATGATCACATACGACAGGTTGTATCGCTCTCCCACGCACAATGCGCAACCTACCAACCGATTCTCTGCTGTGGAAACAACTGTTTCAGAACCCGATGAGCCGTCACAAGACGCATATCGAGAATTGAAGAACCTGCGAGGGATGCACTTGCAGTGGGGCTATGTTCGGCATCAATATCCCGATTCTCAATTTCAATCTGCCCGAAAGGACTTCACATCTTGGAAGACCAAGTTTTTCAAAGTTTCTATGCCAGACAGACCGGAAGAACCGAAGCTACCGTGGCCATGGCGCGACAATGCGAAGTGGCTCTTCGAGCTCAACGGTGTTCGTAACATGCAAAAGGCTTGGGAAAGCCTTGACATTGAAGACCGCCGCAAACAATGGCCCTTGATTATGCTTTCCACACTGGATCGTTGCCCCGATAAAGCACACATGGTGCTAGAAGCTACGTTGGATCCTTTACCGCCTGGGTATGCTATCAATGACGTGCTCCTCTTTGTTGCACAGCGTCTACGCATTAGCAGCATAAAAAACGTGCGTGAACGAACGCTTAGAGCCGAACAGGTGCTAGAATTGGTGATCAAAGTTTTGGAAGAGGCGCCAACCGGCCATGTCCCCCTTGGGCAGCGAACAGCCGGTATACTTGCACGGAAATTACCAAGCGAACAAGCAAGCGAGTTGTACAGTATTTTACAGAGGGCTAACATTAAGCTGCACCCAAACACGCTGTTACAGTTTGCAGGAAAGTTGGCTGGTGACATGGCGCATAAAGATACGGCGTTTGAGATTCTCAAGGGGCTCGCCGACAGCGGAGTCGATCTTAATGCACCCAGTCCCTCAAGCGCCATCACTACGCTCCTACATTGCCGAATAGCCCACGGTGGCTCGTCAGAGAGCCATTCATCTTTCTCACCCAAAGATACTCTGGAATATTTCATGGACAGGGGCTTCATACCCAACGTGATTAACGCGACTGCCTTCCTCGACTCTTTATGCCAACGGGCAGAAGTTGAAGAGGCTATACGGCTGGCATTGCTGTTTTCCGAGTCTGGCGTCCAGCTTGATACCAAGGCTTGGTCTACCATATTCAGAGGCGCCAAAGGGAGCCTCAAGGTAGAGAACGTGGCAAAGAGCCTTGATGTTGCTAAAGCAGCCAATGCCCCCTACGTGGATGTGCTCAATAATGCTCTCCATGCCATCTTCTATTTCGCAGAGATGGAATCCCGCGAGAAGCGACTCACTGCACCCTGGATCTATCCCCTGTTTGGTCCGATGCTGCGAGCGTACGCAAAGAAGTTTGAATTGGAACCGCTACAGTGGTGGCTGCCCGACTCCTTGCCCTTGATGCTAACACAGACAACGGGCAATGACGGTGAGAAGTTTGACAGCAATCAACTACGAACATGGGACTTTCTGCAAACCATTGTTCCTCTTACTGAGAAATCCTTTTCAGCGCAAAACAGCGGGCCGAAGTTACAACCTAATACAACAACAATAGCCATCATGCTGAGGGCCTACGTCAAGACACTGCAGTACCCCTATGATCTTATGGCTTTCTATGCCTTCTTCAAGGCCCGGCTTGAGGAGCAAGGCGGGAAAGAAGGCTTCGCCGCTCAGCTGATCAAGGACCAGGGCAGCCTAATTCACGATACTATCATCATGGCTATGATGGAAAGGCGAGGGTTATCACGGCCAGCGCTGCAAATTTTCGGAGACATGCTCAAAGACCACTTGCATAGAAGTACGACTGAGAGTACGGAGAGAAGCACCTCTGCACCGGTTCATCCACCGCCAGGTCTATGCACATTCAGCATCCTTGTGCGTGGTCTACTCAATAGTGGCGATCGGATTTTGGCAGAGCAAGTTATTCATGTTATGAAAGAGCAAGGTGTTGAGCCAAACCTTGTGACGTGGAATACTCTTACAAAGGGATATGCAGCAATGCAGAACATCAACAAGACGGTGTCAACCTTGCAGGATATGGAGGCGGCAGGCTTCAAGCCTGATCTATTTACTTTCAAGGCGTTTGGCAAGCTGAAGAACCAGGGACGGGCATTGGAGATGATGGAGGGCATCATCGACGTGAATAGACAAAAGATGGAGGGCGATGATCTGTATGAATAAGGCGACGTGGATTGTACACTTTAGCATAGTATCTCGGCGCTGCTTGGGACATGTTTTTCCTTCTTTCATTTAAATAACGGCGAAATGATATGATACCATGGAGTAGGGGGCTATGGAAACAGATCTCAGGATTTGGCAGCTATGAACAGATAGAACGGATATTACTCTCATCTATTGAATAAATGACAAGAATAAGATGTTAATATTTCTCTCAACTAAATTATTTTCTTCATTGTTTACAGATGAAAAGTTATATGTTGATCTAATCTCAATCGAATTTAGGGGACATAGAACGAAAGACCGGCCAAAGCCCATCTTTCAAAGTTTCGGATTTAGGACTTATCCAGACATTATATCCTCACGCGGATGGCCGAGTCGCCAAGCAAGAACGACGATTGACTTTTCTTCAAACGAGCCAATCCGCTTATCCTCATCACCATCAATGACTTCGATTGGAGAGCTCGAGAAAAGCCGTGCGCAGCACTTTGACGTCTTTGAGGGCATTAGCAACACCATTATCAGCGCCAAAGCCGACATCACCAGCCTCACTTGGCCCAATCAGTTGCACACATTTCATAACAAATATCTTCACAGTCCTTGATGCCCGATCCCAGCATCTCGCAGTTCACCTCCGTCTTCCGTGCCTCGGACGCCCACCGCGTCAAGCGCTGCCGCCAGACCGTCTCTTGCACGGCCTGCCAGCGCCGCAAGTCCAGATGCGACCGCCAGCACCCGTGCGGTGCCTGCGAAAAGCGCGGCAGCGGCGAGACTTGCTCGTACAGCTCAGCCGCGCCGGCGGCGGGAATTGAAAAGGCAGCCGGTAGCAGCAGCAGACGAGATGTCCAGCTGAAGCTCAGCCAGCTGGAGCAGATGGTGAGGGGGCTGGCCGAGAAGAAGGCGGGCGGCGGAGGTGAGAGGCGCTCGGGCAGCGACAGGGACGAGCTGGAGACGAGCTATCACGGGGCGACGTCGTGGACGGCGTTGGTTGAGAGTATCCGCGATATCCAGGACATTCTGGTGGCTGATCAGGAGTCTGGGTCGCCCGAGGAGGCGGCCGAGCCAGAGCTTCTGCTGGGAGACATGCCGCCCATCACGATCAAGGAGGTCATGGTGGCCTTGCCGTCGCGGCAGGATGCCGACAAGCTCATCATGGCCTACTTCAAAGCCAAATTCATCGCCGTCTGCCTCATCCACACGCACCAGTTCAAGCGCCGCTACGACGCCTTCCGGGCCGATCCCTCGTCCACCAGCTTCCTCTGGATCAGCATCCTATTCTCCATCCTCAGCATCGGCACAATGATCACCAACACCAAAGAACCAGACACTTTGTCTTCGTCGTCATCCTCAACCTCATCAGCGCCAGACTCGCGCTTCTACATGGTCAAGGCCGCCCAGTGCCTCATCGCAGGCCAGTACCTAAGGGGGAAGCGCTTCTCTGTCGAGGCCCTCCTGATGCACGCCCACTCGCGCAATGTCCAGAAACTCGACTCGGACTCGTCGCTGTGGTCGTTGTATGGGATGGTCGTGCGGCTGGCGCAAAGGCAGGGCTACCACCGCGATGCGGTCAAAATCCCCGGCAGCAGAGCCATGACGCCGTTTGAGGCCGAGATGCGGCGCAGGACCTGGTTCCTGATCCAGTCGACGGACCTGTTGTTCTCCTTCCAGAACGGCATGCCGCCCATCATCACGCAAGACGCCTGCGATGTTGGTCACCCTACAAACCTGACCGACGACGACTTCGACGAGGACTGCGTCTCTCTGCCTGCGCCTCGTCCTCCCACGGACCCTCTCCCCATTCTCGCTTACATCACAAAGTCCAGGCTCTGCTCCGTCATGCGCCGTGTTGTACGCCATGTCCTTGCTGTTGCTCCGGCCCCTTACTCCGAGACGCTTGCTCTCGACCGGGAGTTGCGAGAGTGGCATGATACCGTGCCCGCTTGTCTGCGAATCCGCACCATCCGCAACACGGCCTTCACCGATGCCAACTATACCATTATGCACCGGCTGATGCTCGAACTCATGTACCTTAAGAGCCTGTGTATACTGCATCGCCCGTACCTTACAACGCACAAACATGACGCCGAGTACAACTCCTCAAGGCAAGTCTGCAGAGAGTCGGCGCTCATGATACTGGAGATGCAGGCAGAGCTTGATGTTGAGACCGGTTCAGGGGGGAGAATGTATGAGGATAGATTCATGGTTTCCAACCTGACGCTTCATCATTTCCTGCTTGCGGCAATGATCATCTGCTTAGATCTCAGCGAGTCCACAGACATAGAGTAAGTGAGCATCAATTCCCCCCAGGATTTCCTGATACATATACACACTAACACCTTTCTCTCCATTCTCCAGCTCAGAAGAAAGGCTCAAGCGCATAATCACCCTCCGCACCGCCTATTCCATCTGGTCCGCCCGTAGCACCACCTCCGCCGACGCCCTCCACGCCTCCAGAGTCCTCCGCGCCATTCTTAACCGCATCGACTCCCCCGGCAGCACCGCTTCCACAAACTCAGGGCTCATGATTACCACGCCAACTTCCTCCCTTATGCAGAGCTACGAGAATGCTCCTACGATATCAGACGACGCAATGCAACAAATCATGCCCATTGGCGGTAACGACACGTATATCACAGACGACGCACTGTTTGGAAACGGCATAGGTATTGGTATGCCGAGCTTCGAAGATATGTTTACCAACATTGACATGTTCGACTGGGTACGTGACCTCCCCCTTTTTAGCTCTTTTCGTTATCCTCCGCTCCTTGCGCTTTGTATTAACGCCCAGCCTTCTAAATAGAGCTCCCTCGACCAATACATCCAATCTTCCGATTCCAGATCATGGAGGCAGTTCTTTTCCGATACGAGTTTATAGACTGGTCTTTTCCACCCTTTCCCATTGCTCAACTGAGAATCAAGACAGAGAAGAGAACCAAGCAAAAGCACCTTGTAAGTGAAAGAGGGACAAGAAACCACGTTTGTCCACTTTGGGCACCAGTAACTGATATTCGCAGTATTGATAATCATCTCGATACCTATGCTGTGAGATAAATGAGGCTCAACTCTCTACCTTGGTTGTTGTTGCCTACTTGTCTTCTCATCGATATCACTCTTGGCTAGCAAAAGGGGGTAAAGAGAGACATAAGTTGCCCAATTCCTTATACTTGATACGAGGGATTATATCTCTGATTGGTCTCATTCTAATTCAAGCGCTTTGCTCAAAGAAAATAAACAGAAACAATAAACGCAAATCGTCAAAAGGGGTGGGGTTCACACAAAACAAACAGCAAAACGCAAAGAAAAAGCCACACAGCCCGTCCAAATGGACCACGAGTCGCATTATTCATGTTCCAAATACACACACTATTTGCGCCCCCGTCCCAAAGTCATAGCTCAAGGACAGGCACAAAATAACCACAAAAGAAACCATCGCTAAGCAAAATCCCGACATTCTCTTTCCATCGCATCCCTCAACCGAGGACCTTCTGTTTAATCCCGCCAGAGCCAAGCCCAGCCCAGCCCAGCTATCCTATCCCAAACGAGTTTGCCTCTCCCAAATTCCATTTCCGCCCATGTGTCCGCGAGGTACCACGTTCATATCATTAAACGTCAACGCCGACACAAACTTTTGCTTTCTTATTCCTATAAATGACGAAAAAAAAAGAAGAAAAAAAGGCGCATAACAAAGAAAAAAACAAAAACAAAAGAGTCAAGAGAAACAAAAAGGAAAAGGAAAAGGAAGGAAGAAAAAAAGCTTGTGGGAAATCGCGAAATTTTACACACAAGTCTCCATTATGCGCGCACGCTCGGGTATCACAACGTTAGATGCAAAAGCATGCGCCCCAAGGAAAGCAGAAAACCGAGATTAAGAGGCAATGCCGCGAAGTACGCGTGCAGGATTCCCAGCCACGATAGTGAAGGGAGGTACATCCTGTAGAACGATATTTCGTTAGCACCACTATTGTCCGTTTTCACACTCAGGGCGGAGCCATATAAACATACCTTGGTAACAATAGATCCAGCTCCTACGGTGCTTCCCTTGCCAATGGTCCGGCCAGGCAAGATGATGGCACCGCCACCAATCCAGCAATCTTGCTCAATGACAATTGGTCTGCCATACTGCGGGCCCTGTCCTCCTTGACGTTTCTTAGGGTCAATGGGAAGGGAGGCAGTGAAGATGCTGACGTTGGGACCAAGGACACAATTGTCCCCGATCTTGACCTCGCAGACATCGTTGATGATGCAGTTTCGCCCAATGACGACGTCGTTGCCAATAGAAACATTATAGCCGTAATCGCACACAAAGGGGGTTTCAACGGCAACATGACGGCCGACCCGTCCAACGTTTGTAACCGGAGACGCCTCGGTGGGAGACACACGAACAGGATCACGAGGCTGCAGAATCTCGAGGAAGAGGCGTGCTCGCTCCTCGGGAGATACGCCATTCGTCGGAGGTGTCGTGAGGTTGTTGAATCTCCAGCAGGCAGCGGCGCATCGCTCTCGTTCAAGGCAGAGCTCTTTATCAAACGGGTAATAGTGTCTTCCTGAAAGCATCTCCTCCTTTTGGGTTCGTCGGGGAGGAAATTGTGAGTGCGAGAGCGCCAGTTGCGCAGCCATCTGTACATTTGAAGTTGCAGGTGGCTGGGGACGAGGCGTTGGGCTATTTGTCCTTGTGGGATGCAGGATGTTGATTTGCGGCAGCTGGTTGCTTGGATGAGGCGTTTCTGGCTCGGTTCGGCTCAGGTCGTGCAACGGAGGCACCCGCTGATACTCCTTTGCTATCCTTTCCCCAAACGGCGGTGCTTGAGTGTTTGCGCTTACCGGCGTGGGGAAGACATTGGCGGGAGTGTATGGCAGCGCAGAGAGCTTGTTGTCGGGACTCGTCACGGATGCACTTGGAATGGTCGAAGCCGTTGGGCGGTCGTCGTCCGAGATGATGACTGGTCGGCTCTGTGGGGGGTCTATCCGGAGAGGCTGGCCGCGGTAATGGGACAACGACTCTCGTTTCACAGGCTGGGGTCCGTAGGGGGCGGGCACTGATCCCGGCCCGGCCACCGAGGCTGGCTGTGGAGGCGGCTGCGATTGCGGTTGCGAATGAGACTGTGGATGAGGCTGCGGATGAGGCTGCGGATGAGGCTGCGGCATGCCATATGCACCAGGAGGCACGTAGCTGGGGTCCTTGGATTCGAGTGGAACTGCTGCGGCCTTGTTGTCTGGCTTTTGCCAGCCTGGCCCCCGCTGTGGCGGATAGCCAGCACATACGAAGGCACCACGAATGCAGTTACTGCCTGTTTGCATTGTTAGAATAAGGCTCGCACAAGGCATGGGGATTAAAAGGGCGCCTCTGTGGCTGGAACCTACACTCAGGCTTCTGCTCGTCACACTTCTTCTTTCTCTTCCGGCAAGTGAGGCAACCAGTTTTGGTGCGATTGCTGAAATTCCGCTTCCGCTTCTTCGGATCGTGCTGAAGCATCGAGTCTCCTCTATGGTCAGTATACGAACCACCGTAAAGAGATATTGATCGATCATCGCCATCAGGGCTCGTGCCGGCATAGTCACTGTGGTCCATTTGGCCTGTAGCTCGCCTCAAGGCTTCCCCAATCTGCTCTTCCGTGTTGCTCTGTGTCGAAATTGCCGAGTTCTGCTGCGTGTCATAGGGATTCCTCTCATCCCGAGCTTGATGTGAGTACCATAATTCCTTGTCACGATCCCGTTGCTCATCGCCATAGGAGCGATAGTCTCTTTGTGGTGTTCCATAGTGATCGCGGGCCTCGTTGTGCGGTGGAGCCGTTGCAGTTTCCGGTGTACGCTCTTGTACTAGGACTTCTCTCCGAATCTCAACGGATCCCGAGCGCTTACGCTTATGTGATCCTTCTATTTCCGGATAGGTTGCGACGTGTATGGTCCTCTCCGCACTTTGAGGAGTCCAAGAATCCCTTTGAGACGATGATGTTGGCGGTTCAGGGGCCGTCGATACCGATGCAGCTGCTGCCGGGCCAGCGAGACGTTCTTCTGGCGCAGAGCTTTTGTCTCCCGGCGCGGCCGGAGAGTCTGTCAGCTTTGATGAAGCGCCATTGAGAGCAGTGAAGGTAGACATGTTGAGTGCGAGTGTCAGTAACGGTATAGCCGTCGATGACCATACAGCACACTGAACACACAATAAAAGCCAAAGGAGGAAAAATTCAGCCAAAGCAAATGTGAGAAATCCTGTGCTAAAACTATCCGCAGTGGGTTTCTTTTGGCTCACACAGTGTGCTTGTCCAATATGAATGGTGGCGAGGAAAGCGGTTAAGCTTTCGCTTTAACGGGGTGAGTGCTTCAAAGAATATAGGTTCTTTGAGTATTGAGTCCCCAAAATCACGATTGTCGTGTTGTTAGGAGTCCCGAGCTGTGAGCTCTGCCAAAAGCTGCGCAAGTGAGACTAGGGCGAGTAGATCAAGTAGATCCAAGCAGGCACCGCTATGCAGCGAAATTCACATTCCCACAAAGCGAAACAAAAAGATTAAGGCGCGCGGCAGAGAATCTCAAACCTGCAGAAAGTCTCGCCTGAAAAATAACCAATGCTCGTTGCTGCCGCAGCGGTAAAGCGAGTGCGGAACTGACTGTTGCCAACGCTGGTGAGAGCGCGAGCCACGCGCAAACGAGTGAGTGAGCGAGCGAGCGAATCAGGGCCGGCTTCAGTCCAATGCAGCTTGATAGACGGCTTCTCGCCCTTTGGATGCCCTTTGGGTCCTCGTCGAAAAGTCGATGGTGCAGGGCGACGGCCGAGTTGCGCAAGCCGTTTGACTGGCCCGAGTCCAAAGAGTTTTGCTGCGTGCAGACGTTGTCGAGGAGCCGGAGTGGGAGGTGAGAGAAGGGTGTTGAGGCGGAAGAGCTGGGGGCCTGGCCGAAGTTTCTAAGTCGCGCTTGGGGGGCTTAGGTAGCTTTTTTTTTTTTTACACGCGCGATTATGCTGCGCCTGCTAGTCAAGGGGGGGTGGCCGGTTCAGCAGAGAAGCACCTGGAGGCGTGTACCTGGTCTCGGAAAATGGGGAACTTTGCAATTATTCGGCCGTGCAATTCTGGTGCTGTACTCTTACTGTAGCAACGATGAAGAATTCGGCGTGGGATGTAGTCTGCTTGTAAGAATCTATCGCCAGCGACAGATGGCAACAAAGCTGTTGGGGTTCAAGTAGAGCAGGGCAGCGGCCGATATCGTACAGATGGAGAGGGAGGCAGCAAGGCGCAGACAAGCAGCCACAAGTAATGCACCCCAAGAACCAGATACCCTCCGAGAGGAAGCAAAGGAGAGGAGGGGGAAGGAGAAAGGAGAGTAAAGGCTTGCGGACCAATTCCAGGGACACTGAGGCGACGTGGGCTGGGAGGGGGAGATATGGAGATATGGTCGTCGAAATGGTCCTCCGAGTCCAGGCGAGAAACACACAGAATCCACGTCCATAAAAGAGACCCGGGAATGTACCGAAATGCACCTAGGGAAAGCGGCTCTTTTGACGCATGTACGAAGTACAGTTCGTACAGGTACACAAAGTGACAGACTGACAAACTTGCTGCCAACAGGGCAAGCCAGGCACCGTACAAGTGCGTGCGTGCGTGCATCCAAGGCACAGGGTTAGTCGCGGATGGAGCATCAAAAGGACGCACATGATGGGGCCTCTCCGTGGATAGCTGCCATGGCCTGGGGAGCGGCCAGATGGTTCCTCGAGCAGACCATACGAGCAGCATTTCGCAGTCCATCGCTCAACCCAGCATTGCCCTCCACGGCCAACCCCCTCCCGCGCTCAACGGACAGGCACCGTACACA